CGCACCATATCGAGAAACTAGGAATAACAACATCAATATATGACCCCTACTTATTACACTAGAGCAATATAGGGGAATTTGGAATTGTTAGACTATAGACGGATGATACACTTTTCCTAGCCGACCTAGCCTTCGCAACCAATGAATAGAAGCAACTAGATAAAGCGAAGTTCTTAGTAAAAGACCGTAAGACACTCGACCACGGAACGCCCTTAAAGTTTAATAGAGGAATGATTTCTTTAAACCTAGAAGGAATCACGCTATCCTAAAAATAGTAATATAAAAAGTTGTCTATAATTAGAAAAACCTAGCACGAACCAGCCAAAATCAAGGAGCAGTATATTACCTAACGCGTAAGAGGTGCCTACATCGCGACCATCTTACAGCCAGAAGCCGCGTTTAACTTAAGTCACGCAGCTTAAATCATCAACCTAACAGCTAATGATATAAATAACCTGGATAAGTAGTTATCATAGTAGATTCAAAATACAGCGAGAGGATTATCATTTATACCATTATAACATAAATCACTCCAAATATTAGCATTCGTGGATATATTGTTCGCAAATAACCCAGACCTTATATCGTAAATTAGCTTTATTATTATCCTTACAACCCTAGAAGCCGAGGGCAAAAACGCTAACATCCTACACTAGGCATCTATTAAATATAAGAGGGTCACCCGGAGCGTGCTCGCGTTAAAGCTATATATAATAGCTAATGGTTTTAATGCTGCTATCGCTATTAAAACAAGCCTAGACCGGATACTGAATACCACCCTCCGACTCACCATTTACATAGATTCGAAATCCCTATATAACTATCTCGTGAAACTAGACTCCATAACAGAAAAACGACTCATGATTGACGTGATGGCACTCCGTGAGGTATATAAGTAAAGATAAATAGAGATCCTCTAGATCGAAGGCGACTCTAACCCAGCTGACATAATAACTAAGTCAAAGCCCTATAACATACTAATAAAGTTGATAGACTCTAACAGAATCAACTTAAAAACCATCGAATAGGTTAAAAGAGAGGAAAATCTCTCCATATAACCTATCATAAATCGGGCATCACCCGGCGATGATAAACGGCCCTAAAAATATCATCGCCAACCACTTTCTTTTAACCATTTTTCGGTATCCAACATACTTCTTTTATACACCTATTCAATGATAATTCGGCGACGGAAACACTAGGCCATTTTTCCTTTCAGAAAACCAGATCACATAATACCGTTAAAGGAAAAATCCCTGATTTCCCCCGCATCAGACACGGAAATCGCCCTTTTTCCTAGAAATAAAAGAAGAGAAAAGCCCCCTTCTCCTTCTCTGTTCGTCTATCACCTAAACACTCCTCCACCCATTATCTAAAGACCCCAACTGCCGAAAACCTTCCTTTTCCCACAAGAACGCCACCCCCAGAAGCTACTATAAACCACCCGATCGATGGCCGGAAGGGTGACAAAAGCAAAAGGAAAGGGAGCAAGAGGACCTAAAAGAGCGAAAGCTACAGGTCTAGTAGCAGGTCTAGCGGCAGGTCTAGCTCCAGCAGTAGACCCAGCCCCAGCCCTAGGAGCACCAGCAGTGCCAGCGGAACCCACCATAGTATTATCGCCGACAACCCCATAGGCGATACCAGAACAGCTAAAGTTCATGACGTATATTAGATATATTAGACACGAAAACATAAACTAGGAAGGAGAAACATTTCCCACATTCAACTACCTTTTCGATACCATAGCCAGCAAGAAATGCAACCAATGCAGAGGGGCTAGCAAAGCCATATATCACCCACCACTGTTCGGAATCTAATATAATAGCTAGATATTCCATATACTTATGGACTACGCCAGAAATACAGACCCTACCACAATATATGCGAGTCAAGGACTATCAGCACCATTTAGCACACCAGGAGCAACTAACATAGCGTTCACCTAGGCAGAAACCGCACCCAAAACAGCCTAGGCGGCAGCTAGCAACCTGATGATAGCATTCCGACAGCTAATCATAATCCACTTGACGGAATCGGGGATCGAAACGGACAAGAAATATGACCTAAAGCTCATCAGGGAATATATAGCCGTCCAGCGGGAAAAGCACAACGCCTAAATCAGACTCCTACCGCATCCGATTCGCTTCCCAAACACCTTATGCAGACTAGAATCCTTAGAAGGAGGGTACACCATGTGGCAGTCCGCCATATTATCCTTTTTCCGGGAATTAGTAACAGCTCAACTTGCGAACACCGCCGTTATCATAAATAAGGCAACAGAATACCATTTGCCATTCTGATCTTAGGGGATCAGTAAAATACCGCCAGAGAGGACCACGGATAGAAGACGAAATGGAGACTGGCTTCTCTAGGAAAAGCCCACTTTCGTGTTGTCCACTTTTTATTATTTTTTTTCCACTCACCACTTTCTTTACCCCGCACAAAGGCTGATTCTTCAACAAAAATCGGCCACCCAACAGATACAATATACAGGGCACTCGGGGGCATATCGTGCACCTATCCACATTCATTTATTTTATCGATCTATGTATATAGCGACTCAAGATTTTAAAGTTGCTCTAGTGTCGGAACATGGATATTGCAATCATGCAATACCATAAACCCGGAACGGAACAAACAGACCCCCGAGTCACGGGGGAACAACTATATTAGGAACTCAAGTAGCTATATGAATCGAACACATTTCACACCACTTTGCACAACATATATACTAAGAATCTAGGACGAACCATACCCTTTTCCAGTGTATATAGTGCAACGTGTGAACCCTGTCCTTTCAACGTAGTTGATCGACACTAACCAGGAGACACTTCGTACAAGGATGATGTGAAGGGCTAAAGCTAATCTTGAATTCAGAACTAGCTAGGCACATGCTATTTACAAAATCCTTGAAGAACGTGAACAATTCGGGGTGGAATCGTGAGGTATGCGGTTGGTGGGTCACGTGGTACAACCACGTGATAGTTCACCAGGATTCAACCTGTTACAGATGATCTAGGAAACCCATGACTCAAAGATATATGTAGACATGTTCATTGGGTTGGGTAAACCCATACCCAACCCAACCCAACCCACAATGGGCTGGGTATGGGTCAGAAATTTTACCCAAAACCCATATGGGTTGGGTATGGGTTTAAAGTAAAACCCACACCCAGCCCATAAACCCATCTTTTTGCCAAGACTTTTATTTCACGTGATATTTGTCACCTAGTTAGTACTAGATTGAGGCAAAAATTAGGCACTAAGGCACTAATTACCCTAATTTAGTTGAGGTTGAGGCGAAAATCAGGCATTAAGGCATCAAAAATACCCATATGGGTATGGGTTTACCTTACCCCTGATGGGTTGGGTATGGGTATGAATTTTGACCCATACCCAACCCATGCACATGTCTAATCCTGTCTTCCATGTTGATTTAATAAGACCCGCGGCAACGGACCCGTTACCGTCACAAATCGTGGACGATTCGCAACCGCCTCCGCTATTAGTCGAAGGAGATCTGGAATACGAAATTGAAGAGATCCTACAAGCAAGGACACGAAAAATTGGACGTGGATCGCGGAGGGAAGCATTAGTGAAATGGCCAGGATACGCAGAACTGACATGGGAACCTATCGATGTAGTGGAAAACTGCACAGCTCTCGACACCTTTGAACTACTATACAGACCAATTACGACTTCGAATGGACCCCGGAAAACAAGAGAATAGGAGGGCGGTATTGTAACAGGTTGAATCCTGGTGAACTATCACGTTGTTGTACCACGTGACCCACCAACCGTGTCAAAGGCCCGATTCCATTTACAGTTAGTCTATTTTAGTCAGCATTGGAATCCCACAATGGGATTCCTCCATTCTACAATAGATACACATACACACTTTGGTACGCATACTGCGTTCTCATTTGCCCACTAGAATCCACTATTCCTTGGTAGTCGACCTCCATTTGACAAACCGCATACCTCACGATTCCACCCCGAATTGTTTACGTTCTTCAAGGATTTTGTAAACAGCATGTGCCTAGCTAGTTCTGAATCTAAGATTAGCTTTAGCCCTTCACAGACAGACTTTGGACAGCGACGAGGGACTCTGAATTGGGAGGTAAGAAAAGGATCTTCATGGGAGAGCTTTGAGGATGGTGCCGAAATCAAGGATGGTAACCCAAGGGTATTCTACATATTTTGCCGAAAAGATTTCGGACATCCTAATTTCAAAAAGAACAAAGCTCAGAAATCAGATGATGGTCGAATAGTCATGGCTCCTGGTCCCACGCAGGGAACAAGTACTATGACACACCATGCTAAACTCTGTCGTGGCCATCAGCGAATGGCTCAGCCTCCTATTTTAGAAGCAATTCAGAAGATGGTATACCCTCTACTCTACAAGACCTTAGTGAAGGCTCTGCAAAGGCTTAGTGAAGGCTAACACTAGACGATTATAGGGCAATCATACTCCCCAACCTTCCCAACCTAGACCCCAACCGCATTGGACTCTAACCCTTACAAAATGATTTAATGTGCTTCGATGCGTGCCGCAATAAAATACTATCCAATCATAGTATTTCCTAGTATTTTTCAAGTTGCTTATTTCGGGCTGGGTACATTGCGTTATGTGGCTTACTCACTTTATGCAAGGGGCCCAGACCTTGAAATAAACAAAGTGAGACAGTACCAATATTTCACCAAGACTACGTGGTAGGTTCTTGAATTTTGAATCTCGCGCCTTCTCCTGCTCACTGTCCTAGGTCTGAGACAATTGAGTTGGGGAGAGAGGTTCAGAAATAAAGTCGTGGAAAGTCAGACTTCCACCACACCAAGTGCTGCATCCTCGCCATTGGTGTTGCAATACAGCTGAAGTGAGTTGCTCTAGTCCCTTATTCTTGACCAGAAAATTAGTGTTCCTACTAATTTTAGACTGAGTAGTCTTGAATATAGTAGTCTTGGGGCTGCTACGGGGTATTCCAAAGCAATCGGCATCCGTCATGGTCATGGCGAAATGGATCAAGAAAAGGGAGATGAAGCTCGCCCATTTGGTTGGCATGGGGAGCCAAAGTAATACTGCTGATCCAATCTCCAGCGAGGACGAGACTCGGAGTCTTCTGCGACCACACGATCCTGCTACTGCTCGAGGGTACCACACGACGACTCGGAGTAAACCGTCTCCATTCATGGCCGGCTTGTCAACAGCGCAATTCTGGACTATATTTTCGCAAATACTCACAACGCAGTTCCTCTGCTTCTTTGATACAACCATTATGGCATCCTCCCACCCAATTATAACGTCATACTTTGATGCGGCCAACTCTGCATCTTGGCTTTCGACGGCTTTCATGATAGTGACAACTGTCTCACAGCCTTTCCTCGGCCGCCTGTCGGACGCATTCGGGAGGAAGCCGCTTTTTCTCGGTACCATGGCGATTTTCTCGGCAGCCACGCTGTGGTGTTCCCTCGCCACAAGTATAGAAAGCCTCATTGCTGCAAGGGCAGTCTGCGGAATAGGTGCTGGAGGCACTTTGTTGATGGGGAGCATCATGATGAGTGACATGATACCTATCGAGTAAGTATCCGACCGGCCAACATGTTCAATGCCTTGATGCAAAACCCCTAAAGGTTTAAGATAAGCCTAACTCACGATACTTTAGACGTCGAGGCACCTATCTATCATATATCAACGTTGTAGTCGGCATCGGTGGCGGGTTAGGGGCCACATTCGGTGGTGCTATTGCCGAGACAATAGGTTGGCGATGGGAGTTTGGCGTGCAGGTTCCCCCGCTCCTAGTATGCTTAGGGATTTCTGCAGTGGTCATTCCAGATAACTTGGGCATACTTGGTGAGAGGGAGTCTGTAAGAGATGTTTTTAGAGAGCTTGACACGCTTGGTGCTTTCTTGCTTACCCTGGCTGTGTCGACGCTTGTCCTTGGTTTGAATCTCGGCGGCAATATCCTTCCTTGTAAGTTCTTCCACACAACCTGCCTGTGCCTGGTATTGTTGGAGTAGAGATCAATTAGACTAATTTGGTTACCAAGGGTCCCATCCCCTTGTTGTCGCCTCCTTGATGGTGTTTACCAGCGCTTTCCCAACGTTTCTCCTAATCGAGTCTCGTGTGGGAAAGCCGATCATGCCACTGAGATTTATCTCTGTGAGGCCCTGTGCTAATCTCATACTTTCCAACTTCCTTGGTGCGATAATATCAAGTGCCATCCTGTTCAACGTGTAAGAACAGCATGTCCCTTCCCCTCCCAGTCGTCCATTAAAATCTCCTGCTAACCACAGTCCTTTGAATCTAGGCCACTATATTTTCAAGCCGTGCTTTTAACCAGCGCCACCTCGTCTGGCCTCCAACTTATGCTTCCGACCATCGTAGCATCTGCTACAGGTGCTTTGATCGGGTTCCTAATCGCTAGAACGCGGCGCCTGCATTGGCCACTAGTGTCAGCCGCAGCATTGTATCTGTGTTCTGTCATATGGCTCATCTTCATACAGCGTGGCGCACCGACTGCTGTGTATTTGCTCGCATTAGTTCCCTACGCTGTTGCGAATGGACTACAATACACTACGACCGGTGTGGCGGTCCTTGCCACTGCTGCGCATGACGAGCGGGCCATTATTATGTGTACTCTCTCTATCTGGCGCAGCATAGGCACCGTCTTAGGCGTCGCACTCAGCAGCGTCGTTGTTCAGAATGCACTCTTACGATATCTCCATAACTTTGTTCAGGGGCTGCGAAAGGACGAGGTCATTGCCCTAGCGCGGGCATCAGTCGCGGCAGTTGCAAAGCTGGACCAACCATATAGGGAGCAAGTAGTGCAAAGCTATGATGCTGCATTACGGCTAGGATTCGGGTCCTGTCTCATAATCGCAGTTATATCTGCGCTCCTAATTGTCCCCATTCACCTGCCGCGTTTGCCGTCGCCTGCAAAGAGCTAGATTGGTCTTTATGCTTACAGATACCGTGCTTCAATTGCATGTATTTTTGTCATCTGATTCACTCTCGTGTAGACTTAATTGCCCACCGGGCTACTTGTCTACCATGCAAATGCCTTATAGTCATTGCTGTGGCTATCATGGCTACCGCAATCCATATAGACGCCAAGTATCCCTTTGGATACTCCGGTGCCTCGACCTGCTGCCAAATCAGCAGCGGAAGCCATGTCTGGACCACGTTCGCCATCTCGTTCATTGAACCCGCCACCAGGGCTCGCTCCTCGTTATCTTCAGCGCAAATCTCATGCATCCACGCATATATTAGCCCGCTAACTCCACTCGAGCAGCCGGCTAGTATGAAACATCCCCATTTCCAACCCGTTGGGATGTTCCATACCGTCAAGCTCGTATTGACAATAATAATCATGACACCTGAAAAGATAATCGGCGGCCATCTCCTGCCTTGCAAAATGGTGTCCGACATCCATGCGTAAATTAATGTGGTAATGATCTGGACCGCTGTTGTCAAGGTCGGATACGTATTAATCTGTGTTAAGCTGTAGCCTTGCTGCTTCAGCCAGATAGCAAATGCTGGCTGCGCCGATACCCCACCGCCGTTCAAGTAAAAGATGTACAATAAGGTCAAGAGGTAGATATGCCAGCTGGAGAGAACTTTCTTAACCTTGTTCATAGTGTATGGTGCCCGATTAGCACGCCCTTCGTCTTGCATGCGTGTCTGCGCCAGCACAATCTCATCGGGGCTGAAATATGAGGCCCGCGTGATCTCCGGCACATCAGGTAGGAGGAGGAAGCCAGACAACGCAATGGGCAGTGATATAACTGTGTTTATGATAAACAACCATTGCCAGCCTTTAAACCCATTTACACCGTCGAGATGGTAGACGGCACCCATGACGTAGCCGGAGAACATGCTTCCTACGGCACTGCTTGCGTGGAATACGCATGATCGCTTGCCAAGCTCGTGTTTTTGATACCAAGATCCAATGATATACTGCATGCCCGGGTAGAAACTACTCTCCGCGAGCCCGATGAGGAATCGTAGAACGTATATTTGTTGTACGTTGCTGCATTTGGCCATGATAATAGTCAAAAGGGACCAGAGAACTTCACATGAGGGAATCCATAATGAAGGGCGAATGCGCGTCAAAAGAAGATTACTATAAATGACGCCATGGTTAGTTCTATTTATTGTTTTATGATTGCTGGATTTGCACTTGCCTTGGAATTTGCCCTATAACGTAGCCAACTGTCCAACAAGTTTGCATATAATTCAGCTCGTTACCGTCGAGTCCCAAGTCCTCTTTCATGCCAGAAACAAACGCATTGTTTATGTTGATCTGATCCAAATGCTTTATAAAGTAACCGAGCGACGCTATGGTGAGGATTGCAGCGTCGAGCTTCAATAAAAACCGCTGTTCCTCAGGCGATTTGTCAAGTGTATCCCACAAGTACCTAGTCCAGTGAGGCTTGCTAGACTTGGGGATTAGGGATTCGGATTCCTCTGAGATGGGCGACGGGAACTGATCCACTTCCGGACAGCGATTCGACGGTGTTGACATTGCTATATTCCATGGGATATTTGAGAAGGAGTCAAAAAGACAATGTTGGGGTTATAGTAGTAACGAGCAGTGAGCGGCGAACGGTATAGGATAGGGGACAAGAAGATATCTTGTGACTTTCAAGTTCCTTTAGCAGCACCGGTGGCCTGCAGACATGTGATCGTTAGACACATGATCACTGCCTCAGCTGATCATCGTGGGCATTGTGTATCACTAATCTTTACAGCTCATAGCTCTGGCTCCACACCCAGGCCTCAATCACTGAAGGGATCATCCATGGATATGGTATCGCCACTAGGGCTGTGGCAGGTTATACCATATAAAGTTACTGGCCTCTCTTCATTGAAAATATAAACTCCCTGTAAGCCTTCAGATTAACCAGGAGAATATGCGACCAGGCCCGAAGTATAGTAAAGAAAATACAAATAGATCTAAGACCGTGTCAACAGAAGTGATCCAGTACTCTGAACAATAATAGATCTCAGTAAATCGATGATTTGAATCAGTGGACTCTATGGTGGGGGTTTCAAGTTTGAAAATACTCGTATATTAACTGGACAGCCCTTGGCAAACATTGTGTGGGGTATGATACGGTAAGTATGATACGGTAAGGGGTCTATTATTACAAAGATCGGCCACCCACTGGCTCTCTTTCAAGACATCTTTCATACTAAAAGGTATTTTTGCGAGACAAGAATAATGCCTTTGTCAGTATAGATCTGCCAGGCTTTTTTTCGTTTCTTTTCTTCCCCGCGCCACCCGCTGAGGCATTTCTCAACAATATCGTCAGTAAGCGCTACTGCACAAGGAATGCATGTTGTCACCTGACGCTCCGTTTGTAAGGGAATGAAAAGAGAATTAATTAAAGAACCTGGATTTGCAGTTCCCAATACGAGTTCCTTGGAGGTCTTTCCCAATTACCGAGTGCCAGACATCGATCATGTACTCCGTACGGAGTACAGCCGTTGACATATGCAGGCGTTGATGCCCCGATACTTGATGGAGCCGGGCTTGGCTCAAGAGGCCTAGATCCTGTACTTAGGCCTCTGGCGAGAACCTAAATGGCATGCATACCAGTGGAACAACCATGTATGCTGTACAGAGAGCTGCAGCAGAGGCTGGGGGTCTGTGTGCAGGTAAATGTAATGTTATGTTCTTCTGTTTCGAAATCGCAACGCTTTGATGAGATTGTCATTGCCTACTTCGTCTTGAGTGGAGTACAGCCGCAGGATATCATTCTAATCGAGCCAGCAGGGATGTTGATAGCCACGATACCTGGCCCCATGCAGTATTCGGGGAGGGGGGAGGGGGAAGTAGACCATAGCAAATTAGTTAAAATCATGTACGAATACGTAGCAAGTCTCTGCCAGTATACTAGTTATGGTGAGGATTGGCATCACCCCAGAATAGGGCTACCACTAGGTCCAAAGTCTTCAAAGTGTCGAAGCAAAATAGGACTTTAACTCTCGTCCACGCATTAATTATTTACTTGACATATCTCATCTGCGACCTGCGCAACCTCAGACGGCAAAAGAATCATGACAGACGAGATCAAAACCCCTTGGATAGAAACGCCTCTGGTGAGATCGACTAATTTGTCCAGAGCTGCTGGCTGGTGTGATCAACCCGTCATGGATAGAGCAGACAGCAATTCGAGTACTGACCACGCTTCTCCACTTCCAGTAATATATTCCTGAAATTGGAAAATACGCAACCTTCCGGATCCTTTAAATCGAGAGGAATTGGCTACTACATAGTGTGCAAATTGAAAGCTCTTCGCAAAGAACGAAATGAACCTTCAGCCAAGGCCCACTTCTACAGCTCTTCCGGCGCCAACGCCGGGCTGGCATGTATTCACACTGCAAATTTATTCGGATGCAAAACGACCATCGTAACCCCAATGTCGACGTCGGCATTTTTGCGTGCAAAGCAAAGGCAGGCTGGAGCTGTGGAGGTCATCCGGTACGGAAACACCTGGCCAGAAGCTGATGACTATCTAAGAGAGACTGTCATGATGAAACCTGGAACTATCGATGAAACTCGTATATATGTCCCGCCGTTTGACGCACCAGAGCTTTGGCAAGGCAACTCTACCATGATGCACGAAATTGTCAGGCAGCTGGGCGAGGCGACAAGTCATTACCCCATGAACACAGCACCAGAAAGGAATGGTAGTACGGCTACAGAGCTCACACCTAAAATTGATGCTGTTATATGCAGTGTTGGTGGTGGTAGTATGTTCTGCGGGTTAATGCAGGCGATCGAGGAATTGCACCTGAAAGACCGCACCCAGGTGATTACTGTGGAGGCAGATGGAGTTGACTCGCTGGCACAATCTGTAGCAAAGAGGGAACGCATCACTTTGTCTAGAATTGGTAGTTTGGCTACCAGTCTAGGGGCGAGGAGAGTTGCGCAGAGAGCATTCGAGTATGGCTTGGAGAAGCACGTACGAACAGTTGTTCTGCCCGACGCTGAGGCTATACAAGCATGTCGTCGGTTTGCTGACGAGGAGCACTACTTGGTAGAGCTGGCATGTTCTGTGTGTCCTGCCTTGTGCTACAACGGAAAGTTGCCAGACTTGATCCCTGGGTTTAATCAGAACACTACGGTCGTGATTGTCGTCTGTGGCGGAAGCAACATATCATTTGAGATGATGGAACAATATATGGCCAGCCTAAGCTAAAGAGAAAGAAATAGAAACAGGCTGGTGCCAGGTAGAGTAGCAATTAGCTCATGTTAGAAGTAGATGCCCGTTGAAGATAATGCTCTCTGTTCCTGTTCATCCGCGAAATCAACTGGCCGATCCTCCTGATGCCGTCTTCAATATCTTGCTCTGCCTCCCAAGAAAACGAAAGACGAATACTGTTATCGAAAAGTGCGCTTCTCTCGTCTCCATGTACCGCAAACAAATTACCATGGCCAACGATGATATTTTCTTCAGTCTTTAGTACATCTGCGATGAACTTTGTAGAGGATTCGCTTCCAAGCTCCAGCCAAACAAAGTAGCCACCAAAGATTTTATAGCCATTGAGGCTGCTGACGCGGGTTCTGGCCCCCAGAGGCCAAAGATATGTATGAATAGCGTCCATCATGAGCCTATGGCGTCGCTGCAGCGTAGGTCGTACTGTCTCGTCAACAAACCTTTGCAGCTGACCATTTTCGACTACTTCAGCCAGCATCGCCGCGCAGAGTTGACTCGGCGCGCCGCCGGACCTTGTAGATGCGGTGCGAGCAAGGCCAGCTATAAACACGGGCGATGCCTCTGCCCAGCCTGTCCGAACACTGGGACCGGACAACTTGCTAAAGGATGCGTTGCTCACCGCATGGCCAAACCCATGGGGATCGTCATCAGAAAGCCCCATGGAAAGGTCAATGTCACAAAGGCGTGGAAGCCTCAGTTCAGCCTGTCGGTCTTGCGTTACTGGCCCAGCCAACGGCCACTGGAGGAGATCATAAACATCGTCACTGATAATAAGAGCATCGTACTTTCGGGCAAGCTTGACAAGGCCCTCTCTCCTCCCAAGAGACATGGTTAAGCCCGAAGGATTCGAGCATGTTGGCACGGTATATATTAGATGCCTGTACAGTTTCCTATCTGCAGATGGGAGTTTAAAGGGCTTCAAAAGTATTCAAGCCACTTGTCAGCTCACACTCATTATAGACTATATCAGCGGGGTGCATTACCTTTTGGTCCCTCTTCTCCTTATCCTGCTTTTCGAATTCTTGCAGCTTGCGGTCAAAGATTGGTAGATCGATCCCCTCATCATCCTCAGGCACAGTGTGCAGTCTGCCTGCGAATCCAGAGTCCTCAAAGATGCCACAACCAAGATGATAGCACGGTGCAACTACCCAAACAGCCCTCGTGTAATTAACATCGCTGAAGCATTGCAGAATGCATACCAGGTTCTGGCTAGCGCCGCCAGTAATGCAAATACGTTCTGGGTCAGGGGTGACTCCATAGTGAGGCCCAACCCAATTGGCAAGGCCCTTCCTGAGACGAGTCAAGCCATGACAAGAGCCATACTCTTGCATTTCTGTATACTCGTCTTGGTTGGCGAGGACACGCTGGCACGCGGAGGACAGAAGTTGTGTGGGGAGGAGTCCCGGGTTCGGCCATCCGCGGAGGAAGTTGATCTGTTTGTGAGTGGTAGACATGGTAGATTTATGGCAGAGAAGAGTAGACTTTTTTACTTGGAATTAAAGTAAAATGGGTGTTCACCGCATAGGTAGTTGGTGAAAGGAAGAACAGAATGTGCCCACAGGATGCAGTTGTTAGATGCACCAGTTAGTCAGAGTTTTGCTTGGCCAATGCCAGCGGGCACGCAATCAGTATATCTAAATAAAGGGATAAATATGCAGTGCAGCTCATAAACTCATTTTTAGCAGATGCGGAGGCTGTCCTAGTATACGACAAAAGACGGAAAACTTTGAATTTCATCTAGATTTTGTATTTGTGCTATCTAGGCCATCATTCTTCTCCATTTGAATCAAGGCGTGGTTTCTCCTACTCGCTGCTAGCAGTCTGAGCCGTCCGGCCTTTGAGAATAGTATTGAAAAGCTGGCAGAGTCTTTCAAATGCAGCATCGCTAATCTGGTAATGGAAAACCAGCCGTCCCACAATCAGACTATTTGATACTTTCAGATTCAACTGGCGACCCAATGCATAAAACTCATCACGGTCTACACCAGATGCTGGCAGATCAAGCCATAGCATGTTCGTCTCCGTCGGCACCTGAAGCTTCCCTCCCAGGCCTTGCCAAAGTCTCGCCGCACGTCTCGCCTTGTCGTGTGCAAGGCGCATTTTCCCACCTAGGAATACATCCTGAATAGCTACCTTTGCCGGCGCCGTCATGATACCGGAAGAGCGAACGCCCCCGCCCAGTAAGTGGCGGCTCCATTTTGCCCTCTTGATAAAAGACGCGCTTCCAGTTATTACACTGCCAAGTGGTGCTCCAAGACCCTTTGTCAAGCATAGCTGGATGCTGTCAAAGTATTGCCCAACGTCTTCCAGCTTGCAGCATCCTGCAGTAACTGCCTCCCAGAGGCGAGCGCCATCCAGATGCATGTGAACGGGCGGGTTCTGGGCGCGTGCCCAGAGCGAGATGTCTCTCATGTCGGAAAAGGGCATTATGGTGCCACATATTGTGTTCTCCAGACTAATTATTCTGGTTGGGCAGTCGAATACTGTCTCCCTCAGTATGCTGTGTTCCTTAACGTCCTGCAAAGTGAGGTGATGCCCATTGGATGGAACAATGGTTTGTATCATCGCCCCACTGACGCTTGTAACTCCACCACCTTCCAATGTGGCGATATGGGCTCGATGGTCTGCTAGGATGGCATGTGGAGGAGCGTGTAGACTTGTCCGAAGGGCTACCTGATTGCCCATTGTTCCGGACATGACAAGAAGTGCGGCCTCATGGCCTACCAAGTCGGCAACATAGCGCTGGAAAGAAACGGTGGTCGTGTCTTCATCTGCTGTGCAGTCCCCAAGTGTTGTGTTGATAATTGCCTCTAGCATAGGCAATGTCGGCCTGGTAAATATGTCGGAGCGAAAGTCAATGGACGCCTCGCTGTTATCTGCCCACGACAACACATTGTCTGGCTTGCTCTCAGGTGGCATGCTGCAACTTTTCCCATCTGCCAATGGTATGCCGGTTTCTTTCTCGGAACTCAAGGGACCCAACTGCAAAGTACCATGCGGTAGAGATAGAATTGAGAGTGAATTTTCCATGGCTAGCGGTCTGCTCTGCTTTCCAACTGCGGACTTCTAGGTGAACTTGAAGGACTCGGAGCTTAACGTTTAACAAAGGAGTGTCATAAAGGCGTAGACAGGCGGGTAAAATATAGACTGCCAGTGCTGGATTAGGAAATTTCTATATAGTTCTCCGTACCTAGGTAGCAACTCTTCAGCTTGCAATCATTCCTTCTCAGCCAGAAAGACGTCGCTATTGTCTGTATTACCATACCACAAATACCTCCTACCCCGCCTCCACTGCGTCAGAACTTCGCATATATGAGTACCTTCGCGACCCAAACTGGCAGCTGCAAGCAGCCTGCAGAGTTCTGCACAGGCACCTGCAAGTTTGCGGGGTTTGCATCTTCCGAGCCCCGCCGGGCGGCTGCTCTACTGCTAGACAGACGATACGTGCCGGAAAAATAAATCTTTCTGCCTGGTCTGCATGCATATCGTGTACATATAGCCACGTACAGAGGTGGTCCAAGCGTTGACCGATGCTATGAGATGATACGCATCTAGATCTAGCGGGCCACATACTACTCTGGAACCCTATCGTACACCTCTTGGCCGGATATATCCCCGACCCACTGCCCCATTTTTATTTTAGCGGTAAGATATAACAAAACATCTATCCATGACCCGGAATATTCTATTGACTACTATTGAAATGGTATACATATGAAAATATCTGTAAAAACCGGTTTGTTGAATTTTATCAGAATGCTACGTTGTTCTGGAAGAGGAAAGCTTCATACACATGCAGTACCATACAGTAGGGACTCCGACTAATGGAAGTTAGCGAAAAAGGTAGATCGCGAATATATGCGGCCAGGGGGGTACTACCTGCATTGTGTTGCTGGAAATATACATGACTATCCCGCCTTCCTGCATATGCTCCGAGTTAGTGTACATATTACTACGTAGTAAAGCTATTTGATCAAACTCAGCGACTTTCAAGACAAATCTAGATGCTGAGGGATTTTATGAATTGTCGAAAATTGCTGAGGATATGCGTGAGGTGTAAACAAAGATCTGCAGGTATTGTACTGTATCTTAGTATGAGTGTGAAGGGTGGTAATGAAATATACGCTGTAATTATCAAGTATATACCAACTGTTCAATGGTTGACAAAAGCCTCCTACTATCACTCGGCTCAACAACCGATAATAGCCAGGAAGTTATGTGTTTTGTGTCTTGATGGTTTCGTTTTATTATATTTATCTTCAAGGTACACAAACACGCTCGGAGCTATAGGCACTTCGACAGACCTGTCATTGCGAGATGGTACCCCTGTAGCAAGTCTTTGTACCGTGTATCACCCGTATTTTGTAGGTCCCCAGCACACTCCTCTAGGCTTGTCTTCTCTCTTGTCACAATAGCCTCTAACAAGAAACAGTTCTCCCGGTCTAGCAGATCAGGAGCTCTCAGTATAGCATACTTAAACTCCAAAAAGGCCAACGCTATTCCTAGGAGCAAGCCGAGATTCCCTGTGGGCCGCGCACTCCACCGCAGCATGTTGTTGGCCAACCTAGCACTATCCTCACTCTGACCATGCTTAGCCGCTAGCAAAAGAACATCATGCAAACATGAAGGTTTAGCACCGATCGTGGGATGGCCAAGTTTCTGGACAAGCTCGAGGCCAATATCAACGAGACTAGTGCAAGATTCTCGCCTCAACTCGTCCATGCCCGCAACGATGTCGGATTCAATATCAAAGCCCGCTTGCGCACGTAGGAGGCGCAGAATACAAGAGTAAAGAGGACATACCGTTCGGGAGGGTATACTGGTCGTGTTCTCTAAAAGACTGATGTGCGCAAACCAAAGGGCAATGATGTCAGGGAGCTGATCCATCGAGGGTGTGTTCAACCTTGACTGTTCTTTCCACGGTGGCACTGAAACAACAGAGTCAAGTCTCTGGCACATTGTAGGTATGCACGAGTCCGCCGCCTGGAGCATTTGGGCCTCATTGTCGGGAAACACGGATTGATAGTGGTGAACCGAGTCTCGGAGCGCTGCGACGGCATCTTGAGAAGTCACGAATTGTCTCTGGGTAAATTTCCAATATAGCAAGGGTTCATCTTTTGGTCTCAATGCATCTATCCATGAGCGAAGAGTAGCAACTTCGTTGTTTGTGAAAGCGCCAAACATGCGTCCTCCCCACGAAAGCTCCCGCAAAAGCAGGCTCTTGCTGCTTTCCCCTGCAAAAACCCACGGCTTGGCTTCGCTGAGGGCTGTCAAGAGATCCAGCTGATGCAGTCCATTGGCATGCTTCCACAAGTCCGCATCAAGCCATTCAGACAAGGTATAGGGTCCTATACGTGTCCTGCTTTGAGAGTGGATACCGTCCGATACCAGAGCTTTGGATCGAAGGATGTCCATCACTTGAGTGCTAAGTGGTCCAAGTAAGACTTCTGGGCTCGAAAGACCCAGATTAACTGTTCCAGGGGAAGAATGACTCCCTAGAGTCTGCGACAAGATGTATCCCACCTGAACCCGTTTCCAGGCCTGCTGCACAGCTTCCTCCCCTTCCGTTGCTCGCACCACTTCAAGATATTCCATAACAGCGTGAGCGGCTATGGCCGTATGTCCGGAATCGGCATTATCTATTGTAATGTGGATGAGAAAGTAGTAAGGATCAATGGCAAAGCATTTCAGCTCATGGGCTGCTTGCATAGTGTCGAGCGTCACGGTTTCGAAGTGCATATTAAAGCCAAGAATTTCAGGAAGAAACTCGTTGGGGAAGAGCGAGATGGTAAGCTGGCCCACGGCAGCCTGCCAGGCCTCACGATTCTCGACTCGATTCCACTCGGGGAGACGTATAAAATCTGCACTGTGGCCATTTGGCAGTGGACATCCAATATCGTTCAGAAGCCTGTGGTAGAGATTGACGTGGTTCTTGGAAAGATCTCCATCTCCGAGCTCTTCTGACAAGAGATGCCACAGCTGTCTGGTGACGCCCCGAAGGGAAAACAGAGTGGTGATTTTGTTTACGTGTCCAAGCCATGCGCCGTCCACAAGCTTGATGGGTGCCTGCTGGACGAGCCAATCTTTCGCAGCTTCAGCAGTCCCAAATAACTCGGTATCTTCCCCCTGTTTCCGTCTCTCCAGATAGCTGGCAAATTCTGACTGAGTCTTTTGGTGTGTGTGTTTGAGGAAGGTGGAGATGCCCTCGACGCTGTAATCTTCGATGCTGAGTATGTTGCTGCTACTGTCACACTCTACCTGCCGGAGGGCGAGTGAAAGTGCACGAGAGAACATGGTCAATAGTTCCTCTCGAGCTGGTTCCAACGTTTCTGGGTGATCTTCGAGATTTTGAAGCTGAAAGAACATGTCTCGATACCATTGTGTTGATTTGAGGTGCGCGATCCTTGGGCCTGCTTTCTTCACATCCTTGGACTTGCCCACCGGCGTATTACGGACGGACGCAAGGTGGCTCTTCCTCTTGCTAAAACCGAACAAGTAGACCACAGCAGCAACCAAGACAGCTAGAAGAGGGACCAAATGGTGCTGTAACCAAGAGAGATCCCAAGGCAGATTCATAATAATGGCGCCACATATATGACCAAGAAAGGGCAGCTTCAAGGGGGCCAAACAACACGTCGAGATGGGAGGGCTGCTTGGCTTTAGGGTGGGTGTGTTAGCGTCAAGCAATTCCAGCATGAAGAATAAGAGCGAGAAATATAGCTTGGTGGGTAGAATAGTCATGAAGATGCTGTGAATGGGATCACGATCTGCCCCATCGTTCTACTGGCTTATGGAAAGCCCTGATAGTATGTTTCCTTGGAAATCTATTTTTATGAGAGTTTGCCTACGTTGCATCGAAGTGGATGAATTATATTACAATGCTGCAGTCTAGGTAATTTTATAGTATATGCACAAGTATATATTACCGCAAACACAGTACCAGTACAGTGCATGTATACGCGAGCAAATGGTCCACTAGTCGCCTGTCTGCTGTTACCCGGGTGGGCAAGATACATTCAAGTCAAGCAGGGTCAGTGCCGAGTAAAAAGGCATCTATGTGTGGTTTATAAGGCCTATGATTTTGCTCTCTTGTTCTTCTTCAAACAGGGAATGGCCGATAAATAGTACTCGTACTTTCTTCTTTGCCTCCCTCTTCTCGTCTTTGAACGTTCGTCCAACTTTCTTTATCCCAAGCCCACTATGACCGTCGAAGAAGAGATAGCATCCCTCGCGATAATCGACTACGAAGCCTTAGCAAACAAAGATGGGAAAGAGATCCAGAAGCTCGTCCAGGCGTGCAAATCTGTGGGCATGTTCCACCTCAACCTCGGCAATTCTAGGATAAAGGATGTCTACGAAGACATCCCAAACCTCATCCAGGCTGGAAATGACTTCTTCAATCTGCCAATCGATTGTGAGGAAAAGAAGCAAAGTATCCACAATGGAATGGAACGAGGGTATGAAAGGACGCGCCGTGGCTGTCTGAGCAACCATCATCGACATGTCGCCCCTACTAACTCGGTTCTCTTGTTTTCATGTAGGTATCATGCTGCCAAGACATTCGAGTACTACGAGGTAAGAGTGTTCATTCAGAAAACTATTCTCATTACTCAATCAAATCACGCCATGGCAGATTGCCCGAGATGCGTATGTACGGGGCGAATGGACCCTGCCCGCTAGCCTGGTGTCCCACGAAAAGCGCATCACCCGTACCCTGCAATCCTTGCACGGCGCCATTCAGACGATCTTGACCGAGCTCTGCACTGCCGTGAATGTGGATATCCCCGAGCTGAGCGACGATAAATCCGTTCCTAGCGACACTGCCCTCAAGCTGGTGTACAAGCCTCCAGTGCAAGAGGCTGGTGCTGTGGTCCAGCCATGGCACACCGATTTCGGCCTCATGACGCTAATGTGGTATAACGAGGTGAGCGCACAGATACCAATCTACGATGCAGACGGCAGAAAAACAGAGCGCTGGCAGGCGGTCCCCGTTGTCGAGGGTGCTGTTCTCGTCAACATTGCAGATGAGCTGGAGGCCAAATCTGGTGGCCAGCTGCGATCGACTTTGCACCGTGCGGTGACTCCACCGGGACCTAAGAAGTTGAGGAACGGAATGGTTTATCTTCTTCGGCCATACAAGATTTAGGATCAAGTTTGCTACTCAATTGGTTGGCTGGTCAGCCTTGACTGTGCCGTGTCTAATACTGCCACAAGATCTACATAGGGTAGCTAGTTATAGTCAAGGTTAAGAAATGGCAACGCAAAACTACATTGTTTGCACATATGACGCCGATTTGCTGCGGGGTTCATGTCTGGCGACAAGTAATTGATGAAGGGAAGAGAGGTGGAGAGGCTGGGGAGAGCCAAATTAGGGCATGTTATCATTAATTACACTGCACCGATTACTAGTTGCGCTGCAACCCCCTCTCTTCAAAAAGGAACCTGAAAACTAATTCAAACCTAATAAAAAAGGAAGGTAAAAAATAATCAAAAAGATGACTAAAGAAATCTCTTTTAAAAAAAGGAAGATCTACACCTGGGCATACGTATGGGAAATTGACAAGACTCGTAATCTCATGGACCTCGTGAGAGAATATTCCATCCCGGCTTAGATCCCAACATCACAAAAGTACTATACATGTAAAGTCAATTACTTGTGGCTTGGAAGAGCACGTGGTAAGACACGGCACGACAGATGGCCAGTGCTTTTCCAGTTCAGTCTATTTCCATTCCTCTCTAGCCTGGAACCTGGAATGTGAGCGCTGGTATTAGATTTCCCGGTCCCACCGCAACGCATTGCAGGAAATGCATGAAACCAGATATACATGTGCTTATTACATACATACAAATCATACATACAGTCGCCTGTCTGTTGAATCTACTACGAGATTGGTTAAACTAGGTGAACCATCTGCTTTCCCTTCTTTACGTTGAGACAGACGCGGGCTTAAGGCCTCAATCTATTCACATCTCTCGGAAACAGCGTAGTCTCGCGCACATCATCCAGTCCCAGGAAGCTCTGCAGCAGTCTATTTACGCCCAGTCCACAACCACCGTGTGGCGGCATGCCGGCCCTGAATGCATCCAGATACGGCTGCCACTGCTTGGCCTCAGGATCCAGTGGTGGGCCACACACTCCGGCACGCATGGCTTCGCACATCTCGTGGTATGAGTGGATACGCTGACTACCAGAGCAGATTTCCCGTCCACTGACTATGATGTCCCATGTATTCGAGAACTCTGGGGCGTTGGGGTTGGCCTTTGAGTTAAACTGACGCATAGATGCAGGGTATTGATCGATGGTGAAGATGTCCGTGCTTCCACGATGAGGAGAGTCGCGGAAGTGGCGGCCGAGGTCAGCCTCCTCTTGTTCGCTGTAAGGTTATCATCAGTGACTGGAATTTGGCTGTGGGAATATGGCATAGCAATGTTGGTTATGATGCGCATTGGTGGAATGTTTCTCACGTAAAGTTCTTGCTATCATCAGATTCGAGGTTCATATCCTCCCTTAGGATGCGTTTGGCTTCTGTAAAAGTGATGCGCGGTACTTTGCCATGTTTGTTGAAGCCCACTCGTAACGGCCGGCCACAAGGATAGAGCCTTTGAACAGCCTCGATATGCTGCTTGTACTGTTTGCGTCCCTGGAGTTCCCTGAAGATAAATAACAGCATGGATTCAAGCAAGTCAACCACCTCGTGGTAGTCTTCATAGAAGGTCATGGCTATATCCAGAACGGTAAACTGCATATGATGTGCGTTAACAGCAATTCTGGAGCCGTGGAGCACCTGTCGGTGGTCTTGACTTTGAGCGGTGACCTACCTCAGTCAGATGCCTAGCAGAATCACTAGACTTGACTTCAGCTCGAAATACAGGACCGATCTCAAATACACGCTCCATGTCCATAGAAAGGGCCATCTGCTTGTGTTGCTGCGAGCTCTGGGCTAGCCATGCGTCCTGGCCAAAATATGGCAGGTGAAAGTACTCGTTATCCCCTGGGACCGTGGCAGTTATAATACGCGGGGTATGAATCCACTGGAAGTTGTTTGAGCAAAGGAATTCGACAATTAGCTGGCACATCCCTGAGTGGAGCTTGAAAATTGCCCCGGATGCGGCGTATCGCACATCAAGGATGCGATTACTGAGTCGTTCCTCAAGGCCAACGCGGGACAGCATTTCTCTTCTGTAGGATGAGGATGAAGGCAGGTCTGGAGACGCCCAGGCAATGACATCTAAGCCCGACACATAGACTATTACATGCGCAGCATTTTCACTGGCTTCGCCATTATCGCTGGCCTGTGGAGCGACGTAGCCTGTGACCCTGATGATGGACTCGGTGGTCAGCTTCTGTGCCGTGTCCCATGTCGCCTTTGGAACAGAGCTGGTACTGATAATAGCTGCCAGTGACTTGTTCTGAACTCGAAGCCCCAAGTGCATCAGTTTGAGATGCTCAAATTGGAAGACTGAATCAATCCTAGCATCAAAGCTCAGTTTCTGCCCTTTCATATCGTGAGCGAATGGGCCTGTCTCATTCATTTCTGAAAGAAGCAAAGCCTGCGAGGAAAAGAGAACAAAGAGAGAAAATTGAACGAATAAATAATTGATGATATTCTAGCGCTTACAATTCTGTCAAAACCTATTGGGTTTGTCCGTATTGCGTTCAGAGCAGGACACGATGCTTGCAGGCATTAGAAGTAGTTTTGGTACAGGAACAAGCAGAAGGGAGTCTGTCTCAACCCCGCACTTGCTTATCATTCCATTCATTACCTAGGTGGGCTGTTATGGATGGCTACGAACTACCTTTCAAACAACCCTACTGTTGGACGCGCTTGCAGCGGGGTTTTTTCAATACATCAAAATGTACAGTCATCAGAAATTACTGCACGTACTTTGCATGCACCTAGGTACCAGTACGCGTAGTGTGCACTGATGCTCTGCCAAGTGATGTGGTAAATATATTCCTCTTATTGTGCAGGCTGATACAACAGTTAACGGCCACATCCATGTTACCGTTCGACGTACCTGAGCTACTAGGACTCAGATGGGTATTACGATTACGGAGTTATCTGTAATGATACCTGCAGGTGTGGATACCCCGTATAAGATGCAGAAAATCCCCTCAACTGTCATCACCACTGGGTGGGTCCCTAGAAGGTACGGGCCATGATGATGCGGGCCGTGCTGATGTGGACCGTGCGGATGCGGGGGGAGCGCATGCGCTGTGGGGCGTTCGAGGCTCGATTATCGGAAGAAAGATCTTCTGCTGATTCGATGGTCTTGCACAATGACTGCAGAGGCAGCAGGAAGTACTTTGGTTAGATCAACTGTAAAAAGATCGACAGTCATGATGTGTCATTCTTCAGCCAGCCTCAACAGTTTATTTCTGGGAATTAGTATAGACGATCCCAAAGTGCTAAGCATACCCCGCTCATTGACGCCCTGTGCTTGTAACAGATTACGGTACGATAGCTGGTATCAATGAACTCTTACTCTATAGTCTTGTTGCTCACTATTGTATGCATGTCTTGTTGCAACCACAGATGGAACATGCAACTGTGGACTGTCTGCATGCATATACCCCACTGTTGGCAGAGTAGTATAGCATACGCTGTAGCAACAGTTACGGAGGTATTGTGCGAGTTCTAGGTTTTTGTAAAATACTTTGCCAGTAACAGCGATGGGCCATAATCTCTCATCCCGTGATAGCGTGGGTTTTATGATGCGAAGACCAGAGTAAGAGATAGTATTGAGACAGGGATTGAAAGCCTACACCAGGGTGTATAGACCACAGCTTTATACTAGGACCTGGTTTTCCTGTGATAGATATCTACCTTCCCTTATCAGTTCTACGTACTTTACAATGACTGCTATAGAAGCTCCGACTAGACGGTCCTCGAGCATGCTCATAGAGGACAATGTCGGCCTTGACGACGAGTTGCGACTCATTTCCCACCCTATTCCATCACTGGACGAGTTTTGCAACAGTTATGGGCTCGAGAAGGATTGGATACTGAGATTCACTTGGGGCCTAGTTTTGGGAATCTACAGTGGTGAAAGCAATGTTTGCTTTCGTTGCATTCGTCGCGGAGCTGTTAGTAACGAGTCAACTCTGGAAGAATGGGTACATCGAATGGAGCTTGACAGGAGTACCCCTATCATAGACCTCCTGAAGAAGCTTCATGGCAATAGGTCGTGCCAGAATGGTGGATTCTCAGAAGATGTCGTCCAGGATTCAGCCCTGGAGGGTCATGACACCGTCTTGATGCTCAATATTGGTCTTGGGAGAGCTTCTCAAGTGTTAGAGGAAAATGATATGGCCAATGTAGGTCCCATCTAAATGTTCGGCGGCGGCGCCAACAGTGAAATCACCCACATTACTTACATTCGGACAGATCAAAATGATTTTGGAGGTCGATGGGCTGGTCATGAGCCTGGGCTACTGGGCAACAAAAGTCGGTAGCCTCCAGGCAAGGAGCATGGTAGCCGCTGTAAGCAGAGTCATTAATGCTCTGTTAGAGCAACCATTGATTGCCATAGGGAATCTCGACCTGTGTGATGAAGATGACATTGATATTCTTCAGAAGTGGAACAATTTTGAAAATACACTGCAAGAAGAGTGTGTTCATGACCTGATGTCCAAGCAGGCTGTGGAGAATCCCAACAGTGTGGCCGTTGATGCCTGGGATGGCCAGTTTACTTACCATGACTTGGACCGTCTCTCGTCAAATCTGGCAGTCCATTTACAGGGAATGGGTATCATTCCTGAGACCTATGTGGCTTTATGCTTTGAAAAATCAAAGTGGCTTGTTGTTTCCCTACTTGCTGTTATCAAGGCTGGAGCGGCATATGTTGTGATTGAGCCATATTATCCCCTTAAGCGCATGACAGAGATCTGCATCCAACTTCAAATTAATGTTCTTCTGGCCAGCCCAGATTTACTCCATACGGCAAGCAAGCTATCTGATCGGGTCTTGGTCGTCAAAGAGGGTTCCGAATACTTACATGACGACCGCAACGGTGAGGAGCAAAAAGCAGAGATGTCCACTAGCAACCCCCATAATGCACTCTACGTTGTGTTTTCCTCCGGATCTACCGGCAATCCAAAGGGAATTGTAGTAGAACATTCTGCATTCGTTAGCTGGGGTATGATGCTAAGACAAGCAATTTTCTTGGATAGCCAATCTCGGGTGCTTCAATTTTCGAGTTTTGCCTTTCTTATAGCTCATCGCGATGTGCTGCTCACCCTCATGCTTGGAGGCTGTGTCTGCATGCCGTCTGAGTCACAGCGCCTCAACCATCTCGAGACATTCATGACCGAATACCAGGTCAACTGGGCCAACCTCACACCTTCAGTGGCTGCGTTACTCGACCCGGAAATGACACCTACCCTCGAGACCTTGCTTCTCACCAGTGAACCGATGTCTCTTTCTAGCCTTACTACGTGGGAAGGCCGAGTAAACCTCATGTTTGCGTATGGTCAGGGGGAGAGTGTCAGTCTCTGCTGTGTGAGGCACAACCCAACAGTCGGTTCTGACCGTAAGAATGTTGGTCATAGGATCGGCAGATCAGTCTGGCTCGTTGATCCCGATGACCATGATAAGCTGGTCCCCGTGGGGGCTGTTGGAGAGTTAGTCATTGAAGGGCCTGTACTGGCTCGTGGATATCTTGATGCTGAGAGAACGGCACTCGCGTTTCTAAGTAATGCGGCGTGGGTACGAAGGCTCAAGCCAGGCCAGAGAGGGCGGCTCTACAAGACGGGAGATTTGGCACAGTTTACCGATGATGGATCAGTCCGATATCTCAGTCGAAAGGATAACTCGACCAAGCTCTACGGACAGCGACTGGACATGGATGAGGTGGTACGCCATATTCAGGGCTGTCTAGCAGGACTGTCCGACACGACAGTTCGCGATGTGGTGGTAGACCTATGCCACCCACCCAACTCCAATGACATCAAACTAGTGGCCTTTCTTGGATTCAGCCGCACCTCGCCGAATACAAGCGGTAATGTTCTCTTGGGTCCATTGGACCGAGCCTCCGCCTACCTCCAGCAAATAAAGTCCCGCTTGGCTGGCCTCGTTCCTCGTTACATGGTTCCAGCTCTTGTCGTCACGGTCTCCCGCATACCACTCAACCTGTCCGGTAAAACCGATCGCCGACGGCTGCGCGAGCTTCTTTCTCGTATGACGCCTTCTGAGTTGAATTTATCCATGGGATCCAATGTCAGCCATGAAGCCCCATGTACCGACCAGGAGCGGAGCCTGTGTTCACTTTGGTCACAGACCTTGAAGGTTGCTGAATCGAGCATCGGAAGACATGACGACTTTTTCCAGCGGGGAGGTAACTCTCTGGCAGTGATGAAGCTAGTCTCAGCCGCACATGCGGCTGGTCTTTCTTTGACATTCGGTGATGTTTTTGCAAACCCATTGTTACTCGATCAAGCAAACCTGATGGTCTCGGGGCAGGATCAGGAACAGCGAAATTACAATTGTGCTCCGTTTGAATTGATCACAAAAAGTCGGAAGCATGCTGTTCTTGTAGTGGCAGCCAGGGAATGCGCATTATCAGAGTCACAGATTGAGGACATTTACCCAGCGACACCAATTCAGGAGGGCCTCATCGCACTTAACGCTCTACGGCCGGGTTCATATGTGTCGCAGCGAGTCTACAAAATTGAAAGCGACGGCTTTAGTGTGTCCAGGTTCAAAGCAGCTTGGAATGCCACTTTGGATGCGAATCCATCCCTGCGAACCCGTTTCATACGGTGCTCTGATGACGGCTCAACTTATCAGGTCGTTGTTCGTACCGACTTTAAGCTTGACTCTGACAATGACTTGGAAAATCATCTGGCACAGGACAGGGCCAGTCCAATGAATCTAGGATCACCACTGGTACGGCTGTGCCTCATTGCCAGCCCCAGAGGAGAGGCAAACCTTTGTGTTGTCACGATGCATCACTGCATATACGATGCCTGGTCCATGTCCGTGCTGTTGGAACAAGTTCATGCCGTGTATCATGGAAACGTTTTGGCCCCACAGCCCTTCAGCGGGTTCGTCAAATATGTTCAACAATCGAACGAGAATGCATCAGAATATTGGAGAACCGAGATGGCTGATGTGCAGGCCGAACAATTTCCAGCCTTGCCTTCTACAACACATTACCTGAGCACCACAGAATCTGAGACCTTGGATATTCCCCTGCCTCCAAGCAACGCAACAGCAAATATTACACTCTCTACTCGTCTCCAGCTAGCATGGGCAGTCACTTTGGCCAACTACACCCGCCTCGACGATGTGGTATTCGGGTTGACGGTTTCCGGAAGAGGATCCCCAGTGCCAGGGATTGACAAGATGGCTGGGCCTACAATCGCAACATTTCCTTTGCGGGTTCAGTTGAGGTCAGACTCATCAATCAACGAGGAGCTTCAGGCGTTGCAGAGCCGTGTAATTTCAACAATGCCATTTGGTCATTTCGGCATGCAGAATCTCAGTCGGGTTGGGGACGACGCTGCCAGAGCATGCAGGTTTCAGAGTCTTCTGGTTATCCAGCAGAGCCAGTCCACATCCGAAAGGTCTGGGATCCTCCGCAGCATTGAGGGTCTTGGGATTGCTGCACAGGCAACCTGGGATACATATGCATTAACAGTCCTGTGTACTCCTGCTGACGATGACATGATTCATCTGGAGGCTGTTTACGACGCAGCTGTAGTACCCAAGCCTCAGGTACAACGGACACTACAGGTCTTTGCCCATGTCCTGAGCCAGATAGCCTTGTTCCCAGACAGAAAAGTGGGTGGTATCAATGCTATAAGCGCTGAAGACTTGCATCAGCTCCAAATTTGGAACAGCTCGGTGTCTCCGGCAGTGCCAAGGTTTGTCCACGACATGATCCACGACCATTGTATTTCTCAACCAGACGCAATCGCAGTTGATGCATGGGATGGCCAGCTTACTTACGGGCAACTAGATGAGTGGTCTTCACTAGTTTCGGTGATTCTAAGAGAGAAAGGACTACGCCCAGAAATGTTTGTCCCCCTTTGCTTTGAAAAGTCGAAATGGGTTGCCGTTGCCATCCTAGCAGTCGCCAAAGGCGGCGGCGCGTTCATTCTTCTGGATCTCTCCCATCCACCCCAGCGACTTGCATGGATATGTAAGAATGCGCAAGCAACAATGATTCTGTGCTCCAAGGACTTTTCTGCCTTAGCAGCCCAGATATGTGACCAACATGTGGTCCAGGTGGATGAAGGAATCACCGGAGAGACCCAATCCGTTTCACCGACAGCCTCCACACTCTATCAAACAGGTCAGATACTTCCCAGCAATGCCATTTGCGCCATATATACCTCCGGATCGTCGGGAACCCCCAAGGGAGCCGTCATGGAGCACTCGGCCTTCGCCACTCAAATTACCGCCCTTGGGCCGCGATATCATCTAAATCGACAATCCCGTGTCTTCCAGTTTGCTTCCCACGCGTTTGATGTGGCCGTTTCGGATTACTTGTTCACTCTGGCCCTTGGCGGCTGTCTGTGTGTCCCCAAGGAAGCTGAAAGCCGGGACAGCCTAGCTGGTGCCATGAGAGACCTTAAGGCAAATTGGACCTTTCTGACACCATCTGTAGCTCGGACTCTGGATCCCCGTGCTGTGCCAGAGTTGAAGCTCTTGTTAATTGGTGGCGAGTCCGCCAAGCCAGTAGATTTCACCATCTGGTCAGGCGCGGCGAGACTTATCTACGTGTACGGTCCTGCTGAATGCACCATCTACACCACTCTACAGACCAACACCCTGCCTAATGCAAATCCCACAAATATTGGATCCGGAGTGGCAGCCGCATGCTGGCTGGTAGATCCCAACGATCCAGAGAAGCTCGTTCCCATTGGGGCGGTTGGGGAGTTATTGATCGAGGGCCCGATTGTTGGTCGTTGCTATCTGGGAGATGAAGAGCTCAGCAACTCGTCATTCATTTCTCCTCCATCGTGGCTACGTGCTCTGCGGCCAGGTAAACACGGCAAGAGGCTCTATAAAAGCGGAGACATGTTGCGATATAGCCCGGTAGGAAACGGGTCGCTCGAATTTGTCGGCCGAAGAGATAAGCAAGTCAAGCTTCGCGGACAGAGAATGGAGCTTGCAGAGATCGAGCACCAGGTTACGCAGTCCTTTCCTATGGCAACTGATACTGTCGTGGAGCTGGTTATACCCTCAGGCTTGGACACCCAGAAGTTGCTTGTTGCGTTCATCTGGGACGGCGCCAATAGTACAGAACAACGCTCAAGTCCAAACACAGGCACGCTGCCTGAAACAAACCTCTTTGTCTCTCCAGATAGATCTTTCGAGCTCCGATCTTCGAGCGCAGAACTGGCCTTACGGAAAAGTTTGCCTCCTTTCATGGTCCCTTCATTATTCATTCCACTAAAGAAATTTCCACTTGGGCCTACCGGAAAGGTCAATAGGCGTCTTATGAAGGAACAAGCTTGTCTGCTCTCCCGAAAGGAGCTCAGTGTCTACCAGAGCTTTCAGACATCCGAAAAGATACCTCCATCTAATGAGTCAGAAATTTGGATGCGCCAAGTCGTTTCTGAGGTGCTTGGTTTATGCTCCAATGAAGTGGGGATGAATGACAACTTTTTCCACCTCGGCGGCGATTCCATCAGTTCTATGGTTATTTCTGCGCGCGCGACTGAGAATGGTCTGAGACTGACAGCTGCACATATCCTGGCACATCCACGCCTTCGCGATATGGCCAGTGTAGCCATGTGTGATAACATTGACGATAGCTCCTCCTTTGAAGAACACCCACCACCACTACCTTTCTCGCTGCTCCAAACGAGCCATCACCACGAGGAGTTAATGCGGGAAGTGACGCAGCAATGCAACACGGACAGGAGTAATGTTGAAGACATATATCCGTGCACACCACTGCAAGAAGGACTATTCGCTCTCACAATAAAGCAGCCTGGAGCGTACGTCTTCAAATTCACGCTCAAACTCGCTCAACAAATTGATGTGGATCGTTTTCACAACGCATGGAACACTGTAGTGGAGGCAAACACCATTCTCCGCACGAGAATCGTATGTGCCACCAGCATGGGAGGCAGTCTGGTGCAGGCCGTCATGCGCAAGACTAGCTACCGAAGTACACCTCTCGCAGCTGGCCAGTGCCCCGTTGGCCTAGGCGAGCCCTTGTTCTGCATTCAAATTTTGGCACCAGATGAGGAAGCAAATAGATACCGCGCAGTCGTGACTATTCATCACGCTCTTTATGATGGTGTGTCGCTGGGGATGATTATGACACAACTATCAGCGGCCTATTGCAATGGTGACAGTCCAGTCTCACAGCCATATAGTTGCTTCATCCGACATTGCCTCTCATTACCGGCAGAAGATGAGATCAAAAATTTCTGGGATGCCGAGTTGGGAAACGCCACTTGTCCTTCATTCAAGGCAGCTTCCATTGATTCCTACTTGTTGCAAACTCCTAAATACACGGAACGTCGGATTGCTATTCCATCCGATGCACATCTCAAGTCCCCCTTGTCAGCAGCTCTCAAACTTGCATGGGGAATAGTCCTGTCGAGATTCACTGGAGAAGGTGACGTTGTATTCGGCACAGTAGTCAGCGGCCGGATGGCGAATTTGAGAGGCATTGAGAAGATCTGTGGGCCGACAATTGCGACTCTCCCGTTTCGCATCCGTCACGTTCCCTCAATGATTATCCAGGAGGCTCTGGATGAAGTGCAAACACGCAGCCTAGGAATGATTCCCTTTGAACAGACTGGGCTACAGCGAATCCGTCAATTCGGGTATGCGGATGCGTGTCGATTTCAGAGCCTCTTGATAATACAATTCTCAGAGGACGAGGATGTTCCTGATAGCCCCTTGTACAAATTCATTCAAGGAGAGCCAACTAGGACCTTTCACACCTATCCTCTGACAATAACTTGCATTCCCTCAGCTGAGTCGGTCCATGTTCGCGCGACGTTCGATTCGGAGGTGATCACTATGGTCTTGGTGGATCGACTGCTGGACCAATACTCTCGCGTTCTCATGCACATTCATACCGTGGCGTGGGAACCCGTGTCTTCCATCCCTTCACAGAGCATAGATGATGGGAGACGGATGTGGGCCTGGAACGAGACTGTCCCTCGCAGGGAAGATACGTGTGTACATGAAATCATTACAAGCAACACTGGCAATCAACGAGGTGCTTCTGCAGTCTGTGCGTGGGATGGTGATTTGACGTATGAAGAGTTAGAGGATATGTCTACCAGACTCGCAGCGCACTTAAGGAACTCCGGAGTAGGCGTTGAGACAATGGTTCCGCTTTGCTTCGAGAAATCACGATGGGCGGTGGTGGCCACATTAGCCGTGCTCAAGGCTGGTGGTTCATTTGTTCCTCTGGATGCGTCTCAGGCCACAAGTCGAAGAGACACGATCCTGGCTTGTATAGAAGCAAAGGTGATAGTTACATCAGCGCAATATGCTTCAACGCTTGCTGCTGCTGATCGTATTATAATACCCGTGGATGATGCAAGTATCAGGGCTTTACCCATGGTAGCCCCCTCTCCAACGTCTGGTGGGCAGGCCTCGTCTCCAGCCTACGTATTCTTCACGTCTGGAAGCACCGGACAGCCAAAGGGGGTCGTTGTAGACCATGGCGCCCTCAGCACCAGTTGCCTCTCCCATGGGTCGAAGATGGGGTTCAACGAACAGACAAGAATGCTTCAATTTACAGCATACACCTTTGACATAAGCCTTATGGAGATATTCACGACACTCATATACGGGGGTTGTATTTGTGTACCCTCCGATGCTGACAGATTCACTGATCTGGAGCTGAGCGCTGACACGATGAAGGTCAATGCCGTCTCTCTGACTGCGTCCGTGGCAAGACTTCTTGAACCACGCCGCATCCCTTCTGTGCAAAAAATTATCTTTGTAGGGGAAAACGCAACTGACGATGATTTCAAAAGGTGGGCACACCTTCCTGAGATATTCGACGCATATGGTCCCACCGAATGCACCATCTTCTGCTCGATCAACAAGGTCCAGGTCAGCCATGGTGGTGGCTCTCATATCGGCAAGGCTGTCGGCTCAGTATCTTGGGTCGTGTCTCCGGATGATCATAACCAGCTGGCGCCGATTGGAGCCGTCGGAGAACTACTTGTGGAGGGGCCAATCCTAGCTCGAGGCTATCTAGGCGATGTGGAAAAAACATCAGCGGTCTTCATTGAGGATCCCCCTTGGTTAGTACAGGGCATTGCTGGTCACTCTGGCAGACGAGGTCGACTTTACAAGACTGGTGATTTAGTGCGGTATAACGAGGACGGTAGCTTGATCTACTACGGGCGAAAAGACACTCAGACTAAGATCCGTGGCCACCGTGTGGAATTAGGCGAAGTGGAATGTCACGTATGCGACTGCGTGGCCGGGGTGAGCCAGGCAGTAGTGGTGGCTACTACTCCGGACGAAGGGGGTGCTGGATCTGTGTTGGCGGCTTTCCTGTGCTTTGCTGATGCGAAACATTCATCGGAACTTGAAGACGATGTCCGTGCCGTTACAATCCCATGGTCGACAAAGGACACTCTGGCAGATCGCTTGCCACCGTACATGATGCCCAGCATATATCTTGCCATTGGGCAGTTGCCACTCAATACCTCTGGCAAGATGGATCGTCGTCGCCTTCAGCATATCGCCACAAATCATTTCCAAAGCCGGCTGGCCAATGGAGGCATAAACCAGACCGAGCAGCAGCAGAATGGCCTCAGATATCCTCCATCATCTCTACCCTCAACATTCCGTGACTCCTCGAATGAGACGGAAAAACGGCTAAGAGAAGCTTGGGCGACGGTTCTTGGAGTCCAGAGTGAGACCATCAGTGTCGATGACAACTTTTATGATATTGGCGGGGACTCTATTCGAGTCATCAGCCTTATGAGGCTCATCCAGAATGAATTTGGTGTTCATTTGGCCTCTTCACTGATCAACAGCCGCAATACAACAATTGCCAAGATATCCCAGTTCATTGATACGAAGTCAGAGGCCGCTCCGACATTGGATTTGGAGGGAGAGATAGAGGCCTCATTGTCCTCCACCTGGACAGACGTAGTTTCTCAGCCATGGTTCAACCCATCCAAGCTAGTTGATGCACCGGTCAATTTATTTCTCACTGGCGGAACGGGGTTTCTTGGTACTCAGATTCTGCGTTGTCTCCTATCGTCCAATAAAGTTGAGCGAATTGCTACTCTTGTCCGTGCCGCCTCGCCTGGTCAAGGTTTAGAAAGGTTGAAACAGACCGCAGCCGTCGCAGGGTGGTGGAGAACTGAGTACGAAAAACGCATCGAGGTGTGGACAGGAGATCTCGGCCTTCCCAAACTAGGGCTGAGTGACCCCCAGTGGCAGCGGTTGTCAGGGATGGCAGCAGTCGACAACATCGAGGCAATCATTCACAATGGCGCTGTTGTAAATTGGAATATGGACTACGATAGCCTCCGGGCACCCAATGTGCTGTCTACTATCGATCTTCTCAAGACTGCAGCTATGTCCCGTTCTTCGCGACGATTTGTCTTTGTGTCTGGAGGTGCCATAGCCGAATTGGATGTTAGCCGGGGCAATACTGCCGCTTTTGACCAGATAAGCAGAAGCAATGGGTACATTCAAAGTAAATTTGTTGCAGAGACTATTGTCCGTCGCTTTGTCTCTCAGCTGCCACTTTCTCAGAATCGGTTTTCGGTCATCAAACCGGGCATGGTAATCGGAACTACCGAGGAAGGGGTTGCGAACCTCGACGACTTCATCTGGAGGGTTGTTGCCGCTGCTTCGCGGCTACAGTTGTATCCCTTAGAGACCGAAGAAAGCTGGGTGCCAATCACAGACGCAGGGTTTATTGCAACACAGACTATTGCTCAGGTCCTTTCGAACGATATCGACATTTCGTCATATGTCAATATCGCCAGCAAGTTTGGCCTACGCGCTTCCGACTTTTGGGAGCAGGTAAATTCTGAGCTGCGGCATACATGCGAGCCAGTCCAGTGGTCTCTCTGGGTCGAGCGAGCCCTGAACGATACAAATGAAGTTGGCGAAAGCCATCCGCTTTGGCCGGTGCAGCAGTTTGTGAAGGGGAGAAAACACGGCATTTCGATACCATCACCGCTCTCACCCCCAAATAGAACGGCTCTTTGCGACGCTGTCAAAGCTAATGTGCGCTATCTAGCGCAAGTTGGATATCTCGAATGCCGAAAAGGCAATCATTCGGACCCACAGCCTGGAATTTTTAATCGGTCTACAGCTGTCCCAGCGTTGAGCGTCCAATCAAAATTTCCTACTCATAGTACGTAGAAGATTTAGTATTCCTAGACTTATTCAGCTTATTATGTGTTTTTGTAAATTTGATATTATCTCCTGTAAGTGGTTCCTGTTTAGTATTTTAGGTATACTTCAACTTATTTAATTTTCCCTCGCTCTCTATCCCTATGTGCGTGTGTGCGTGTATTGGTCTCGCGAATCTGTCAAAATCATTCAAGTTGACAAGTTGGCAAGCTTCTTTCAGGTCATGAGTAACCCACCAGAATATTTAAATTCCTGATTATTGATTCTAGAGTCAAAAACATAATTCAATAAAGATGATTTGGGTTGCTGCCTGGGTAACATCGGTGGTAGAGGCAGTTGTTGTGTTGAGAGACCTGCGCAAATTACCTAGTGATATCCTTGATGGTGCAATGATATCTGTCTATATCGAATGCAAGAATTGATTTCCACTCCCTATCGATCATCGGATGTGCACAGCCTACAAGGATTCCCTTACTTATCTGAGTCGTTTTGGAAATGCTTCTCCCAGTTGAGAGAATTATCTTAGTCAGAGGATATCATGAATAGACGACTACAAGACACCCATATGTCTTAACTCAAACTTTAGTACATGTCAATAATTGGAGAGACAATTTTCCTATTCAAATGAGCGCTCAACACAAATTGAAGTCAAACATCTTCATTTTGCAACAAGTACCACTTGATCGTCTTCATAGTTGGTGTACTTCATGTGGATTTTGGATCAAAGATGCTTTGATTGAGACATTCATGTAACATGAGGTGAGCTGACCCCATGTATTTAAATTTACGCAATCGCGGTTTTGACACAGTGACAATCTATTAATATCTTTCATAAGGGGAAATTTTCAACCATTTGTACGTAGTTGATGAACAAAACAAAGTTTATCTGAATAGATCCATGTCTCATCATCTCACTCGAATCTCATATTGGGTATTCTTTGTGACGAGAACTTGAAGTGAAGTGACGACCCCAGGAACCAGAAGCCCCTTGCTAGTCCAGCCACATTATACCGCGCTAGTTGGCTCTGTCTTGTTCTCTTTTTCCAGCTCTTCCAGCCGACTCGCCTCTTGCACGTCGAGACCCGTCTTGTTGATATTGTGTTCCCTTGAGAGGAGCTGTTTACTGATACCCAAGCTCATCAGAAGCGCTGCCCCACCAAGCGCGGTGTAGAAAATCCATTCGCTCCGAAGGGCAGTGTTGTATCGATCCCTAACCACGTTCCGGGCTGTATCTGGCAAGTACCGAATCTGATCAGACGCTGTGGTCGCACCGCCATTTGTGATCAGCTCGGCCAGCGCATGCAAAACAAAGCTCTCAATGTCACTCTTATAATCGCGGATCCGATTCTGGAAAATCACACCCCCGAAGACAATTGACATGGCGGTTGCCCTCAGAGTACAACCAATGGGTCAGCCAAGACGACTTGAACGCAGACAAACTTATCAAAAACTTCCGAAAAAACAAAAAACAATAAACCGATTGGAACCTGAATTCCGGTCGAGACGCCCTCATCAGAGGGGGGATGGCGATAATGAATCAGATCGAATTGGTATATTTTGTGGCCATGTTCAAAATCGCCATCTCAACATTTACTGGAGGAACCGGAGCTCCAGCAGGCAGAACAAATTCTTGAGAAATATCATAGAAAAAGGCCTTAATCGCAGTATTCCATGAAAGGAACCCCGTCTCCCCGTGACCGATTCGACACAGAGTATCAGGAAACACAATAGGAGGAACCTTTATAGACAGTTGTCTACGAGCCTTATCCTCCTAAGACGCGAAGTAATTTCGCAAGTTCTTGGGGTCAAAAGCCTTTTGGAGATCAAGCGCATGATCACTACAATGACTCTCAACCAAAGACCGAAACGCTACCGAAAGGGCACCGGTTGCCAATCGAGCCGCCGCTGTCCCTGCTGTAGTCCAAGGGAATATCTGAGGAACCACTCCAGGCGTCCCAAATTTACCAGACAAACCAGTACTTGGCAACGCCACCGCTGAATCAGCGTTCTTAGCCCAGTCCAAAAGCTCGTGAAACACCCCACTTCTTCAGAATCCAGGATGCGACCATCTTGAAAACTCCTTCCTAAAACAAATCATAGGCAATTCGGCCGCGATTCGTACACGAACCGAAATGCGAGGACGAACCAATCCTTGCCTCACGGGAAAACAAAGAACTCAAAGGAACCTAGCCGACCAAGTCGTTCGGCGTTGGGAAGGGGAATAGTTGTCACGGAGTTGATAATCTGTCAGAAAATTGGGCGGAAGGAAATGTTAACGATTGATTGATTGGCTAATTACGTGGGAAATCCACAGAAACTAAATAGTCCAAATAACATGCAAACAAAGCAAACAGTAACCGTCTGACACACCCCCTCAACTTTGGATGTAAGCATCGAAGTTGCCTAGATACACGCGAAAAATACACTAATATCATGATAAAATTGCACAAAAACGAGGCTTTGTTGAATGCCTTTGAACATGTGTTGAAACTGACGCTGTTGGAGCTCAGTTTTGTTATAGAAACCATATTCCATAGATTCCTACATGATTGGTCTTTGTAGACCGACGCGGAAAATTTTGATCAAGGGGTTTTACTCGATCAATTCTTCCACATCTTCCATATTGAGTAGCTTTACCCAAGATTCGAACCGTTGTCTGGGTAAGATCTTGGTAAAAACATCAGCTACTATCCGGGCGGTTAGGACCTAATCCACCTTAATGGTACCGGATTACACCTCCTGTCGAAGCCAATGTCGATGAATGTCGATATGCCTAAGCTTGGTTTCGAATCCATCTTCCGAGGTGAGTAGGGAAATGGTGCGTTGGTTATCGTAATTAAGGGTGACTTGGTTAAAAGGCATCTCTAATCCGATATGGTTCAGGATCCTTCTCCACTAAATCAGGGTCTTTCCTGCGTCGGACAACTATAGAAGCTCTGCTTCTATAGTTGATGTAACAGTTTTCTGTTTTAACGCTTTCTAGTCTATTGGTCCACTATATAGGGAGCAGACGAATCTAGCAGAGCTTTTCCGATCAGGATGATCGCTGTACGATGCATCGCTTGAGATCTTGTGAAGGGATCGTGCCTGCGTCCACGTCCATCCCACTGAGCCAAAAGACTATAATGATTTCGCTCTCAAGAAATCATACGCAGGTTCTACTTATATAGTGCCACTCTTGATCCTACACTAAACATCATTTGTCAAGGTATTCTTTTAACCTATGACAGATCTGAAGAGCTAGATCATCTATTTCTAGTTTTAGGGCGCTATAACAGAGTGCCTGATACCGCGTTTGGTATAAGTAGATAATGACTATAACAGGTTGAATCCTGGTGAACTATCACGGGTTGTACCATGTGACCCACCAACCGCATACCTCACGATTCCACCCCGAATTGTTTACGTTCTTCAAGGATTTTGTAAACAGCATGTGCCTAGCTAGTTCTGAATCTAAGATTAGCTTTAGCCCTTCACATACAAAATCCTTCCTCTAACGAGAGTAAAACCCACGACAGACGATAAGAAAAGCGCTCTTAGAAAGTATTTGATTGAGCTATATACAATAGACGAACGAATCGCTCTCGGAAAGAATCCGATCGAGCATACCGACGAATACGAAAACGCTCCTAGAATTATCTAGTTAAAGCTACCCACGAATGAATTGAACACGGAAAGCATCCGATTTAAATACCAGAAGAAACGAATATCCTTATCATGACTATAAGCGAACCATCGAGCCTACCTGATTAGGCCAGGACGTTGATGTAATATATTAGTTAGATAAATATTAGTACCGATGAAGGAATTAGAAGACTTGAGGAACTGGTGGTTTAGTCTAGACATGTTCATTGGGTTGGGTAAACCCATACCCAACCCATGCACATGTCTAATCATAGCAACATGACCGCGGAACTCAACTAGCAAGGTGCAACCTGTTTGCTGATTTGGGACGGCGGAGAGATGAGCACCTATTGCGCTAGGTGGGTACGCAAGCGAGGTACCAAGCTGAATAGTGATGCGGTCAACTGCATCGGTATTATCCGATGTCCAAATCTGAGGGAAGTATTGTAGGACGCCAGAGTCGAAACGGCCACCGCCAGAACCATGGCCTTCTTAGAGAACATCCGGTGACCGAGTAGTTAATATACTAAACTCTCGATACCTCCTAAGCATGTACTCATGGTCTATGGATGAAGAAGGCATTTCGTGGATTCCTCTATTGTTATCCTACTTGACATAACTGATATCGGAGCTGTTCAGAATATTAGAGACAGAGTTGATGATGAAATCTTGGACCTTAGGTAAAGCAATATTCAAAAAAAATTGGTTGTGAGCTTCTTTGCGAGGGTAAGGTCCGGCATGCAACGCCACTCTGGGTGCTTATGATACAGAGTCGATTTCGGGTTCACCATTTCGAGTTCGAACCATAGTCCAAAGCACAGATTGGTGGAGGTATTAGCAGCTTTAAGAGTTGTGATTTTATCCACGGTAGGAGTCAAGCCATCAGGAAAACGTTTGGGATTCGGAACCCAGTCGCCCAGCCCGGCCTCGTCAGAGGTACGAGGGTACTTATCACCGAACCAGCCATCATCCAAAACGAAAAGCTTGATGCCAAGTGCGGCCGAATCCTTGGCCAATCGATAGATAGTAGACTCATTGAATGTATCACCCAGCCCTTCCCAACTATTCAAGAAAGCAGGCCGGTCCTTTGTTGCAAACTTGTTCTTGATGACGTTCTTCTGATAGAGGTTGTGAAGCGAGCGAGACATCCTGCCAACTCCATTATCCGAATAAACAGCGACGCACTCAGTGGAGATAAGAGACTCGCTAGGGCCCAATAACCAGGATGGCTGACTGGGATTGACTCCAATGAGAGCACGTGTAAAGCCCTGAGAACCTTTCTCAACATCGATAGCGAAGGATCCCGAATAGACCAGTGAGAAACCCTAGGTGTCACCAGTGGATTCTGTACTGGCGGGGTCCATAATAGCAAGGAATGGATTATGAAGGTGAGAAGCATAGCCAGTAGTGCTCCCAAAGCTGTCGCCATTATTACACCCCGTCAGTATGTTTTCAAAAACCTCATAACTGGAGAGATAACTTACCCCTAGGTGCCATATTCGACCTTTCTTCGCTCACGCTGTGTTTCCCTTGCCCAGTCTCCCCGAAGGCTGATCATGTCCATGTCCTCATATGGGAAGTCCACACTCATATTGACTAGCGATTCGACCGTTATATTACCCTTGCTATGGTTAGTGATGTTTACACTACGCATAATTATGTTGTGCTTAGGAAAGACCGAATACGATAGATCCGCCGCAACGGAGCTATGGTTATCATAAAGATGCACAATCAAGATTGAGACCTTATCTTCTGTACCGAAAGTTGCTGGCAAGCCCGGCAGAAGTCATCCAAAGGTCCGGATCCCCACCTAACCATGCGTAAGTCAGGAGTTTTCAGAAGCATTAATTCACGCAGGTATTATTCTGCTCTTCTATAGCCTTGCTCGCATCCTATGTCCAAGAGAATAGATTGATTATGGAATATTTGAAATTTCTCTTTCGGTCATAGAAAATGGTCTTTGTGAGGATATCGACTACATTAGTGGCAGCACTGATGCTGCAGGCCCAATATGCTAGTGCTTAGGGAAATACAGATACGCTCTACATCAACACATCTGATAGTCTGGCTGGTATCTCAGCCTCTAAAGCATGTGTCGATGCCATGGCCACCAACGTGTCCTGCTATACGGGCTTAAGTCAGGTAGTCATCAACACGATGGCATGGTCAGCCAGTACACTTTCCGATATTTGTACTACTGATTTCTCCTCCTTCCTGTCCAGCTATGTCTCCTCTATGAACAAAGCTTGCGGTGCAAGCACCAAGTACAACATCTCTGGCACCTCACAAACTGCGGCTGATAGAGGAAGAGAAATTTAATGGCATTGCAACGCCACCTGCTTAACTGATACCTCCTCTGGCACCTATTACAATAATCTCTTTCAGAATGCTATTTCCAACGGTACTAAGAGCATTCATTGCAGCTCGTGCTATTTGAACTACATGTTAACGATAATGAACTCTGAATGGGGTCAGGATACTTTGCTCAGTCCTTCTGCTCTGGAACGCCAAGTATCATCTTGCTCAACCAGCGGATATTCCATGACTTATACGTCAACCTCCACTGTCTCTTCAACATCCTCGGCCTCGACCACTGTTGTCGCCAGTCACTGCAACACAACTGACCCTGATCAAACTGTCTATAAGGTTGAGTCCGGGGATACCTGTGTTGCAATCTCAGCAGCTCAAAATGTCTCCACCCCGGTCTTGATCAACCTGAACAGTCTTGATATGGGATGCACCCACATAGTAGTTGGGTCGGAAATCTGTCTTCCCGACGTCTGTGAAGTCTATCGTGTTCAGAATACGGATACCATCGACAGCATTTTTGCTAGGCTCTCTCGTCAAGTCTCCGTGCCTCAATTCGTTGCATGGAATACTAATCTTAACTCAGTGCAAATCTCTAAGAATCTGATTTCCATTGCTGGGAAGTATATCTGCGTCAGCCCTCCAGGTACTCTGACACTTCCCGATACCCTGGCTCTAAGGCCCGCGTCCACTGCTGTGTATGTTTTCCATGCGTATATCCTTGCGAAGTGAAAAGATCAATCAAATGTGCAGCTCTGTTCCTACTAACGCAGTCGCTAGCTCCAGCAAAGACTGTGGCCACTGGTACCAAATTCAGTCTGGCGATACTTGCCAGTCTGTGTGACAAGTTCAGCATCTCGATGAACGATTTCGATTTCTTGAATCTCCAGGCGGCACTAAATACGACTTCCACTTGTGGGAATTTGTGGAAAGGAAACAGCTATGTACGTTTCATTCCAATATCACACGCTGTTTTTCCCAGACTAACCTGTCCAACCACAGTGCGTACAAGCAGTGGGTAACATCAACACCTACACAGGCTACACGTCCAACTCCAGCCAAATTCGCACCACTCTTGCCAGCACCATCAATCCCAATTTTACCCGTACAGCTAATCATAGCACCACACACTTATCCTGGTCATTCCCCGCGGATCTGACCACAACCTCGACCTGGACCCCCGACTCCGCATTACTCGCATCCCTTGCTTCCTACACGCTCTGCGACCAGGTCAACACGGTCTACAATATCACCGATGGTGAACTATCAAACGAGATGTCCAACGATGAACAATGGCTGAGTTTATACGATCGCGTTTGCGGCCTACTTCTCAACGGCACTTGGCCGACTCGTGGCTTCAACTTCAGCATCACGCTAACCGATGACTCCAGCGTGGGAAGCTCAACGATGTTTATCTCTCACACAGCTAGCCCTCACGCCTCTTCTCAGATCATTACTGCGACTGCGAGTTCTACTTCCTCGGCTGCAAGCTCGACGAGTACTATCTCGCCGAATGGTCTCTTGGCTCGTCTAATAAGGATTGGACTTGTTTGGGGTCTGAGTTTAGTGATTGTTGTAGTCACTATGGCTATTGTGGGAGCTCGACGGAGCATTGTTCTAGCACCAACTGCAATACTAAGTATGGCTCGTGTTCGTAAATGCTTATGGTTAAACGAACACCCTCGTGAATCTCGCCCAGTCCCAAGGTGGCTCCGCAGAAGCTTGGATGATGGGATAGGCTGCAGTACATTCAAGTGCTTAGGTAGAACTTTTTTAGACTTTCGGCGTATTGATCAATCGATTAGAGAATCTGGAGGTATTGTATTTAATTGAGTATTCAATTGTGTATTCAATTGATCATTTAAATAGGGGTTTCCTGTGTTAAATAGGTTGATTTGGACCTGGGGAATTTGTGCTATCTGTGCTGCCTGGGGAATTTGTGTCTAGAGCTCGGCACGAATAATATTCGCACTTATTTCAGGTTATTTGTATTCGCAGTTGCTACCACTAGCTATTATTCGTATTCGCACTCGCAGTTGATGCGATTATTCGCGAATATTCGCAATTTTCTGCCACCGCCTAGTTATACTTGTACTGTCCCTCAGCCTTCTTCTATTTTTATGGTGAAATGCCCACAAAGGTGAATATCCAAGGATGGCAGCAGCTGCAAGAGACTATCTAGCTATTCCAGCAGCAGAGGTATTAGTAGAGAGACTATTTAGTAGTGTCATGGACCTACTTGGTGTTCGTCGACACTATGACAGGCGAGACTACGCGAAAGAATGTGCTACTTCGCAATGTCTTTCAAGTCAATTATCATGAGTCTGATGATCAGTCTAAGTCTTATGTATTTAAGGATAGTGAGAAACTACTTTGATGCTAGAAATTGAATTTTGTTGGTTGTGAAACCTAGTCATCTTGAAATAATTGATTAAATTGAATATGCATGAGTAGAAATATATATTTGAGAGATTATGAGAATAGTCAGCTGACACCTATTTGGCACTAATAATTAAGCCTGATCAGGAATAGAATATTTTATTCGCGAATATTCGCATATTCGTGCCGAGCTCTATTTTTGTCTTCCGGTTTCGTACACCTTTTGGGCATCCCCGTTGTTGTACACGAAGTTGATTCTGGAGGAGTATGATATGGAGTTTGAAAGATGTAAGTTAGATATTGAAATGGGGAACGCTCTAGGCAGCACGGTCGGAACGTGCAGGTCGATTCAGCTAGGAAAAACCAACCACAAGCACGAGGAAAATCTCAGTGAAGGTAGGGAGTCAAAAAGTGAAGAGGTGTGTAAAGGTGTTCATTCTGTAACTATCACAACTTCTAGATAAATGGTACTACTCGGTTCTGCCGTTGCAGACCGCTTTCGTCTTCATACTGTATAGGGCTCCCCACTACAATATTGAGAAGATTCAACTACAAGGCGGTCAAACGGTAAATAAAGCGGTATACAATCAGGCATTAAGGCGAAATTAATGCAGATATCAGGCAGAAGGGCGTCTGTTTAGCCAAAGGGGGCATCTGTTTAGCAATCTCCTATTAAATGGCCCTGTCCCGTTCCTCGCTTCCTTCTCACATTCACCTCCCCACCACCTAAAATTGGCCCTGTGACCTTGACAAAGTGGAACAGACACTGGCTGTTAGGGTCACATGACCAGATAGCTACCAGATAGCTTATAGCCCGATAAGATAGGTAGCCACAATGCATCATCTTTCACCACCCCACCTCTCAGCGTAACACTGGCCCGGAGTCATCCCATTGTTCCTTCGCAGACATGACGAACAGGTGGAAGATGTAGCCGCCTCCTCTCGCGTATGGAGATTCTTTGTCCGTGAACAGTGGGTCGACATTGAAGACGCCGCGGCGGATAAACAGAGACGAGCTCTGATCGAGCGATGGGCGACAGCAGATCAGGTATTCCGCGATGTAAACTTGGAATTTTGAAGTGGTTGAATGGATTTCTCCTTAATGACTAATACTAAGATAGAGCTATGAATCCCGAGCACCAGAAGATGAGCGTAAATTTGAAGACCCTAATGATGTATACTTTACTCCTCCATTATTCTCGACGCGAGTCTAAAAGTACTAGGATGCATGCCTTAGTGGGTTAATCCGAAGATTGGACGACGTCTATATTTGTCTCACGAAATGGACACCCGAGACACAAGAGTCTATAGTCAAGAGAAATGTTCGCTAGCATGAGATAACATCTTGATTCTTGTCAACTGCGCCATGTAGATAGTGAAAAGTAGAGTGTAGGACATCCAAGCAAAGACCTAGGCTCATGAACCCGGGAGTAGAGACAACTGTCAAGTTCTTAACTCGTAATTGATATAGGATAATGCTATACTCAGACCCCCTACTTTATTCTCAAACCCCCCTGCCTTAATATTAGGGCCTTTAAGGCATCATTTTATTTTGCCAGATATCCTGCCAGAATTATGGAATAGGAGCCCTTTATCTGTATATCTGTGCCGACCACTAAACATACAGTACTATTCCTTAGATAAATATCAGGTATTCAAACGGATTATTAATTAATTAACAGTAAGTCCAATGAGATAGAGCATAAATGCAGGCTAATGTTCTGGAACCCTTTCACTGTTCACGTAAATAATGGGGCAATTACGGCCGAACCCATTGAACTGAGTTGTAGTCGCCAAGGTATATGCTAAATGAAGTCAGCCATCTAATTCAAACTAATTAAGAAGCAGCGAAAGAAAAATTCTCGCACCTCCCATATTATTGTATATCAGCCAGTCTCCGGCTCTGACCTCCGCCTCAAATTTCATATCTCGTACGACACAGTCCGTGCTATCACAAGTAGGCCCCCAAATTGAGTATCTGTAGTTTGCAGCTACCGAAACCGTACCATTGGTCTTTCTTTTCTCTGACTTGTGCATTGCCCTTGCAATTGATCCATTTTCTGACAATTTTCTCCGGAGTAGACGGGGAATCATAACTTCTTTTTCCATTATCACATTCATAAAGTTACCATATACGCCATCATTTTGATAGAGCATGTCTGGGACACCAGTAGCCGCTGACGTCCCGATCTGACACCGTCGGGCAATCACTTGAGAGATGAGTGTATAGGCGCTGCGAGCGTAATATCTCCCTGGCTCCGCAATAACCGTGACCTGGGAGTCGAACTCGATCTTAATGGACGCACGAATGACTGATGCCATAGAGATTAAGCTATTGTCTTGAAAACCGCCGCCGATATCAAGTATTGTTGGTTGGAAACCCTGACGCTTAGCAAGGCTAAATACGTGTCGGGCATGTTCGACAGCTTGACAGAACGCTTGGGGATCTGAAGCTCCCGTTCCTATCAAGGACTCAATCCGTTAAAGAATTTCTATCACCATAGCACAAACATATGAATTTTAACTTACCGACATGAAAGCTCACTCCAACAATGTTTAGCTGTAGATCCCAGGCCCGCGATACCAGACTCTTGGCCATGTCCAAGTGTGCACCGAATTTCTCACTCAAGCAAATTAGAGCACCATCATCATGTGCATAAATTCGTAAGAGAAGAGCTGCATCCGGCAGGTGGACTTTGATTCTCTCTAATTCATCCAGGTTATCAAATGTTGTAAGCATCACACCTGCCTGATGTGCAAAATTCATAGCTGTAGCAGATTTACAGGGATTGGCGAAAAGGATTCGAGATGGGTGCACACCGAGGCTAAAAACCGTACGCATCTCTTCCACGGAAGCGCAATCAAAACCGGTGCCCAAATCGGCGAGGCATTTGAGCAGAGTCGGATCCGGATTGCATTTCACCGCTGAAAGTCTGTCAGAGAATGTAACGAGCTTGGAAGCATAGTTATATAACAGAAAGCTCAAGATGGAAATGGAAATGAAAAGGTTTACCATAGTATGGATGCACTTCAGGGAAAAGCTGTTTCCAGGTTCGATGTAGGCGAGCGACCTGGCCCAAATCGGCGACAAAAAATGGATTATCAGGTTCAACAAAGGCTTTTTCTATTCGCTCAATGTTGCTTTCAATTGCAAGATCAATCAATGTCTCAGGGCATGAGTTTTGGAAGCCTGCGCCTTGAATATTTGTGTTGCTGTCGCGAAGCTCCTTGGGTGTAGAGAGCATATCCATTGCGACGGGCAAAATGGAGTGTCCAGGAAGATGTACCCTTTATATCAGTGAACTTTTGGTCGACAGTAAGAAATACTTGACAGTAAGAAATGCTTGACAATAAAACTTGAGTTTGTTGCTTTGAAATGAAATGGACCAGATCATGTCATAACATGTCCCTGAACGCAATATCACACTATTCATATCACTTCATACCGGGGCTTCTTACAAGAAAAGAGAGTTTTTCGAGGTTCGTACGCAGTCCTCCAAAGTGGTCTCGCTTATTTCTTGATAGATGTTCTATGAACCCACTTTTGGTAAGGTGATGTATATATAATGCTATATTACAAAGGACTTTCGGCCACAACTACGAACTAGACCTTAGTGATGAATAACATTATCGCAATGAAATAGATCCAGTCACATTCATGTCAGCGGCATCTATGCATGGCGATCCACAGCGGCTGACATAGTACATGGACTAAAAGCTACCTGCATGTATGATTAATCAAAGCAGGGCACATTGGTATATTAAGTATATTATTAGGACTGCGGTGGGGCAGCTGAAAGAGTCTCCTTGACCTCTGGATAGATCATGATTTACGGGACTCACCGACTTCGTGATTCCTTGTGCATATTTCTCTTTGGATCTTCAAATTTTCAATCTAACGCCATCCTTCCTGTAATTGTCGATACATGTAGGGGTGAGATAATCAATTAATACGACTATTGAAAGCTATTCATGTGAGTAAGCAATTATTTACGCAATCGATTGACTGGCGCTCAAAGATGTTCTTAGCCTGCATATTTTCGTATCACACATTGAGGAATTACGAAGCCCCAGTCACAAGGACTTGGATTTTCCCATTTAATCTCTTAGATTATATATCTCTGAGGCCATGAGCCTTCATTTGAAGAGAGTCTCCAAAATCTTATGTCGTTTTTTACTATCATGGCATCAGAAACCTATCAAATTTCAGAGGTTTTGGCCGTCGCACGGCTCCACCCTTTCTATATCCCCTCGATCAAGTACCCACCAGATGCAGAGACCATCAAAGGGGCTCAGGAGCAAGCAGTTCGCAGTATCGAGAAGTTCGATCTCAGCTCCCAGGGCTTCCTAAAGAAGAAAGACCTGTATGTCATCTATCCAGGACCTATTCATCGAATTGTCTAACGTTCAGAAAGCTTCCATAATATTGATCGTCTTGTGAACGACATGAGTCCCCAGAATACGTATCGTAGAAGCTGCTATACAAGCATGACTGGTGGTGGATCTGGCGGAATTCAACTGCTTTTTACCACAGATGTGCATGAAAACCGCAAACATCGGGCCTATTTTGGCAAATTTTTAAAGGCAACTGGCGTTGTCGAGGAAACGGACTGGATTCTAACAACTCATTTTGAAGGTCATATATATCGGCAAGTTCTAGGTGAATCAGTATGTAATGACACACTTATCTAATGTGACCTCTATAGATCTATGGATCTCATGGCCGAGCTCTTCGAAAATGGGGGAGCCAGCGTGCTGTGTGGTGGCAGTTATATGTCAACAGCTGAGGTTGTTAAGACGCTGACTGACTACCACGTCAATGTTCTGGCCGGAGAAAGCAGTCAAGTTATTAATACAGTACAGTATATCTCAACACTTTCTCAAGAAGAGAAAGATCGAATAAATATCGGAAAGGTGATCTATACCTCAGAGATGTTGACCTCCGCTCAACGATCATTCATTTTGGAAATACTTGGGTGCGTCAAAATTTGCTCCATCTATGGAAGTGCTGAAGCCGGCCCTTGGGCGGTCAGTAGCCCCGAAATTTTAGAGCAGGGCTCTGGAGCGTCGCAAGATTTCATTTTTGATAAGCGCTCAATGGTGGTCGAAATTCTTGACCCTTCAATCATGGAAACAGACACAAGTTCTTGCTCTGCTCCTTGTTTGATTCCGGATGGAGAGCGTGGAATTATTGTCCAGACATCTTTGAACCGTCTACGAAACCCGCTTGTCCGATATGTTACAGGAGATCTCGGGTCAGTTCATCCGTTACCGGAGAGTGTTCGATCACGCATCTCTGATGCAGATTCGCGATTCTGGCAGGTTCTTCGCCTATATGGCCGTGATCGACGATTCAGCTTTGAGTGGGATGGAATGTATTTTGAATTTGAGAGCCTTGCTGCTCTTCTGAGTCATGACGAATGCGGAGTGTTGCAGTGGCAGGTGATTTTGAATCGGCTAGACTCATGCCCGAGGTCTACAATCGAGATCCGCGTCTTTCTTTCGTCCCACGACACATCATTGCTATCAGAGGCAGATTTGAAAGGGCGCATTATGAACTTCTTCAATGCCTATGCAGGCAATCAAGCTCGGCTGTCTGTTACCTTTGTCGAAGACAGGAAGGGATTTGTGCGCAGTGCCACTGGAGATAAAATTCTGAAATTCGTGGACAAATTCAACTAATATGTAACTAGAAAATAAATATCAGTTTCTGGAGATTTGTTTAAGTTCGGCCCACTAAATCTGATCTCATCATTTTCAGCCTTACGCTCGATTTCACAACATATCAATCTCACTAGATAATGTAAAATTTATCAGATCACTCCTTGATGTCATGGGGCTTTCCTACACCTGTGATCGCCTGTAAGATGAATATGCCAATTATCTGACTCGTAAGAGAGGTGTTCTTCAGCTACGCCACATATAATTACATGATGGCCACTGTGGGGCCCCTGTGTGACGAACTCCTGCCTCTCCATGTTACAATACATCTATCGATCTAGTGCATCGTATGCATCCCAATATCAACTTTGCATATGTCGATACTACTAGACCAAAGTGGGGCACAGGACCAATGGTTCCGATGCTGTTGGTTCGACATGAAGTGAATCTAGCGAGTTTTGTCTATTTAGTTACAGCGAGGATAAGATTGAATAACACACCTCTTACAACTTCGCATCGACGCACCTAGATCTATTCCATCAAGAATACTAGTTGCATATGCACCATAAGAACGTCACCGTTCCGACAGCATATTATTGACAGCAAGAAGCCACATTGTCTTAAAATAGAGGCGGGGTTTCCAACGAATTACCTCCAAGCATCTGTTTGGCCCGTTTCCCAATACTCTCAGCTGCAGCTGGGTCAGTATGGTCTATTGTAAATGTGATGAAAGGTATTTGATAGATGCAGCCGCCATTTAGTGGCTTTGACGGCTGATCTGCAAAGGAGAGTGAGAATAATAAAAATATTCATACAGAGGCAAGCTAGTGAATCCAGAGGTCTGGAAATTCCTTAGCTGACCTCAGTACAATACACGTATTCATCAAAGCTCATCAAGAATCTACTATAATTGGTCAATCTATGCGGATTCTCTGCATATATAGTGCGACTTGACAGTCAGCTATTCCTTAGCCAAACCGTTGATTAGCCCCATTCATCTGCGAAGCATATGTAGCATGCAAGTTACACGTCAATTAACATTGTTATTGCTAGTCCTGGTACGTGAGTTGCAAGATGTGCATTTCTTCTTTTCTCAGCTATATTTTTCTGGTGGATTCATTAGGGAGTAGGAGAAATTTATATTATTAAATAGCGGTGAAGATAGGTCTCAGCTCTGTAAATGACAGTGAAGAATCATCAAGGATAAGACTGTCTGTTCGTGTTATATTACCTTCACAAAAATTGCTGACAGTGCACCAATTTGATATTGTTCGAATCCATTGCCCTGTGTTTATACAAGATGTCGAATCTGTTTCAAATCCTTCGCGTCTCTAGGTTAAAGGGTAAGGGGTTTTCTACATGGCCAATACGTAAATATTGCCTTTTCTTATGTTTTAAATCACCAAATGGTTTGAAAGTGCTAACAGTGTAAAGTTTCACAAAAGGTGTCTAGTTTAGTTCCTCTGATCAATACATCCAGTCGAAATCTCGCACATGATCCGGTTCACGTCGGAGCCATCCACTCTCTTCTGAAGACGAAAGGAGCTCTTCAACTGCAACTTGACTTTGACGATGACGAAAGCCTCTACATGCACCAGCTCATGCTAAGCCTTCATAAATATCATCAACACGGATTACCCATAACACACAGTGCTCAACGCGGCTGGTTTTGGGATGTTCGGCCGTCTACAGACAAGTTCCAAAGCCATAACCATCAAGCACGATCAGAGACTATGCATCGCTTTGACTGGCACACCGATTGTAGCTATGAAGAACATCCACCAAAATATTTTGGCCTTCAAGTAGTTCAACCTGATCGATGTGCTGGTGGAACATTGTCAATACTAAGCGCTGATCAGCTGTTGGGCCCACTCTCCCGCTTCGCGAGAGAATTGCTCTCTAGCCCAATATACCAAATCAACGTTCCTCCAGAGTTCATAAAGAGCGCTGAGAAAAAATATATTGTTGGTAATCTGCTGGCAATAACAGCAGGGCCCGAAGCTAGTTGCAAACTACGATTCAGGGAAGATATTATAACTCCTTTGACTGCGGATGCATCACGAGCATTGGATGAGTTGAAATCTATTCTCTACAGCAATGAAGCCCAAAAAAAGGCCATCCATTTGACGCCGGATACTCTTCCTCGTGGGTCAATTATCATGATAGATAACCATAGATGGCTTCATGCAAGAGATGAGATCAATGATCCCAATCGTCACCTCCGCAGAGTCCGTTGGAACGCGACTCCATTCCAGATTTCAATCTGATAAAACTCTTTCTGGCTTGGTAGCAGGGCTCATTTCTTGTTCGAAATCCATCTATTTTGAATTCATTTTTCGTTATTTTCTCATTTAAAAATTGACCTCATTTTCCGAGTGCTGACCATTGATTCCGGGCAAAATGATATTGAAGAATGGCTATCTCTGATATTTTCACTCTCTGTTGGTATTTTTTACCTATACGGGCGATAGGAAATTCACATTCAGTGCCTCAAACTGCAGCAATATGTCCTTAATACTGTTCTGTAGATACTTAGGCTTTAGAACAACACTTTTTATGAGCACAGGAGCAAATATTTCGATGCAACTTACATGTATACCGTCATATATCTGTGATATTACGTCTTATGCACGAGAATTCACCTCAAGGATTTTCCAAGGTTTGCCAAACAGGGTACGGTAAGCCGCGTGATCCATATCAGCTAACCCAATGGCGCTTCATGTATTTTCGTAATACTATTACCACTTTTCAATAATGTGCTGTTTCGAGAGCTATTACACCGCTGTATATATAATCCCGCTGCTCTGCTCACAATCTCCGGCTTCCCCCAAATATTCCTCGAATACAAAGCAATTGTCAGAATGACGGACCCTCGTTTGGATAGACTTCGTCTTATTAACCTCTCAGAGGGCGGAGATTCATTTCCAAATTCCTCCGAAGGGTTAGATGTCAAGGTTCGAGCCCAAGAACGTGAAAAGTATATCGCAAATTTGAGCAAGGAGAACTCTTCTTGGCCGGCCGGTGCTGTGAATGCGTCCTGCCCTTGTCCATTGTTAATCACAGAAAGACACTCAGTTACAGTCAGAAAACTAGCTGAAGCACTTGATTTAGCACTTCAAGATATCATTGGACGCTGGTGGACTGATGAAGGGGCTTCCTTCCCTCAGCGTATGCCACTGGAGCCGGAGGAGGAAGATCTATTGCGCGTAAGTAGTACGCTTCAAAATCCTATTATGATTCCTAGATGGAAGTTCAGCATGCTTACTATAAGCCTTTTTGGCAGTGGATAAACGACAATCAGGGCCTCTGTCGCCCTTATACTGAACGAAAGGGCTCCTGGAGGCCAGATTTTGTAATTGAGAATGATGAGACAGGAGCAGAAAACTTTAGAATCTGCGAAATCAATGCTCGTTTTTGCTGGAATGGCTATATGTTCATTGGCTATGGGCAAAAAGGTCTTTGCACGTCTGATGCTGAGCAGCGGGGACTGATAAACGCGTCTGATCCTGATGTTGTAAGTGTCTTATTGACGACTCGAAAAACACTTTGTTCATGTTATGTGCTTATGATTATATAAACTGAAGATTTTCAACGGGTTGCTGAGTCTCTTTGACCCGAGTTTCCGCTTGCACCTTGTCAAAGGAAAGGAACGTGGGTGTGACATTTTTATGTTCATGGAGTTTGCGAAGAAACTCGGACTTGATCTCCAACTCATCAACCCCGATGATCTTCGAATCATGCCTGACCCGGCAGGAGTAAACGGTTTTAAGCTTTGCTGTCTTGCACCAAATGATGGTATTAGTACCATTTTCACAGAGTCCGGCGAATCGGTTGAGGAAGTTCGTCAGATTTGTCTTGAGCTTCATCAGCACGAATTTCGTGCTCTGGAATCGGAAATGCAGCGACAAATCAGTCTACGGTGCTTGAATGACATGCGGACTATACTTCTTGTTCACGATAAGAGAATGCTTGGAATTATTCGTGAAGAACTTGGATCCTTGAAATCTCGGGGCGTCATCTCTGTTGAGCAGGCAGATCGCCTTGATAAAGGCATCGCAACCACCATTTTGCCAGGCTCTTTGAAGCTTTTGGCCTTTATGAAGGATTGTCAAGGTCTCGACACCTTAAAGGATAAGTATCTTTTGAAACCTACTAGAGGAGGGAAAGGCGCAGGAATATTGTTTGGTGACGAGCTCAGCAATTCTGACTGGTTGGTTTTACTTGAAACCATGAGATCCGCCGAGATATCTACGAAGGAAACTTCCTATGTTGTACAGCGCAAGATCTGTCAGCCCCATTACGATATCCCTTTAGGGTCGGACGTTGTCCCATCTCGCTGCTATATGGTTGGAACATTTCATATCGTTAATGGGATATTCCTGGGGCTCGGGATCTGGAGATGCAGCACTAGGAGGATGTGTGCTATATCCACTGGTGGGGCAACTTGGATGGTTTCAGTCATGAGACAGCAACAGTCTAGCCATACAGCATTTCATTTTTTTTACCAGTTATGGTCAGGAGTGATTGCTACATTGAACACGTTTTCGTTCTAATATATTGCTGTTCCATCTTTGGATTTTAACGACCTCAAAAATTGCTATGTAAAATCAATGTTTAAAGCCTATAAGATAAAGCGCAAATCCCTGGATAAAGGTCTCAATTGACTGAAGATATCACATCGATGAGGTGAAATCATCGAAGCCGCTGACGGTAGGTAAAGTCACTGGTTGATACAAAATGCAGTCAGCAACCAGTGGCTGAGGTATGTATCTTCTACACAACGCAATTCCCTTGGGGTATAATTTTTACTTTCTTGCTTTTTCCTGCACTTTTATCGAGCGTCATGCGTATGATACTACAAGAAATCAATTCACAACATTGTAGCATTTATGCATCATGGCTCAGTCTCATAGTAGATTTTCAAATGGCCCTAATTTATCGATAAACGTTTCAATTATCTATTTTGGAGAGAAAATCTTCTTTGGAATTAAGCGACTAGTATTTGCTTTTTTATCTCATGCGCTCTGAGACTTTGTGTAATGAATATAGATCCTAAATTGAGGATGATGTCACCTAGGAGAAGTATTCCCACAAACGGCGGAAATGCTGAAGACTGATCCTTATAGAGGAGTCGCGTCGATTTCCGTCATCTCAAGGGCTATTTTTTCTTTGGAAACTTTTGACTTGACTTTTGTTCTGGCGACCTTCATTCTGAGCGCGCCAAGCCAGCCCAAGCCAACGCTCTCCTTCTAGCCAAATCTCACCTGCGGGGCAAAGGGTTATTGAAATTCGTGTTGCTCAGAGTTTATTTTTGAGACATAGGGGTCAATATTCAAACCAACTCGCAGCTTTGCTGCATATAGTTAAGGAATGTCCACTAGTCTATGCGCGATCCATCTCATCACGTAAAACCCATCTCAGAGCAAGGAACTGTGCATATGTTACTTGTATTAAAATAAGTTTGTAACTCGTATGATCTGACCTGTAAAAGGGATATTCACCTAGGACTTCTGGTCAGCCTCTTGAAGATAACAATCCAAGTCAGTACAGATCTCTTTTACGAGAAATTCGACCAGCGATCCTTTGGCAGAGCCCTCGATAATGAAAATCCCTTCATGGTTGAAAATGCCGAATCTCCAAGGCAAATTCAATTTGCTCTATTCGAAGTGGTTCATCGTTGTAACTGTGTTTGTCGCTTTATTTAGCGGTCGGTTTAGGCTTACTGTTTATATTTCGAATGATCAAATGCTGATCAAAGTTATCAAGAGTACTTTCTCTATGGATTTATTGTTCCGATCATAGGGTATATGAGCGAAAATCGTCTACACATAGACCCCTCACATACACAGAAGCTCACTTCCGCCGTCCTCTCCTTTCATGGGGCCACTGCCGTCATCTCAGGTCCTATTATCGGACATTTTGCAGATAAATTTGGAGGCCGCAAGATACAGCTTCTTATATCTATAATTATGTGTATCATTGGTACTCTAATTGTCGCAAGTGCTCACTCAGTTACTTTACTCTTCATTGGCCGGGCACTGCAAGGTGTAGCGGAATCCATAGTGTGGATTGTCGGTCTAACAGCGGTGACCGAAATTGTTGACGCAGATCAGCTCGGTACAGTGATTGGTTTTCTTTCCTCGTTTGTCAATTTAGGAATGCTCACAGGGCCCTTGGCTTCCGGATTTTTAATAGAGAGCACAACATGGTGGACCATGTGGTCCATACCGCTCGTCGTTTTGGCATTGGATCTCCTTGCGCGCATAATGATGAGTGATATTCCGCCGAAGGACCACCGCAAGCCCCAAAATGCAGCAGAGACAACAAGTCTGTTTTCTAAGCTAGATATTGCACAAAATACGTCAACTTCCTCAAACTTTTGGAAGGTGATGCTATGCGACAGGCGCGTACTTACAATCTTGCTAGTTGGAACCACCACCATGGCTATCAGCACAAGTTTCCATGCGACACTTCCCCTCCATGTAAAGGAGACTTTTGGATGGGGTCCCAGTAAGACTGGACTCCTGTTTGGATGTCTCATCTTGCCAATCCTTTTCGTAAGTCCTATTGCGGGATGGACTCACGACAGAGTCGGTGTACGACTCCCTGCTACAGGCGCTTTGGTTATACAGGCAGGAGTGCTTGCCCTAGCTGGAGTTGCTGGGAATGCTAGTTTCCCTTGGGCTACTCTTAACCAAGCTGGACCAGTGCTTTACATTATCTCACTCCTTGCTATTGGTACATTAAGACCCTTCACATCGACCATCGGACCGGCCGAATTGTCTTGTGAGTCTCTATATCCTATTTTTTACATCAACGCGCTCACTTTAAATCGTAGTTATTGTGAGAGAGTACGAATTTAGGAATCCGGGGATCTTTGGTCCCCAAGGAGGCTTCTCCCGCGTGTTTTCCATGACTGATGTTTCGGTCTCTCTGGGTATGATGATCGGCCCGATAGTTGGTGGTGTACTCAAAGAGACGGTGGGCTATACCTATATGACTTGGGTTTTCAGTAAATTTGTTGGTCTCTAATACAATACAAAGCTAACCTTTCCTAGGTTTAATTAGCATAGCTCTCTCTATACCTGTATTCATCTTCTTACAGTCTGGTGACACGGATGAAGATGCCACTTAAGAGGCAACATCAAAGGTGCAAGTGAACACCAGGAAATTTGGGGAAATTTGGAGAAAATTGAGCAATATTTCACTTTCGATGCAGCCTTGTTCAAATTTTCGAGGCTTTGAGTATTTCATGAACCGATATCTTGTCCGCTTGACATGCTGTTTGATGATGACCATCGACTGTTTTTTTTTGATAGCAAGACAGCTGTAGTGGTGGAACTTGTCATGTTGCTATATGCTTTCTTTATATCATTCGAATGCACCAAATTCAACTCCAGTTGGATCTCCAAAAACGTTTGTACTTAGACACTCCCCGGCTGGTGAATGTGGTGATTATCACAAATGGTGACAGCAAGTGCATTCCAAAAGATACCTCTAACCGAGAAAGATTGTTGAATTGAGTGTTATTCGTCAATTCCAGGGTATTCAGAGTGGTTTTTACGTGTGTGGGTACACACTTACACCTGCGAAAGTGGCAGTAAGTCTACAATGGTAGCTAGATGCTTTGTTCTCGCTGAGTATGGCATGTGTCATTCTTCTAAATCCCTATTACTGGATTCTATCTATTCTTCTTATCGCATGAACTGATTGAAATTGAATTCTTCGGAGTTAGGTGAATACCATCTTCAGTGAATGCGATACCAACAACAAGGAATCGTAGTCTCAGTAGTTTTTTCACCGCTAATTGGCCAAGGAACCAGATAATTGTCCTTTTGCATCAAGAAAACAATATCGCAGCTCAATTCACTAACCGATAGTATCCAGATAACTAAAATATTCACCGAATAGACGCTATTCATCGGACTAGGAACATGCAGATGATATTCAAGTTAACAGACCTTATTAACCTCCGTATCTGGGATGCACGTTACCGTGCGCAGTTACTGACGTCGAGACCTGTTAAACGCCGCCATAACTCCTGCCTTAATTAAGCCTGACAAATTGAATCTTCCAGGACTATGCGCGGTAGATAAGAATTCAATGTCTACGAGAGTCTGTACGTTCCTTTTGATAACTTGAGGACGAAGACTTTTAGCATCCTCAGGTTTATGAAGTCCCAACCCTTGTTGTGAGTCTTGCAAAATGGCCAACAAGGGACGGAAAACGTCGTCTGATTCCAAAAAAAACATTTTGCCGACTCCTTCCCTAATTCCTGTGGTTTCCTGGACCATGTCCCAAAATTGAGAAACAGTGCTTCCAGTTTCAACATCCATAACTGAAGGGGTGGCCGCGTTTTGCTGTGCAGTCTCAAATGCTGAGTTGCAGGTAGTGGTCACCACTTCTTCCACGTCGGCCATACAGAGCCACAGATTCCCTTCTTCCATAGGATATGATCCCATTCGGAGGCATACTTGAACAAACTTCCATTGGAAGTCGTCAATATTTGGAATACCCTTCTCAGTGCCGATTATAAGACCCGGTCGGACGATTGAAATGTTGTTTTTCGATTGGCGGCTTGCAAATATGGACACAAGCTCTACGGCCACAAACTTGGTTTGGCTATATCCATTAGACTGCTGGAGAACTTCCATGAAACTCTGTATGTCCTGTGTTGGGGCTCGTTGCAGTCTTCCGGAGATGAATGTGAAGCTGCCTGGTTAGACCCATTGATCGAGAGCAGCTAACAAGTCGAGGGTGGAATCAATGTTTACGGTTTCAGGGACTGGTATGGGGCTTGCCAATGAACGGCTGCACCGTTGTGGACAGTGGCAGTGATCCTGTCCTCTAGTTGGACACCAATATTGCAAAGCACCCGTCATTTCTCGGGCTGATGACCTAAACGTGGGGCGGACAAATCTCCTGACACGCATTCAATGCGGTCAATATAGGAAGAATACCACCACTGGGCCAGCGTGGCAGTGGAAACAACAGGTTTCAGCGCCTCTGCCACGGTAGGTGCTCGTACATGAACGACCACCTTATCCACGGAGGGATCGTCGAGCAATTGGCGCAATATTTGCGAACCTAGTAGTCCAGTGGCGCCAGTCAGGAAAACTCCTTTTCGAAGACGCAGCGTTTTGGACTGTCGGTTAAACTGATGATAGACATCCTTTATTTCTCTCGACAGATCAACTACTGGCAGTAAAACCTCTGCGCCACAGTTTTGTCCCTGTTGAAAACTTGAGATCATCTCAGCTAGTCCAGTAACTGTCAGCTTGGGATCATAAAGGGTGGCTACCGCAACTTCAACACTGAATTCGTTACAAATAAATGTCACGATAATGATCAGTTGAATAGAGTCCAAGCCCAACATAGACAGGGGGAAACCCCAATCGATGAGTCCGGTTCCGGTTTCGCTCCGGACACGGGAGAGTATATTTTTGTTTAAAAATAGAGCCGTGGAATTGGTCGGGTTAATCGTTTGGAAGCCAGAAATTGGCTCCTGGAGTTCAATGACAGTTGCGCTCGCACTAGGACTTCGAAGTTCAGCTTATAACCGCTGGCGATTGAGTTTAGCCGACAAGGAAGTGGGCATAGAAGCCCACATCTGATAACTTGTAGGGACCATATGACGAGACAATGTTTCACCCAGCTGGGCTTTTATGTCCGATACACTCTTGATGGTGGGAAGCACTCCCCAGCAATGGTAAGAGACTAGCCGGGTCCTTGGTACTCGGTCTCTTCCGTATGTCGTCACCACAGAAGATAAACGCCACTGGTTCCTGTGGATTTTGGGTTTTCGATCGAAATAGTTCTACCGCTGAGCCAGCAGCAAGAGGAAATAGCTGGGTGAGATAATATTCGATCTCTGCGATCTGCACACGCTGTCCTCTAATCTTCACTTATCTTTGCGGCCTTGGAAGATGAGCGACCCGTCTTCGTCATACCGAACCAGATCATCTGTCTTGTAGAACCGTGATTGCATCGAGCCACTTGGCGATACATTCGCCCAGCGAGGAGATTGAACAAAGCTGGTGGCGGTATTCTCCGGGTTGTTGAGATAGCCAGATCCAACAATAAGACCTTCTACTAGGAGTTCTCCAACCGCACCAATAGGCGCCAATCGTTCGCAATCGGTAGGATCAACAATCCAAAGCCAATATCCGGCTCCCACTCCAATGCTAGAGGGGTCGGAGTTCACCGTGAGTTTAGTCCGAACAGTCGAATTTGGGCAGCATTCCGCAGGACCGTATGCCTAAATATGGTTCAGTTTACTGGCCCGTCGATGATGTCTCGATTGAGAGGTTCTCCACTGACAACAACTGTCTCCAAAGACGGCACTTCTTCCGGGCGGACAGTTCGAAGCATTGGAGGTGTGATCTCGATGAAGTTGGCTCGCAGCCGACTAATCACTTCGGCCAGATTTCCGATGCGATCAATGCTCGATGGGACACAGACACAACCTCCAGTAATCAGTAGGTCCAATATGTCTGTGATACTCACATCAAAAGCGTATGATGCAAATGAGAAGGCCCTTGTGTTCGGTCCGACGCCCATCGTGCAAGAATATGCCATGGTCATTGAGCTGAATGCACGATGGGAAATCACAATGCCATTGGGCTGCCCAGAGGAGCCAGAAGTAAAGACCACATAAAAACAATCGTCTGGTGTCACGATTGTCCTTTTTACTGGACTGTCTAGGGCGCAAATTTGCCGTTTATTCCAAGATGCGGCATCTGCATCGACGGTGATAATGACGACTGGTGCCAGCAGGGCCGCGCTTGAGGCTAAGCTTTTGGAGCTCAGTAATACAGGTGGCCCGACAAGCTGGCAAATTTCACGAAGCGGCTGGGTTGGGTGTCCGGAGTCCAACAGTAGAAAGGGTCTTCCAGCCTTCATCACTGTGAGAACAGCAACGGAAGTCCATTTGGAAGGATCTAAGTATATTGGTACAATAGACTTTGGATTCAGTGCAAGGGAGAGGATTTCGGTCTCCACTTTAGATGAGAAGTGATCCAATTGCTCGTATGATAGGTCTCCATCCCAGGCAAAACCTGCTGGGGCTTTCGAGGCTTAACTACACTCCGTTGGATGAGCTCATGGAAGCAAAGATTTTCTTCGACAACTGGTGGCAACTTCTCATTCCAGGCCTGTAACTGCACTAGATCGGACACGCTAATAGAGGGGATGTCCGAGATAGGTGCCCGCCACGTTGCAGTTAGATGTGTGAGCAGGTGTCATATGGTTTCAAAATCCTCTGGGTGTTCTCTGATTTTCCTTTTTCTGAGAAGCGTGCATTCGTTCTAATTGCTTACTTCGGTCTTTCGCCTTTTCCCCATAGTCGAGCCTTCTTGCGATGGATTCCAGTCTTTGCATTTAAATAAAAGAAATAAGAGCGTAACAAGTGAGGTAACATTGGACACTTTCTTGTTGATGACGAAAGGCTTTGAGCGTTGTGTCACGCGAAATGGTCACACTCTACTACTCTCTCTCTTTCTCTTTTTGACACAAGGGCTTTAAACCCACTATGAAGCGTTTCCATCACTAAGGCATCGACTTAGTTTTGGGCAAACATCTCGGCTATGTCTATAAACTCTGATTGTTCGTCTTTCCCCGCGGCAATCCATATTTCGAGCAAAATTCTGCGTAAAATATCATTGCGGCATCGAGGATCATTCGCTGCAATTGCAAGGTTTTCTGTAATAAGAGAAATTGGGCCGAGGTTGCACTCATTCGCGCAATGCTTCTTTATCATACCATCATAGATGTTGCGGTAGTAGGCAAGAGCTTCAGGGGAATCTTCCCATACGCCCTCTGGTTCCATTCCCTGTTATATAAACTCCTTATATCTATAAATAGATGGATCCCAGTCCCGCTTGAGCCACCCGGGATATCTTTGGTTACTAAGAGTACGAGGCATAGTAGCGACTCCATCCCAATCAATAGCACTGCGGAGCTCACCCTCTTCAGAGACTCTGAAGTTCTGAATATCAAAGTCTGGATGTGTAATAACAAAGGGGTCCAGATCTGGCTTAGGGATCCAGCTGATGAGTAGGCGTAAGAGCATCATGGAGCCCTTAGGAATCGGGTGTTGTTCCTCTTCGGCGTGTAAATCAAGCATCATAGTGTAGTATGCTTTTAGGTCGTTAGGTACTACATACTTAACATATATTGGGTTATCGTCTGGATCTTCGTGAATAAACCATCGATCGAGCATAGCTTTTTGATCAAATCGTCTTATAGGCCTAATAGTATCTTGTGACAGGCTACCATCCTTCTCGAAGAGAAGACAGCCGCCGACTCAAAATAAAAATTTGTCGAGCTGTATCATTGCTGAGGCAATGCTATCGAGGGCGCGAATCCGCCGTAATTGAGTAGTATCAGGACTAACACAAGCGCTATCAAGGTGATGTCCAAACCAGATGTCATATAGAGGAATTCTAGAAATGAAGGTCATCATGATGTAAGGGTATTGAAAAGTGTTCTGCATGGTTGAGGAGAAATCCAAAACATCAGGCAGAGGGATATTGGTTTCGCGCTTTAGCAGTCGCATTATGTTCGCCTCGGAGGCCATAGCGGAGGCAGATAAGTCATCCCACTTCCTTAACATGCCATTGATAGGAATTTTCATGACCCAGTGAAGTCCGATTCAAAGATTAACGGGAAAAGTACATGATAAGATCCGAATAAAGGCTTGCCGACAGAAGGTTCCACATCGGTAGTTTGATTAGGCTGGAGGCTGCGAAGAATGCTGTTTGTAAGCAGGGGCAGCTGCTCGATATCAAGCGTCTAAAGAACTTCAGAAAACAGTTCTGCATTTTCATCATCCTCCGGTTTCTCAATTTGATGTATTTGCGCCATTTTTTTAGAGTAGAAAAGCTGAGAGGTAAACATAGGCTAAAGTTTGGTGGAGGCTGAAGCGGAGAGAGAGAGACAACTTTAAGTGTAGTATATAGGCGGGGTCGACCCTGCCACCCCGCCCTGGGCAATATTCGTTGGTAAAAATATATGTTGATTGCAAGATATGAGGGGAAGGAACGTGTCTGTTCACTTATGATAAACTGGAATAATTCTCTTGTTATCTGATTTTCATTCCCATATCACCTGAGCATATTTAAAGCAGCTTGGTCGTAGCAGCGAATGTGATTCATGTCAACAAACTCGACTTACAACCACAAGCATCAATAGCCTTCCAAGAATCTCGAAAGTTCATCTCTTGTATCCAGCTGGAATCAGAGATCTCCTATTATTCTACCTGATTACTCGATGAAAAAACAATAAAGCACCCTTCTTTCTCTGTCGGAGCCATGGGACACCATTGGTAGCTTTATTGATCTCCAAACAAGTTGAATGTTTATACTAACCCTGTAGCAGTCCTATATGCAAAAATTCTACACCTCCAAATACGTTAAAAAATCTCATGTTTATAAGTGTTCAATTCATGGTGAATGCTACATGCCAGGCACCTAGTGTGCCTCTTGCAAAAAAGCTGAAGAAAGAGCGGCCAACGAAGAAAGAGCGGCTAACGAAGAGGGGAAATAGAAAGAACTCGACACAAAATGAAGGAGTAAGGCTGGTAAAGGGAAATGAGAGATTGGAATCTTTTTTGTTGCGCACCATTGATAGAAACTTTCTTTCTTTTCTACTTGAGCCCGTCTTCGTAATCAACATTTCCAAGTTGGGAATTGATAACAACCACAAAACCAAAAATACGTATTATTAGTAAACCCGCTCCCATCAAATTCAATTTAGTAGTCAGATCAAAGTCTATACTTTTGTTCTAACTTTCTATATCAATATCTAAATAAAAGAACCTCTCGATATTCAATTAAATTAATTGAAAACCAAGCTAATATAACTAGAAGAGTTACCCCTAAAGCCCCTTTATCAATATGTACTAACCCATCTACTAGGTCCATGGGTTTATCTTGTGCGTATCGAATTGAACGTCTATTAGCGCGAAAACAACCTATTCCTTTATGTGATATTCATCCTTTTTGGAGAATTAGGTTTAAGACTATAATATAGGTTGGATTCCACTACTAGAACCTTCAATTAAGCCACTAAAACCAAAGAAGACAAATCCAGGTGTTTATATCGTCAAAAAAGTAGCTAGAAGGTGTTCAAATTGCAATAGATTGGGCATACTATTAGGACATGTCAGGTGATGCGTAAATTGTAAATAAGGTGTTTTATATCAAATTATATGTTCATTACTATATTCTGTCTTTACTATACTTAAGCTAAACATCAGGGAATATCTCCAATCTCTGGGGGCCAAACATAGTACGTTTCCCAGTCATCCCAATCCCGCATCTTATGAAACCCTGGCAGCTCTACCTAACGCCAGCACATTTTCATCCAACCCACATCGTTCTGGGTACACCCCTTAATATCTGGCCCATACACATCACTATTCGCAATATCTTCTTCATCAAGCATCTCTGGTTTCCATTCAGCGTAAACCACACGAACAAATGCTTCTTCATCTTCATCTTTGGGGGCACTCAATCCCGAATCCATAGCTTCTTGGTCCACCGTAATGAAAAACCGGTAGCAGCCGGTACATGGTCGGTAGTCTTCAGCAATACTCTTTTCTTCTTTTAACAAAGTCTTAGCCCACTGATTGAAGTGCTCGCGTAGAGTAGCGATTGTTGCGCCTTTAAAGGAGGGGTCTTCCAAGACCGTTAGGGTGAATGTGTCGAGGAGATCAAGGCCATTATAAAACTTAAGGCATTCTGGGACGGCGCTCACGAGGAGAGCCATAAAATTCTCCTAGTCAGTATTGTTTTGGTATGTGTATTAATAGATCACAAAGCCCCATTTTTTGAATTCGTCCTCGTCAAGGAGGTTCTCGAGCCAGCCCGCCACATTACGACCGGCATCTATTAGGGGATCACATTTTGAGGGGACCATTGTTGAAATTGTGGTAATGGTATTCCCGAAATGTGGTGGTATAAACGCGGGCTTCACGAGACGCGAAAAGCGGCTAATGGGAGCAGGAGAGCGAACAATTCTTGGGCTACTGGAAATGGGAGATTGGGTGTAGAAGCGGGGGAATACAGAGCGTGGAAAACGTGTAGTTCGAAGGAATTTTCTTGTAATCATCGGTGTGAAGGTCCCTGTGTTTTCATGAGGCGACAAGAGGTAGGAGTCGGTTAAGGAGTTGGGCGTGGCCTAGGGGCAAGTTGGGGAATTTTAAGGTTACAGGGTTTCAAAGTGGGGATACAATTATTTTCTCCAATGCTCTAATTTCTCAAATCTGCATGTTGCCAGGGTAAACTTACTTATGCCTGTCTGGGGTAGCGAAGGAGGGTATGCTACGGAGTATAACGCCACCGCCTTGCCGTTTTGCATAGTTCTAAAGATCATCCGATCACCATCTCAGCCATATTTATTATGGCGTTGTTTTACATATGAGTATTGGTCCTCCGCTAGTAATTAGTGACTCAGTCACGAGCATGAATCATACCGATTGCCATTTTTGTTCTTATTGTCGCTCGCTTAGCGAGCGTAGCTAGCTAGTCGCCGATAACTGAGAACGGTGCTCGAGGCCTTACTGCAGTAAAAGGGAATTGGAGTTTACTGCAGTAGAGAGGAGTTGGTGAGCTTCAACAAACCACTACTCAACACCGTAGACAATCCACCGATCTGGTAGTGGATTCCTACTAGTTGAATATTGCAGTTGTTGTGAAGTCTGCTTTTTCATTGATGAAAGAACTAGCTACTTATAGTACATGGGCGCCCCTCTGCTCTGGACGAATGTTAACATTCGTCCGAGACAGAAGAGACGGTGAAGACGGGACATTACTGTCGCGAATGCGCATCGCTCAAGGGTGTCGTTTGCGATGAATGCATATCGTTCAAGGATGCTGTGATATACTAATCCAGTTCCGGAGTCGCTGTCTCGGCAGAAGCTTTTTCGGCCGAAATACTTTCCGTCTGTTGATGGCCTTGTTTCTCGGCTGTCGCAACACTTATTATCATCCTTGACTCATCAGGGGCATTCAAAATCTATATTGTCCAAGGGAGACTCCAGCTATTGCAATAATATACCAATGTGACACACACGGGGTCTTATCAAGTCTAGTTCACGAACTATAGCTATCTGGGTATTCAAAACTCATCTTTCAATGTAGAAACTCCCACGCACACCGAGTACCCGACCCCTAGATAGTCAGTACGATCCAATCGCAGGATTCCACTGGTATAGTTCAACGAAAGTGAGGCTAAAATCGTAAATAATCTCGTCGCAAGTGTAGTCTAGCCAAAATCATTAGTCTTCGCTCAATTAGGGGCAAATCGATTACAGTTCATACCGCCTAAGTCAGATAGGTCAACGGAAGTGAATCAGTTGCAATTGGATGCCGTCCAGCCTCCGTAGCGTTCATCGGGAAACAGGAAGTATTATCAGCGTCCTCGGTTACTGCGTCTACAGTTAGTCTTTATCTATTTGTTCTCACCAGACATTACAACTTATAAGCAGTGCTATTCTCATACCGCAGGATGCAGTAACTATTCGCCATATCGAGAGTGCAAGTGCTCGCGTTATTTAAAAGAATCGGATTCTACGAGACCAGTCGGTTCATCAAGATACCGTAGTCTGAAGCCATGTCAACACACTGAGTATAGTTGGAGGGATTCTCGTAGTCATAGGAGTCTAGAATAGTGTCTGAAGCAGTAGGGAACAGCGCCGTTCCGGTAACCGCATACCCAGGATCACTAGTGGCGGTAGGAACATTGGTATTCATGTAATCGAAGGTGATGGGCGTGACTGTGATAGGCAGGACTCCCGTCATTTGGGTAGCTAGTGATTGAACCAACGGGCTTAACATATTATGCCTCGTCAATCTCGAGGTTGGTGCAGTTCGCATCGATAGTTAATCTTATAACGCACACTTTTCACCCCAGTGCGATTATTAGCCCGCGTAGCTTCATCTCCTTTACCATCTCAGCTGCGTACACCAGCGAGTCGATCACAGGTGGATTCCTCACTATTCAAATTCCGGTTCACTCGGATCCTTTATCAAATTCCTCCTTGCAGGAAAAAACCCAGTCTCTCACACCGCGGTGAACGATATTCGCCAATTACGCCAGCGTAGAGAGAGTCACGCCATTACCCCGGCACAAGCTAAACCTGACCTTACTGGAAATCATCACCCTCGTATCGGATGGACCATGGCAATTACGTCCGATTCAGGTGGGTCAATCCCAAAATGGGTCAAAGAAACTGGACCCTAGGGGGAGAACCACGTGCTGTAGTCGCAGATGAGGACCTTTTCATAGGGTGGACGATGCGTAGGTGTGAAGCCGTCTAGTATTCCGAATCAATATCTATCATAACTTAACATTTGAATACCATAATGCTACGTACGCTTGAGCTTGAAGAGCATTATCCCTCTGAATTCGGATATAAGCTTAGTAGTCGAACTTTCACCGAGGTATTCAACCTGTAAAGGACTAGATCCGCAAATTTAATTCTAAAATTGATCCATCATCTGCACCAGAGATGGTAGTACAGTTTCGATGCCCCGCCATGTTCCTTATTTGGTTTACCGCCTCATATACAACCCCACATATACTGTATTGTAAGGAAATTGACCCTACTGTAAAATTCTTTTTTTTGAGGGAGAACGTGGCCGAAGAATTGGAAATTATTTCAGAAATCTCGATAGATAATATTTAAGTCATATGAGCCGATGCACGACGCACGTTCGTTGTCCCCGGCCTAGGCCTTCTATTCGAATCTTCCAACCACCCACGGGGTGTACTCACATGTGCTTAGTCCAAATAATATGATAGGTACATCTTGAACTTCATGCAAATACTAATATCACGCAGTACGCTTCTACCTCTGTATTTTCGGGAAAGATGTTGTAATCGTCATTTCATCTATCAAGGCTCTAAGTTATATTCAAATGGCCCCTAAGATCATTGTCTCAACAGCGTATATTATGGAGTACGCTAGGTAAAGAATAACTATGATATAAAAACTTAAGCTTAGTAGTCAGAGTTGCCGCCACGGCCACCCTGGTTGGACGAGCCGTAAGAGTTGCCTCCATTACCATCCTGGTTAGAGCCATAGGAGTCGTTGTTGGATGAGCCGTAAGAGTCACCACCACGGCCGGACGAGCTCTTGTTAGATGAGCCATATGAGTCGTTGTTGGAAGATCCGTAGGAGTCGCCTCCACGGCCAGACGAGCTCTTGTTAGAGCCGTACGAGTCGTTGTTGTTGGAGCCGTAAGAGTCGCCTCCACCGCCAGACGAGCTCTTGTTAGAGCCATACGAGTCGTTGTTGGAAGATCCGTAGGAGTCGTTGTTGGATGAGCCGTAAGAGTCACCACCACGGCCAGACGAGCTCTTATTAGAGGAACCGTACGAGTCGTTGTTGGACGATCCGTAGGAGTCGTTGTTGGATGAGCCGTAAGAGTCACCACCACGGCCGGACGAGCTCTTGTTAGATGAGCCATACGAGTTATTGTTGGACGAGCCATATGAATCGTTGTTGGAAGATCCGTAGGAGTCGCCTCCACGGCCAGACGAGCTCTTATTAGAGGAGCCGTACGAGTCGTTGTTGGACGATCCGTACGAGTCGTTGTTGTTGGAAGAGCCGTAAGAGTCGCCTCCACGGCCAGACGAGCTCCTGTTAGAGGAGCCGTACGAGTCGTCGTTGTTGGAAGAGCCATAAGAGTCGCCTCCACGATCACCCTGGTTAGAGCCGTAGGACTGTCATTTAGTTAGCAGATGTCAATTAGAACAGGAAAACCTCGAAAAAAAACAGAAGAATGTGTGTGTAGCATAACAAGCAAGAGTTGAGACAGTAGTACGTTTATATCAACTTACATCGTCGTTCTGGTAAGACATTTTTGTGATTGATTGTAAGATCTTTTAAACTTCAAATATTATTTGGAAGAAGAAAAAAAATTGAGAGCTACAGGTCTGGGAAACTGGTCTATTTATCCATCTTCGGGGTCTTCGGATGCACTAGCTCATCAATAACTCAAACTGTAACCATGTAGAGGATTGTATGGTACGGAACAGTGTACTGAGTGACGTGCTTCGATTTAATCTCGATTAGGATCGAAAGAGGGGTTCACTAAGCGCTAATTTATGATTCGCCCATCTAAAGTTGATCGATCCTTCGAGCTCATGAACCTTGATCTCCAGGGGGACTAAGATAATTCAATTCCGATATTCCGTAGTGAGATTCCAAGTTCTGATGCTCATGATGTGGCATTCAAACAAGTAATCCATACGTAGAAAAAGAATCATAACAATAGCTATTATACGCGAAGTGATAGCATAGAGGGGTAAGGTGGGGAGAGCTTCGAAGTAGTGAACTTAATAAATAAAGGGAAAATAGGGGGTTTAACGTGATTCACCATTACCCAGCCCATAGTTATCCGTGCCCATGTTTACCAAACTCGGAAACGAGTTTGGTGCGCCCGGACCAAACTTCTAATTTTCCCAACTCCGGGCCTAAATTCTAATCCATACATTCCTGTCGCACTCGCTCAAAATACAGTATATATCTCTCTATCGCAGCTAATAAGCTAGGATCCTGATCATAGCTTGGTTTATCTTCCATTTCTTGCTCAACCTGCTCCTGTGGCGTTGGTATAACCTCCTCTTGTGGCACTGGCATCTCACGACCATATCTCTTTAAACGCTTTTGCTAGCTTATTATGCTCTGCTATCTCTTCCTTAGCTTTCCTAGCGGTAATTAAACGATTTGCATCACCGATAGTTAATATGCCAGTGTTTTGAAGTGGAGGTTGGACCTGTCGTTTGGCCTTCGCGCGACGGAGTGGTTTTTGTTGAACCCTAATATTCTCAACCATAGATGTAGAATTTCGATCACGTTTAAAGAGTAGTTGGTGGTCACGGCGAAGATATTAAAGGCCTCTCTGTACTCTTGGCTCAAGAATATCTAGATCGATATGCTTAAATATCTTATCCTGGGTAGCTTGAAGTCTTTCCAGAGTTTTCGGTGGAGTATATTTAATACTAGATGAGGAGAGTACTAGAGATGGTGTAAGACGTTTTATAAAGGAATAAGCCTAATTCAGTGGTTCTCGGCAAGACTCCACTACCAGAGGACTATTAAGGGACCTTCACAGAGCAGGTTCAGGGTCTTCTGGTTAGTGGGAAGATCAAGCCAAACGGTGATAGAGACAAAGCAATGCAGGCTGTGTACCAGGTCATTACAGTCAACTCTCATGGCCTGCACACCCGTGAGTTGCACACATTTGTCAGCGACACACTTTTTTCCTGTCTAGACTAGTTTTGCCCCACTCTTACATATAAAACTCTCGTGGGCTGCACCATCTATGGTCTGCACACTTTTTTTCCCCCTTCTGTTCGCTTACTCAGCATATCTGTCCAATCACAATGCAGGATTCTACCTCGCCGTCGCCGTCGCTCCCCTCCACCCCTTCGATCCGATCTTCGGTCGCCCTTTCAGCGAAATTACCCTATCCAAAACGATCAAATGCGACTATATCTGATGCTCAGAGAAAAGCCTTACGTATCTTTGCATTTGATACACGTCCTAAGCCTACCCAGAAAGCTTGTGCTGCATGGTTTCAAGAGAAATTCGGCCGAATAATCGATCGTACGACAGTTTCTCGAACCCTTTCATCTCAATATAACTACCTAGATAATAGCGAAGCTGGGACTAAATCAAGAAAGTCTACCGCACACTGGCCGCTGTTAGATGAGGCTTTATTTCAGTGGCAACGACGTCATACAGAGAAGGGGTTTCCTATGACTGGACCTCTGATTCGGCTTAAAGCTGCAGAATATTGGAAGAAGATGCCGATGTACAAAGATCAGACTATGCCTGCATTTAGTGATGGCTGGTTGACTGGCTTTAAACGTCGATATTCAATCAGATGGCATACCTTCCATGGTGAAGCTGCCTCGGTCCTAGACTCGATATATCATGAGATGAAAGCGATCCAGATTATCTATGATGAATATGCACCTGAGGATATCTATAATATGGATGAGACTGGTCTTTACTGGCGTCGTATGCCTAATGGTGGGCTTACATCTGAAGGTCGACCTGGCCAGAAAAGAGACAAGACTAGGATAACTATTGTCGTAGCATCGAATGCGACTGGTTCGGATCGATTACCTCTCTGGATTATTGGAACTGCAAAGACACCTCATGCATTAAGGGGTGTTAATATGGCTTCTATTGGATGTAAGTGGCGTCATAATAAGAAGGCTTGGATGCGACACGAAATTATGGAACAATGGTTACGTACTTTTTACCTATGGATCGGTAGGCAAAGACATGTACTTCTGTTAATGGATAATTTCAGTGCACATCTTGTAGCTCTTGAAAAGGCGCCACCGCCGTCTAATATAAGGATAGTCTTCTTCCCAGCGAACGCTACATCTATCTACCAGCCCCTTGATCAGGGTATTATCCAAAACCTCAAGCATTATTATCGCAAGAGCTGGATGTATTAGATGATAGGTATGCTAGACCATGGTATCGATCCACGTGAACGCATGAGTCTAAACTACATAGTACAGTGGTTAACACAAGCGTGGCGAACAAAGGTCAGTAATAAGACTATTCAGAACTGCTATATCAAGAGTACTGTTGTTCCCGGGTGCCGACCATCTAATCAAGATCTGACTGATCACGATCAGATAGAAAGTAACCCACTGGATCCTGAATTAAAGCCTCTTTATAATCAGGTTGTTGAAAAGCTTGCATTTCAACCAGATGCGGATGAAATATTACCATTTAATGAGTTTCTCAGCCCATCAGATGAAAATATTGATACCGTAGAGCCAGAATTAGAACATATTATGTTTGACTTCAGTGGTGAGGATATCGACGATGATCTACCTGATCCTGACGAGGAATATATATTTGGGCCAAGACCAGAGATTCCTTCTGATGCGGTAATTCTACGACATCTATCAGATCTATCACTATGGGCTGCTCATAGAGAGGGATGCACAGAGGAGAATATGTCATCAATTGAGGCTTTAACCAAAGCTTTCAAGAAGCTTGAGGTAGATGGGAAGAGACAGAAGACATTGATGGAGATGGGATTTAAACCCAAATAGGAAAAGCTTCATGTATATATTATATAATCATCTCACGAGCTGCACACATTGGGTGTGTGCAAGAAAAAATCCAAGCCTCAGAGGGTGTGCAGCCCACGAGAGTTGACTGTACTGGCAAAGGGGTTGTTGGTGAACGCTGTCAAGCTGAGAAGCTTCTCCCTTTAGGAAGTGATATGACTCCTCGAGTCAAAGTAGTCTGGGACTATCTCCACCATGCTTTAGAGGTGTTTGGTTTTTTGTAACTAATAGCGTGGATGTCGATAAATAGAATGACTATTTCAATATCAATTTCATGATTTGAAATTAATGATATCAGTGACTTATAATGTACAATCCTGCCACCTTGCTTGATAAATAGTCTGGAGATTTACTTAAATTTCACATTTGCTCCACATATAGACACTAGAAATGGCTAAATACCATCACCAACAAGCGCATCGATATTAAGGAAGTGATATTGATCTAACGCCTTTGCTCGACTGCCCTACCAAGGCTAAGGCGCCACAAAAGACCAAAGTTTCTAACAATAAAGCATAAATTCATATAGATCACAGAGGTTATCAAAGACGGCAAAGCCCATCATCATCCCAATCCTCACTACCAACACCCTTTCGAACGATAAACAGATTATGTGGGTTTCTAAGTGCTTTTATAGCTCGCAACCGAGGGTAATTGATGCCCCAAAATGCTTGCTGAAAATCAGGTTCATCGGCATCGGCTTCATTCAAATACGCACCCATTATACCTGACTCAAGAGATTCAAGGAGTGGTACATCCTGACCCGTAATGTTGGCGGAAATAGCTGCCTGCTCATTAGATGTCATACCTGGACTCATAAGGCGGGCGATTAAAATATGGACCATTGAGTCTCTCCATGAAGGGTTGAGTCCAGACTCGATATCACGGTTTTTGGCAACTTGACCCCCTGCAACGATAGCCCCAATGACCGCGTCTCCTGGGTGGAATTCAAGGCTTGAGATAGCTGTGGTAAGCTTTGTAGAGTTATTTGACTCAAAGAACGACCGTGATATCAGGCGAGAACCTAACCGAGTTTGAAAGCCTGTTGTGTCGTTTCCACGAAGTAATGTTGTATAGAAACCCGATAAAGATGGAAATGACACGACGTGCAGTGATGGCTCGGATCCTATCGCTTTTCTTAGGTCTGATAATAACGGCGATAAAAGCTTTCCAGCCGCTTCTGTGCTTGTTTGATTGATAAACGCCAGATGTAGCACAAATGTCGATAGACTCTGGGAGTTCGGCACTGGAGTGTTAGGTATCATTGAATAGTACCCTGAGCCACCATTGTCGTTTAGGTTAACTATGTGGCGATGGAATGCCTCTGAGCCTTTCCAGAAGGGTCCAATACTCGTGGTATAATTTAGCGTAGCGAAAACTACGGGGTAGTTAGCGTGACTTTTCACGGTTACACTTAATACTACCCCGAAGCTCCCACCACCACCACCACGTAATGCGAAGAATAGATCAGTATTCTGGTATTGGTTGACGGAGATGAGTGAGCCCTACCCTAGTAGAGTGTTAGCAATAAAAAGCGCACATGTGAATGCTTTATTCGAGGACTTACATTAGCTAGAACAACCTGGAACTCGAGAGCATTATCGCTCGCCATCCCATGAAGCCAGCCTTGATAAGAATGCCCTCCGCCTTGAATATACCCACCCGCAATGCCAATAGTATTTGCTGACCCTCCGACAACCATAGTATCCTTAGATCCAAGGAATGAATACAATTCGTGCATCTGAACACCAGCTCCAATGGTCACAGCCTTGATACTCCTGGGGACACTCATCCCGAATGGGACGGTAGGCACGAACTCATCAATGATGGAGATATCTTTGAAATTATGAGTAAAGATTTGTAAAGAGTTTGGCGAAGATGAGCGTCCAAGATAGTCGTGCCCTGTATTTTTGATGACAAGCCGGATGTTGTGCCGTGCCGCAAATTCGACAGTATTTTGAACATGTTTGGCCGTTTGCACTTTGGCCGAGTAAAGTGACACACGGCCTTGTTTGCATATTGTTGATCTAGGAGACTCAATATAGCATTGCTCATCTTCCTTGGGCCACGATTCCCAATTCGAATATTGGAGAGCACCTGGTTGCGTGAGTAAATGGCTAAGGTAATAAAATATTCTATGGACTTTATTGAGTTTTACCTGGCTGGGATGATCGATAAGACGAGTTATATGCATTCTGTTTTATCATAGTGCATTCAGCAACATTAAATTCGGTGTCATGGCAAGGGTAAGCAAGCGGCTTCACTGGAATCAGATTTCCTTCAATTGATGAATTGAGAGCAGCCCAATGAGCCTCGGTCGGCCAGCATGGTTGATATGGTTGGCAACGACAGAATGTGGCATTAACTGAACCACTACAAACTATCAGCACACTGATGCTGAGTAACCATATATTCATATTGCTATAAAAACTGGCTCATGGGCGTACTATATCTTCTATTTACGAGAATTTCGATTTAGAGTGCCAACATAGCATATAAATAAGTCCATTAAAATGTGGTAACGTGATTTCTGTGAGTGAAAACTAGGAAGGCTATGTAAGTAAGGGGCAACAGGTACAAAAGGCCATCGAAAAATGGAGGCTTTGTACAGCAACAAACGTCACAGCTCTCTTATCCATGTAGCATCAATTTCCATGTCTTCGTAACATCAGAGCAAGAATCTGTTTATCAATGTCATAATACACCATGAAGTATCAAATACCTGGGTATGCAAGCCTCTGCAAGGGGTAACTCGAACATACAGGCTCGAACATTTTTGAAAAACAAATGCTATAAGAGTTTGTAATCCAAATGTAACATCAGCACCCTGGGATCGGCCACTCCCTAGATTTGGCCACGAAAGTAATTTCATAACTTTTCTAGACGAACCCGAAATTATCCATATCAAATATATCAAGTTTGATGGTAGCGAATACCCCGGTCTCCAAAGGTACCGACGAACACTGAGGGAACATGGATTCCCTTGGTGGGCTAGTTAGAGATTTTCCACTTGGTATTATTATGAAGAAGGGCAAGGTTGGGCAGCTATTCACCAATAGGTGAAAGGTTCTAGAGCAAGGGGCATCTGGTGAGTCGAGCTATCCACCCCCGCAGGGGTTTTGTTGCGACAGCCGAGAAACAAGGCCATCAACAGACGGAAAGTATTTCGGCCGAAAAAGCTTCTGCCGAGACAGCGACTCCGGAACTGGATTAGTATATCACAGCATCCTTGAACGATATGCATTCATCGCAAACGACACCCTTGAGCGATGCGCATTCGCGACAGTAATGTCCCGTCTTCACCGTCTCTTCTGTCTCGGACGAATGTTGACATTCGTCCAGAGCAGAGGGGCGCCCATATACTATAAGTAGCTAGTTCTTTCATCAATGAAAAAGCAGACTTCACAACAACCACAATATTCAGTACTGTAGAGACCACTACACTGCGAGAGCACAGATCAGAGCACACTCATGCTCTTCAGTCCCAACCTGCTGGTTTAAGAGCTCGATACAGAAGTCGAGACAAGCTCTCTGAAGAGCGTTCAGTTTCTTGCTCTCGTACGACGTCTGTTCATCGTCGAGCTCTAGCTCTGAAAGTGAGCAGGAGAGTCGGGCCTGTCGCCACAGAGCTCTCCATGCGAGAGCCTGGCGCCGAGTGAAGCTATATCTTGGACTGTCCCAGTCATGGTCAGTCCTTGTACGAGCAAAAAACATCAGAACACGCTGCCATGGCTCGACGTGGCGCCGAATGCTGTCCTGGTCCATATACGCCTGGAGTGGGCGAAAAGGGCTCTTGTCTTTCTCCGTACGAGCCACCTCGACCCGGATCAGATGACCAGTATTTTTGGTGGCCCACTGGCTGATGCGGCCGGCTTCGCCCATCGCGTCCCAGATGGCTCGTACGAGCTGCTCAGTGCCTTCTGCATCTTCTTTCGGAGTTTTGATTGATGCCAGTAGTGGCTTGAATCTGATCCTGTCAAGGTAAACAGCCCACTGCGTACGACGTAGCCACGGGTTAGCCTCATCGACCTGTCAGACAGAATAGAAAAAAAAAAAAAAAAAAAAAAAACATACAACAGCCAGGATTCGCATGTGGTCACCCACCATACAACTAACTGGCCGGCGTGTGGCTTAAGTATGGCTGAGCGGACGGGAAGCCCTGTTCTCCACACCCTGTGGTCGTATGTGCTTGTCTTTTTAATAAGGTAGCCTATCAACAGCCTATTTAGTAAAATAAATTAACTGCTTCGTCAAAGGCGCTCAAGAATAAGGTGTTAGGAGAATTTATCCTGGTCTTGACTCTTGAACTACATTTTCTCTTAGTCACAGATGCGATCTCACTACGCGTATTATCCTGAATGAGAAATACTTTGATAGCACTTCATCATCTAATCATAGTAAGCTTGATAGGCTTCACTATTGATTTATTGCCGACCTCACGCGGCTAAGTGGAGAAAGAAGAGTGTAGTTTGGCCATAACGGGTCACCTGTTGCTGCGATCGTAGAACGTAGCGTCAGATGGGGGCCCGTTCGCACTCCCTGGTAGGAGGCAATTTGTCTGTATTATTATACATTCTATGTACAGAGGGGAGCGGGAGGGACAAAATCGAGACTTGACTACGCAAGAGATGACGAACTACCTATATAGGCAAGCAAATGACTCTCATGAGGCAAGGACTGACTCTCGTGAGGCTGCAGGCACTATGAGGCAACCCTAATAAAACTACTCTCTTTAAAAATTTTAAAAATTATTGTTCCCCGCGATGCCATATCTTTTTTGAATAACGCCCCAGCTTCTTCTGGGCATTCTTGTAGATCTCTTGCCAATCTCTATATGTCCGCTGCCTAATCTGAGCTAGAGAATCCTTGCTATGAAGCTCCTGAATATATATCTCTGCGTGCTTTATCCTTCTTAGCAGTCTTTGTGCTTCACGGAACTATGTCGTCATTTAGGATAGTTGCCTTATAGATCTCTCATCTTTTCTTAGGAGATTACCTGAGTCAGAGTCTTCCACCTCTACCCTCCTAATATAGTCCACCTCAATATGGCTTAGGCCTTCAATAATTTCGTTGTCCTTTTTGAGTTGGCTGAGTTGGGCTTTTCTCAGTGATCCCTGTTTATTAGAAACTTGCTGTCGTATGGCCTCAAGCTCAGCTTTTAGAGAAGGGATAAGAAGGGTCTTCTGCCACTCGCTGTTAAGATGTATATCGTGCTGAGAGACGTTTCTCGATTTCATGAAAGATCTGAGATGTCGCCTGCTTGGTGCAGAGTTTTTAAGGAATTCTCCCAATTAGCTCTTTCGCACGCTGGGAAGAGGAAGTGGAATAGCTCTGCCTTGATAATAGCTTAGAGTCTATATAGTGCTTATGGTGCTTAATAGATAGCTATCTAAGTCTGTTGGCAGGATCTGTAGTTTGTGGTTGAAGCTACTTGGCTTTTGACTTCTTTGCCATCCATCTACTAGTAGAGTCTCAATATCTTCGATCAGAAAAGGGCTCTACTGTTCACCATATTTTTTCTTATAGAACTCTTCAACTCCTATATAGACACTATACCAGACTTGTAGCTTGTTAGTGCGACTCTGACGGCTCTAGAAAGCCGACTGGCTAGGATACGGAATAACCCAACATGTTCAGATAAAGGTCTCCTTTAGCCATTGACGCCATGAACGTACCTATTCCATCCCGATTATCTGAGCGATTACATCAAAACATTGATGGAAAGCTAAACGATATGGCTTATTTTCCCAGCCTTTTCGAGCCCTATCACCAAGATTGCCATCCTTTTGCCAACCCTAAAGGAAGGTAAAGAGGACTTCAATATCGGTTTAAACTTTATGACCTATAGGATGAAAGGCTAGAAGACTTCTATCCTGAAAAAGAGATTGGAATCCAGGATCTATAAGTGGAACCTGCCCCTCTCTAGCACTCTTTAATTCGTCTAAACATATTGCCATAAGTGAATTTGTTAAAAGATGATTAGCAAGTGTTTTAAACACCTCAAGTCGAAAAGATCGGAGACAGAGCTATATAAGGAGCTTCAGCAATAGGGTAGAGAATATCGGGTTTTCAGAATGTTTAGAGAGGCGATCAAAGATATCATGAAACATAATGAAATCATTCTTCATCATTTTGACTGAAAGATACCGTTGGCGATAGGCAGACTGGAGGCTTGGTGTGTTAAACACCATATATGGACGGCACGATTGCTCAAAAACCATTATCGACCAATCGACCTTTTGAGCCATCCATGCATATCCAGTGTCTCTTAGCCGATTCCCTATCCCCATCCCCTCTTTTCTTTCTCTTTCATCAGATGGACTAGATCTAATATAGGGACGGCGGTCGAGCCAGAGCCCAAGGCTTTATTAAGGATGCCCACCTCCACCATAGGCAAACTTAAGATATTTTATAAACATCATCATGACTCTAGAATGCTGCCAGTGTATATATGTCCGGGGATAAAGGCTATATGTCATTTCAAAGCCAACACAAAACTTGTTTATGTTCCAACACCACTAGTCTACCATAAGCGGGGTCTTATGCTTCCAAAATGGTTAGGTGATAGCGCCTTGAGAATCTGCGGTGGTCTGTTGCTGAAAAATCTCATTCATCTTAGCCAACAACATCCCTGTAACTCGATATTCTTCTCGGACACCATAAGACTTGCTAGAACAGCCCTTTAAGGCCTGATTTGCACGCTGCTTGTTGTGGAGATATGCCCGAAGAATATGAATAGGAGAATGACTGACCGCACCTCCAACATGTTGCCAAGTTCAAACCATAGCTGGATCTAGGGCGAGGGTATCAAGGCCTTTGTTCTGGAAGAGGTACTAATTACCTGCAGCAAATATTTCCTTCGATGTATTATAATGCTGCACATATAGCAACCCTTCTTGGTAAAGCACGCTTTTATGCTTTGGCTTAAGCGTTTAAGACCCCTGATCACGAGTATAGGATTGAGGATAAAAAGTTCTTGTCCAGGGGCAAGATCGATCATGATCAACCTCATCTTCAACCTCATCAGAATCAGAATCATCAACATCAACATCAACATCAACATCAATATCAACATCAACATCAACATCAACATCAACATCAACATCAACATCAACATCAACATCAATATCAACATCAACATCAGCATCAGCATCAACATCAACATCAACATCAACATCAATATCAACATCAACATCAACATCAACATCAACATCAACATCAACATCAACATCAACATCAACATCAACATCAACATCAATATCAACATCAACATCAACATCAACATCAACATCAATATCAACATCATCATCAACATCAACATCAACATCAATATCAACATCAACATCATCATCATCATCAATAACATTATCATCCTCAACATCGCTCTCTCTTAGAGTATTACTTAGGACAAGCCAATCTGAAAAACTCTTTAAGCAGCAACCACGCCAGCTAAACGCGTATTCTTTTCCAGTGACTGGGGTGACCTCTTTAGCAATATCGTAGAAGTCATTCTTAAGGTAATCTAGATCAACCATCTGATTCCATTGTTTAAAGAACTCCATATATGCTTCAGACCAGGTTGGTTTCTGGGTTTTAAGTTTCAGGTTTTTTGCTGTTAGAAGGATGTGGCATCTAGAGAAATGAGAGTTCCCAGGTTGCTGGATTTTGTGTCCAATAACATTCCAGAGCCGACCTAGTCCCTCTTTCGGGAGATAGTAATGGAAGTCCTAGGGAGAAGTTTTATGGGAATCACCTCCTACCTGGTTCTCTTTTGATGAAGCAGTAGCGTTGAGCTGGATATGGGCTGCACTTGAAGGAATGTGCTGGTTGAGGGATATAGGGTAGACCTCCTTGATTGCTGGAAGTAAGATCTTATCCGTCCAGGTGGTATACTCATCACGAGTTATCACCCATTTGTCACGGGGGCTATAGAGACCAGGGAAGATGAGGTAGACTTCAGTTCTATAATCACCTTCAAGATTACCAAATAGGAGATGTGGAATCTGGTGAATAGGTCGATGGACTTTATGGCGGCGGTGGCTTTCTGGATCATCCCATTCCACTTCTATCTTTGGCAGATGTAATGAGCTTCGGAGGTTGCTTAAAGAGATACAATCAGATCTCCAATTAAGTCCAATACGAGCGACATCAAGACTAGAAGCAAACCCACCGCAGCTATCAATATCGAAATAAACCTTAACATCATTGAAGTTATCATCATAATCAGAGATCAGATTAATACTAAATGGCGATAGCGTTTCGGAATTCATTAGTGCTACCAAGGGGGCATTATTATATTAAGCCTCTAGTGGTGTATCCATTAGACTAGGAGATTGTCTTTCAGTACCAGTATACACCTTTTGCTGATCATAGATAGGAAACTCGTCTGCCCAATCTATTTCCCCATGTTTCATGATTGATATTTTAGAAAGAACATCTGGACATTTCCATTTGATGATCTCAGAGATTGGAACGGAACGCGGAGTAGCAGCTGGCGGTGACATATAATGATGTGGGCATCCATGATATCTATAGAGTTGATCCACAAGGGACTCAGCAAGTATCAAGAGAGATGGTGTAGCCTTTCGAGAAAATTGATTAGACTTAGCTAGTCTACTCCGACTGCTGCGCTGTTCGGTCTCTACAGAAAACATTTATTAACATATCTGATAGAATAAGTTAAGGAATAAACTCACCTAGACTGTTTATTGTTTATTAATAGTCATCTAGCATACTATCTGATTGGGCTTCTATCAAAAGAGAGCTCTCGCCACCAGGAGTAGTACTAGTATGTAAAGGCCGATGATGGAACAAAGTCTGCGATGGCCGATTATCTATCATCTCTAGATAATGTCAGTATATTAGAATAAGTTTTGAGAAAGTTGAGCCATACCTGAAAGCGGTTCTTCTACTTCCCATGCAGGATCAAAAGAATCAATCTCAACATCTGGATTGATAGAGTCAAGTGTTTGATCTATAGGACTAGTATCAAGCGAGAGCTGACGGTCAATAAGTTCAGGGGTGAGATGGACATCAGCATCAACCGCACTCTCTAGCTCAGAGAGAATAGTAGAGTCTGGTTGCTCAACAAGAGGAGCAGAGGGTAATGGTAAGGGATTATAGTGAATGAAAGATATCACTCCATCCTGAGGATTCACTAGAGGCGTCTGTTCTGTCAGGCATATAGGCTCCTGTCTTCTGGCTCGTCGAGTCTAGACATGTGCATGGGTTGGGTATGGGTCGAAATTCATACCCATACCCAACCCATCAGGGGTAAGGTAAACCCATACCCATACCCAACCCAACCCATATGGGTATGGGTTGGGTATGGGTCCCATATGGGTATTTTAGTTGCCTTAATGCCTTAATAATGCCTTACGCTAGTCTGAAATAGAGCTAGTTTACTTAGCTAATTATACATTATAATGCATGTAATTTTTGTTGTTTTAATCAATATCTGTGTCATGTGCACACCCGACTCGTTTTTTACGAGTCGGGTGTGCTTCACCGGTTCTGCCAATTTCACCGGTTCTGCCAATTTAAAATATTATTTTACTCTCTCTCTATCAATTCTGCTTTAAATACAATTCTGCTGCATCTGTTTAAAATATAGTATATCCCTTTCCATCGCCTCCAATATTTGGCCATTTCCCCCTGAATTGGCTCCTGAATCTGCTCCTGAACCTGCTCCTGAACCTGCTCTTGAACCTGCTCCTCGGCCTGTTTTTGAGCTTTTAGAGCTTCTTGGGCCTGTTTTTGTAATTTTTTTTCTAGTTGTAACTCCTCCTTGGTTTTCCTGATTTTCACAAAGCGTTTTATATGGTGTAGGTTTAATACACCAGTCTGCTGGAGGGGTGGTTGGTTAAGCTGTCGTTTGGTTTTAGAGCGCCGAATTGGTTCTTGCGCAACCCTAATATTCTCAACCGTAATCTTAAGATTTCGATACTCTTCTTGGATCAATTGGGAATGGCGAGTAAGATATTTAAGACCCCTTTAAACCCTTAGTTTGAGGAGGTCTATATCAATATGCTTGATAATCTTCTCTTGGTTCATCTGAAGTCGTACTAAGGTTTTTGGCGGAGTATATTCAATACTAGAGGAAGAGAGTGGTAGAGATGGTGTGCGTTCATCATTGTGTTGACGAAGAGGACCTATAAACCATATTGTTATGGGATCGTGCCTACGTTCACGTCCATTCTACTGAGCTAAAAGACTATAATGATTTCGCTCTCACGAAATCATACTTAGGCTCTACTTGTATAGTGCCACTCTTGATCCTACACTAAACATCATTTGTCAGGTGTTCTTAACCTATGACACCTCACTAGGTTGAAAACCACACTCATCAAAGTTATAGATTAACCGCGAAGGCATACCACGAAGCAGATCATACCAATGACCTATCTTAGCTGGATTTTTAGCCATCATTCGCTTAGAATCCTTGACTTTCTGCTTCTAAGGACCTAGTTTTAGACCTTTAGGAAGACGCTTAGTAAAGCGATATACCCAATTTGGCCCAACAGTTCTAGTATCCTTAGTATCTTCAGAACTAGAATCTTGAAGTAGGCGATTTGCCCACATCTCAACCTGTTTTGGTGTTGGTGGCATACGCCAATCAGTTAGCTGGGTAATTTAGCGTACTAAAATCTCCTCCTGGATATCGGTAAAAACCTTATTGACTGGTTTTTGTTGAGTTTTCGCGGTCGCATTGGTTTTAACGCGGTTATGGAGAGTACGTCGATTGACACCAAATTCGCGCGCAATCTTAGAGATATTTGGGTTTTTTTCGCGTTTGGCGCATCAAAGGCCTTAGAGAGATGGGCCTTAGTCGATTCAAAGGTTTTAGGCATGGTGGGTGGGAGATATTGGGTAAAATAGAATGGAATGTGGAATTGGAAGAACCGGTGAAAAAAAAAAAATTGGCAGAACCGGTGAAGCACACCCGACTCGTAAAAAACGAGTCGGGTGTGCACATGACACAGATACCATCTATAATTAAAATTCAAACATTCAAAATTTGATACTAATAACTTAATACTAACTAGAACTACCTTCACTAGCATCACCACCACCACCACCACCATCGCTAGGTAGAAGGGCGCCATCATCACCACCACCACTACTATCATCGCTAGGTGGAGGGGCGCCACCACGAACACGAGCAGCTTGTCTTTCACGTCGACGTTGTGCTTGACGCCGAAGTTGTGCTCGAGTTGGTGGTCGAGCTTCTAGTAGTGGTGGTCGATAGACATGTTCATTGGGTTGGGTAAACCCATACCCAACCCAACCCAACCCACAATGGGCTGGGTATGGGTCAGAAATTTTACCCAAAACCCATATGGGTTGGGTATGGGTTTAAAGTAAAACCCACAGCCCATAAACCCATCTTTTTGCCAAGACTTTTATTTCACGTGATATTTGTCACCTAGTTAGTACTAGATTGAGGCAAAAATTAGGCACTAAGGCACTAATTACCCTAATTTAGTTGAGGTTGAGGCGAAAATCAGGCATTAAGGCATCAAAAATACCCATATGGGACCCATACCCAACCCATACCCACGTGGGTTGGGTTGGGTATGGGTATGGGTTTACCTTACCCCTGATGGGTTGGGTATGGGTATGAATTTTGACCCATACCCAACCCATGCACATGTCTACAACTTCCTTTAGTTATACCTCACCAACCAAGCATCGTAGACGAATAAAAAGAGAAGATTTAGAATACTGTGGACAGCAGAACTCTGATGGTACTAAAATGTTAACCATAACCCTTGCTGTCACGGTTATTCTCCCAATTAGGCTTAGCTGTCACGGTTATTATCCCAATCGGGAAGTGCAACTATCTTTGTTTATACCTCACCAACCAAGCATTGTAGCAGAATAAAAAGAGAAGATTTAGAATGCTGTGGACAGTAGGAATCTGATAGTACCGGAAATTTAACCATAACCCTTCTTTGAAGATTTTGGGAGCTGTCATGATTTGCTATGTAGAATCAATCTAGCGTATGATATATCAATTTTTAATACCGAAAATGGACTTAAACGATCTTCCTTTCTGTCGCAATAAATCAGGCGATCCTTGTTCAACAATCCTTCCATTTTCCATCACGATGATCGAATCACTTTGTGAAATAGTCTCTGGCCGGTGGGCTACTACGATCATTGTGTATTGCCGAAACTCCTCGCGTATCACTTGCTGAATCAATACTTCTGTCTCCTTATCAATGCTACTTGTAGCTTCGTCGAGAAGAACTAGTTTTCCGCGAGAAAGTCGAAGCAAAAGAGCGCGTGCCAGGGCGAAAAGCTGTGACTGGCCATGCGAAAGCGGCCACTCCTGCATCTGTACGTCCAGGTAAAGACCTGGTGACAGTCCAATGTTTGAAACTCTTGCCTCTAAGATAGGCCATAGATGGACCTTCTTCAGAGCTTCAACGATGTCATCATCTGAAGTAACGCCCAGAAGATCCAGATTTTGACGAATGGAATCACTTGGGATAATGAATGCATCCTGTGGAATTGTAATTATCTGCGATCGGACTTTTTCTCGGGGGATGAAGACCGTGTCTAAACCATCAATTGTGATCGTTCCATCAGATAACTCAATCATTCGTAAGAGGCTAAGAAGGGTAGAGGACTTGCCACTGCCAGTTCTGCCGCATAAACCGATCTTATCGCCCGGTGCCACTTGAAAAGAGATATGGTTAATTGCGTGAGTGAGTTCACCAGTACCGGTATAGTCGGCGGTAACGTTATTGAACTCAACTTCACCTCTGGTTGGCCACATATCTGGGAGGGAAGCCTCCTCTTCGGGCTCGGACTCCGGCGTAACGGTCGTAGCAAACGTTCTGATGCGTGAAATGACACCCAGGGATGCATCAAAACTTGCCCATGTCTGGACAGTGATCATCAGTACGATGTTGACTGTGAGGAGCACATTCATACTGATGCCAACATCGCCGGCTGTCTCACCACCCTTTAGCGTGACGATAAAAGCAACATTGAACAGTGCCACGGCGGCGATAATCAAATCTAGCACCAGCGAAAGCCACTGCTCAATAGTAAGCAGTGTGTATGACGGGACTTGTGATTCATCAAATGCCCGATTGTTATCCAAAGCATACTCCCGCTCCCAGCCAAAAGCGCGGATGGTGGCTATTCCCTGAACAGTTTCCACGAAGCTGTTATTGGGTAAGGAATTTGCCTCCATGCTCAGAAATCGAAGTTGTCGACTGGTGCAAAGGTATACCTTTTGAATCAGATAAACTGCCAGAATAAGAAGGGGAAATGTGATCAGGTTATATGACTGGGCCATATAAAGCAAAATGAGCTGGGCTAGGAGTTTGAAGACTTGGCTTCCTAGTGCCGCAATTTGACCCGGAAGCTGACGGTCAATCTGCTTTATATCCTGAGTAAATCTCGAGAGGGTCGTACCAATGTCGGCTGACGTGATGAATGATAGAGGTGCCTTGATGACTGTGTTTAGTATTTGACTATGCAGAGCCCTGCCAGATGTGGGCACGACTAGAAGTGGCATTGTGCCTATCCCTGTCAATGAAACCCAATGTCCGATAGCCAAAGCAACGTAAACTCTAAGATAAAACCAAATGTGTTGGCTTGCAGTGTTACTCTCAGTCCAGATCCGAAGCCAGCTCTGGATCAGGATGGCGAAAATCGCAGATGAGAGGAATATCAATATTGCAGACAGAAGGCGGTATCCGCCAATTGCACTGATGTAGTGATTGTATACGGCACTATCCCCATTCTTTCGAAAAGGATCCAAAGATTCGGGACGGGACGGGGCTGTTTTGGTTTGGCAGACAGAGAGAAACTTGTCTTCTGGCTCTACTTCATCCCAATTCTCAATTGTTCTAGCGCCTCGGTGAATTTCCAAACTTTGATAGAGAGCCTGAATTTGGGGCTGATGCCAGGTCCCCTGTTCACGCATTGATCCATCGGAGTTAAGAATGACGATCCAATCAGAATCTTGTAGTATATGGGCTTTATCAAAAATTAGCGCCCCAGGAAATTTGTATCAAGAAATTGGCGAGAGACTCACTGGAATTTGTGACCAAGATTATAGTTTTGTTGAGTTGTCGTAGAAGACCATCTAGACCGAAAAGTCTGTGCATGATACAGGTTGCAGTCCGGATGTCTAATGCACTAAACACATCATCAAGAACCATAATATCTAATTTCGAGTATACCGCACGAGCAAGAGCCTTTATTAGGATTAGCGCGTTAATGTATATCTATAATAGACGGGATCACTCACCAATCTTTGTCTTTGACCTCCGGAAATAGAAATACCCCGGTCTCCCACTTGAGTGTTATCGCCATTTGGAAGATTCTGAAAATCAGAAGCCAAGTCACAGGCAAAAATAACTTGTTTATACCATTTCTCATCGGTCACCTTGGATCCTGGTGGCCCTGCTATGATGTCGCGAATCGTACCATTTCTTAGCCAAGGGCACTGAGCACAGTAAGCAACTTTGTCGTTCAGTATTGATATCTTTCCACTTTGAAGTCGACCCTCTCCGATGATTAACCGAGCAAGCGATGTCTTTCCAGATCCAGTTGGTCCAGTAAGAAGCGTAAGCCATCCAGGCTTAATGTTCATGCTGATGTCTTTCAGTACGGGGATTTCTGCCTCTTTATACTGAACCGTTGCATTTTGGATAGATATTGCGTAGGTCTCAGCGTTACCGGCGTTATCGGCGTTATCGGTTAGTAAATCTCGGTATAGCTGGTTATCATGGCTATGAGGTTTAATAGCATCTTGACATAATTCGCGACTGTTTTGGTGAACGAGCCTAGTGAGAAAATTTTGCACCCTGTCAAATGCGGTCATGGCCGTGAGCAATTCAGGCAGGATAAACATAATCGAATTTGCGGGCTGTGTGACCATCTGGATTAGAGCAAAAGAAGTGAAAGCACGATCTGTATCAAGCGGAGGGTGGTTGGTCAGTTTGGCATAGACCGCGTATATTCCAAGTGTAATCACAGGTCCAAGAGCGTTCAAAAATGTTGCTAACAGATAATCTTTTAGTGCGAAGGGCGAGATTTGAACCAGGAAAGATTCCTTACCACAAAATATTAGGATAATATCAAGCCAGTAAGTAGCAACACCTGCTTTTAGCTCGCTCTCGCGCGCTGTCTGCACCTTGATCTCCATCACGCTAGAGTATCCCATCATCTTGATCGTTTGCAGATGCTCTAGCAGGATTGTGACTAGGTCTACTCGATTCTGCGTTGCCTCGCTCCATGCTTTCTGTTTGCCCGTGAAGTGCTTAGAGACCCAATTTCCAGCTTGTGATGTAGCTAAGATATTGATATTAGAAATCGGATTTTGTGCCTCTCAGATATTATAAATTCCTTACCGATCAGCATAAATAAGGGCACTATGCTGACCCACCCAAGCTTAGACGTAAGCAGATATAGGCCCAGGCACATTGAGAGGAACGAAGACCATATAACATGAACCCATTTCATGGCCCTTTGAAGGTCCTCAACGTCACTACTGGCGAGGGTAATCACAGAATGCCCATCATTATCAGAATTCAAGGTTTTTTCGTGGAGAATACCCATCAATGAGCCTTTCGTCGCGATTGCCACTCGGCGCTCAGCAGTTTCTCGTCGACCTTTGAAAACCTATTTTCATATAAGTAAGTGAATTTAAAGAAGAGGGCAGCAACTGACAGCCAACCCAACGTAGATCAAAATGGTTGTAAGGATTAACCTGACGGCTTCCTGTTGGCGCAATTCTTTGCTTAGAGGGTCGCTGACATAGCGAATCAAGCTAGAAATCAAAGTTGGCTGTGCGTATTTCAGACCAATCGAAACCAGGATAAATGGAATAGCCCATAGATTCTCGCCCAATGTGCTTCTTAACGTTGTTAGTAACAGCGCATGTCTTTTCTCGGGGTTTACTGTAAGTGAATAGATTAGTGTTTTATGCCGATTTGACTTCATAAGTCGAATTCTACTCACCTTGGTTCTCCCAGTGATGGATCATTCTCTCTTTTAGACGGCTGGAGAATAATGCATCAGGGACTGGAGGTAGATCCGTCGCTTTTAATATTTTTGAATATCCATCTCGTATCAAAGATGTTATCCACCAATAGAAAGCCTGATTTAGAAAGCTTTCAGTTTCTTCAAACGATTTCCGCTGCCATGCTTCACGTAGAATCGGTCTTTTGCTTCTTAGTTCTAGACCCAGAAGCCCGACTTTTATGATGATCAAAGCCAAGTTCAGAAGCGACACCTGACATCCCTTTTCTTTCGAGTATAGAAAGAACACCTGGCCAAAGTCGACAAAAATTGAGAAAATTAATAGAGAATTCAGAGCGTCAAATGGACGAATCGATCGGCCGTGGTTCAAAAATGAGAAGAGTGGAACACTTGATAAACCAACAAAAGCGCCGGCAGCCAGGTAAACATATAGCGCATTTGATGCTGTCTGAATCTCAAGTATCATAATGATAAGTTCTATGAGTACCAGGCTGAATGAAAATATCTTGAAATGAAGTCCAATGTTAGAGCAAAAACTGAGGAATGGGAAGAACTTGGAATAAACAAACCACCTTCAGGCCACCTGCATAATTTCTGTTCACTTTCACTTGCTCATTTCGTATTTTCCAGTATTTCCAAGGCAGATAGAGATTGAACAAAAGTACCGGGCCCAACGTGTAGAGAAGACAGAAAATCAGATTAGATCCGTTAAGATGCTTTATAAGATTCGAACTTCGTAGTGAGGGGGAACAAAGTCTCTCCTCCATGAGACGATCACTGGAGACTATTGCCGATGTCATTTTTCGTGCCTTCAAGTTTTGCCAAATGAAGTCACGAGCTTGATTGAAGCTATGGCTAAACAGAATACCAAGTTGACACTTTTTCAGAAAATCAAGGTCAAAAGTGCAGCTTAGGATATACTTATATAATATTTTAGAAGAAACAGGTAGCTAACTAAGGTACCTGGATAGATCAACTCATGATTAGATGGGTAGCCTTGGATGCTGTTTCATTCTCCGCTCGGAGTCCGAGTCTTATCGGCAATGATCACAAGAATCTGTTTCCAGCACTTTCCTTGTTCTGGTAATATGACCACGATAACATGGTTGTATTGACTAATGTAAATCCAGGTACGGAAAACGTCAATAAAGCTTTCTTTACTAGCAGAATTCTTAGCTTTGCCGAGGTATGATACCTATCTAGGTACGGTAGCGCGAATCCTTATGAGACAAAGTGACAGGTTTGATATCCGAAGAGGGTAGACATACCCGTAGGACAGGATTTAGTGTGAACCCTCGCGGCGTTATCAAAAGTACAAACATTATGTTCATCCGAGAGCCCTAGAGGTAGTCTAGACCCAGGAATAGTGCCCCGAACCTACACGGAGCTTGACTTAAAAGTACATATTGTGTCAAACTTTTATCTCTACAATAAGCCAATAAGCTCCTGTGAAGGGATCGTGCCTGCGTCCACGTCCATCCCACTGAGCCAAAAGACTATAATGATTTCGCTCTCAAGAAATCATACGCAGGTTCTACTTATATAGTGCCACTCTTGATCCTATACTAAATGTAACAGACCAGGAACTGCTACGTGATGTTCGTAATAAGTTGTGTCAATGTGATCGAATTCTAAGTTAAAGAAGGAAGAGGAGAGAAGCTCCTCCTCGTAATGTAATCTACCTGCCACTTCGGCGGTCAGCTAGGCGGTCAGCCGATGCTGCTCTTTCTGCCTTTCGCCTGACCCGTTGTATCTGTCACATTACCCCCCTTATTGGTTCGGTTTCGTCCCGAAACCGGTGCCTCTGGTTTGTCGTCAGCCGGATCGTCTTCGAGTTCAAATCCGTCGTGCCATGCGGTCATCCACTTCTTGATGCCTCTAGGAGTCGCGAATGTCGGGTGTCTCTCGTGGAAGTCTTCAAGCAGGGCAGGGCACCCCTTGAAGTTGGAAGCCGGATACCAATTTTCCATGTCCTGCATTGTGCCCTCCCACTTAGCCTTGTATTGGACTTTTCCGTAGTGTAATCGCGAAGTGAGAATCTCCTCTACTTCCCATTCGGGCTCGTCGCTGTAGAGCTGGCCCGTAATCACTACTGGCTCTGCGTCCTGGTCTTCCTGTCCAGGGGTGGGATCTGTTGCTGCTTTCTAGAGCTTTTCGGCGTAGAACACCGGATGTACCTTCATCTGTATAGGTAGGTCTAGCCTGAATGCTGAGTGTCCTTCTTATGTAATGATCTGGAACGGTCCTGCCATCTGGTGGTCTAGTTTCTTACTCGGCCTATTGGTTGTGTAGTCCTTCATCGAGAGCCACACCATATCTCCTATCCCGAAGTCTTCTTCTCTACGATGTTTATTCGCCTGCACCGCTTGTCGAGCCTGTGCGGCTGCCATCTCTTTCTGTGCGAATGACCATGCTTCTTCGAGGCGCTGTATCCGTGTGTGGGCCTCGGCCCTCTCTAGCTTAATTCGCTTTGAGACGGGTGTTTCCCTGCTCGCGATGCTTGACCAGTCGAACGACGTCCGTGGCTGGTAGCCTAGTTTCACCTAAAAAGGGGTCGCTTATATTAAATCCTGTGTTAACGAAGATGCGGCGTGATCTAACATCGGAACTAGCTAAGGCCAGTCGTCCTGGAAGTGGTTCACGAATGGCCGAAGTCGTATGGTTATATGTTGATTGGTGATCTTGGTCTGGCCATCTATCTATGGATGCTGCCCTGAACTCAACTTCAACTTTACCCCGAGTATCGCGCAAAATTCTCTCCAGAATTCCGCGATGAATTGCGGTCCTCTATCAGAGACTATTATGTCTGGGGCTCTGTAGTGTCGATATACATTCTCGATAAACAGCTTTGCTATCCCTTTAGCATCGATCGTTTTTCTATATGGCAAGGTTATCGGTGTCTTACTTAGCCTGTCAATGATGACGAATGCCATGTCGAAACCTTCCGCGCTCCTCGGGAGCTCCTTATAGTCTATCGCGATGTGACTCTATGGGCGCTCTAGGATCGGGAGTGAATGTAGAAGACCAGGTGTCTTATCCTATGGCGTCTTATCCCGCTTACATATATAGTTATTAATATACTAGTCGCAAAACTGGGCCCAGCCGGGCCAGTAGTATTGTGCGCGGATCAGATCTTTTGTCTTCGCCTTCCCTGGATGGGCGATAGATGCCTGTTTATGTATGTCGTTCAATAGCCGTGTCTGTAATATCTTGTCTTCCTATATCGGTACCACGAGTCGTCCTTCGTAGAGCAGAATCTCCCCTTGGAGTTGAAACTTTCCGTCGCCTTGGCTCGCGAGCATCCGTTCCTCCTTCAGGGATTCAGCTTCCTTATTCGCCTAGAGTAGCTCGTCTATCAGGAATAGCCCTAGAGTTTCCATGGCCGCGATCGTGGCTCGAATCGCTGGATCTATCGCTCTCTCTGGTATCAATTGCTGGTGCCTCGGCCCTTTCCAGGAATCCGCGATATCCCCTTCGAGCTGGCCTTCTGGTCGTGATAATATATCTACTACCACGTTCTCGCGCCTAGGCCGGTAGCGTATCTAGAAGTAGAACTGACTGAGGTACTCGGACCACTATGACTGCCGTGTAGTCAGCTTTCTTTTTGTCATGAAGTATTCTAGTGCTCGATGGTCCATAAGTATATCGAATTTTTCTTTCTAAGTCAATCCTGCGAGCTCGGCTTCCTATTATTCAAGAGATTTGATGATCGCCAACATCTCTTTATTATATATATCATAATTCTGTTGGTGGGCATCTATCGTCTTCGAGAAGTAGCCTATAGGGTGCCATCGTCTATTATGTATTTATGAGAGTAGGTCGCTGACAGTCTTATCCGAAGCATCTGTCTCGAGCCTGGTTTGAATCTCTGGATCATAATATCTTAGCAGCGGGGCCTCTACTAGTAGGCTCCGTAGCTTTTCGAACGCTAACTAGCATCCATCTGACCATATAAATGGTATATGCTTCTTCGTGAGATCGTTTAGCGGCTTCGCTATCCTGCTGAACTTCGGAATGAACACTTGGTAGAAGTTACAAAAACCAAAGATTGCACCCCTTTCACTGTTTGTGGCGCCTCCTATAGGAGTACTGCAGATATCTTCTCTAGGTCGACCTTGATCCCGTCCGAGGATACGATAAACCCAAGGAACCGTGTTTCCGCTATATTAAATTCGCACTTATGGATGGCAGCCTATAATCCTGCCTAGCGGAGTCTCTCTAGCACTAGCCTAACCTGGTTGGTGTGGTCTCTCCTTACTTGTTCTATGCCGCCGCCGTCGTCGTTCGTGAATATCAGAATGTCGTCTATAAACACTACCATAAAGACGTCCAGGATATCTAAGAAAAGGCTGTTCATATATCGTTGGAACGTCGCGGGGCTATTTGTTAGTCTAAACGGCATCACCTTGAACTTGAAATTGCTATACCTCGTCTTGAATAAGGTTAGGTCCTCTGCATCTTCACTTATACGGAGTCTATGGAATCCTTGCTATATATCGAGCTTAGTAAACCTCTTCGCAGAGGATAGTTTCTCGAGTAGCTCACTGATCAATGGGATGGTATAACGGTCTTTCTAGGTGATGGCGTTTAACTTCCGGTAGTCTACACAAAACCTTAGCTTGCCATGCTATTCCGCCATAAGGATTGGTGAGGCGAACGGAGCATCACTTAGTACTATGAAGCCCTTATCAAGGTTCGCCATGATGTATTTCTTGGCAGCTTCTAGCTTCTCTGTGGACATCTTATAGAGTGGAGCGTGGCCTATGGCTTTAGAGGGGTCTGCTCCGTCTATGACTTTAATCTTGTGATCCTTCTTAGGTGCGTGCTCTGGTAAAGTATCTGATGCTGTGGCTGAGAAAACGTCTAATATATCATGGTATTCTGGCGGAACCATCGCCCTAAGCTCATCTTCAGTTTTCGGGGTGACTGGCTTCTCGCGTCGTTTGCGAAGGGCTAATACTAATCTTGAATGCAGAACTAGTGATGCCGACAAACTGTCTTTATTAAGCTTGAAGAGAAGAGAGAGAGACTAGCTATGGACATGTGGCAATATAAGGGATGCGGGTGCGGGTGGCACGTGACGAGCATGAGTGGCACAGGCATGAATGCTAAAGCAGGCACCAGCCTGTTACAATAGCCCCCTCCTATGGGTCGTCGTCGTCGGAGGCGATGTAAGCTGGAGTTCTAGAGCAGGTTGGGGTTGGTGAACGGCTGGATCGTGGGCTAGTTAAATGGCAATCCTTTATATAATGTGTTTCGGAACCGCAATAATAACATAGACCTAGGAACTGTCGCGTATCGTGGCGTACTTGGGCACGTTCTTGGGCCTGTCTCTCGGGGACGATGTATGGTTGGATCTGAGCTGTTCTTATCCTTACTTGGTTGCTTGGTGAAATCGGGCGGGTCTTAGTAGTGTTGACTGATAAATCCATTGGTTCGAGTTGGTTTATGAATTGACTAGAGGTAGGCTGGTTCTGGGACTGGTTCTGGGACTGGTTCTGGGGTTTCTTCTGGAAATTTGGCTGATTTCTGGGTTCTGGCTGGGTCTGGAATCTTGGCTGGCGACGGTCGTATCGTTGTAAAAACTCGATATAAGCTTCATACGAAAGGCTAAATAGCGAATCGCTAACTTGTTCGAGGGTCTCGCGAAGAGGGCGACGGAGTCCACGGTGAAGTGTGGTTATCGCGAAAAGCGCCTAGTCCACGAGACCTATACTTGCTTCATGCGAAAGGCGTTCAAATCTAGCTAGATAGGCGATGAGGCTTTCATCATCTCTCTGCCGGATATTGGCGAATCGAAGAATATTCTCTTGTTTCTCGCGGGGGTTATAGCATAGACGCTGAAAGTACTGGAAGATCTGATCGGGGTTGGCTTTATCTTGAAGATGTAACACTGATGCTTGTTGAGGTGGTTCTAGGCGATTATAGATATAGTTGAATGCTTGTCGTCCTGTAAGGCCATCGGCCTCTAACTTGGCTTATATTGCTGGGAGCCATGTACGTAGTGTGAAGGGCTTGCCGTCAAATCGGGGTGGGTCAGGAAGATGGTAATGCTGGTTCTGGTTCTGTTGCGAAGCGATCGCTAATAACTGGTTTTGCTGGTCTGAAAGCTGCTGCTGCATCTGCTGCACAAGAGCTAAAAGGTTGGTCTGGTCCATCATGGAAAACTGGCGGTTCGTGTACTTCTCGAAAAAGAACCGGAACCGAATCGAAAAGGAAGCTTAATAAATGCGAAGGGCTAATACTAATCTTGAATGCAGAACTAGTGATGCCGACAAACTGTCTTTATTAAGCTTGAAGAGAAGAGAGAGAGACTAGCTATGGACATATGGCAATATAAGGGATGCGGGTGCGGGTGGCACGTGACGAGCATGAGTGGCACAGGCATGAATGCTAAAGCAGGCACCAGCCTGTTACATCGTTCGGCTAATATTCGTTCTATCTCCGGAAGTAAGATAACATTTAGAGGTGCCTTCTTCCTAATGTAGTACTGGTGGAAGGCCGGAGCGCCGATTACTGCGATATGAACCAGCGGCTTCGGTTTATCGGCCTGCTTGTGTGAAGGGCTAAAGCTAATCTTGAATTCAGAACTAGCTAGGCACATGCTATTTACAAAATCCTTGAAGAACGTGAACAATTCGGGGTGGAATCGTGAGGTATGCGGTTGGTGGGTCACGTGGTACAACCACATGATAGTTCACCAGGATTCAACCTGTTATAATACCCCCCTCCTATTCTCCTGTTTTCCGGGGTCCATTCGAAGTCGTAATTGGTCCGTATCGTAGTTCAAAGGTGTCGAGAGCTGTGCAGTTTTCTACTGCGTCGATAGGTTCCCATGTTAGTTCTGCGTATCCTCGCCATTTCACTAATGCTTCCCTCCGCGATCCACGTCCAATTTTTCGTGTCCTTGCTTATAGGATCTCTTCAATTTCGTATTCCAGATCTCCTTCGACTAACAGCGGAGGCGGTTGCGAATCGTCCACGATTTGTGATGGTAACGGGTCCGTTGCCGCGGGTCTTATTAACTCAATATAGAAGACAGGATGTATGCCGCTTAGCACATCCAGCTTCACTATATAAGAGGATGGCACTTCTAGAACTATGTATTTGGCGTGAAGCCAGTCTAGTTTCTTTGAAGGCCGTATCGTGCGTACATTCTGTAGGTTTAGCCATACTTTATCGTTGATATTATAGACTAGAGCGGCTCGTCTTGAACAATTCGCTTGTTCTTGTTGGCGTTCTTGGGCGATAGCCATCGCTGCATTTGCCTAATCGGTGGCGTCTCGTAGCCGGTTCGTGAACGTTTCCGCTGCGATCTCTGGTCCTCTCTCTGCTTGGACTTCTATTACTTCGACTAGATCGATATGGTATCTGTGTGTGAAGAAGAATGGAGATAGTCTAGTAGAGGTTACGTCTTGGTTATTGATCGCTATAGCTACGATAGGTAATAAACTTGCCTAGTCGTCCTATGCGTATATAGTAAAGGCGCGTAGAATTCGTTCGACTTCTTGATTTACGTGTTCCGTAGCTCTATTAGTTTAGGGGTGGAATATGGTAGATAATCGGCGTCGAATCTTTAGCTTTTCGCACACGATTCGCTAGAACCCCCCTACGAACTATAGGCCGCGGTCACTAGTGATCGCTATTAGTAAACCATGATGTATATAAATATGCTTTATAAAGATATCTGCGACGCTTTCCGTAGTAATACTATATATATCTATTAGGATCACTCCTTTAGATAGCCGATCAGTAATTACTAGATAATTCGTCGCTCTTTCTTTCCTAGTGGGTGGAAGTTCTGTGATAAAATCCATAGATAGTTCGGCCCAGATTCGTTATGGAATTGGTAACGGTTTAAGTAGGCCTTGCTTCGAATCTCTCTAAATCGTGTTTCGTCTATAAATCGTGTAATTCCTTAAGAATCTCTATATATTGTTCGTCATTCCTAGCTAAAAGAATCTATAGGCTAGTATCGTATAGGTTACGTCCCGTCCTAGATGTCTAGTTATATAGGAATCGTGGACCTTCTAGATCAAGGTTGTGCGTAGTGGTTTATTATCTAGAATCTATATCCTTTTCCTAAAATATAGAAGATTTCGTTCATCTAAGTCGCACTCGGATAGGCTTATTTTCAGGTTCGATTTGGTAGGGATTCGTCGGTCTCCCTTTTCAAGTGCGAGTGCGAACTACTAGTATATTTGATCTTCCTTCCGCGCGTTATTCTATGCTTCCTATATTTCTGCTTCTTCAAACATCGCTACTAGTATATCAAAGTCTAAAGATAGACTTGGTTTAGTGCTATTATTACGGATTGTTACTGATTCGAAGAGTTTCTAGAAACGATTCGTGAGCCTCTTATCAGAGATTCCTTTAGGTTCGTCTTGTCCTTGCCGGGATAGAGCATCTGGTTGGATCGCCTGTTTCCTAGGTCGATATCGTAGCTTAAAGTCGAATTCGGCCAGGATGTCTGCCTATCTTATTTGTTGTTCGCTTAGATCCTACGCCTTATGAAAGTATCGTAGATTTTTGTGGTCCGTTAAGACCACGAATCGCGGGACCATCTTTAGCTCTAGCTTCTATTCCTATAGCGTATAGATGATAGCGAGTAATTCCTTGTCGTGTATCATATAATTAGTCTCTATAGGTGAGAACTTACGCGAGAGATAGGCGCATGGTCTTAGCGTCCTATCTTCTTGTCTTTATGATAAGACTACTCCTATCGCCTATCTAGATGCGTCTGTTTCCACTATTATTTCGGTGTCTTCTCGGAAATAAGCTAATATTGGTGCAGAGATAAAGAGGTCCTTTAGGGTCTCGAATGATTCTTGTTTCTCCTTGTCCTATTTAAATATCGTATCTTTCTTTATTAACTACACCAATAATGTAGAGACGTCTACGAATTATGGTATAAACGTCTAGTAGAAGTTAGCGAATCCAATAAAACCACGTACTTCTCGGATATTAGTAGGTGCTTCCTATAGCTTAATGGCTTCAACTTTCTTCGGGTCTATATATAGACCTTCTCTAGCTTGTATGATGAACCCTAGGTATTTTATAGAGCTCTATTCAAATTCAGATTTCTCGATATCGTATTAAAGTCCAGCATCTCTTAGCTTCTAGAGTACCTCGCGTACTTTTTGTCTATGATCTATGATCGATCCGTTGGAGTAAATAATAATATTGTCTATATATGCTGATATAAACTCGTCGAGAAATTCGCGTAGAACTTCATTGATATACCATTAGAAGGTTGCGGGAGTGCTAGTTAGGCTAAAAGGTGTAACTAGCCACTTATAGAGCCCGTATCGTGTTCGAAACGCTATCTTCTATTCTTCGCCTTCCTGTATTCTGATCTTATAGAAAGCCGCTATAATATCGAGTTTAGTAAACCAGCGAGCCTTCGACATATTTCGTAGTATTTCTTGAATTAGAGGTAGGGGGTAATAGTCCTTGATGGTTATAGAGTTTAACCCTCTATAATCGACACAGAATCGGATGCCTCCACCAGGTTTTCGTACTAATAACACTAGTAAAGCTACTAGCGATTTGCTGACTTATATAAATCCTTTTCCTAGTAGATTGGTAAGAGTTTTTCGTAGAACTAATAGCTCTTCTCTATTCATTCTATATAATAGCCTATAAGGTGGTATCGATTTGTTACCATTTCCATCGCGTGTTAAGGGTATCTTATGATCGATCCCTAGGCGATGGCTCGGAAGCTTGTCTGCTTTCTCCTGGCTAAAAACATCTAACCAAGGGAGATATTATAGGGGAAGTTTAGCTCTCGGATCGGTGAATTTCTTAGGTTGCAGCGCCTTATCGATATCGTCCATAGTTACTTTAGCTATTTAGAGGTAGTCCGGCGATAAAACACTATCGAATAGTTCTTTGATTTCTCCTATAGATGATTGCTGTACTTTCAATCTCTTTACTTTTATTAGACCGATTGACGGGTCGATGCGGTTCTAATAACGAATGTGCTCTCTATTTCTCGAATGGATATCTAAATACCCTTGTTTTGTAGTGTAAACTCCGTCGACATCTTTTAACCAAGGCGTCCTAAGTATCATTTCGTCTAATTGTCTTAGAATGATATAGGCAAAGACTTTCTGCTATTATAGTCCATTAACATCAAGATCGAAGTATATGGCCTAAGTGATCCATCCTTGATTCTTGATGACTCCGTTCAGGATTCGCGGTGGAATCGGGATACGCGGAAGGTTAAGAGATTACGCTAGGTGTCCGCTGATAGATGTATAGCTATCGCTTCCGTTATCTACTAAAGTCTTCACGAATTGAATTCTATTAACTCTAGCATTAATATAGAATAACGCCTCTTTCTTTAGTAGCTTCTTAACCCTCTTCTGCTCCTGCTCGCGGTTTAATGCAGGAGCTAATCTTTTCCTAAATCATTCTCCGCTTTATCTTCTTTAATCGCTGGCGAATACTCCCTTCTTCGGGGGTGGCTCGATCTTGGTTCTTCAACTACTATATTCTGTACCACCACTTGGTTCGGATTCTATGCGGGCAGTAAAAGGCATACGCTTTGCCAATAGTTATCTCGACCATATCGTAGATATCTCTTTTCTGTACGGCGATATTAGAGTTCTTCTTTCTCGACCCATTTTGCATGTTTTCCTATAAGATGTTGATCCTCTTTACGAACCTGTCCCTTTTTGTTCACGAATCGGGACGAATTTGTCTATATGGTGTTCGTGTTTATTATTAGAGTCTAGTCCATCCTATCCTCTATAGCTATGGTTGATTGATCTCTTTGGATTCGCTGGCGAGTGGATAACTGGCGTCTACCTAATACGATATTTAGTATCTCGCTATCAGTATCGATTTCGTGGAGCCGTGTGATAAGACCTATAAAATCATAGGGAACACCACGATTCATAAGCGAATTCGTTATATCTTTATTAAGAGCATTTAGTAAGAGTTGTCGTTTTACTTCGTCGTGCTATTTGGTTGCACCAGCATCTGCGAGCTCTCTTTCTAACTAGGGAAGGAATCGTGAAAAAGGCTGGTCGGGCTTCTGTTTAAGCTAATATAGACGCCGAGCTGCTCGTGATCGAGCGTTAGGGTCCCTATATATCCTCTCAAGATATTCTAGAAGCATATATAGGTTGCCTTCGCTTCGTTATGTCTTCATAAACGTTCCGGTGTTCTTGGCGGCCATTTTCTCTAGGCGGGAAAATATATAGAGGAATTACTCTTATAGGGTACCGATGGCAGCTCCGTCTACTAGTAATTTGTTCTCTATCGAGATTCTCTAGGTTAGCCAATCAGAGATGTTTCCTGCATACATCGCGGGGTCGGGGAGACGAGGGCGAGGTCGTCGAATCTGGTTATTATCGCTGGTTGATTCGATTGGTATCCTTTGTGGTTCCATAGGTGGTTCGGGAGCGGCTCGCTCCTGGGACCGAACCACTAATTCTTCGAGTCTTCTAATTCTCTCATCGGTACTAATACTTGTCTAACTGATGTGCTGCATCAACGTCCTGGCCTACTCGGGTGGGCTCGACGGTTCGCTTACAGTCATGATGATGAAGGTATTCGTTTTCTTCTCGTGTTTAAATCGGATGCTTTCCGTCTTCAATTCGTTTATCGGATGCTCAACTAGATACTTTCTAAGAGCGATTTCGTATTCATAGGACGCTCAATTAGATACTTTCTAAGAGCTTTTCGTATTCGTTGGTATGCTCGATCGGATTCTTTCCGAGAGCGATTCGTTCGTCTGTCGTATATGGCTCGATCAGATACTTTCTGAGAGCGCTTTTCTTATCGTCGGTCGTGGGTTTTACTCTCGTTAGAGGAAGGATTTTGTATGTGAAGGGCTAAAGCTAATCTTGAATTCAGAACTAGCTAGGCACATGCTATTTACAAAATCCTTGAAGAACGTGAACAATTCGGGGTGGAATCGTGAGGTATGCGGTTGGTGGGTCACGTGGTACAACCACGTGATAGTTCACCAGGATTCAACCTGTTACAATCCTTACGAGAACGGGGCACTAGTTGAGAGCTTGCCTTTCCGGAAACTCGACTCCTGATATATGCTTTCTTTAGTGCCTCGCTGTTATAGTGGTCGGCATTACCAGTCAGTTTATCTTCCATCTGCATTAGCCAGTCTTCGAACTCGTAACCGTCTGCTCCGGTAAACAGCGGTGGGTCGCATAGCTTTGCAGTTCTCTTGCCTCCGCGAGCTCTGGTGCTCTCTAAAGTTTTAGTTCCTGGGGTCTCGTCACGACGGAGGTCAGGGCTTTTATAGCGTGCCACGCGGAGTAGAGATGCCTCTAAGTCAGTGATCTCTGAGCGAGAGAATTCGATAGCATTCTTCAGGGTAGTATTTTCCTCTTGGAGGCGAAGGACGACCTCATCGGAAGTCTCCTTGGTTTCTCTGAACTGGTTGATGATACTCACCATTGACTCGAATAGGTTCTCAGGGTTCTTACGGAACCAGGCTTGGAACTGATCGAGGTTCATGCCTTCATCGTTTAAGATGTTCAAGTCGTGTAAATCATCGAGTAGGGCGTTCACGCCCTTAACAGGTTCTTTCAGCAGACTCATACGTCGTTCTGCATCAGCTCTCATGGCTTCCTATTCGTTCTGTTTTCCGTTCATTGGCGAGGAAGTGTCTCCGCGAGACGATCGAACCTCTCGAACCATTAAACGCTATCGTCTTAGTTGCGTATTCTTCGCGTCACGCCTTCTCTGATATGATCTGGTGGTTGCAACCTTTTGACGGTGAAAAGCTGCGAAACGGAGGTGGTTTGGGGTGAACTTAGAATAATGTAACAGACCAGGAACTGCTACGTGATGTTCGTAATAAGTTGTGTCAATGTGATCGAATTCTAAGTTAAAGAAGGAAGAGGAGAGAAGCTCCTCCTCGTAATGTAATCTACCTGCCACTTCGGCGGTCAGCTAGGCGGTCAGCCGATGCTGCTCTTTCTGCCTTTCGCCTGACCCGTTGTATCTGTCACACTAAACATCATTTGTCAAGGTATTTTTTTAACCTATGACAGCTCCATACTTAAGTCTAGAACCAATTAGCATGAATTTTACCGACCAAGGTAGAGAGACACGAGTCTAGGCCTCGCCCTCACCCGCACCGAGTCCCACAAACTGGAATTGGGAACCGACCCGAAACCCGCATTGCTCCGCCAAGACTCACCCGCACCCACCCGCGTTACCCGCAAATGCATAACTATTTCCTAATTAAGCTGTATAAAATTGATGACTCGTCCAAAAAGTCTTATCAACCAATTATATGTCTTCATAATTAGTATAATTTGCCAAGAATTAGGTGTTTGTCCTGTTTGTGGACCCGAAACGAGTCTGCGGGTGACGCGTACCAATTCCCTAGCCCTTCGAGAGAGGAGGATCGTCATGAGAAAGGACCCCATAGTGTAATCTTCCCCTCCTCAAGTATTTCAATGACATTTATCCGTACCAGTTGATATGTACCGAGATCCCTGCAATACGCTTACATACAGCTCTTTTGCGTGGTAAACTTTTGAATTCAACATATTTTGCCCCACTGGAGGCTTGGTGGTATGTATGAAAAACGCGCATCATATACCACTGTGGGGTTAGCGCGGCGAATATCCATTTCGTCATCGATATGCTGATTGGCGGCCATTTGTGCTGGACTCATGTAAGTCACATATGTGGCTGCAGCCAACGGATCGAATTCAAGATCAGCACTCTGCATGGAGGAACTGGGACCGAGGAATGACGGCTCCAGTAAGCCTAAAAAGACGCTCTCGGGCAAAGTCATCACTTTGTTGTGAGCCATCAAATCTAATGTTGTAGCATCGGTGCTAAGATGGCCAACATCATTGACCAAGTCAAACTGGGCCGCCGTAGCGGGAAGGCCTAGACGGTGACTGTATGGAGCGTATGGAGCAAATTGATACTGAAAGTTGTTTGCAGCGGTGTAAGAGCCTGAGTCACAAAGCTGAGTACAGAAAGAATTGAAGTCGTCATTACGAAGAAATCCAGTGGTAAAGTCTTCGTGGCTTTGTGTAAATGTGTCCCGTGGACTTCAGCATTAAGACCATCCTGCCAACCTTTCAGATATATTTTGTCGAAAGAGATATCCTGATATAATACTGCACAGTGGGTTACATCTTTCACCGGTCGGATGTTGGATGCTCTCTCAACAGCACGCATGACCTGCATCTGGTCTGATCATTTTCATGTGTTGGACCCGCGTTAGCGCGGGTCCGTAATAAATTGGTAATTTATGAAAGGGACCGGTTAAGGCCTACTTTTAGCGTCCAACGGTGTTTAGTGTTCATTACCAAGCTAGGCCCGTCCTCTTGTCAATGCACATCGTCTGAAGCCCGGTCATCAAACTCCTGAAGCTTATTATCGGTTTCTCGATTACTTGACACGGTATAATGCAGGCTCGAGGAAAGCGTAAGGTGTCTTCTTGCATCCCTTGCTACACAAGAAAACAGAAGGTGCTGGAAGAATCCTGTTTTTTCGAGCAAATGTGTGCAGAATTAATAAATATGTAAAGTGCAACCGGCAGTACCCATGCAATCATTGTACTCGCCGCCGACGCCCAGATGACTGCGCCTATTATCCATCGGAAACGCCTCAACCGGTCAACCCACCGGCACAAGCGAATGTTCAACGCAATGGAAGTGAACAAAGAAGCAGCACTCAGCCATCTGTTAGCGCTAATTTTGTCTCCCGTGACCCGTTCCCTGATTTGCAAAGCAACCAAAGTCCACAGATAGACCTAGGATCTCTGTCACTAGCAGAAGTCTTTGGCTACTCGGAGGATAGTCACACCAACACATTGGCGCTCTTACGTCTGGTAAGCCGAATTTCAAGAACAAAGCGTCCTCTAGCAACTACAGCTTCTGTATTGACATACTTTGATCAGGGAGGGCCATGGGAAGAACGCAGCCTTGATGATAGAGACCAGACCCTATCAAATGACGTTGTCGCAGACTTTCAACAAAGTTTTGACAAAATGCCGGATCGTTCGATCTTGGATTTTCTTGTGCAATACTTTGTGGCAGAAGTAAATTGGTATGTATTAGATCTCCAAAATCAACTCTCGGGCTGTTTGATCGATCGGTTGCTTTAGGATTGACCAACTGATCTATCCTCCATGGTTCCTTGAACAATATCAGCTGTGGTGGGATATGGAACAACCATCAACTGTGTTTGATATAGAATTCGCAGTCGTCATTCTAAGAATGTGCTCCTATGCCTCCGAGTTTCTCCCTTCCCAATCGTATACCATGGAAAGTATTCGTGGTATGCCGCTGGGAAATATTCGCCAACTTTGTGACAATACTGCGGACCAGTTTTCTTTAATATGCAACCGTATTAACCCGAGAGGCAGTCTTCTTCGCGTGCAGCATCTGCTATTCGCAGGGCTCAAATCACAGTGTGATGGGCAAGTGAGAGAATTTCGAGAGATACTTAAATTCGCAATACAGACTGCTTTAAGGATTGGAATTGGCAGAGAGGCTATACCGACCTCAGGTCTTGGAGAACTTGAAAAGGAGATGCGACGTCGAGTACTTTGTAACCTTTACATATGGGATAGGTATAAGCACCATGATCTCTATTAATAATTTCTTGCTGACTTTGGCTCGTACATTCTTTAAGCCTTCTATATAGGCAACAAGATCGGATTCCTATTTTTCCCTGTCTATTAAGTCCTGAAAATATGCCGCGCATGCAACTCGGCCCCGAACTTGACTACAATAAGGAAATTGATGAATTTACAGGACATCTTCTTCAAGCCCGCTTGGCGAACTTTTGGAAGGCCATATACGCTGGCTGCTGCCATTTTCAATATGACGTTGTCGCAGCTGAGGAACGATACGAAAAGTTTTGCCATGAATACCTCACCATAATACCATCTGCTTTCGCGCTACAGCCCGACACTCAATACGATAAGCGTATCTCGACACTCCCGAAACAAAGAGAAATCTTCCATATTTCCATACTTGAGTCTCTTTGCTACAACTTCTGGCCAGTGCTTATGCAAAAGCTAAGCCACATACGACCCTTCCCCAAATATAAGCAGGTCTTGCTACTATCTCAGCAAAAGGCCCTTGCAATTGCCGCGTTATATACTCTCAAGAGCACTTCCTCCCTTTATGCTTTAATGGGCAACTCCTATACTCGCCTTGTACACATTATTCGACCGACTTTTGAAGCTGCAGTGCTCCTTGTGTACCTTTCCATGGACCCAAGTCTGTTTATGGGAGATGGAAATCAGCACTCCAGCCCATCAAGGTTGGATCCCCTGAGTGATAGTATGATAGATCTTAAGGAAGACCAGTGCACGATCGCCATTCAAAAGGCCATCCACTGCTTGCAAACGCTGGCAGATTTTAGTCACATGGCTGAGATAGTTTCACGGTCTCTCATGCAACTTCTTCAAAAAACAACAAAGCAGCCTAGTACAGCTCTGAGATTGGAAAATAACGGACTATCACAAGCAAATGAAGCTTCAGGGAATCCGCCATCGCTGAATTTTACTAATTCAGACTCAATAAATTTGCCTGATATCACCATGATTGCTGCATTTGATCATCCTGATTTGAACTGGGAAGCATCGACGCCTGAACTCGGGAACCTTTTATCAGGTGAATTCGATCTCTGATTTATTTCTTGTCCATGTATAAAGATATGGCGTTCAGAGGATTTGCTGAAAATATTTTTTGTACTCAAGTACCACCAAGATCCATGATGGATATGATACGCTTGACTCCTTTAGCCTTCAAGTTGTGGATAGCTAGAGGCTGCGGCTATATGCCCAGCTTGTATCATTAATATATCTCCTATGGTTTAAACTCTATGAGACTGTATATCTCCTTCATCAGCTCCGTTCGTCCGCGTCGAATGATGATATCAGGTAATATCGAAATCTGCATTGCTATAAGGCCTGTAGCATAATCACGCTAACGGGTTCATTGATTTAGTCGCTCTATATTAAGTCAATCAATTTCTAATCAATTACTAAGAAGATTTCGGGGGAGCGATCGAATAGTGAATTCGACATATCCCGGGGCCGAAGGCGCTGGGGACATCTGGATGCCAACCGAATTATTGCGGGTTTGTTCAATTTTTTAAGAAGCTTTAGATGAAGCCGATAGCTAAAGTAACTAGGTCCAAGGAAATAATGGATATTGCCCAGGTTCTCAGAGCCCTGCTACCCGCCTAGGTAGCGAGATGACCAACTCTTCGAACCTTTCTTATCTTGGAAGTTGTAAGAAACTCCAGCACTAGCTACATTCATTCTCAGATGACAAGCATTTGAACAACCTCGAACATTAGACCTTTCACTTATCTTCAAATTTCCAAGATTCTAAGGTTTTTATCAGCCTTAAGCGCTAGGAGCCGGGTAAAGCGGTATGTAGATACGTCCATAAATATGTTCCTCAACTTTTTGACAATATTTCCGAAGGCTTTGAAATATGAGATTTTATCTATCGATGGAATTTATCGACAAAAAACTGCCATTTATAGACACAGCTACTCTTAGGTCAACACTAATTATCCTGCTCTTGCATTCCTAAAGGCACAAACGTGATCTTGATTGCCAATGGACCTGGCTTCCATGAGCCATCATTCAAAGTCGAACCTGAACTGCGTAGTATGACTGCTAAGCCCAACAATTGGGATGAAACCCGCGACTTGAGCATCTTTGACCCTGAGCGATGGCTTGTCTACAAGGAGGGAGAGTCTTGGAAGGACGCAGAGTTTGATGCAAATGCGGCTCCACAGATCGCTTTTGGTATGGGACCACGAAGCTGTTGGGGGCGCCGGTTGGCATACCTAGAGATGCGTATGATCACGACACTTGTTCTCTGGGAGTTTGATCTACTACCGGTGTCACTACCACTAGCTGATCCTAAAGCTAGCTATGGAATCGTGCACCGAGCTGATCAATGTTATTTGAGGCTGAGAAGCAGAAATTAAATTTGAGTTTGTTCCAATGTTGAGGAAATTGAGATGGAATATTTCTAGTTATTATTACAAAAGGAATCCTCTTTTTTACCTAGGTACCTACTAGATAGAGGTAGAGCACTAGACTAGGTAGTTCAAATGTTCTAGGTAGTAAAAAATTAGATTCCAAGGTTATCTTGCCTCTAACTTCTAAGAGCCCCAATAATCACCCAAGCCATCCATGGATCCTTTCCGACCCTAAGAAATTTTAAGATCGAATATTATGTTACGCAACCAGTTTAGCCAATATGCCTGCATTTTCTGGTTTCAAAAACTACCTAGGCAGACCTCGGGAGTTTTCCAAGGTTGATGCACCAAAACTTATCCTCCCTCATTCGGAATCGTAAGGCGACCTGGATACTTAAGCGACCATAACTTCAGGAGCACCACTAAATAGTTTCTGACGGCGCATTAGTAAGCTCGAAATAGATACAAGTGCTCCGCCAGTAATGACAAGAATGTACGTTTTATCGATAGCTTCGACAATGGCGCCCAAAACTTGGGTTTTGAGGTAGTGGCAATAAGGGTCATGCAGCCAACATAGAGCCCTGAGCCACCTACTCCAGCGATCACACGCCCGAGAATCATCACATTGATAGATAGAGCCGCACCACATATGGCTGAGCCAATTTCAAAAACAGTTACATGAAAGATGAAGAACCACTTAGCAGTGAGATAGCCATACATACGCCCCCAAGCCAGATTTGTGGCTGTCGCACTAAGTAGAAAGGCAACACTTAACCAGGGCATCTTTTTGATACCTCCAAGATCTTGTACAATGATAGGTTGTACATCAGCTATCACCGTTGCATAAAGAGCATACAAGAAGGTAGAAGCGAGAATAGAGGTCAGTGTCAAATACCACTTCCAGCCAATTATCTCTCGCGGTGGTGCCTCAGGTATTTCAACCAATTCTTGCTCAAGCTTGATACCAGCTTGTGTTGGCTCAGATGTATTGTCATCCGCTCGACTAGTCGAGCTTTCCTGGTATGCCTTTTCGTCGACTGGGCTACTAGCTCGTTCTTGCTTTTTAAAGAAAGTCATATTCACAATCAGGGTTGACCTCTCTGAGATGCTGACAGGATTCGAAGGATAGAAGTGTCGTTGTCGTGCCTGCAATTGTTTCGAATAAGGAATAGGTCGAGGTAAGGTAGGATGAAGACGGAAAATCGAATGTAAAGTTGACGAAAAACACAGGTATCTTAAGCTCGAGATTTCTGAGGATAGCTGTTAGCTTTAATTCCATATAAAGATCTTATAAGAAATACCTTCTGGCTGCTTTTAGTGATTTTTAACGTAGATTCCAAGGTTGATTTGTAGGAAGATGATACATGAGCTCGATAGATGAATGCGTAACTTTTATTTTGTCTTGATATCATTTGATTTATAATTATACCTAGGCTATGACAATAAATCTATAGATTTTGATAACATTTACATATAAAGGAATGTGCCTGAGCATTTACTCATCAACTAAAATATCGGCCGAAAGTTTACGGGCTGACAGAGCTAGGCCGAAAAATACCGGGCCCATACCTTCAAGCATGAACTAATTTATATTAGGATAGATAATAACTTAATATCCACTCATAAGCAGTATTTGTCGGTTGACTAGGTTATTACCGAAGCAGACAGCTATTGATATCGTTTCTGTACGTATATAATAGGTGTATGCATATTGGGTAAAAGTGAAGTGTCATTCTAAAATGCTCAGATGAAAGAAGATATAGTAGCTGCCATGCCAAGATCACATGATCTTGGTATGTCAGCTGATATTCGTTCCAACAGTATTTATTTACAGCCTAGCCTAACTAGGCTCCAGTCCGTTTTGGTTACTTACGGACAAACAAAAAGTACTGGAACATCATTTATCATCGAAGTTTCTAACCCATGGAGGTTGCTGGGATCTAGTACATCCCAATTCATTTCTTGAGTACATCCCATTTACTTTTTTGGCTCGTACGAGGCTGAAGATTTCAAATGTTTGAAATTAGTATTAGTTCTTAAATAATTTTTAATTTCAAGCTCTTCGAACATCGGGAAAAGTTGTGGTGGGTAACCCAAATTTGTAAGATATTTTGATGGGATGCGGTCGCAAAGTGACAGTCAGTATCAATCAGTGGGACAACTCCGTTTACTTCAATGAGTGTTAGGATTAGAATGGACAAGGTATCTTACCACGTGTGTGCCAGACTTCCCCAAGCGGCGTAGACCCCATGTGGCTCATGAATATCAAAGAAATCCCACTCATACGCACTAAGCCAAGAGGCCTTGGTACTGGAATATTTGACTTATGACGGTCAAGATATTGTAAAGCGGTGTATTCAGTATAGTGCTCCATGTTGCGAACCGCTTTGACAACGATTTCTGCGGAGCATTTGAACACTCCCTTCTGGCGAGCGAAGGGGGCTTTCCAAAGGACTTGACTACTCTTGAGAACTTCAAACAGCCTTTGAGAGAGTCCGACCGGTAAAGCTCGCGCAGTTTCTGACACCGGCTCGATTAATTTTGCAACCGCATCCGAAAAAGGAAACACAATTTCAACCGGGTCTGATGGGCAAGGGGATCGTCAGATGTCTTCATCGGCCTTGACAAAACCCAATGAATTAAATTTGGGTTTTTCTGGCAGACGATGATGTTAGCTATGCCAATAAAGAGCGACTGAATTGCGGTGCTTACTCGAAGAGCTTTCGGTTGGTTGTCTCATTTCCATGAGACGTTGCGGATATTCCGCGGGGAATTGCTCGGCCAAGTTGGTCTCTGGATCTTTTGTGACTGCGGCTTGTAGCTTTTTCAATACATGGGTATTGAACCTCGCGACTTTGGACTTGCTGGCAGGTTGAGCGCCCTCTAATGGCCTTTGCTCTGTCATCTTCCAGACAGCAATTTGAAGCCTCACGATCAAAAAATTTAATGTAAGTTATAACGGATAATAATTCAGGAGGCCGAATGGAAGGGGGTATATGGGTGAGTAAAAGTGAGGATAAGTGAGAAATCGGGAGTTGTCATCTGGCACAGTAGTCAGCCAGCCAATGGAATCGCTATTTAGTGCATCTTCAAGATCGAACCACGCGTTTCGGACATGAAATGTCAAGAAAATAAAAGACTACGAACAGGAGCTTTCGGTAATCTTGTCAGGGATATATACATGAAGCATACAGGACGAATGAGATATGATCTGCAGGGCCCGCTTAGTACATCTGGATTCCCTGAACGCGAAGCCTCTCTTTTTCACTTCCTCGCGCTATTTACGTCTTGTATCTAGAGCCAACTATAATTGTTCTTAACACAGATTTTTCATCGAGACACTATCCATCTCTATGTTTACGTGAGGCCCCCACAAACACACTCGTTTATCGGAGCTACGTCATCCACTCCTGGGAGCTGTAAGTCCCCTAGGAACTATGATTCTGATTCCTAGGAGCGGCAAAGAGCGTACCGAGGAAACTATTATGGATACTGGGGCCGGATATGATCCTAGGAACGCATGGGTCTCACTCGCGCAATGAAGCGAAAAAGAGGGGGAGGTCGGGCCCTCCGTAAAGCGTCCGCATTATTCGAATAGGGCCTAGCCCTTGAGCCTGAGCTGCAGGTTGTATAGTGACATCGTGAGCCCCAAGTTTAACTTGATTAATTTAATCCACTCTACTCCCTATTTTGTTGGTCCATCAAGAATGTTCACTTGTTTAAGAACGAGTCTTAAAACAAGTATTAAATGACATTATCATTGTTGGCTTCCGGGAAAAAAACAAAGACATCAGTTGGTAATCGTCAATTTCATTTAGTCTACGCGCTTGCCTTTGTACGAAGCTGCTCTCCGTACTTGTAAAAGAGGACAGGCGCTGGCACAAACGCCAAGGCAATGAACGCCAACAGGGAATTTTCCCACCCATAGTTCAGACTACTGTACATTGCGGGCCCGGCAAGGGGTAAAAATGTGCTAGACATGTACCGGAGTAGGTTGTTAGCTCCCAAGGCTGATGCCGCAGCCTCAGACCCGAAGACATCGATCAAGTACAGTTGTGCAGGTGTCTAAATTGAAATATATTAGCAACAAAACTTGAGGCTGTGATCATCAAGTAGATGAAAGCCTAACAGCGGGAACAGGATATTCGAGCTGCCCTTCAAATATCCAGGTCTATTTGGATGCGACGGAGTTCCACTTCCAAAGAAGCAACAAAAGCTGCCGAAACTGCTAGTTTCGTTCTCGCAAAGGTTGGCGATGATCATAAGTCCAACTTGTCTTTTAACCAAGATTTTTCCTGCAATTTACAAGACAATTATCAGACGAACGCTTTACTCGAAAATTCCGCCGAAATAACCGGTCAACCCCTGGACGATGGGCTGCTACTACCTGATGATATGAGTTTATTCGAGCGTGAGTCTTAGGTCAAGATCTTCCTTTTACATGGTCTAACTAAGCTATAGCCGATTACTTTCTCATGACAAGCTCCTTTAGAATTTTCACTTCGTCCAACCAGCAAGGTCAACAACTCGGACTAAACTTCAATACACTGAAGAGACCAGCTGACGATTGGATGGTGATAGATAAACCAAGGCAACCATGGTCATAAATCGAACTATAAATAGTACTACAACAAATTAGATCGTTAACAGTGGACTCTGAGACCGTACCTTGCCCTCTTTTATTTATTGTAAGAAATGTGTATAGTCTGTGAACTACGTTCCATGCTTCCTTAATGCAAAATTACCAGTACGTGATATCGTAGCTTCAACCAATTCTCTGCGCAGATTCTATCGCCTCTTTTCTAGCATTACATTTAGTCGATAAGAAGCATAAATCATGCAATTTGGATTAAATAGCGCTTATATATCGTGGCCGACCCAGTCGGTATATCTTCCGCGAGTCAAGATCCATGTACTTCTTTGAATTCTCCGAGTGAACTAGCCCTTTTAGGCCATAGAGAGACTCTTTACCGGCTGACATGCATTACTAATCCGGAGTTAATGACCGAAAAAGTATGCTCGCTGTGATTTGAAAGTGCTGCCATCGGTAGAGCCCTAATCAAAGGCCTCTGGTGGCGTCTAGATGCAACCTTCATGTCTAAATTGATAGACGTGTCCCTGATTGCTCTATCCTCTTCTGAACATTCGGCACACGCATGACCCACGAACAGTTCACGCATGTCATAAAGCCCAAGGTACTTGGCACAGAGCTCGACTTCTTCATAGTCGCCTCCAGTATCGCATCTGTGATGGATGGAGTGGACAAAGCAACTACTCTGCGGCCAAAAAATTCATGACATCTTTGGTGGACAAGAAACGCAAACGCGGAGTTGCCGGCTCCGCGTTGAACATCCCCGCTATCCTCGGCGTAGGCTACGCCGCATACTCCGATACTTTCGACTTCGATTATTTCCAATCCTTGGGATATATCAACATCAGTGAGCAAGATCTTCACATCCTGCTCTTGGAAGCAGTCCTCTCCGGACGTTTAGGCTCAAATAATACCGAGCCTCAAGTTGTCATGGGGCATCAACTAGAACTCTACGTCAAGGAATCCCACCGTCTCCTTCGAGGGACAACTTTGGCAAGACTGATGCCAATGATGTTGTTGGAAGGCTAGATAAGTCATTGGAAGAAGGGGAAAGGGTATCTGTTGTTGTTTAGTCTGTGTTTTTAGATGGAGTTTTAAATCCTATACTGATCGATATTGAAGCTGCATGCTGCATCGCTTTGTGTTGTTAAGATGTCTGAAATGATTTGTATTATTTTTTCGGGAAATTCGGTCCTCATCGCGTCCAAGTTTCACATAGCCTTGATAGAATAATCACAAAAAAAAGCGGTAAAATTGGATTCGCTCTATGTTTTTTTATTTCACCTTAGACATGGGCATTTGACGATAGTCTTCAAGAGATCTTCGAAATCAGACATACTTAGGACGAAAAGTATGCCAGAACAAGGGTATTGAAACCAATGGAATTTGGCTTACTGTAGTGAATGGACTCGGGAAGAGAATAGAATAAGTGAATGGACTCATGAAGTGAATAGAACTAGTGGAATCGGGGCATATCCGATTCCATCGCGGGAACTTAGAATAGACACACATCTTACCGCACACCGCACACTTACTCCATGTATCAACGTAGTAGTAATGGTGCATCGAGATCCATGTGAACCGACAAAAGGGCTTATGTATCTGTGAAACTATGGGGTCGAGATTTTAGGGCAAAGGCCCGGGGTTCCAAGTTCGCCCAAATGTCTTGCCCGGAGGTTTCTAATGGCTTTTGGATTATTGGCCACGTTCTTAGTCGTCCGTCAAGAATCAAAAATGACAAATACAAAAAAATACATATAACAGTCAGAATTCGCATTTCGTCACCCACCATACTACTAACTGCCCGTGGGGCTTAAATAAACGCGACCAATAATTTGAAAATTAACAAATGTCAGATTTGCCCCTCTATTCTGGTGTTCTGTCGTCGTACACCGCCTTTATTCAGGCGAAAAGACTCTATTCATCCCAACTTGACTGATAACTGAGAGTGGTGGTTGATAATGATGTGGTCCAATGCCGAATATAAATCAAATTTACCAAATTACGTTACATAAAGTATAATCTTACTTGTTAGATCTTGCATAATTATGCCTCCTTTGGCAACTATGTGCTCCAAAGATTCCCACATGTCCAACACATTCCTTTGTATTGCGCGCCCTTGATTCCAAATCAACCAAACATCAACGGGAATCAGTGACTCTAGTCCTTCATTATTGGTTAAAAAATGTGTAGACTAGGAGCCAGAATATGCCGACGCCCTTACATGACATGACAGCTTTGGTTGTCGCTCAATTAAACCCACCGAGTGGTAGGGGGTCACCATTACCATCTAGATCTTCCGGAGGATATAATAATATCCATGGAGTCACAGAACGCTTAGCTGGTTGCTTAGTTATGTGACATTGCGAGCGACATCGACCGAAGTTTGGAATGAGAGGCCACATGTACTAACATTCTTTAGGTGAAGATGAAGTCCAGAAAGGTCAAGTGAAGGGGAGGGATCTATGTCAGTGAATGCAATGAAATCGTATAAGGGGAAATCTTGAAGCGCTGTTACTTCTTTCCCTACCTGTTCACCTCTTCCCCTCATCTCTGTCATTTTCTTACCTATTACTTATATTATCACACCCTCCTTCTTGCAAAAATGCTTTTTTTGCTGTACTTCATTATTTTCATTGCCGGACAAGGTGTCGTTGCTGCTCCTCTAAATGATAAATGGGTGACTATTTTCAATCCACCTGCCACCATTATTGGATCATCTCGAAATGGAATTGACAGCTTTAATGGAATCCCTTTCGCACTACCACCAGTAGGTCCTTTACGATTGAAACCACCTCAGCCGATCACTATACCTTTTGGTATCATTAAGGCCACTGGTGGAGCCAGATCCTGCCCACAGTTCTTTTTCACCACCAACACCAAGAACTATCTTCAATCAATTTTAGGAAAATTCATGAACACAATACTACTCCAAACTGTTGTAGACGCAGGTGAAGATTGCCTTAACCTCAGTATTCGTCGCCCAGCGGGGACCAAATCTGGAGCAAAGTTGCCGGTCATCGTCTGGATTTATGGTGGTGGATTTGAAATTGGATCAACTGGGTCTTACGATGGGGGTCCATTCGTCTCCTCTGCTGTGAAATTGGGAATGCCGGTGGTCTTTTTGGCCATGAACTATCGGGTTGGAGGATTTGGTTTCATGCCCGGGTCCGAGATACTCCAAGATGGATCATCCAACTTAGGCCTTTTGGACCAGCGACTGGCCCTCCAATGGGTCGCCGAGAATATTGAGGCCTTTGGAGGGGATCCATCGAAGGTGACTATCTGGGGGGAAAGTGCGGGATCCATTTCCGTCTTCAATCAAATGTCCATGTACGATGGCAATCATATCCACAACGGCTTCCCCCTTTTTCAAGGAGCGATTATGGATTCTGGAACAATGGTCCCTGCCGAGCCGGTGGACGGTGTCAAAGGCCAGGCAACCTACGATGCTGTTGTTAGGGCGGCTGGCTGTACCGAGGCCATCAATACGCTTGATTGTCTGCGAGGTCTGGACTATCACACCTTCCTCAACGCCGCTAATTCCGTGCCGGGAGTTTTCTCTTACAACTCGGTCTCACTAGCATATGTGCCCCGACCAGATGGTACTGTGCTCACGGATTCAGCTGACCACCTTGCTGCGAGTGGTCGGTATGCCTCTATTCCTTTTATTACAGGGGATCAAGAAGATGAGGGAACCATTTTCGCCCTATTCCAAGCCAACATCACAACCACAGATGAATTGATTGACTACTTCAAAGATCTCTATTTCTTTAATGCATCACATCAACAGATTGCAGAGTTGGTCGCAATGTACCCTGATGACGCAAAAGCAGGATCTCCATTCCATACCGGTAACAGCCATAACTGGTACCCTCAGTACAAGCGGCTGGCAGCAATACTTGGAGACCTGTCCTTTACATTGACCCGTCGAGTATTTCTCTCATATGCCATCAAAGCAAAGCCAGATGTACCTTTTTGGTCGTACCTTTCCTCATATGACTATGGTCTTCCTCTTTTGGGCACGTTCCATGGATCTGACATCCTTCAAGTATTCTACGGACTCTTGCCAAACTACGCATCCAAGTCAATTCACACTTACTACCTATCGTTTGCATACGACCGGGATCCAAACTCTCGCGCAAAAGCATTCATGAAATGGCCCAAGTGGGGCGAAAAGCACAAAATGATGAACTTTTTCAATAACTACGGTGCTATTATGAGGGACGATTTCCGACAAAATGTGAGCGACTTCATTGGAAACAATTCAGAATCTTTCCACATCTAGGATGTATCCTTTTTAAGGTTTAATTATATATACTCAGCGTTAGATCTATCTTCTGCGGCGCCTCTACTTACGAATCAAGAATGAACTGAATTACGAAATAAATTGACTACCCTATCTTCCCAAAAGGTCCAATCAGTATTATGATCTCTTCTTTAGACCTTATACCGGGAAGTCAAGGAGTTTTTCATCATGCCGCCATCAGGCGAAAATGCTCGGCTGGTATGAGGAAGCCGCTGATTTGCCATTGGGTCAACTGCTGGTTAAACCAGGCTTGTGGAACCTCGTCGTATAACACGGCATTTGAAGTTTAAAATCTCCTCTATACAGGAAAAGCCCTCATAACATGCGGGTACTGTTGACCGAGGAGTTTAAAAATTTTACCTCCAACCTTTTCAGTCAGAGGGGATAAAACGAAGAATTAATAGAGAGATTGGGTAAAAAACCACCATACATGGATGTCTGGCCAGCAGTCCAGAAGTTCTTTTGATATATTTCTTCATTGTGGCTCACATACTCTTCGTTATCAAAATATATCCAACGGCGCGTAAGAATAAAGACATCGCTGTCGTCGACACAGGACATAAAAGTTGCAACTGTTCAAATTGCTGCAGATAAACTGATACATGGTTGGTTTCTGGTTGATCCTCTCCTTGATACATATCTTCTTCAGAGCTTCATGGCTCTATGTAATCCTCCTATTGGCAAAATTGGATGCTATTTGCCAGATTTTTGACACTTTTATAATAAAATATTGTGTACGGCATAGTCTGATGACGTTCTTCTTGGCTTTCATTAGTTATATTTTGGCCCAGCTACAATGAACGGTGACTTGACCTATCGCTTCACAATCATTCTCGATCTCCAAGACTATTTGAAGACTTTTTACTTCATCTTCAAATAAACAGTCCCTTTTCAGACGACAGGTTGGGAATCATGAATGAGGCGTTCCCATTACGGTGGCAAAGAGTTCAAATTAATATTTGATGGTATAACATGATCATCTGATTAATAACTTCTGCCGAGCTGGTTTCTTGGTTCTCAATGATAAGGATAAAGACCTCTGGAGCTGTATCAAATACGGGGAGAATGAGTAATCTACGTACTCGAGTTTTCGGAGCAGCCTGTGGAGGGATCCGAGCTTATTGACTCAATAATGCATTTTTGAGAGGGATTAGTCGAATGGCCCTGTTTTTGTCTGGCTCACCTGCAACAGTCCCGTATAAACAATAGTCGATCCAGAAATTATTTGCCACAGTCGCTGGTGCCAGAGTTAAAAGTGGTAAAGAGAAAGAGTGGGAGGATTGAAGGTGTTGTCATAGCTCCAAGTACGGCTTAGGCAAGGTGGGGGTTAAAAGCAACCTTGCATAGCAGAGAAATAGGGGTCATTGTGACCATCATCAAAACTCTACTAAGGATGAATTCTAAGCAAAGTGCACACTGGTATTTGAATCATTGAAAGTAAAGAGAAAGAGAGAGAAAGTATCTCGGCCGAAGAACCTGCGATCCTACAAAGATGGCGGCAAGATTAATATCTATATCTAGTGTTAGGGTATCAGAGGTCTTCGCATTTCACTTTCACTAAGACAGATAATATGATTGGTTGCTGTGGATTCCAAATTTTGATTCACAGCTGGGGTTCCTTAATCCGCACAACTGAAGAAAGTAATGATATGCATATCACAAAGCACCATTGAACTTTGAGCTAGGGTTGTCCACGGGTGCATGATATTGCCTAAATTAGTTAGTTCGACAATACCGAGGTTCGAGCCTCGCCGATCCCTGATTTGTTTCTCCACTTTCAACCTTGCAAGGTTGCCATTTCCAATTTGACTGAAGAGCTCTAGAGTATTTCTACACAGTAGAGACATAAAAAGTTGGAAGGAACCTCCGCTTGGCTGAAAGCACAACTTAATAATGCCCACATCAGATCCTCTAACCATGGGGCGTTTCTGGATTGCGCTCTGTACGCTGGTATTGGGCCATACTGTGGTGGCGATGAACTTGGATGCTCATAAGACTAGCCTCAGCAGCTGGCTAGCAACAAACACTGATATTGCCAGAAAGAGCATTCTGGACAATATTGGATCGTCTGGCGTATATGCGAAGACTGCTGACTCGGGGATCGTGATTGCTAGTCCGAGTACTAGTGAGCCGGACTGTATGAACTCACAACAACCTTGACTGAAAGATGAGAGACTGACATTTCTTAGATTACTATACGTGGACAAGAGATTCTGCTTTGACAATGAAACTTCTGACCGATCTCGTGAAGAGTGGAGATACTGATCTAGTTCCCACAATTGAGGAATACATCAATGCGCAAGCGTATATTCAGACAGTGTCTAATCCATCCGGAGGTTTCTCAAATGGCAGTGGACTGGGTGAGCCTAAGTTCAATATCGATTCAACTGCATTCACTGGCGAATGGGGTAGGCCGCAGAGGGATGGCCCTGCACTGAGAGCAACTGCGCTCATTTCGTTCGGTCAGTGGTTAATTGTGAGTCGGAAGATCTCATCTATTTCATATTTTAATCTTGGCTAGCGCTTATTGATACTAGAGTAATGGATACACGAGCACCGCGATGGACATCATCTGGCCAATTGTCAGTAATGATTTATTGTATGTTGCACAGTATTGGAACCAGACTGGTTTTGGTGAGCTCACCCACTTCATTTACCCCATACATGACTTCACTTCCAAGGTCCACTAATGAAAAAATTTAGATCTATGGGAAGAAGTTCAAGGTTCTTCGTTTTTTACTGTTGCAGTGCAGCATCGCGCCCTTGTCGAAGGTAGCAAGTTTGCAAGCCAAGTGAATTCTTCTTGCGCGCACTGCGATTCTCAAGCACCTCAAGTCCTTTGCTTCCTGCAGTCCTTCTGGACAGGATCGTACACATTAGCCAACTTTGGAAACAACCGCACAGGCAAGGATTCGAACACCATTCTCGGAAGCATTCACACTTTTGACCCTGAAGCTGGCTGCGACGACACTACATTTCAGCCTTGCTCCGCCCGTGCGTTGGCCAACCACAAGGTTGTTACAGATTCTTTTCGCTCTGTCTACAGCCTAAACTCTGGTATCTCAGAGGGGGTGGCGGTTTCTGTTGGTCGGTATCCAGAGGATGTGTACTACACTGGCAATCCCTGGTACCTATGCACCCTAGCTGCAGCAGAGCAGCTGTACGATGCGTTATACCAGTGGAACCTAACTAGCTCTTTGACTATTACTGAAATTTCTTTATCATTCTTCAAGGATATCTATAGTTCGGCTGCAACTGGCACATACTCGTCCTCTAGCGCAACTTACTCGTCTATTATCAGCGCAGTCAAGACTTATGCGGATGGATATGTTGGTATTGTGGTAAGTTGCTTATCTGGGGCCATAAATCTTAAGTATTCGATTTATTTACCAATCAACAGGAGAAATACGCCATGAACAATGGTTCATTATCGGAGCAGTTCTCAAAAACCAACGGGACACAGCTATCAGCGTACGACTTAACCTGGTCCTATGCAGCGCTCCTGAGTGCAAATTTGCGTCGTAATTCCGTTGTCCCTGCAGCCTGGGGAGAAACTTCTGCTAGAAGCGTACCTGCGACCTGCAGCTCGACCTCAGCAACTGGCACTTATAGCAAGGCTACGAATACAGCCTGGCCAACTGCCCTGGCCAGCATTGTTGGATCTAACACGACCGCGACTGGTGCTATCCAGATCGCGGCCAACTCTACAGGTGATCCGACCTCTGTGACTTTGTCATCGTTCGGCCATGTTACTTTTAGAAAATTCTTTCTGGAGTATCTCTCTTGTCTTTGGTTTCTCTTTTGTTTAATCTTTTAACCAGGTAGTGTCATTCCAGTGTATGAGATTCGCAGGGACACATGATTCTGTTTGGTGGAGTAGCTGTGACACCTGGTCTGATCGTGAGTTTGTCAAGGGCAATTGAGAGCACGCTTTGAACTCGAAATAATGAAATGAATCAATCAAAGCTTTTGTATTAGACACTTGAACTTGATATCTATCTTCGCTTTCTAAAGGCGATGGTGATGAACGAATAAACCTAATAATGAGGATAACAAAGAACAGGCCAATGACAACACTAAATCATCAAGTATTAGTACAAGTTAGGGAGGAGACATTGGCTATGAGAACTCACAATAAGTATGTTTAAGACCGGAAAGATAACATTCGACCACTATCTCCCGTACTTGGCCCGTGAGGTGGGCAATATAGTTCGTATCATCCATAGCGCGTCTGATCACCTTTTCAGAACCAGGACCATGAAGATTGAGGCGTAGTTGACGCTGGAACTCCGATCCAAGGATTGAATTGGACAGGGTCACACCGGCAGTCATTGCAAAGCTGACCTGTAGCATGTATCCAGCTGTTGCCATAGCTACTTCCTCCTGTGGAAGCATCGCGGCCATGGAGATGAATGCAGATGCGCCTGCAATACCAGTACCCATACCTCCGGGGAGAATATAAAAAGACTCCCAGAATCCGGTGTGGCCATTCCAGCGAATGTAAAGCAAGATGTAGCTGACTGAGGCAATTAAACCGGCCAAAATCAGTAAAGGCTTGTAGGCGCCCGTTCGTCTAATGAATCCACCTGCTAGCAGAGATCCCACCGTGTTTCCGACGACGGCTGGAACCATGTGCAGACCAGCCACAGTAGTTGATGCTCCCTGGGTCACCTGGAAGTAAAGTGGCACGGAGAACAGCATTCCTAGCTGTGCTATTATCTGAAGGGTGCTGGAAAGATAACTGTTGGCGACATTGGGTCTCCGTAGGATCCGTAAATTGAAAATGGGATCTGCCGCAACATATGCTTCTACGAGGACGAACGCCACGAGAAGAAGGAATCCGCCGCCGGCTAAGACGACCGTCATCCATGACCGCCATGGGAACATCTTCCCACCCTGATCCATGAGACCAGTGAAGGCAATGATTGACGATCCCAGAAGAGCAGTTCCTAGGAAATCCACTTGTCCCAGCTTTGATTTCCCATCCTTGGTAGTGTAAGTTGTATCCTGATCCACCTGGAGTTTTATCACGACGAGGAAGGCGGCTAGAGCGATAAACGGAGCCTGGATGAGGAACAGCCTAATACTTGTCAGAAAAATGACCTGGGGGATTGAAATGAAGTCGTAATTCCACATACCAGCGCCATCCAATTGTATCACTAAGCCAACCGCCCAAAGGACCTCCAATTGAGCGCCCAAGGGTCATTGAGATGTTGATATATGCTCTCCAGCTTGCAATATCTCTTCTGGGGACGATATCCGTAATAATCACGGAGCTGATTGTCATGATACCTGCACCTCCTGCACCGCTAAAAACCATTAGCCACGTTATATCCAGCATCTTATTAACACCACTTACTTACCTGATGATGCGGCCGAGAATAACAAGCCATAATTGGGGCGCGATACCGCTGAAACAATGTCAGAGACGTACTCTTAAAAAAGGCTTCGATAAATACCAAATAATGCAGCCCATCGCAAACAGGAAGTAAGCTACCAGCAGCAGTGGTCGCCGACCGTAGATGTCGCTCAATTTCCCATACTATACATAATCAGCGCTCGTTTCCATTGCGATTTCCGTCTTTCTGTCGCATACCATAGGCTGTGCAGCGCAAACACCCAGTGTGTATCCAGTTGAAAGCCAACTCGCATCGCTCAATCGATTGAATTCCGAGCTAACTTTAGCGGCCGCTGCCATCACTAGTGTAGCATCCGCATTGCTGATGAATTCTCCCAACAATAGAATGGCGATGATCGTTCCGATGCTAGTCAGGACCTTGACTTTGGGCTGTGTTGGATCGGATTGGGGCAGTAGTCGGCTCTCTTCATCGTGGATGGCAGGTTCAGTGACGGCCGACTGTTGCGATTCTACGTTTGGTGTGGCCATTGCTCCTGCAGCCCCAATTGTCTCGGATGGTGAAGATCGAGGGAGAGGGAGGTGGAGAAGGAAGAAAAAGCTTTGACATTTCGATCTGAACGATAGTTCTCGATGTACACACGGGCTTAGACCTGAATCAAATAGCCGAAGCCAATGATATGCTTAGACCTGGAGCACGCCATGGATCTCGGCCCCACAATCCACTGTGCCACATGGTGTAGTCTAAGTAGAACTGCCGGGAAGGATGAGATGGCGCATATAGCTCCAGCAAGGAATAAGATGGGAAGGTGGAGAATTTGAAGTGATATTTCATAATATTCCTTTAAGACTTAAGCCATTAGCTTAGATTTCATGTGATTGATACTGTGTTCCCTACATGAAGATGCGTTGTAATGATTGTTAAAGATCGCAATCTGAGCCACCGATGGCATCATATTTATCAGCTATCGGTGGCTTGACATTGGCTGGAAGTATACACTAGTCCCATAATGGATTAGTTCATATATGAACTTCAAATCTACCTATACCTGTGTCATGTACACACCCGACTCGTAAAAAACGAGTCGGGTGTGCTTCACCGGTTCTGCCAATTCCACATTCCATTCTATTTTACCCAATATCTCCCACCCACCATGCCTAAAACCTCTGAATCGACTGAAGCCCGTCTCTCTAAGGCCTATGATGCCGCCAAACGCGAAAAAAAACCCCAAATATCTCCAAGATTGCGCGCGAATTTGGTGTCAATCGACGTACTCTCCATAACCGCGTTAAAACCAATGCGACCGCGAAAACTCAACAAAAAGCAGTCAATAAGGTTTTCACCGATATCCAGGAGGAGATTTTAGTACGCTGAATTACCCAGCTAACTAATTGGCTTATGCCACCAACACCAAAACAGGTTGAGATGTGGGCAAATCGCCTACTTCAAGATCCTAGTTCTGGAGATACTGAGGATGCTAGAACTGTTGGGCCAAATTGGGTATATCGCTTTACTAAGCGTCTTCCTAAAGGTCTAAAACTAGGTCCTCAGAAGCAGAAAGTCAAGGATTCTAAGCGAATGATGGCTGAAAATCCAGCTAAGATAGGTCATTGGTATGATCTGCTTGAATGTGTGCTTCGTGGTGTGCCTTCGCGGTTAATCTATAACTTTGATGAGTGTGGTTTTCAACCTAGTGAGGTGTCATAGGTTAAGAACACCTGATAAATGATGTTTAGTGTAGGATCAAGAGTGGCACTATATAAGTAGAGCCTATGTATGATTTCTTGAGAGCGAAATCATTAGTCTTTTGGCTCAGTGGAATGGACGTGAACGCAGGCACGATCCCTTAATAATATGGTTTATAGGTCCTCTTCGTAAACACAATGATGAACGCACACCATCTCCACCACTCTCTTCCTCTAGTATTGAATATACTCCGCCAAAAACCTTAGCACGACTTCAGATGAACCAAGAGAAGATTATCAAGCATATTGATATAGACCTCCTCAAACCAAGGGTTCAAAGGGGTCTTAAATATCCTACTCGCCATTCCTAATTGATCCAAGAAGAGTGTCGAAATCTTAAGATTACGGTTGAGAATATTAGGGTTGCGCAAGAACCAATTCGGCGCTCTAAAACCAAACGACAGCTTAACCAACCACCCCTCCAGCAGACTGGTGTATTAAACCTAAACCATGCAAAACGCTCTGTGAAAATCAGGAAAACCAAGGAGGAGTTACAACTAGAAAAGAAATTACAAAAACAGGCCCAAAAAGCTCTAAAAGCTCAAAAACAGGCCGAGGAGCAGGTTCAAAAGCAGGTTCGGGAGCAGGTTCAGGAGCAGGCTCAGGAGCAGATTCAGGAGCAGATTCAGGGGAGAAATGGCCAAATATTGGAGGCGATGGAAAGGGATATACTATATTTAAAACAGATGCAGCAGAATTGTATTTAAAGCAGAATTGATAGAGAGAGAGTAAAATAATATTTTAAATTGGCAGAACCGGTGAAGCACACCCGACTCGTTTTTTACGAGTCGGGTGTGCACATGACACATATATCACATGATCTCGACATTAGTCACACGACATATTTTGTAGGCCTGAATATCGAGCCCACAAATGGCTATTACCAGATGCTTCATAATCCTTCACCCGATATTGGAATGAATACTCTCTGGAAATTCCAGCACTCTGATTGGCTGCTGTGTTATATATCGGTGCCTACGCTGTAACTAAGTACTAACTATGTATCAATGCCACTTTTTATTTGTTGAAGCTAGCCAATACGTCATGAAGTGATAAGCTACAAACTCAATCAACAGTTGCCACAACAACCATGAGCGTTTACCAATCATGGTTAGAGCATGGCTGACTCCCAATGTCAATCATATTCCTAATATCAACCAAGTGCGGACATAAAGCTTCTTAAAACCGGGGATGACAACCCATTGAATGGATTCCAATCCTTCGGTTCCACTGTACTAAGCGCACCATTCCTTCATTACGGGAACTGGGAAATTCGATTTGAAGGTTATATAATGTAAAGATGGACCTCCGTTAGAGCGGAGTTAGATTCTCAATTCACGTTTGAATCTCATTTAATTCACCATGGCTTCCACCGATTACAAGTTCGAGGGCTGGATGGGCCTGGATAAGGAGTCCGCCAACGGAAAGATGGTTTGGCAGGTAAGATGCCTTATTCTATGTTACGCATAAATAGCTTTATCTAACTACTTTTTTAGAGCTTTGAACCAAAGCCTTGGGAAGAGACTGGTAAGATCAGCAGCCTGCAGGTCTGACTCTAAATTCTTATTCATTTTTCATAGACGTCGATTTCCGTGTCACTCACTGTGGCATTTGTGGCAGTGATATGCACACCCTGCGCAGTGGATGGGTATGTTTCTTACTTTTTCCATTTTTTATCCTACGACTTCAGGTCAACTAATCGAGAATCATAGGGCCCCACCATGTACCCTTGCTGTGTCGGTCACGAGATCGTCGGCGAGGTTGTCCGCGTCGGCTCCAAGGCTGAAGGAAACATCAAAATTGGAGACCGTGTGGGTGTGGGCGCCCAGAGTGGATCTTGCCTGGAGTGTGAAAGCTGTAAGGCTGGTCTGGAGCAATATTGCAGCAAGAATACCAACACATATAATGGCACTTATGCGAACGGCGGCAAGTCGTATGGCGGTTACAGTCTTATGAATCGATCGCCTTCTCACTTCGTTATCAAAATTCCCGATACCATACCTTCGTCGGAGGCCGCCCCCTTGCTCTGTGGTGGCATCACCACCTATTCTCCCCTAAAGCGGTTTGGCTGCGGACCGGGCAAGAATGTTGGTATTATCGGTGTTGGCGGACTAGGCCACTTTGGTGTCCTGTTCGCTAAGGCTCTCGGCGCGGACCATGTTGTGGCTATTTCGCGTCGGGCCGACAAAAAAGAGGATGCGCTAAAGCTCGGGGCCGATGAGTATATTGCGACTGCAGAGGACGCCGACTGGGCCAAGAAACATGAGCGGTCTTTAGACCTGATCATCTGCACTGTTTCATCCTCTAAGATGCCTATCGTCGAATACTGTAGTATGCTTCGCCCTCATGGCGCCTTTGTTCAGCTAGGTGCTCCCGAAGATGGCGGTTTAGAGCTTCCTGCTTTTTCTCTAATTGCTAAGGGTATCAAGCTCGCCGGTTCGATGATTGGCAGCCCCGCTGAAATTCGCGAGATGCTCGATTTGGTTGCGGCTAAGAAGATCAAGCCATGGATTGAAGAGAGACCAATGAAGGATGCTAACCAAGCCATCCTCGATATGACCGCTGGTAAAGCTAGATACCGTTTGGTTTTAGTCAACTAGAGACATCATTTAGTCAAAACAAATAGACTCAGGAACAACGGAATATCTATGATATGATTTCAATAGAAATTTCTCGATACAAATGTGGTGAATACAAATTCACCTCGCACGGAGATAAAAGACCTACTGATTATACAGTTGACTAGTAGTTCTGTTGCGATAGCCGTATGAGAAACAAGGCCGTCAACATACGGAAAGTATTTCGACCGAAAAGCTTCTGTCAGAGTGGTAACTCTCGGTCCGGAATAACTACTTGGAGGAACTAGATTAGTATATCACGGCATCCTTGAACGATATGCATTCGCGACAGTGGTGTCCCATCTTCACCGTCTCTTCTGTCTCTTCTGTCTCGGACGAATGGTTACATTCGTCCAGGAAAGAGGAGCACCCATATACTATAAGTAGCTAGTTCCCTCCATCAATGAAAAGACAGACTTCACAACAACCACAGCATTCAGTATCGTAGCATCCACTACCATATTGGTGGATTTTCTACAGTTTTGAGTGCAGTAAGCCACGTTACAGACCACGGCGAAGCTGCAAACAATGGCCTCCTCGATGCTTAACATTTGATGAGCATAATAGAGAAGCTCCATGAGTACTCAGAGATTGAATAAGTAGCAATTGATAACTTTGAAGAAGAAATGAGAGAGCGAACGAGTCGAGCAATACGGATGAGTTGACGGGAATATCTAGATGCCCTCGATTGCACGCCATAATTGAGAATTGTACAATTTTGAGCACAAAGGCTGCTGTAGGATAATAGTGTGGCCAAAGTGAAATATTTGAAATATGACAGAAGAGAAACACTAAACTGTTTTACGAAGTTTGGCTATTCATTGTAATGAAGACTGAAATTGTTCAATTCAGAGCACAAAACAGGAAAAAACTGTCAAGATAAAGCTGCAAAATTACAAGTATAACACAAGAATATGAAGTGTAAAACCAATGTGAGAACGGAGTCATTTACAGGAGAATCATTCCCAAACCGGTCATGGCCGCGATAGCGGAGCAGAGACCAACCTGGAAAGAGCCGAAGACAACGCTAGACTGGACGGTACCAGCGGCAGCACCCTTGGAAGTTGAGGTTGAGCTGGAGCCGGAGCTGGAGCCGGAGCCAGCAGTAGCAGTGGCCTTGGTGGTGACAATGCCGGTACCAGCAGTGCCAGCCTGCTTGATCTGGCTGGAGCAGGCACCAGTGGCGGCAGTGGTAGCCTTAGTGGAAGCAGAGCCACCGAAGCTGCAGGCGGAAGCATCCTGGTCCTGCTCGTTGTAGTACTTGTTCAGGGCAAAGGCGAGTTGATCCTCGAGACCGCACATGCTGTAGACACCGTACACACCGCTGGTGGCGTTGGCGTCGAGTCCAGAGCAGTCAGTGAGGCCACAGACAGTGCCGATCAGGGAGCTCATCTTGGTATCGCTAAGGCTGGCTGCAACACAGGCGGACTCCTCATAGATACAGCTACAGAGGCTGGAATCAGCGGTGGGAGGCAGGGGGGAGGGGTCGGCTTCCCAAGACGCTCCAACAGTGGGGCAGGCCTGGAGCTCAGTGTTGGTGGCAGTGTAAGATGCCTTACTCACACCAGTGGGAGAGACAGTGGCAATGTGCTTGGAGTAAGAGGTGAAGTCGTCCAACAAGCTGACACTGGTGCTGTCAATGACAGACACCAGGCCGTAGTCGTTGGTCTCCTGGAAGTACATGTAGACAATACCGCCAGACCAGACAGCAGCCATGTCATCGCCATACAGAGCAGTCACTTCAGTGAAGGGACGAGGAGAAACCTCGTTGCACCCATACTCGGCGAAGAAGACGGGGACGGTGTAGTTGGCAAATTCTGCGGTACGATCCTTGTAGCCGGAACCCTCATAGGTGGATTTACCACACCAAGAATAGACATTGTAACCCCAGAAGTCAACAGCGTCTTCGGTAGTATCACAGTCGAAGTAGTTAGCGAGATCTTCACGGATAGTAGAGACGTCAGCAGTAGCATATCCGACACCCATAGCCCGGTAGTTCTTCTCCTTAATATACTTCTTCATGTCACGCACGGCAGCCTTGACATAAGCACTACCAGCCGTGGTGTTGACGCTGTTGGCAACCTCATTACCAGCAAAGAAACCGATAGTGTTGTTGTATTGGGACAGCTCATCGATGACACTGGTGTAGCGGTCATACAAAGCGACATTCCAGGCGGGGTCGTTACGGTTAATAGACTCTGTGGTGCTGGAAAGATCGGAAACGACGTAAATACCAGCCTCGGCGAGAAGGTCCATGCAAGCACTGTGGTCGGCTGTGGGATCAATGTAGTAGGTTCTAATCACATTGGTGCGCAATTTCCGCATAACGGCGACATCGCGCTTGCAAGTAGTCTCATCAGACAGAGGGTCTTCAGTCTGGGAGTCTGTCAAATGCATCCTGTTAGTTCACATTCATTATTAGATATCTCTTTATCGACGTACACTGGTATGCAACGCCGCGCATGTAACTATGATATGGTTAGTATCCATGCCTATAAATTTCCTCATGCAAGATATTCAAGCCTTACAATTGAGTCTCATTGCTAGAGTAGAAGAACTTGGAGCCCTTGATAACAATAGGATCCAGGGTAGTCGTAGCAGTGACAGCACCTGCTAGGGTCGCCAGCGACAACAAGGACAACTTCATAATGAAAAATAAGTGGGCGAATTAAGTATCGCAAATATGGATATAGCGAGTGGACTAGAGGAGAACCTCTGTGTTATATTTCAAAATAAACGAAAGAATGGTACTGTGTAATATTTCAAGGTCGAGAAGAAAAGAATGGCTGGTTTTTAGAATGAATGGAACAGGTCAAAAGATAAAAACTTCTTTGTCTCCTATAATCTCTCGTTAAGGGGGTGGCCGCGTACACCCATTCGCCTTAGCCCAGAATCCACCGGGTCAAATTCCTTGGAAGAGTTCTACTGCCAATGCTTGGATCTAGATGCACTGGGCCGAACCGCGTAAAGCTAGGGCTAAGCGGCTCTCACTAGCCACAATTGAAACTTAGGACCCAGCATATAATCTACTACCTCAACTGATCCTGGTTTTTAATGAGTATACTGAAATATCTCTAAGTGATTCTCTGGATAATTCTTCCCTAGCCTTGATGCAGTTGAAGTTTCTCGTGGGAAAAGTCGAGGGGGGTTGCGTGGTAGTGGAGCTTGACTAGGCTTAACTAGTATTGTGGCGTCGATAGTGCGCGTCTTGTTTTTATACATCCCGCTCTTTTTCCTCGAGGTGGAATAAAGAGGAAACTATTTAGCTGGCCTATATTCCAACCTTCAGAGGTTTTCTTGAACTTTTCCTCAGAAATTTAGCTTGAATTATAGGGAGACTGGGGTACAACACATTGCTGTCCTCTCTTCCATAAAAAATTGATGGGTATATCCACCCGTCGAAGCCTAAAAAATTAGTGCCCCTTCATGTCTCTTCTATTTTTAATGAACTCAAACCCCGTGGAAACGTTGGCAGCATCTATATATCATGAAATAAGACAAACCCACAGCTCAAATAGGATTAGGTTGTCTGGCATTTTGAATATCCAATCCAAAGACTTAACAGATACCTGGTGTTGGTCATGGTCATTTGAACCTCGGGATCGGACAAACCGCCCGTTACTGCACAAGTACGCTAACCCAAAATGATCTAGATTATGAAATTTTCGGAGAGAACAAAATTGGAAAATAAGCCACAGCGCCAACCTTGGAAGAACGAAATGGTCAATTAGTCGCAGAATGTGAACTTCTTTTTTCACGGCGGAGTACTGTGTTCTACGTCTCGTTGATATATATTTAGCCACGACTTTTAGCTATTTTTTAGCTTATCATGATTCTGACTAATCGGAGTAAATTTTCCAAAATGCGGTTAGTGCCAGTCGCTAGCAGAATTAATCTAACCATGTTCCAATGTTCCATCAAAATCATGCTGGGAAAACCTCGGTCATTTAATTAGGCTACCTTCATCAATTTTGATTCCGTGATATCGGGAAAGCAGAGGCATATATCATGTCTACTTAGAGGATTTAGGTAGGCATATATTGCGCAACTTCACGGAGCCTAAATTTAGATATTCTATAGAGCTAGACTCCGAGAAATTCTCAGACGTGGTCGGGATCAAATCTGCCTGCCGCAACCAGTGGGCCTTTGAAGTAAGATATCTATATTTTTGAGGAACGTAATTAACAGCAGGACCAAGACAACATTGAAATTTGATAAGCAAAAACTTTGGAATTGTGCGTGAAAGTTAAATTGAACCAAATAATAGCACAACGGCAGTCTTGCCGGGGTCCACGGGTGGTTTGTTTTCAAAGTTCATCTCAGAGCGTAGATTCAATATCTCGAGGCTCAGAGAATAGAATCAATAAAAAATCATAACGCCAGCCAATAAAGTAAAGTCACATCATTAAGATCCCATTATTTCATCGCAACGTAAGCAGACTCTCAAGGTTCTCATCCTTGGCAATTTGTACGCCTCATGCACGGCCTTGTCTGTGATGATTCTCAATGGCAGCCTCGAAGGCTCTAATGGTGTCGAGAGGTCGCTCTAGACGAGGTCGGGTCGGGTTAGAACGATCGGGATCAGCTGTATCACCATTAGCCTGAGTTCTTTTCTTGTCGTCCTCCAATTGAGCGAAAACATTCACATACTGATAATATTGCCGTCCCGGTCCCTGAATTGCTTGTTTCGGAGAGAATATCCATCACGAGTTCCTGGCTCGGTGTTCACGGCAACTAGAGAATTGTAAGAAATTGAACTGATGTCATGCGCATAGGTAGTGAAAGAAGAGAAGACTTACTGGGCTGAGCTTCGTAAAGAGCCATGTTGGGGTCGGCCTTGGTGTGCAAATGCGTAGAGCCGTGGTCAGAATGTTCGCTTGATGGGCTTGACATAATGGTGAATACAGGTTGTGCGGAAGAATAATAGATTATAGTTGAACGATCAAGATAATTGGTTATCTGAGGTTGTAAATTGTGTATGTATATGGAGTATAAATGGGGTAAATCGTGGGGAGGTTATAACCATGATATGATATGCTCTATTTATAAAGAATTTTTGCCTTATGAGCAGAATCTTCCTAAGAATAGAAGTACCTTGTACTTCAAACGTGTACCTTCTAATTACATCAATATCACGCCAGTTGTGGCAAACGTCGACGAATTTGAAATATGCGATTGGACATGATTGGACCGATCGTGATCGGCCGTGGGTCAAGTCACTCCAACAGCCAATTCCATATGACGTTACAGAAAGCAGATGCGGCACGCTGAGTGGATGGCCAATCTTCGACTAAGCAGGCGTAGAATGTTTAACAAGGGGCCAATCCAATCAATGTTTCAGAGACACGCAAGCCCTGGTGGCTGAAATCAGGCACATCTAGACCTCCCGGAGTACTAAATGCAGGTACCAGGTACCACAAGTGGGCTATGCTTACCCCCTCTTTCTCAGAATGTGACAGGATGATAATCTTTCTGCCTTTTCGTTAATTAATCCATGTGAATGTGACAGCCTTGGAAGGACGACCCTAGTTCCTGAGCACTGGCCATATTTGGGGGTAAAGCGGGCCCCCTTGACACAAGAATAAAAAGCTTGAAGCTCTTAGGGCAATCCACTTTGGGTCCAGAATCTTAATGACATTGTGTATTTTGTGCCAAAGGCTGCAAGCGGTGGTGCATTCCATTCAGCGTCACTGATACAATCCATCTCCAGCATTCCTGGAATCGAACTTTCGGTTAATGCCCAGTTGATCCACAACTCGTTGCCCTTCAAGTCATTGGTGACGTCTTGTGTGATGTACCTGGCGTTTTCCATATTATAATGGATCTCTTTGAATTTGATCTGCAAACAGTAGATGACTGTATCTAGGTAGAAGTGGCTGTTTGGTTGTGTAACATGGATGATACAGAGCACCTAAAAATAGAGGTATCAGGGCTACTTTCCCAAAGCCGTGGATGGATAGAGGGCAAAGTTGAATACCATGGGCAGGCTGCTCGGCGCTTAGTTTACTTTTTCACTCACAAAGACGAAGGGTGGAAGCGATAGTTTAAAGAGATAAGATGAGGCTCTGATGAATGACCCACTTGAGAGCATTTCGGAAAAAATATGGCATGATTTGATTCCCAACATGCTCAGTTCAAAGTTGTTATAGGAAATATGCCAGAGAATTCGCTCCGATCGCCACGTCATTGGTCTTGGCCTTGTAGAGACGAGATGGAGGAAATGAATGAGCGGATTTTGACTGGATGATGATGAGGACTTATAAAGAATTTTCGGTTAACGATATGACTGAGCAGACAGTCTGGTCGTGATTTCATGTGCAATCTGTTAGAGGAGCTTGTTGATGTCTTTGTAGTTGTGGAACTCAAATTTATTGTGGCAGACGTTGAGCTCGGAGACGCTAGTGATATTCCTTGTGCAGATGAAATGCCTAAAGATTAAGAAAACGAGAACCTAACAAATGGGGGGGTCGCAGTGTATTCTTGTTATCACGGGGGAGGCGATACCAATTCCCCAGATTCAATTCCCTGACGAAATTCGGATTTACAGCAAAAGAAAAAAAGTGCCCAGTGTCTTCATCGACCGGATATAAGCCTGTCCGGATACTCGGCTATTTCCTAAGGTGGAAATACCGGAGTTAATCTGATAAGCCGATCTGATAAAATCCCCGCTTATTTAGCACTCCGTAAATATATGGTGTAAGGGTCTATCCTTTTTCTCCTCTCATCCTCACTTCCTTCTCTTTTTTTCTCTCCTCCCACAGTCATAATTCATCACCATGGCTAGCAACCCCCTCCGAAATATTATTGTCGTTGGAGGCTCGTTCGTTGGACGGGTATGTTCTATTTGTTATTCCCAGGTTGGCAGATGCTGAATATTCCAGGCGACCGCTCAAGAACTTGCAGCAATCATCCCCAAGACTCACAGAGTAAGATCTGAATATCAACAAATATTTAATTATGTATCCGACCGGTGATTCTGATTATAACTCAGGTTCTCCTCACTGAACCGCACAGCCATTTCCACCATCTCTTCACATTCGTAAGACAACATCTACCAACCAGCACATGTCTTTTTACTAACATATCCATCCAGCCTCGATTTGCAATTGTCCCAGGGAACGAACACAAGGCTTTCGTTCCTTACAGCAATATATTCGCTGGTGTGCCTAATTCAGCATCGCACGGTGTGATTCAGGCTCGTGTTACCTCAGTTCAGCCCCATCACATTGAGCTTGACCAGGAGTGGAATGATTCCAAGGAAGTTTCATATGACTTTGTTGTGTTCGCCACGGGAACGACGCTTTCCAAGCCCGCAGGAATGGAAAAGGACGACAAGTTGTCCTCAGTGGAGTATCTCCAAGGCCATCAAGCGGATGTCAAGAGAGCTCGGTCTATCATTATCGTTGGCGGCGGAGCTGTCGGTGTCCAGATGGCGACAGATCTGAAGGAATATTATCCCGATAAGGAAGTCACTGTTGTCCAGTCCCGCCCCCGAGTGATGCCGACTTTTCATCCTAAATTGCATGAGATTATCACGAAGCGGTTTGATGAGCTGGGTATCAAACTTATTACTGACGCAAGGGTCAAGGTCCCCGAGGGAGGCTTCCCCAACAATGGCACCGAGTTTGATGTACAGCTCACAAATGGAACTACTGAATCCACGGAGTTTGTGATTTTGGCGACCGGACAAACGCCCAACAATAAACTAGTTGCCAACCTGAAGTCTTCTTCACCAGATGCTCCGACTATACTAAATCCAGAAAATGGATACATCCGCATTCGACCGACAATGCAGCTTCTAGATGAAAAGTTTTCCAACCTGTTCGCTGTGGGCGATATCGCTGACACTGGGGCCCAGAAGGCCGCACGACCAGGTGTAGCCCAGGCATCAGTTGTGGCCAAAAATATCAGGGCACTGATCGACGGAAAGGAGCCAACTGAGACCTTTGTCAAAGGTCCCGGTGCCATTCATCTGACTTTGGGCATGGTAAGTCATTCAGTAAACTCATTTCAACAACATCACGCTAAACAACGCAGAAACGCAACGTTATTTTCCGCAACCCTAATGTCGACGAAGGTCAGACAGAGCCCTGGATTAATGACAAGGAAGAGTAAGATCTTTTTGTTTGCCTCCTGCAAGATACCTTACTAACTGGTTTTCAGTGGCCAAGAGGACATGAATGTTGAGGGTATGTGGAACAGAATGGGTTTGACTATTGCTACTCCAAAAGAGTACCACCTCTAATTGATCGAAATGAACCTACAAATTTGGAGTATAGAAGGTCTAGCTGCATGTGCTGAGTGCTCAGGTAACCTTGCAGACTTTGCATATTGGGATAAAATCAAATCGGAGGTAAAGAAATAAAAATTAAACGATTCTCTTTGTCACTGCTTGAAATCCATTTGGATCAGCTTCAACAGGACCATATAACTCTGTCAGTTCCAAAAACAACCTGTATATGTAGATAGACATGTCAATCTCTCTCAAGACCTGGCGTGACCAGGTATATCCTTCCAGTGAAATTTCTTCAGATAGCTTCTCTCCCACGGGGTCATTAGCGAGAAAGTTTAACAAAGCCGGAAGTTCTTCCATGCTCATCGTCACTGGTATATAGTGAGCCCATGGAACAAGTCGATCATCGTGCCACTCCTGGAACCAGGTTTGCTTTAAAACGACTGCCTGTCGTGACAGCAGACGATAAAAGCGCGTACTCATACTGTTTCCGTCAAGGTCGAACAGATATCGGTAGTTCAAAGAAGTATCTTCCGGTTCGTAGCTTGCAGGCCCTAAGACTCTTTCCATATCTCGGCAGGTAGTTCGGTCCCCATTATGCTCGCATTGGGTATATGCTCCGATCTGAACGTCGAAGAAATCTTTGAAAAGAGTTATCTGGCTTTTGTCAAGACTATCGCTCTTGACACCAAAATAACGTCCTACATCAAAGACTTTGGCCGCATCTTGAAGGGAGTGAATGAATGCGACAAAACGCGCCCTGTGTCCATACATCCAGTTGAAGCGCGAAGCATTTCCGCCTGTAGATGATCCTCGCCAGTACAGCCCGGGCTTCTTCTCTAGAAACGGAATCGAGTCTGCCTCGAGTAATGGATGTTTGACGTAGCACGGGCAAGGGATCAGAATATCTCGAAATGCAGACATTCGTCCAAAGCTGAGAATTGGAGCTGGCGAGTGCGAATATGAGAACGAACTTGGCGATGCAATGAGCCCATGAAGCTCCCCTGGATTGGAAAACTGGCAAACGTCCTTTTCATGGCCGAGTCGGCTAGTCAACTCGCGAGGAATTTGGCTGCATGAATCCTTCACAATGTGTTCGATCGATTGAGCGGACTGTTCTTTGAAGTGAATCTGAGATGGCTTTTCTCCAGAAGTGCTGAGTATACGTGGCTCATCAATCGTACTCATATAAAAGAGACTATTGTTGGGTAATGCATGGATAAATGGCTCGACTAGGCTTTTCCATTGATCGTCATACATGTACTCCGCTGAACCATACATCACTCCATCACGTACTGTCAGACGCCTGGTTTGGGGCCAATTTTCCCTTTGCTCATTCATTAAGTTGAATGCTTGACGAGCCTCAGGTGTGCGATACAACTCCAGATCACGATCAATCTGGTCAAAGTCGTCTATAATCAGGGAATCATGATCGAGAGAAAATCGGACCCAGTCATGGAACCCTTTTGGAGGGTCTCGGTTATATCGACGTTTATATTCGATCACTGCCTCCTCTGGTGTTGTGGACTGGGCTCTGAGATCCTCACGAGCATGTGTTTGTGCTTTTTTGATCCGGCATACAAGTGCGGACGGAGAAAAATCAGTATCCTCGATCTTCTTTCCGCATGATGAGTATGTCGGTTGAGTATAAGTTGAGATAGAAAAGTAACGAGGTCGAAATTTCAGATATATCAAACTCAGGAACAGAAAAATTGCGAGAAGGAAGGTTAAGGATGATCTTTTGCTCCGAACTGGGGATATCATGGTACATAGGTAGCTACTACTGACAGGAGATTATTATCACATTCATTATTGCGAAGGCCCGTGTACTTAATGAACATTCGATAAGTACCCTTTGGCGAATGCAGTAGGGTCTGGTTGAGTGGACGTTTGCAGTTTCCATCAGATGTTCAAATGAGTTCCAATGTTTCAGCGCCATAATCCTTTTACACCAAATATCCGTTAATCCATGAAAAATTTTACCTCTCTAGTTAAAACTTTGAAGCTCGTAAGACAGCTACTATGGTATGATATAGCATTTGAAATGAAGGGAGTTTGAGAGGGAGATATATGATATGCTCACATTCCCGCTAGTTTGTTGCACATGCCACATGAGGGCTCCGGTATTTGACGACTTCTGCATTGGGAAGGAATTGGTGATAGCAAGGGGTGGTTGAAGAGATATCCGGGACTGAACATTGAATAAAGTACGGTTCAATCAGAGTCAGGAGTCAGGACTGGAAACCAAAATTAAAATATTAGCGACTCAATGCCCTAGAGGGGCTGATTTGAACCATCCTCGAATGGCCATTGAAGTCGTTGATTAAATCATAGAAGTTTGGGGCGATGAACTTGACGGATTATGTAGAAAAAGTTCAAAAATAAGCATTGAGAGTGTGGAAATGCATGGGTGTACTTCTCTCTAACCTTTGAAGCATTATGTGAATTCAATGTTCTCGTTAAAGATCGAGAATTAGTTGACAAATATGTCAAATGGGTGGTGGTTTAGGCTCGATTGGGCCTAGTTAGCCTGATTTGGCCTGGTTTGTAGGGTTTGCATTACCCACTTTGTATCACTATTTTAGGCGAACTTCATCCCTAGTTTAGTAATTCAGTTTCATTCATTTGTGGCATTTGAATGATTGGCCAGTCTGAACCAGTCGACTTGACAAAATATGTCAAAGGCCCGATTCCATTTACAGTTAGTCTATTTTAGTCAGCATTGGAATCCCACAATGGGATTCCTCCATTCTACAATCGATACACATACACACTTTGGTACGCATACTGCGTTCTCATTTGCCCACTAGAATCCACTATTCCTTGGTAGTCGACCTCCATTTGACAAAATATATGTGTCATGTGACTGCTGAGTCATACAATAGTCAACTAGTTAGTTATTGAGCTGGATCTGGCTTTGACCCCGAAGATGTCATCGATTCGCAATTCACAACCATATCCATCTCTCATGCTTCAAATTTCATCGAGGCGGCCTCAATCCTTCTGGTTCAATGGATCTAGATTTTTTCGTCGGGATGCGTCCTACTCTTCTTACCCTCAAACCTCCAGGTTTACAAAGCCATGGATCAAACCCAGAAACTTGATAATACGGTCGGATACTATCAACAGACGTACTATGTTGACATCTTCAATTCCAGCGTTTGTCTATCCTCCTGCTATCTTCATTGGACTCGTACTTGCCCTATGGACATGGAAATGCTTTTGGATCATCGTCATGCAAAACAAGCTTCTATATCTCTCTTGGCTACCACCATTTACAAGATCTGATCAAATATCTGAATATGCTGCTGAATGTAAACCCGTGCAATGGGAAGAGATACAAATTCGAAGTCTTGATGGGACGCGATTGGCTATCTGTGAGGGAACAGTTTCAGCCAACAATATAAATGCGAACGAAATGCAGCTACGGCAGAAGAAATCGGTTTTAATCTGCTACTTCCAAGGAAATGGTGGGTCAACACCACTCAGACTACCGCTTCTTTCCCAGATTCTCAAGACAATCTCCAAGTCCTCAAACTCTGGCGATACGGATTATAAAATAGCCGCCTTGTCATATCGCGGCTATTGGAAATCGTCGGGTCGTGCAACACAATCTGGTATCTCCCTCGATGCACAGGCATTTTTAACCTGGGTATCACAGACATATTCGGCACCAGACACACAGCTTCAGATTGTGCTCTGGGGACATAGTCTTGGCTCCACTGTTGCGGCTTCAGCTCTCTCTACCTATTTAGAAAGGCTTGATGCTGAAAAATCTACTGATCATAAAAAGCTGGCCCCGATATCAGGGATTGTCATGGAAGCACCGATCTCCAATGTCAAAGAAATGCTGGTTAGTCTCTATCCTCAAAAATGGCTTCCGTATAGATATTTATGGCCGTTTTCATGGAATACATGGTGCAGCTCGACAGCTCTAGAAAGACTGGCTCAATGGCGGGACCATCATCCACAGCAAACACTTGAAATCAAGATGAATGAACGCTCCGTACCGCCAATACTCATTCTCTCTGCTGAAAAGGATGAAGTGGTCGAGCCATATGTCGCAAGCCAACTTGAGAAGAAAGGCCAAAATCTTGGACTGGATATCATAAGGAAAGTTGTGAAAGGAGCCATGCATACAGAGGCCCCAATTAAGCATGATGGGATAAAAGCATTGACTCATTTTATTTTGAACAGCTCCTCAAGATAAGCACTGCACTATATATAACATAGTGGGTCTAAAGACCACTCGACATTGGCTAGTTCAAGTGCGGCATATGTACTTTTCTCGTCCGCATGTACCTCAAACGTACTCCGTATAGTGCAATAAGTCTATTCAATCATGAAAATCAGTAGCGGAAGTGCTAACACTTATCATTTCTATCGCTTCAATGCATTGAGTGAAGTAAAGGTAGGTCATAATTGCAAATTCCCACCCAGCGATTCATGCTTAAAGTTTCAAATCCTTGTTGAAGACTTGGGTGGGGCTTCCGAATCAGATGGTGAATTTTTCACGTATCAAAATAAGTGGACCAAGATAATTAAACAGCCAGTAAGGTAAGTCCCTGTCACTGTTGAGCGACATTATGGGTCTAGATTTAAGAGAACTTGTTCCCCTCACTTGAAAAGTAGTGTTCATTCCATTTTGCTCCACGCTTATTCTGCGTTTTCTGTTATGGTGACGATATCCGAAATTACATCTGAGAGGGCTGATTTGAAGGATGGGGAAGCGGTTACCACTACAAACTCAGAGGATAGGCAATTTCGTCCTACTCGATGGCAGAGTAATGTCACCATCGCCAGCTGTGTATTTCACCCATTATTTAGTAAAAACATCGAAACACTGACATATATCTAGTATATTGCAAACTTCAGTGACGGGTTTCAAAATAGCATTGCAAACCCGACCAATGTCGTCTTGAATCATCTTCTGGGCTCTGGTATAAATGGCTACTCCTCTGAAATGAAGACACGAGTAAGCAACGCGTCGACCGTAGGAGCCATTCTTGGGGTTGTAGTTTTGGGCTATACTTCAGATATGTATTCTCGAAAGACTGGCCTACTTTTCACATCCTCAATAGTCGTTATTGGGACATTGATGTCGACAGTTGCCCTTTCGATACACCCAATTCATAATATGCTTTGGTATTCTGTGATCGCTCGTGGTATAGCTGGCTTTGGAATGGGAGGTGAATATCCTCCAAGCGCGGCTGCTGGAATTGAAGAAACCAACGAGGTTCGTTTATACACGTATTCTTGAGCCTCTGATGAGATTATTGATATGAAATATAGAGAATGAAAAAATATAGGGGTCCCATGTTTGTGTCCTTCACAACACTGATGGCTACCACTGCTGGTCCAATTCTACAAATCATTTACTTGATCTGTCTTATTGCAAGTGATAACAACCTCAAGGTCACATATCACGCCATCTATTCCATTGCAACTCTCATTCCATTTGGAATCATGATTTTGCGTTTATTTATGGTAGATTCTTCAATGTTCTATCGTTCCAATTTCAGTGGCCTACACAAATCACCACGCCTTTTCTGGCTTCTTTTGCGCCGCTACTGGTGGCGGATGTTCACGACCTCTCTAGCATTCTTTCTATACGATTTCATCAATTTCCCAAATAGTATCATGTCAAGCTCCATCATTTCCTCACTTGTGCAAGACCATGACATTCGCAAGACCGCTATCTGGCAGGTCATCCTGGCCCTTCTGCCTGTACCAGGTGTCTTGATAGGTGCCTGGCTGACTAACGTTATTGGGAGACGTTGGACTGGAATCTTGGGATTTTCTGGGTACATGATTATTGGTTTCATAATCGGAGGCTTGTATGACAAGCTTTCCAAGCATATCGCAGCATTTGTGGTCGTCTATGGTATCTGGCAAGCATGCGGTCATATGGGCCCCGGAGCCACCATTGGCCTCATCTCTACTGAGTCCTTCCCTACTGCTATGCGTGGAATGGGATACGCAGTTGCTACTGCTTTTGGTCGAACAGGAGCAGCAGTGGGGACAGAGTGTTTTTCTCCATTGGAAAATGCTGCTGGGAAGGCTTCGACCTTTTACCTCGCTGCTGGGGTTGCAGCTCTCGGTATTTGTGTGTATTTTCTACTTCCCGAAAGTGGCGACATTGATTTGGAGGAGGAGGATCGATTATTTGAGAAGTATCTGGCTGAAAATAATTATAAGATAGAAAAGATCCAGGCTTAGGATAACGTCAGTCCGAGATTGCTTAATCGTTATTAATGGTATGGCTCCATGGCGGGCAGCTCTGGTTGGAATTCAGGGGTTAGGAAAAATGGATCCATTGGCTAAGAAAAATTCCAGCCCGGGATAAATAAAACCACCCACAACATAAATAAGTCGAGAACTACATCTACCATCTATTTTGATTTATATGTCTTTGACGTGGCTTATAGGGTGATTTCTGCTTTTAAAGAAGGTCCTTAGTTGTCGCCCCAACATAAAAGAAACAATTTATTATTTGCTAGGATATTTAGTCGGTAGAACAGCAATTTGCATGAATTTAGAATGAGAATTCAAATTTCTCTCTTGGCGAAATTTCAATACAGAAGTTTGTCATTATATAGATGACTTCTTTTTTTGGGACAAGCAAGAACTTGGATATTACGACCTACCTAGCAATAATTGGAAGGAAAAAAGGCATCTGTTTGTAAATTGATCTTCATCGAATTTGAATATATTTTTTTACCTAAGAAGCAACGATGATCAATCAAGGTGTCAAATTCATAGCTCGCTCATCAATCCTGAGATCCTACACGAGCCAGTCTTTTGAGACTCTATATTGACGATCAATTGATTATTTCATGTATGACCCGCAATTGAAAATCACCGTGTTTGTTTGTATTTGTATGTTGTCGACACCAACATTCCAAGGCTCCAAGAATGGGTCGTCAATTAAGGATCATCCAGTAATATTACGGCATCGTCTTCATCGAGGCTATATGGACATTTGTCGACTTCGGGGGAACTGGAACAATTCCTATTCGGCAGCTACCTCAAAGCCGAGGTGACTTATCATTCCATCTCAAATATTATAGATTTCATGAATGAGACAGGCCAACCAGGTGGTTTTTCACTGGAAGGCATGCACGCTGAATGGTCAACAGGCCCCGGGATGTAAAGACATCCAAAGAGCCCGGCAACTGAGAGCAAGTATTGACAGAGGCCAAGATCTACCAATGAGAGTGCACAGGAATGCCTTTGAGCACTCTACTAAAGTACGATGTTGTTGACATCTTTTGATTGTGTTTTCTCGTCTACTACGTCCTCCAAATTTTGAGTGGAGGCTGATTACAATGTATCGTTTGTCATCTCTTCTGGGCCTTATAGGTATAGCAGTTGCTGCAACTTCAAGTTCTACTGTTTGCTCCAGCACAATATTTGTCACCGAGACAATCCAGCCAAAACCAACATCATCCAGTCAGTGTTTTCGGGTTTGAATGGAGACGCGAATATTAACAAGTTACAGTCTCAGGAAATATCATAACTGTCGGGACAGCCGGTGCTCAATTCACCGCAATTCAGGATGCAGTCTCATATGCTCAAGCACACACTATTCCAACTATTAATGTATTGAAAGGAACTTATCCGGCTGTTACCATCTCTGCTATTCCAGCTGTGACAATTCTGGGCCAAACCAAAAATGAAAACGATTATTCACAAAACCAAGTTGTTGTTTCGAATTCTGGAACTGCACTCAAGGTTTCTACCAACGTCAAGGGTTTGACGGTGAAAAATATCAACTTTATCAACACGGCACCCAACGATGGCGCTGTAGTCATTCGAGGACGCAAAAACGCATTTTATCAATGCCAGTTTATATCATCTAGAAGCATGGGAATCACGACCAACCTTGGCATCGGCCTTATTGCGAACAGCTACATAAAAGCAGCAGACACCATCATCTCCGGCAAAGGAACGCTTTACGTTTTCAACACTGTCATTGTTCCTAGCGGTTCATCTACAGTAATAGCCTTTAACCAAGGCACTACTGTGGATGATACGTTATACAACTCAACCATGGTGTTTGACCGGAATTCTATCGTTTCTCGAGATGGAGACAACCATAAAGTATTTCTTGCCGGAGCCAAGAGAGCTGGATCTGTGGTCATCTACCGCAATTCTGCGCTAGGGAGCTCAGTTGTCACAAATGGTGTAAGCATTGACAGTATCACTCAAGATAAACGCAACTTTTACGGAGAATACGCAAATTCCGGTCAGGGGTCTTATCAAAGCAACGCAGCGGATAGGAAGGTTTATATGAGCCTGCTAGATCCCAGAGATCTATCACGTTTTGCTATAGATCAAGTTTTTGGAAACGCATATCCAAGTTTTGCTACCTTGGATACATCATGGATCGACCATACGACGTTAGCAGAAATTGATAGTGCAGATGTGCTTACTCCTTTGGATTCATCAGATTCGAGTACCTCATCTTCCTCTACTTCTTCTGCTTCTTCAGAGTCTTCTTCTTCGAGTAATTCATCTCCAACCTCTTCCCCTTCGTCTACTTCTTCGGATTTACCGTCTTCGGGCTCTACATCTTCTATTGCGTCATCAGGATCAACATCAGGAGCTTCAACAGACTCATTGTCCCTGGGGTCGCCATCCTCCAGTGTCTTATCAGAAGCTTCAACAGGGTCTTCAACATCAGGATTCCCCTCTTCTAGTGCCTCAGGCTCAACATCGGGGTCTGCAACCGGCTCTTCATCAGATTCTTCATCCATAGAAGCCTCTTCTAGTGCTTCATCGGACGCTTCAACATCAGAGCCATCCTCTGCTAGTGCCTCGTCAGGCCCTTCATCAGGGCTATCACCAGGGTCTTCATCAGCCAGCGCTTCATCATCTTCATCAGGGTCTTTCCTTTCGGGCTCTCCCTCTACTAGTGCCTCGTCAGGTTCTTCAACATCAGGGCCATCACCAGGGCCATCACCAGGGTCTTCCCTTTCGAGCTCTCCCTCTACTAGTGCCTTGTCAGGTTCTTTAGCATCAGGGTCATCATCAGATTCTTCGCCTTCTGCATCCACATCAGCTAGTGCTTCATTATCTTCATCAGGGTCTTCCCCTTCAGGCTCTCCCTCTACTAGTACCTCGTCAGGTTCTTCAGCATCAGGGTCATCATCAGATTCTTTGCCTTCTGCATCCACATCAGCTATTACTTCATCATCTTCATCAGGGTCTTCCCCTTCAGGCTCTCCCTCTACTAGTGCCTCGTCAGGTTCTTCAACATCAGGGCCATCACCAGGGCCGTCACCAGGGTCTTCCCTTTCGGGCTCTCCCTCTACTAGTGCCTCGTCAGGTTCTTCAACATCAGGGCCATCACCAGGGCCATCATCAGGGTCTTCCCCTTCAGGCTCTCCCTCTACTAGTACCTCGTCAGGTTCTTCAGCATCAGGGCCATCATCAGGGTCTTCGTCAGATTCTTCGCCTTCTGCATCCAAATCAGCTATTACTTCATCATCTTCATCAGGGTCTTCCCCTTCAGGCTCTCCCTCTACTAGTGCCTCGTCAGGTTCTTCAGCATCGGGCTCTCCATCATCCGTATCAAACACATCATCTTCAATCCCCTCCTCTTCAACTACTTCGGCCTTGATAGCAACATCGACATCTTTGGTGGTTTCTAAAACTCCTTCCGATGAGCAATTTAAAAGTGTAAATGAAGCACTGGCAGCTATTCCTAACGATGGTCAAGACTACATCATTGAGGTGATGCCTGGTACCTACACAGAGCAAATATCTGTCAACAGAAAAGGAAAGGTCACCCTTCGAGGCATGACTTCATTTTCCAACGATTTTACGAAGAATTCTGTCACAATAGAGAACGCCAATGGAGTATCGATCCAAACCGGGGATGATGAGAAGACACCGATAATCAAGATCCAAAATAGCAACTCCGATTCATCGGTGGCTCTTTACAATATAAATTTCAAGAATACTTTTCCTCAATCAACTGACACGGTTGCGCTCACTGCAGACTTCAGCGGTTTCATTGCCGCCTACGGCTGCGCCTTTATTGGATATCAGCATACGCTTTTTGCAAAATCTGGCAAGCAGATTTTCTCAAACAGCTACATTGAAGGATCTGGCGACTTCATATACGGCCTCTCCACTGTCTATTTACATCAATCTTACATTGCCACAAACACTCCTGGTGGTTCTATCTCGGCCCAAGGCCGCTCCTCGGCGACCACGGATGGAGGATTTGTCTTTGACGCTTCCTTAGTAACATTTACCGATTCGTATGGTACCAGATTAGGAAAAACTTATTTGGGAAGACCAATGGCTGATTACAGCCGAGTCATCTACATGAACTCATACCTGGACGGGCATCTCAATGCGGCTGGATGGACTAAATGGTCACCAGACGCTCCTCATACTAAGCATGTGACTTTCGGTGAATACAACAACTCAGGACCTGGGCAATCATCTGGTAGCCGCTCGAACTTTTCTACTCAGCTGGTCGAAGATCAACTTGGTCCTTTTTCATTATCAAATTGGATTGGTGATACTTCGTGGTTGGATATGACTGCCTTCAGCTACACTCCATCATATAGTGTGGAAAATGCAGATTTGATCATTCCAGTCGCGCCTTCTACTGCATCCTCTACTGGGCCCTCTACAGGGTCTTCATCTGAATCTGCAACAGGGTCTGCAACGACCACTCCAACTGCAACGTCAGCCGCCCCTGCCAAAGGAGGTCATCCATCCACTGGAACAAAGCCGCCGCCTGGCTCTGCTTTAGTTTCGATGTCAGGGGCGATTGATGGCTCATATTCAAGTCTCACCTCAGCTTTAGCTTCTTTGCCCTCAGACAACACAACACAAATCATCTTCATCTACCCGGGCACATACAATGAGCAGGTACCTACAATAGATCGAGATGGACCAGTCACGATCATTGGGTATACGAGCAAAGAGCCGGGTAGAAGCTTTGTTGGCAATGAAGTCACGATTACCTTCTCAGCTGGGATTTCAGTCACACCAGTATTGAGTCACACCAATGGAGAGACTGCCACTATTTCTACTGCCTCTAAGATGATTGCAATGTATAACATCAATGTGATAAATACAGACAATTCTGATGGATCGAATCCATCCTATGTGACAATTGCAGCCTCTGTCTTTGGATCTCATGTTGGATTTTACGGATGCAGCTTTATAGGCTGGAAGGACACTCTTCTCACTGGAGGAGCTCTGGATTATCAATATTATGAGTCCTCTTACATTGAAGGAGCAGTTGACGCTATTACTGGTCCCTCAAAAGCGTACTTCAAAGGCTGCACACTTGGAGCAAAGGGGAAGAATTCCGCCTTGACAGCTCAGGGCCGAGGAAGTCCTACTGCCATAGGCGGCTATATCTTTGACCAATGCCTCTTTGATGTTGCCAAAAACTCGAAACCTGGACTGAAACAGTCTGTCTATCTCGGTCGGCCATACAGTGACTATGCGTTAGTCGTGGTCAAAAATTCTTACATCACTGACGGTATTAATCCCTCAGGATGGACTCTCTCGAGTGAAGATGAGCATCGTGTCCAGCATGTGACTTTTGCCGAGTACCAGAACTTTGGTCAGGGTAGCTGGGAAAATAACAGAGATGCTCGGGAGAAGTTTGGACATTGCGAACTACTAAGTTCAGATAGCTATCCTCTAGAAAAAGTCATGGACTCAACGGATTGGATCGACATGACATATTGGGACTCGATAGTCACCCCCTCTCCATCAGGAAAACCTGGAAGCTTTTCGGCCACATCACCTTCATCTTTGTCTACTGATTCAACAACATCGTCTCAATCTGCCCCTCCTGGTACGGAAGTTCCAGCTTCTTCGGTACGCTCAGCCTCATCTTCTTCCGATGAAACAAACACCGTGACCGTTGTTGTAACAACTAGCTCTACTTTTTTGACAACAACAATCATTGCCAGTACAACATCGACAGTTCAGTCAACCAAGTCACTTGATATAACCCTCGATGCGGTGACAACGACAACGACAAAACAGTCAAGAGAGATCACCACTGTCACTATCACTAAACCAACGACCAAGACTCGAAGCTTAACCAAGACAGTGGATGCTAGCTTCATACTGACCCCGACACCGATCACAGAAACAAAGACTGTGAACGGCAAACAAGTTTTCAAGACTGTTACGGCAGAGAAAGCTACTGAGGTAGTGACAGATAAGACATCGACAACCAAATTTATCACCAAACTGTCCAAGGTCACATCTACTCAAACTGTTACCAGAACGAGCATCAAAACTCCCATCACTCAAGAAACAACAATAGTCACGTCCACGATTACTGTCACCATCGGTTTAGGGGGATCAATCATTAAGCCGGGCACAGAAACCACTATTTATTCAGGTACAACTGTCACCGAAACTAGCACATCGAGAATAACGACTACTCTCAGCTGTCTTCCGGCTCTTAGAGTAGTCCCACGGGATATTGAAATCGCCAACGTCGCTGCCAAGACAACCCATACAGAGTACTCGACGCGTCTAAAGACATCAACGGTCACACTCACAGCCTCTATGACCTTCATCACGACGACTACCACCAAAACAATCACTCATGCACCCACAACAATAACCAATACTGAGACTTTAGTGGCCACTCAGACATCATCTGTCACCATTTCTCAGGGCACCGTGTACACCACCATCACCTCGACATTTTCTAAGAGCATCTTGAAAACTTTGATCCCATCAACGTCAACTTTGACTGCTACGGCAGCAGATAGTACGACGACAACAACGGTTGCAGGTTTAGTCGAAACAACAACGGACCACACAACCATAACTGTCGAGTCAACCGCCAATGCAGCCGTTTCAACTGTGATGGACACGAAAACTACTGTTTTCCAGAGTACTATTCCACTACCAGTGCTCACATCTACAAAAATTGAAACAACGATTTTTAGTTCAACGCCATCTGTCACCATCACATATCACGCAACTTCTACCAAGACGACAACGGTGAAGATTACCTCTACCACAATCAGTACAGTTACCAAAACGGCTAGCGAAGCCACAGCATGCACTGCTTAAGACTATGGATGGAGATCGGAGTTTTGTTTTTGTTTTTATGTTGTTAATTTGTGTCAAGTATAGAGAGAAAGTACTTTTTTTTAATCGCCCTACTCTTTTGATATCCATGGATAATTTTTGAAACTTGCGACTGAAATCTACTGACGGAGATGACTGTATTTATAAACTAAGTAATTGAACATTTCGTACTTCATAAGTCTAGTGAAAAAAGCTACAACGGCGGCGGTGCTAGATCTAGCCCCTCAACGCTTAGCTTAAAGGCGTCATTGCGAGAATAGCTGCCGGCTACATCCATATCCAATCTTCCACGCTCACAATCATCTAAATTGATATGGGTAATAGCCAAGCCGGCGTCTTCTTTGCCAAGCTCAGCGGCATCATCAGTGCAGACTTCCCATATTGGCTCAGTGAGAACCTCGCCCAGCGGGGAGATAATGCAACTTCCACCGCGACAAACATAATCGGAGTCGCTTGATTGCGGTTGATCCTCGCCAGTTATCCACTCCGGTAGCTCAGATCGACGCACACACTGATTTGCTGATAGGACGAAGCATCGACCCTCAGCCCCGACTGTGCGCATAAGTGGGAGCCAGGTATCACGGGCGTCTGCTGTTGGAGCGAGGTAGATGTTCACGTTCTGCGAGTACAGACTTTGGCGTAGCAAGGGCATATAATTCTCCCAGCAGATAGCGGAGCCTAGAGTGAGCGAGACGCCGTTGAGAGTTGTTGTGACGGCACGGAGAGAGGACGGAGAGCCCTGGGCCCAAATCATACGTTCTGCACCAGTCTAGAATGTTATTAGCGTGAATTCTAAAGTACAGTGGAGGTGGTATGTCACATACTGGCATGACTTTTCTTCTCTTCCCTAGGATACCCCGAATAGGATCAACATAAACAACAGAACAATATAAACTCCCTCCAGCCCGTTCAACCAATCCAGTTACAATGAAGACGCCTGTTTCGGCTGAAACACGCTCGAGGAATTCGCGCGTCCCATCTCCACGGTGGGATTTGCCAGCTGCTACCTCCAGTCGCCGTTGCACCCAGTCTTCCCCGGCGCCAACGGGTGTATCGCCCAAATCCACTGCCGCTTTGAAGTATTCGAGAAATTGATCACGGCCTATTGGAAGGCGCGAACCTACAGCAGCACCAAAGGAACAGGTCCGTGGATATCCGCCTAGATAGGCTTCGGGGAAGAGGAGCAGGTGGACGTTTTGACGGGCGGCAATGATGGTGGTGCACTCGAGGGCAGCAAGGGTTTTACTCAGGGTAGCGAGTGTACGAGACTGCGAAACTGCGACTGTGAGTGGCATCTTGGCCAAATTGAGGTCCTAAATACTCGGAGGGGATATTTTTCGCTTGTACTATTTGACTATTTAGTTAAGTACTTAAGGTAGTTTGGTAAACACCACACTAAAGCTTATATAATCCAATATGTAATTTTTCCACCGTAACAACACCAAATTTTAGAAAGCACCATATAACAATAGTAAAGGACAACGAAGAACTTTCTTATCCCATCTTACTTGAACTTCGGTTCTACTGTTTTTCACCAGAACTAGAACATGTTCGAGATGCTTTAGAATGTTTTGCGTATTTTGCTCGCTTTCGACAATAAAAACGCCATTTTCAAACCAAATAACACAATCTTGGGCCTGTTTCCTTGGCTTTATGTGGAGATCTGAGATAAAAAAAAGAGTGAGAGGATAAATTGATTAGTAAATTTTAGTTGCTAGAGTAACTGACTTAGTTCGGAAAAGAATTGATAGGGCTAGCGTAAGGCTAAGGCTGAAAGTTGGGTACTTTAGTTTCAGACATGTCTACTGCTATAGAATCACTAATATTCAATTGAGTTACTGTAACGTAACATCACTTATGGCGACCTGCGATGTGCTTTTGTACCCTCTGATAATATTAATTCAAAGGTACTAATTTGGGTTTCTTGTCACCATATCTGTCTGGGTGCTAGTGATACAGCGTAAGTAGTTTATAAAATCCTCATTTACAGCAAGCCCCTACCCACTTAGTGCATGTCCGTCAATACATCTCCTCTCAGGAAAAATCTCCTAACAGAGACGTCCGAGAAGGCGAAAAATGAGTGGTACATCTCAGCATATTGAGTTTGCACCCAACCAAAGATATGGTATGTAGCCTTTGGAGTCCTGCAAGTTTGATCATCTTTCTAATATAACAAGACCGAATCATGGCCGAGAAGTTTTACAACAAATTCAAAGCAATGGGGAAATCATCCTGGAAAAGTCGATTATTCTCTGAGTCGCCTGAGTTACGAATTCAAAGAGCCATAGGAAACTCCTTTTCCAGTGATAGAGGCAGACGAAAAAAGTTCGGCGGCGCCTCCGGTCCCTTTCAGGCCCTGGAGATGAATTTAAAACAGTATTATCAACTTCAGTCCAAATTAAAGGGTTGGGAAAAGAACAAAAGCCGATATGATGAAAAAAAGAAAGAGGAATTGAGAAAAGAGGTCTTTAGCTGTTTAGCGATCTATATGAACGACGTTCAAAGCACAACAGGTGAATACTTTCGTGATTTATATGCTTCCCGTCTAACATGTACCTGGAAAGATTTCAGATTTCATGACGAATTACAAGACAGAAGAACTTGAGGCTGGTGATGGTTTTGAACTATGCGAGACAAATATTGAAGGAAAGGATTGGATAGCTCAGAAAAAAGATCATTTAGGTGGAGAAGAGATCCGAGGATAGTCGATTACCAAATGTATGAAACTACCCAACACTTGAATTGACATAAAGAGAGGAGAAGAAAAGGGAATATGTCTGACCATTTTCAAGGCTCTACGAAGAATGGATTCTAGCACACTGGTATTCGAAATATCGAAGCTGAAGAGAAGGAAAGAAAATGAGTGAGAAGTAGATTTAGGCCCCACTTCCATAGCGAGCATACAAAAAGCCAATAGAATAGCGCGACCAGCCTACAAGTGCCCGAGCGCTTGAGGCTTAAGTACCCACAACTAAGCTCAAAAGGATTGACTGTGCCATCTCGCCAAGCCCCCCGTGCGGCAATCATACTATTACCTACCTGATCGGGTTAAAAAAGATTGCCGAAGGATTCGCTACACGTAGGCTAATATACCATATCAACAAAATTCTCAGAGGATGAAACGATTCTTTCCTGTCTTTCTCACCCCGTGGTTGATTCATCGAGACAAGTGATGCGTGATAAAAGCCGTAGACAGCGTTAGAAATCATTTTATCTACATTACTGCTCCTTTAGAAGCCCGGTTAATATAAGCAGTCGTTCAAAAGAGGGTTTGGTTCGATAGATTCAAACCACGTCATCCGAGGAAGCGTTGGTGACAGAAAAAGTGGTTGCTTGATTGCATCCAGATGTTAATTTTGACGCCAGCTCCTGGCTCCGGCCAATCTGATTTGTGTATAATTTGAATAAATTAGAGGTTTACGGAGTATCGCTGCAACATATCACACTTATTGGTATTGGGCCGGCAACTATCCATCATAACGTTAATTAAGCTCAGTATCCTGAGTTTGTATATCCTGCAATCCTCATCAAAACAAGACAAGAGACCTCGACCGACTGATTTAGATTATTGATAAAGCTGAGGTTTGCCCAATATGCGAATTACTGGGACTCTTCCACGCAGAATCATCGGAAACAGCAAAATCCTTGAAGGAATTGAGAGGCATAATGAGAAAGACAAATGTGTCCAAAGCTGAACCCAAATATGTTGATGCATAAAATAAGGCCATCGTGAGATAAGAAGTCTAATAAGTTAGCCTAAGTAGTAACTACGTTTAATATTTTGTTGTTGTGGTGAGAACACATAATCTATTAGATTACACCTTGTGGAAATAGTAAAATTGTTTTGAGTATCAATTCCCCAAGTTATTTTGATGGATCATTGAATTGGACCTCGGCACGTAATACCCTGCATAACTCATAATTTGAAGATATAAAAACCCAACAGTGAACGTCGACGGCTCAATACGGAGTAAGGTGGGTTCCAGGAGGGAGTGAACAGTCAAATTGAACCTCATCGACATGAGATTCATCAGTAAGACACTTTGGCCGAGTGGTTAAGGCGCGCCCCTGCTAAGGGTGTTCATTCGTGAGCGCAGGTTCGAATCCTGCAGGTGTCGTTTTTTTGCTACCCCTTTTACCTCCTCGTGGCGTTGTACTATGAGTTAAGCCCACTTTCCCAACATAGGGAGGATTATCGTTGTTCCATCCGTTCCTTTTTTAGTATGTAACTAGCTATTTATTTAGTTATCTTCTATTTATTACTAAAATTACCTGTCATAACAGTAAGCTTAGTGTGGAGTCACAGGTTTGTGATCAGTTCCAAACACCAGAACTATGCTGCCTAGAGACTGGCAGTTAATAATGGTTGGGGTCTCAACAGCTTCGCGTCACTTATGTGGATATGTTTGGACTGTTTGCATCAGGCCAACATTGCATAAGTCAGTTTCATCCCTTGGATAGATAATCTATATGAACATTTTACCTTCTTATAAAAAGCCTTTGGTTCAAAATTTGACAACTAATTAACAGCCATCACGACGTCAGATCTCAAGATGGCTATTGGTGGGTGTTTCTGCGGCAATATCCGCGTTGAATCTACTGCTGAACCCATAGCTTCGGTTAGTAGATCAAAGAGAATTGGCTCTTCACCTGGGCACCTAATGTTTCTTGCCTTCATCTAGGGAGTGTGTCACTGTTATGACTGTCGTAAACTGACCGGCTGTCTCTCCACTATCAACTTCATCTTCAAAACTACGGACTTGAAAATCACTGGAACTCCGAAGGGAGTGTCGAAGACAGCGGATAGTGGAAACCATCTCAAGAACTTCTTCTGCCCAGATTGTGGTGCGTAAAGTACGTTAGTATTGATGTGAAGGAACAATCTGACGAACTCCTAGGTACGCCACTCTACGGGGGCAGTGTTAACTCTAGTGGAACTCTGGCCGAGACAATTGTCGTAAGGGCCGGGATATTTGACGACCTTGAAGAGTTGGATGCACGAAAGCCACAGTTAGAAATCTTCACAAATGGCCGTGTAAAATGGGTAGAACCCATCGAAGGGGCTGCTCAATTTACCAAATCGCCACCGTCATATTCTACTCCCACTGAGATCCCCTAGCTATATACAAACGAGTTGGTGGTCATCATCATCAAAAGTATACTGAATAGTGACCTCGCGTGTCTTTTAAGATGCCTTTCAAAAAATTTCAACAGATAGTAGCAGGAAAATACAATTATATCTCTGAACTATAGTTGTTCTAGTTAGGTCGAAGATAAGATAAGATAAAATATGTCAATCAACCAACCAAGCAACGAAGCAACCAAACAAGACCAACTCACAAGACCAACCAAAGAACCAACCAAACAATCAACCAAACAAACCATTTCCATCATGGCAGCCCAAATTAATGTTGACGTTGCCGAATTAGAACGCAAAATGGTCGCACTTATGGAGTTTGTTTCCCTCAGACGAAAATCTCAATCCAATTGTCTACACTGCGTTCTAATTTTCAACAATCCCGCACACAAGACTATCTACCGTTTCAGACTGCTAACCGTGATCTGATACAGTGCTTTCAGCGACCATCCTTTATTCATGACGCCAGAAATGCCCAAGGCATTGTGGTTCGTCGCCGACTTTGTCAAGAAATCGTGAGACCAGGTCAAGGTCGTCGACCACAATAAGTACGCCGCTGGAGACCGAGCTTCCGTCGCTGCTGTCAAAGAGGTCATGGGCCGTAACGCTCTCGCCCAAATGCTCATCACCGATACCAGCGGTAAATTGGCCATGATGTCTGGTGAAGCCACCTCGCCAGACTGGGGTGAGGAAATCTTGACCAAGGCATCCGCTATGGTTCAGTAATGAATATAAAGGTCATCGCGCACGAAGTCTGAATGTCACTTGGGTTCGGGACGTGGGCTGGAGATTTTAGCCAGGAATTTGTAGCTATGATGATATGCGAATTGTCGAAGGAATCTGACTATAAGCCCGAACATCATTCGCAAGGAAGATACTGCGGGGAACATTATTACCTGTAATGAGGTATAGTGATTGATAAAGATTGCATTAAACCATTGGCCATTTTGGAAGTATCCATTCCACAGTTCCTTTCTGATAAACCTGGAAATCAGACGGTAAGATTTTGACGATCTTCCCAACTGTCATTCTTCTTCCAACTCACTTCATAAATAATATCAAGAGCGACCGATAAATATGTGTCAACTCAATTCATATGCACCCAATATCGATCCACTTCGGACATCCTCGGGTCTGGCATTACCCAACGCCTATTCAACCGCCTCTTTCGAGATCTATCAGCCATCCATGATGCGATTCCTTATGCCTCCTTAATCTTTCCTTCCAACACCCGATTAGGAATGTAATATCTCATCTCCTCGAGTTTTTATTTCGCCCATCAAAGTCTTCACTCATTATTCATCCAGTTTTGTTGCAACATAATAATCCAAAACAAGGGGTTCAAAGCTTGCACAACAGTCACGTCAGATTCTTGAGCCTTCCCAGTGGATAAAAAAAAACGGTTAAAGGTATCTGAAATATCCAGAAACGACTTAGCTCGATTGCGGTATAAAGAGCTTAAAATGGCGAGATTAGTCCACTGCGCTAAATAGGCCTGCCGCTGCTTCCGCTCCAGGGCTTTGCAGTATGGCATAATACCTCACTAATAATTTTATATTTACTCGCCATGTGCAAGATCTAACAAGTTCTTCAAAACGATATTAGTTCCCCACAAAGTACCCACTTTATCTAACAGCGATATATAATTGGTCGAACGGGTCATTCAGTGGTTGCTCATATTAGCCTCCGATGATGCCATCTGGAACTAGATCTCGAAGCACCTTGCCATGTGGACCATCTCGCTTCAAAGAAAACGATAGACATCAAATACTGATCACTGATTTGTTATAGAAATACAGCCGAGATGACCAAACACCATTAGAATGTCGGTGAATAATGGCGTTACCTGACTAGGTACCAATCCATGGCAATGGACTTGATATAGCGACAAACACCATTACTAAAGAGTATGACATCTTATTACTTAATTTTTTTTTGAAGGACTATATAAACAACCTTATCACAAACATGTATAAGTTACTTACTACAGAATTTCTTCTAAATTTGATTTCTGGAGTTTTCCCGGGGAAAGCATCCGCGGAAGAGCATAATGGTTTACTTGTCCCAGAAAAGCCTGTGGTCATTGGCAGGTATCGTTCTGTCTGTCGCTGCCGATAGCCAATATCGCTCACGTAGTGATCTTTCTCCACCGAAATTGAACATTACCATCCCTGCAGCCGACGCCAATGGCACCGAGTATGTCTTCGTAACACCATATAATGGTGAGATCCAGCAGCCAGGTGCATACATCTATCGCAAAGATGGTGACCTGGTCTGGTCTTCTATCGGCTATTATGCCGGGTTCGTTGACAACCTTCATCCTACCACATATCATGGAGAGACTGTTCTCCAGGCTTATCAAGGCACCATTGATCACCTTCACGGCGAAGGTTGGGGCCAATTCGTTCTTTTAAACCATAAATATGAACATGTGGTCACAGCCACAGCAGCAAATCATCGTATCCCCTCCATTCATGAGTTTAATTCGATTAATGGCGAGACGGCGCTCATTGAGATCTATATCCCCACCCTGGCCAATCTGTCAGCTTACGGTGGTAACTCATCCCAGAAGTGGATTGGAAATGGGATTTTCCAGGGTTAGTCCTCAGGATTGTGATTTTAATAGATTGAATTACTGACATAGTATGGCAGAGTTCAATATTGAGACTGGTGAATTAATCTTCGAGTGGAGTGCTCTCGACCACATTGATCCTGCTGGTTAGTTGTTTCAATTGTATCGCTGCATGCTTTGATCTCAATTCTAACTTTCTTCTATAAATAGATTCTTTGGTCGCCCTGGGTTCGTCTACTGCCAACAGTGGTTTGACTTCTGAACACTCATGGGATTTTATCCACATTAACAGCGTTGATAAGAATGAAGAAGGGGATTATCTTATCTCTTCCCGCCACTTGAGCACCATATTTAAGATCAATGGCACTGACGGTTCCATTATTTGGCGCCTAGGTGGTAACTCGTCAACATTTTCTCACGACTTCACATTCGGTTTCCAGCATTACGCACGCTGGATTTCTCAGTCTACTGACGATGAGGTTGAAGTAATTTCGTTCTTCAACAACGGTGGTGATGGGACCATTACTTTCAATAATGTCTCCTCAGCTCTAGTCGTGCAATTGAACACTACAGATTCCACGGCAATTATCTTGCGGGAGGCAACTGCTCCATACGGTCTTCAAGCTGCCTCTCAGGGGAATGCTCAATTGCTCCCCAACGGCAACTTCTTTGTTGGTTGGGGCTCGGCCGGTGCTTACTCGGAGTTTAATACTGACAACGAGGTCATCTTCCATGCATTTATCGAAGATGGTATCAGTTATCGATCATTTGCGGGAAATTGGACTGGTATCTCCAATGAAACCCCCGCTATCGTTGCTTTCGAAGATGGCACTAGCAATTCCACCCGTCTTTTTGTTTCTTGGAATGGCGACACCCAAACTGAGAGCTGGAAGTTCTTTACAGGTCATGGGAGGAAACGGTCGCTTATTGCTCAAGTACACCGGAAATCCTTTGAGACCTCGTTTGTTTGGAAGAATATTGATGATTCGGCAACTTTTTATGTTGAGGCTATTGGTAAGGATGGCCATGTTCTAGGGAAAGCCGGTCCCGTCACAACATCCAACTGGATTGCGCTTTCTTCTTGATAGCAGGAGGCAAGCAAGAATACCTTGGCCCAAAAAACTTGAGATTTCGCCTATTTAATATATTTTCATCACTTTCAGTACACTTATTATGAATTTTTCTGATCAAACTCTTCATCGACAGTAAGACAATCTCCAATTCAAAATGGCCATGGGTTTCTGGCTGTTGCTTCCCGGCTTCTATTGATCCTCGCCTCTCTTGCGCAGCGCATAAATAATACAATCAGATCAGACGCGATGATTCTACTCATGTCGCAAATGGTCCTCTCTCGCACTAAAAGTATCGGCACGTGAATTTCTCACAAACCTAATTGAACTCACATCAATGCGCTCCGAGCATTCTGTCTACATTGAAGCCATGAACAACAACCCAGGCAATAGCGCTCAGTGTGCAATTGATCACATCCCAGCTTACACTGCTACAAGCGGGATGGTCGTAGATCGCAACCAGCAACCGACGAACAAGCTCAGTATAGGATACCTCTGTTCCGATATCACGCATCATCAGAGCAGTCAAGTATGCCTGCAAGATAATAGAAGCTGCCGCAACCCACTGAATGAAGCCGGCATATCGCCGAGTAGTTTTTTCTCCCTGCTGCTTAGTGATGTTTGAAACAGAACCTTTCGGACCCAAGATACAAGGAATGAAAACCATAAGATGGGCCGCGAGTAGAATAGGCATGAATTCTTTCTTGTGTGCAAATATCGGAACAGCGACTGTGTCGAGAAGCGAAAAAGCTACCGGAACGAGTTCATATGACAATTTTGGGTACCATATGAAAGTGATATCTTTCTCATTCGGTCGTTGAGATACGACTACCGCGACAAAGAAGAGGTTCGCAGCGAAGGAGACACTAACCAACTGAGCTAGAAGCATGTAGACCCAGAGATAGGGAATCCGATATCTCCGACCTGAAATATTTGGTTGTCAACATAAAGACCATAGACATTTTTTAATCTCTATCCGCATAACTCACCCACAATTCCAACAAAAAGACTCCATCCGATGGTCCAACCAAAGATCTGCCCACTCCACCAGAACCGAGTTGGATTCTCTACTGCCGTCTCCCATGCTTCTTGAAAGAGTAGCGTTTTTTGCAGCCAGAGGTCCATGCGAGTGATGGTGGAAGTGGATATCTGCGAATACGCAACTCCTTCAAGGCTGTTTGCCCAATTATTGTAGGAGCCCACAAAATATGTGATCATGTAGAACCATGTAGTACCGATGCTCAAAGCTGACAGAAAGAGAAAAAGAGCAAAGTGTGCAGGTCGTTGAGGGGTGGCCCAGTCATTTTTCTTTTGTCGTGCTAGATACCGAACATAGATGATGTTAAAGCAGGTGAAACCCAGGCCTATCACTATGGAAAGGTAGCCCAAAAATAGACCAATGGATATATAATTGGTAGGAGGAACCTGGATGACCTTTAAATCCGCCATTGAAGCAAAATGCCGATTGTGGGATGAAGAGGTGAGTTTGCGGATTGCCGTGTATCTTTCCCCACTTTCATGCCAAGATCAGATTCTACGCTTTTCAGATCTACTTTGTATTATTAGCACTGAATTCCGCCAATCACCGTAAAGATGACAGCCCCAACCTTGGAATCATTATCTGTAAAAATGCGTTTTTTAGCTATGAATAATTACCTGTCACATTCAGTCTCGAGAAGTGAGAAGTGGGGTCAAATGGTGGGAGTTGGCAACCTTCAACTCTACTGCATTCCAAAACTGGAAATAATTCTGACAGCGGAGAACAAAATATGCTCGAGGATGGAGTTCTGCTTTTAGTATGTCTTAGGGATCTTGGATCGAAAGAGATCCCCAAAACAAACAATAGTTCATTCTTAGACGCCTAGCTAGTACTTTGTATATACATCTATTCAATTCCTAGCGATATACTCTACTCCCAGTTGTGAGTAGACCTAGTTGAATTCCTCCAGACTTGAGAGTTGTTCTTGTTGTGGTATTGGGTTGTTCCCCAGTATCGCCACCGCTGATCAGGATTGGGTGAGTAATATGGCTACCCCGACGAGACTGTCACCTCGAGTCCAACAGCTTCAATGCTCTCCATATCTTAGCTAGCTTTATTAATGTTCCTGATATCTCGAAGTTAGTCACATTTCCTTAACTGATGAGCTGAAATGTCTGCTTCACTTACCTACCTTGGAAGCTTTCGATCTTCCAATTCTTGGCAAATTTTCTAAATGAAAGCCGTTGGCTACATATCATACGGCGTTAAATTTATGAAAAGGGCCAGTGAGCAGTTGAGATACCTGAATTTGATGCAAAGTCGAAAGTTCGGTACAGGCTGTTTAAATCACGTGGTATAATACTAATCACGTGATGGAATTTAACATCGCCGGCGATCCCAAGGTTTTTGGTGGTAACAGTTCGATTGACAAATTTCCTCTCTTAAGCATCAGCAACCACGTTGTACCTAGAAGAATCAAACCTGATGCAATTAATTCCGAGGTATCACCCTCGACAGCATGAGCGTTGTCAGTCAAGATGAAGCGGATCGGGTTCTTCGGTTGAAAAGTAGGGAGCGAGAAAGCCATGCATGTTATCCGTGCAAAAAACGAAAGGCTTGTCTTCCTCGCTAAGTATCAATGATAATCCCGAGTATCAATCGAATTAACATGTCATAAGGTCAAATGCGATGGGAATAACCCGTGTCAAACCTGTGTAAGGCGAAAACATCCGCAGATTTGCACCTATGACCTGGCTGTGAACTCGCGTCGCAGGTCAGTATTGCGTCAGAGGGTTGCTCTCTCAGCGTCTCCCTCTTCGTCGAATGTAGCCAGAAGTGAGAATGTTGAACAGCCGCGCCCTGATGATAGCTCCAAGAATTATGTTTACTCTGGAGACAACTCTGTTGTTTCTCTCTTGCGGTTGCGCTCGACAGATGCTAATGATTCGGTGGCCCGGGAGGTCGGGTCTGTTCTTGGGCTTCAAAACACTTTCGACAACTATCCTTTTATGGATATTAATACGCCGAAAGAAAGATGGAAAGCTTTACTGAGCCTGTTGCCCCAACGAGCTGAAGTCTTAAAGTATGTGAAATAGCGAATTCTCAGGGATCATCTTACTAACGAAAAGTAGATTCTTTCACTATTACCGCGTGACTGTCTTTCCTTTCAACCCGATCTTGGCTGATATGGATCGTTTTGAATCAGAACTATGTACCTATTTGAATGCGCATGCCACGGGAGAGCTTCACGATACCGAGAATATCACTGATCGTTGGATGACTAACAAGGCTATGGGTCATATCAGTCTGGTTTTAGCTACTTTGGCAGCAGGAGCTCATTATTCTGATATTGATTATCCACAACGCTTAGAGCTTTCTTCCGATTTTGGTTCGCGAACAATCTACCCCCCAAGACGAGACTATACTAACAGCAGGATAGCTCGGAGATCCTTTCATGCTCTTAGATTGGCCAATTTCCTTTTCCGGCCATCACTTGATGTTATACAGTCACTTCTGATCCTAGGCAATACTATGCAAAACATGGGCCAGTCTGATGCAGCTTGGGCTTTACTTGGTTCTACCGTCCGTCTAGCTCAAACAATGGGACTACACACCGCTAGAAGCACAATACATTGGCCTGAACATGTTCAGACGAAAGCAAGAACTCTATGGTAAGGCTTTCTTTTCCACTTCTTCTATAACAGGCTAATACCATTTGTAGGTCTTCAGTTGTATGGCAGGATAGCCTACTTTGTTTGTGTTATGACCGGCCGCCTATCGTCACTGTAATGGGATGGCCCTTAGAAAATTCATTCTACGAGAGACAGGACCTATCGTATGCTGAAGTCATGCACTTTCTGTGTCGGCTAGGCCTGGATATTATGCGACCTGAAAGTTTTGGCAGACACGAAGCCGATCGAGCTATTGAAGGGTTACAAGCACTAGATAATGCTTGCCAACGCGGTGTGCCTCATCTTCGAACCCGGGAAAGGTGCACGACATTGCAACAGCACCTCGAACACCTAGCCCTTAGGATGCATTCTTCTTTCTGTGTTTCTGTTATTTGCCGTCCTGCGATGAAACAATCAAACTCACTGGATCTTCTCCCTCAAACTGGTATAATGCGCGCTCGTGCGAAAGGAAGCTTGATTGATTCTTCGAATGCATTTTTGGAATTTCAGGCTCTGAGCGTCGTACCGCTTCGAAGTTGGTCAATGGTGCACACTGTTCTCAGCTCGACCTTGCTGCTTTGCATATGGGAGGAGACCCACAATGACTCAGAGTGTCGTAGCCTGCAGCAGAAGGTCATTGATGTTTTCTCATCGTTCGACTCCAAGGCTTCAGATGATGAGGGCAATAAAAACCAGTGGTTATCGGCTCGTCATATTCGGGCTTTGGTGACACTCCGCAGCAACTTGGATCGCCAGGGAGATGCGGTCTCTACTGAGAAGGATAATTTGACAGCCGCAGGATCTAATCCTGCGTTCACTTTTGAGTCTGGGTGAGTGGGATGATTGATGCCCACGGTTGGGAAATACTAACAGCAAGTAGGAATCCGGACTATTCAGAGATAATCAATTCGTTTGACACATCACCCGTATCGTACCTAGAATCGATCATGAATGGTATGTTTATATTTCATATAATGCTAGTACGTACTAATACTCAACTGATAGTTCCCTTGTTTGATTTTACACAGGATATTGGCTTCTTTTGAACACAGACAGTAATATATCACTTTTATCTATTTAAAATTTTGTACGAGGTATTCCGTCTCACAATTTACGATCACCATCAGCGAAATCAAGAAGAGCAAATTACTAGTCCTATACTTATTATAGATCTTAATGTTAACATTTGGGCTACTTTAGGCCTCTGCCGCCGGCACTAGGTAATTTTGCTGCTTTATCAGATCCAGAATCTACTATAAAACAAGCACAAATGCACTACATCGAGCTCTTCGATATAAAAAACCTGGGAGCAGAGTACGAGAACCCACTTTCAAGCCTGACAAAATCAAAATAACTTAAGGTACGCAATAGGGCCAGTAATAGTTGAGAAGATTGGCAGATTCTTCAAGATGATTGAACAGCGATAGATCGACTGAATATGAATAGCAGTTCCAACAAGGAGTAGACGACATGCTCCACTCCTCCACGGCAAAGCCTGCCGACTATTCCGACTCCCGTTTCTCGGGGCCTCGCACATCTCGGATCTCGGGGACCTCGGTCGAAACATATTGCTTCTTCTATGTTTATATCGGCTTTTTACTTTCCTGGAAGCTTCATATTTAAGCTTCGTCACGAATGAGATTTGATATTCAATCTTCAATATCTGCCGCCAATCTCGTCTCAATTCTCAACCCAGTCCTCAGCTTACCTTTCACATCGAATTGCATCAATTTCTGTCTGGCACACCTTAGTCCTCTCCGAGAACGTCTCCTTCAATCTCAAACCCCCTACACGATGCCTGAACAAAACGGACATGCTTCACAACCTGAGCGTCGCAAGCGCATCGTAGTCGCCATGACAGGCGCAACCGGCGCCATCCTCGGAATCAAAGTTCTTATCGCTCTACGCCGCCTGAATATTGAAACACACCTAGTGATGAGCAAGTGGGCCGAGGCCACAATTAAATACGAAACGGATTACCACCCTTCAAACGTCAGGGCGCTTGCAGATTACGTTCACAATATGAGCGACATGGCCGCCCCGATCTCGAGCGGCTCCTTCAAAGCTGACGGAATGATTGTCGTCCCTTGCAGTATGAAAACACTGGCTGCTATTAATAGCGGATATTGCGATGATTTGATCGCGCGCACGGCAGATGTCATGCTTAAAGAGCGTCGTAAGCTGGTTCTTGTGGCGAGAGAAACTCCCCTCAGTGAGATTCATCTTCGCAATATGTTGGAGGTTACTCGTGCTGGGGCTATTATCTTCCCTCCTGTACCTGCTTATTATATTCGGGCTGGCTCGGTGAATGAATTAGTCGATCAAAGTGTTGGACGCATGCTTGACTTGTTTGATCTGGATACGGCAGATTTCGCACGATGGGAAGGATGGGGTGATGGGAAATAGAGGATATTACTGTGGGCTTCGTGTATATTATAGGCGTTTGTATCTAGATAATTCATCATTGCGTTTGTACACTAGAGAGAAAAAAAAATACTAGCTCGAAAAGTCTTATATGTATTCCACAACAGCGTAGATTTCCGGACGTAGAGTAGAGTCTGGATATTTCTATCGTCAAGGAGTTCAACTTGAAAACATTTTTAGGTAGAAGATTTTTAAATCGAAAGTCACCACCAACAAATGACAAGCCTTCATATGTGTTAAGCGGCATAGCAATTATTTCGAAGGTTACCTGAACTGAACAATTTTTCAAACGAAGGTCAAAAAGCCACAGTTGTTGTGGGCTCCTGGTGCATCTCACTAGGTAATTCACACGATGGTCTATTTGATGTAAGAGTGCTCTAGATGCCCTACCTTTGGAATACTATGGCTTTCTAGTTGATTCAATTGGAGAACAGTCGTGCAGAAGACCTCGGGATGAGTCAATTACCCAGGTAGCATCTCCTCTAGTCACTCGTAGATTGACTGCAGGATATAGCCAGGTATCAACTTCCGAATAATGGATCAACATCAAGGACCAGACGACCCGCTCGGTTGGGAAACATGTTGACATGTGTCTGATCAATTCCTGTACCATAGCTGACAAAATATCCGGTCACTTCTTCTTCATCTAACACCTTTCGTATCTCATCTAGATCGCGAGCCACTGATGCTGTGCTTACAAAGCGACCAAAATCACCTAGTGTGCCGTTGCCGGCAGGCAAAGAAGGTGGCATTGTTCATGGCATCCACGATCTCCAGCTGGCCCTTTGGAGCTTCTTCGCGGTAGAATAGTGAAATGAGTGACCATCTGTATCGAATTTTGTTCCGAGGAAAACATGTTGTTGAAGGCAGAGAGAGGTTAACGCCTCGTGGATCCCACCCCAGTACATCGAATAGACCATTGCTGAAGCGGTTCGTCCTCTCCTCTGCAGTTTCCCAGAGGAATGACGTTCCGCTCCCTCCCAGACTGCCTGGCTGTAAGATTATTGTACGATCACTTTTGTAGGTTTGGAATGAGACATTGGACTCGTTGGTATGAGCCAAACCAGCGACCTGGAACTTGGTTACCGCAAGGCGCGGAATGCGAGAGTCTGAAGTGTTAAGATAATCAAGTGGTAGATCTATAAATCCACAGAGGTGGGTTCCCTGGTCTGTGCTACCCGTCGCTAGAGGTTGGGGTTTGGCTCAAATATGGCGGCCTACTATAGATACAGTATTTTACGGCATACAGAGGGTTTGAAATAAAGTGGATGGTTGTGACCAGTAGTTGTCTGGCGAAAGTCAGAGTAGTTCTGGACAAGGTCCGAAGTAACAAAAATGACTGCTCTGTAATAGCGGATGTTGTTGTGATTTCAGAACCAGATCGTTCAGTGTTATCGGAATTCCGTAGTACGCCGCGTCAGATTCTTAACTAGTGTTGACGACAAAATCATCGACTTACTTAACTTTGACTCCTCCTTAAGTGAAAGTGGCGCGAATATGTCTCAAGGTTCAACATTATGTACTAAGCTTATATCCAAATTCAGAGGGATAATGCTCTTCAAGCTCAAGCGTACGTAGCATTATGGTATTCAAATGTTAAGTTATGATAGATATTGATTCGGAATACTAGACGGCTTCACACCTACGCATCGTCCACCCTATGAAAAGGTCCTCATCTGCGACTACAGCACGTGGTTCTCCCCCTAGGGTCCAGTTTCTTTGACCCATTTTGGGATTGACCCACCTGAATCGGACGTAATTGTCATGGTCCATCCGATACGAGGGTGATAATTTCCAGTAAGGTCAGGTTTAGCTTGTGCCGGGGTAATGGCGTGACTCTCTCTACGCTGGCGTAATTGGCGAATATCGTTCGCCGCGGTGTGAGAGACTGGATTTTTTCCTGCGAGGAATTTGATAAAGGATCCGAGTGAACCGGAATTTGAATAGTGAGGAATCCACCTGTGATCGACTCGCTGGTGTACGCAGCTGAGATGGTAAAGGAGATGAAGCTACGCGGGCTAATAATCGCACTTGGGTGAAAAGTGTGCGTTATAAGATTAACTATCGATGCGAACTGCACCAACCTCGAGATTGACGAGGCATAATATGTTAAGCCCGTTGGTTCAATCACTAGCTACCCAAATGACGGGAGTCCTGCCTATCACAGTCACGCCCATCACCTTCGATTACATGAATATCAATGTTCCTACTGTAACAGGCTGGTGCCTGCTTTAGCATTCATGCCTGTGCCACTCATGCTCGTCACGTGCCACCCGCACCCGCATCCCTTATATTGCCACATGTCCATAGCTAGTCTCTCTCTCTTCTCTTCAAGCTTAATAAAGACAGTTTGTCGGCATCACTAGTTCTGCATTCAAGATTAGTATTAGTCCTTCACAGCAACCATATCGAACAAGAGTCGATGGGATTTCGAAGGAAAAAACTATTAAGGAAGTTGAAGAAGAAAAATTATGGAAGAAGAAAAAACGAGAACTGTCTTCTTCTTAAAACCATAACAGCTTTATCCTCTAAACCATCAGGCAAACCCCCATCTCTTTATCACTATCAATCACCCCACTTCAGAATCCAAGATGTGCCCATCTTGAAAATTTCTTCCTAACACAAATCATGGACAACTCGGTCGCGATTCGTACGCAGACCAAGATGTGAGGAAGAACCAATCTTTGCCTCACGGGAAAACAAAGGACTCAAAGGAATCTAGCCGACCGAGTCGTTCGGCATTGGGAAGGGGAATAGTTGTCACGGAGTTGATAATCTGGAAATCATGTGACCGTTATGTAATACCCACAACTACTTAACCGATCCGTACCCGGATCCCCCATGATTTCTCCAAGAATCAGTCTTGAAATGTTATCGAGTTCTTGTTCCCATCCTTGTCTTCTCTGTAAAATCCAGTAACCCTTACAAGAATACCATTTGCCATTCTGATCTTAGGGGATCATTAAATTGCCGCTAGAGAGGACCACGGATAGAAGACAAAATAGAGACTGGCTTCTCTAAGAAAAGCCCACTTTCGTGTTTTCCACTTTTTATTATTTTTTCCACTCACCACTTTCTTTACCCCGCACAAAGGCTGATTCTTCAACAAAAATCGGCCACCCAACAGATACAATATGCAGGGCACTCGGGGGTATATCGTGCACCTATCCACATTCATTTATTTTATCGATCCATGTATATAGCGACTCGAGATTTTAAAGTTGCTCTACTTTGTACTCTGCTCGGAATGACGAATATCACAGCCAAATCGCGAGTAGCAAGTGTGTTAGGTGAGCTGCTGAGGTGAGTAAAAGCTATTTACGTAATTCAGAGATATCGCAAAGGAATGAATAGGTTGATTACAGCCTTTAAGAGAGGCCCAAGAGGAATCTTGGAAATAATCCCTCAAATAATCCATACAGTTAAATTTTACTGCCTGAGGCCTCAACAACAACTATTTTGATATTCTCCGTTTTTCGGCATAGCCCAAGGAATTTCAGTAGCTTTATCTTTATATTTTCAAATAAACGCATTATCGTTACTTCATGTAAGTTAGAGCTTATCACTCAATTATGGCGACATTTCATCCCCGCTCGATGTCGTGCTAAGCTCCCTCTGGTAGCCCTTTCAGCATAAAAAGGCTGAAAACATTGCGTTCCAAACCAGCTCAAATAATTCGCAATTTTTTTGCTTCTTGTAAAAGAAACTTTAAATTATTTCTACGTCTCTAATCCATGGCACAAAAAATCTCAAGGGTCGCCGTCATCGGCGCTGGCCCTGCTGGAGCTATCACTGTCGATGCACTCGCTCAAGAGAAAAAATTTGATGTCATTCGGGTGTTTGAGAGGAGGGAGAAAGCTGGTGGCATATGGTAAGGGCAGCTTTGAAGCTTCAACCCCCTCTCCAAGCGTTGAACATTGTCTGATTACTTTTTAAAAGGATAAATGATGCAAACGAGCATCCCAAGATTCCATCTCTTCGCAAGTTGGTTGATGGAAAAGCTGACGAACCAATTCCAACACCTTCTCTCCTTCCTACAACTACACCCCAAGACCAGAAAGTCAACAGCAAGGACTACCGCTACAACTATACCCCAATCTACCCCGGATTAGTCAGCAACATAGATGATCGGATCATGAGCTATACGAAAGAGCCATTCCCGTTGACCAATTCTGAGGGTGTCACTGATCCTCATATCCCATTTCGCAATAGCGAAGTTATTCGTGAATGGGTTGAGAGTCTCCTCGATCGGAAAGGTTATCGTCATCATGTCGAGTATAATACCACCGTTGAACTGGCCGAGAAGAAAGGAAATGAGTGGATTCTTACTCTGCGGAAGACATTGCCCGGTGGAAAGCACAACTATTGGTGGCAAGAAACATTCGACGCGGTCATTGTAGCCAGTGGACACTACCATATTCCACACTTTTCGGAAGTGCCTGGTATTATCGAGTTCGGTGAGAACCACCCGGGCGCCGTGGAACATAGTAAGATGTTCCGTGGACCTGAGAAGTACCGTGGAAAGGTGAGTAGATATGCCTATGAATTTTTAATCCATCTTGGACCCGGCTAATATCAAAAATCAAATTGACTTAGACTGTTGTGACAATTGGCGCATCTGTCTCGGCAACGGATATTGCTAGGTCTATTGCAGGTGTGGCGAAGAATCCCGTGTATGCATCGATTCGCGAACCACATCGCTTATTTGGCACTGTGCCATTTGAACATCCTCAAATAGCATTGAAACCGAAAATATCCCGTGTATCAACCTCCCCAAGCAGTCGAACTGTGTACTTCGAAGATGGCAGCGAGGTTCATGACGTGGACCACATTATCTTTGCCACTGGCTATGATTTTAGTTTACCATTCCTCCCGTCTATAAAGATCGCCAACCGCAGGATTCTCGGAACATATCAACACATCTTCAAACAGGAAGATCCAACTTTGGCGTTTGTCGGCGGCGTATGATTCTTCTTACACATGAATGCTTATATTACGTACTAATTCTTGACAGGTGTCGGCGGGATTCACATTCCTGGTATTCGAATGGCAGGCCGTTCTTGTGGCAAGATTCTTTGCCGGACGCGCCCAGCTACCTTCGTTAGAGGAACAGCAACGCTGGGAAAAAGACCGACTTGCCACTATTGGTGATGGCCAGCCATTTTATAAAATCGCCCCACATTTTGAGGAGTATTTTGAAGCACTGCGTAAGCTGGCGGGAGAGCCTGGCCCTGACACTCCTGGACGGCGTCTCCCGAAGTGGAATCCAGAATGGTTGAAAATTGTAGAGCAAACCATCAAGAATAGAATTGCGAAGTGGAAGGAAGGGGCCGAACTTGCTAAACAGCAAACGATTCATTTGAAGAACGATAAAGGACCTGAAAGGCTTTCTCGGCTTTGAAAAGACATAGTTGAGAATAAAGGAGATGGTAGAAGATATAAATTGCCTTTTTGATTTCGGTCTCCTATATAATTTCTGCGATACATTATAAGTAAGTAGTACTCGGTAGTCTATCCTTCAGATCCCGATATTTGCAGCTTCATCTTAGCATACCAGTGACTTTCCGCTATTCCAGCCTCAATCAGGAAAATTTGCTCTTTCCAATACTTCAACTACGATGGCGTTGGTGTAACCAATGACCGCACACATCTTTATTCTCAAACTTTGCGTAATCTTGATATCATTCAATACTTTGGCCAGAGAGGATGGGATGAAAGCGGCAGCATCGACGATACCGATCTGCTTGAGCAAATTATCAAAGCATTCCAAAACGTCGAAAAGGATACCAGGGAAGCAGGACTACGTAGATGGGAGGACATTTACTCCATCCGCAGCTATCAAATTTCACTTGGTCAATCGTTGATCTTATTGTTGATCATTATAAGTCGTTCATGCCAAATAATCAGCGTATCTGGACAGGAGTAGGTGTTCGGGAACTGGGAATTCCAGGAATGATAATGATGGTTGAGGTTGAGGCCAAGACATAACCATCCAATTCAACCACAGTGTCTAGTCAAGGAGAGGCAAAGCCTCAATTTGTGTGCACAACGTAACCAATGGTGAGTTTTTAATTTTCAAATTTTTCTCTAAATTGTGTTTCGTCCTTGTGAGTAAACCACCACTTACGATAGTTACCAACTAATCGTTTTTGCCAGCGGGTTGTACCCGCATCAGAAGAGAAGGGCAGAAGGAGAAGGGCAGAAGGAGAAGGCGGTGGAGGGGACCCGTATATGGGAATCCATATTCCCCACCTCACTTAGTTCCTCAAGTAATTCAATGATATTCATCGAGACCTAACTTCATCGTTAGATGCGTACAAGTCCCCTTACAGTTTTCTCTTTATCCTTTTTTTTCTTCACTCTTTCACAAGAAGCTTCGTTCTCTATTTCACCGATAGCAGGAGTAAAATGGGCTGGAGCACATGAGTCAGTAGCCGAAGAAGGGACTGTTAATATCGACAAGACTTACTCTTTCTCCCCCCTCCACCCAACACACTTCCAGCAATCGAATATATGAGTGGGATCATAATGATTCTTGATCTCCAAAAGTCTAGGATAGTTTGACCCAAAGTAAGTTTCCTGCCATTCTGGCTCCAGGTAATGCGCCTCATTGAGATATGCACCACCTCCAGGACTCAATTTTTTCAAAGGGTCCAACAATTCCAGGAACCCATGGGCAACACTTTGTTGTGTATCATGCTCAAGCGGCTCTAGCCATTCTCCGACATGAATCACATGCCAAAGTGCGTCTCGCCAAGCTGGATGGGTTGCCGATTTTTGATTTCGGTCAAGATTACTGACAGGTGTTTCTGGGACAATCTGCGTTCCTGTAAGGTTAAGAAGACTCCTTGCAGTTGCAATACCTTGCAATACACCTTCAACTAGCTCACTTGTACTATCAGACTCGGCAAAGACTTTGCGAGGAATAAGTCGCGACCCCAACAAAGAGAAGATGCCCGATGGCTCGGTGATTTTGGCGTCGGCAGCAGTCACAGAGAGATAACTTGCGTAGTTGGCGTAATATTTATAGGCATTTTCAGAAATCGAAAGGTCTTTTCTCGCACTAAGAAACTTGGCAAATGATGCAGTGGCGGCTTTTAACTTAGAGCCATCGTCCCCGTAGAGCAGTACCAGCCCGACGGTGAACTTCTCAGGGAAGTATTCAATCTGCCCCGTCACCAGCTGGGCCGACCAGTCAATCTGGTTTCGTGCATGGGCAGTGAGAATCTCGCGGAGAGCCACATTCTCTGTCGCATTGGTGTTGTAACTGACACCAGTAAAATTGGCAGTAAAGGTATAAGTGTGAATTGGTAACGATGGATAGACTTGAATTCGGTACTTGGTGAGAATAGCAAAAGTCCCCCCTCCTCCACCCCGCATAGCCCAGAAGAGGTCTGGATCATTACACTGGTTGATGATACGAACTTCACCGTCAGCTGTGACAACCTCGAATTCCACCGCGTTGTCGGCCATCAAGCCGTAAGTTGTTGTAAAGGAACCAACGCCTCCGCCTTGTCCAAAACCACCAGCAAGACCAACTGACTGCTCATAGCCCCCGGGGATATCCATATTATGATCGTTGAAGAAGCGATAGGCATCACCTGCGATGACGCCAGCTCCAAGTTCCCCAATATTCTGCCCGTTTGCTGCAGGACAATTGTTGGCAGTAAAGTTGGAGTAGAATCCCAAGTTATCAAGATGATGAGTCCAGATAGCAAGGGTGTTCGGCACTGAGGAACGTCCGTAGAAATCATGACCGGTATTCTTGATACTGATGCGAATATTGTGTGTCTTCGCAAAACGAAGTGTAGCAGAGATATGGGACGTATTGCGAACATCAACATAATAAGAAGCCAGCCGCCCAATCGAGCAGTTGGTGTACATTGTCTCTTCGGGGTTTGACTCAAGAAGTGTACACCCTTGATTATGACAGGTCTCCCAATTTAGCCAATAGGTTTGCCCAAAGCTATCTCCGCGGGTGACACTGTCACCATAATCATTCTTGACAATCTTGCAGGCGTCTTCATTATAGTGTGGAGAGTTCTTATAACATGAAGCGGCGATGGGAATGGTTTCGTGAAGATATCCGTCGATGCTCGTATTGAATTGTTGCCATTCGTGTAGCATCGGCCAGCATTTTTGACCGGGTTGACAGTCGTAACCAGGATCAGTGGATGCTGGTGAAGCAAGTGCAAGAGGAAATAAGAGAAAGACTTGCGAATAAAACCTCAGATTGACCATTTTGAATTCAAATTCTCTTCGATAATACTCGGCTGGAGCGTAAGAATAAAATGAGCCATATTACCTTGACTCCACAGCACTTTATATTTTCATAGGCTTCATTATCCATCTCAATAAGAATTAACTGCCGCTATCCGTTTTAGCTAATTCGGTACAAGAAAGGTATACTCATCGACTAGAAGTATTGATTGGTCGTGTTTGACTAAGATCGTCGGAAACTAACACGACCAACGCCACACAAGCCATCTAGCGGATCTGTGATTGATGAGTATAACTTTTCAACTAAGATTCTCACCACCAAACTCCAGCTTGAACCTTGCAACCGCTGAACCAACAAAATGATGGAACTACTAAGCATCGAAATAACTGCCCTTTTGGGAAAATGGGGCATTATGGTATGTGGGCCAATCAAATCTCTATACTAATTCAACACGTGTCCCTCGGTTGCTTAGTCAGGCCTCATGAATCAATATCAGTGACGTCCCTAGCGCGAAGGGGATACGTCATGTGAGATGATGTCAAAAAATGCAATTAAATACTTCTTATGGGACTATCCATTACTAGAACTCTGCTCGTAAACAAGACCTTAAATTGTGATTGGTCCTCTAGTCCTCCGATTCATTTTTCTTCAGCGTCTGCTTCTTGCGTATTATACCTCGGTATATCTCAAAATGTTCTATCAACCCGGGGTAACGGATCACAATCTACCTCATGATCCATTCAAGGTTGGAATCTGTGATCAGTCACTATATATGTAGTTGTTGACCAACAATTTAGGCTTGTGTCGTTCCTCGACCGATAGGATGGATATCAACCAAGAATCACGAAGGGCAGTCGAATCTTGCCCCATACTCTCAATTCAATAACCTCACCTTTGATCCGCCATATGTGATGTTCTCCTCGAATCAAACGCCAGATGGACAACGCAAGGACAGTGTCAGAAATGTTGAGCAGACTGGAAAGTTTGTCTGGAATCTAGCGACCTGGGATTTGCGAGAGGCCGTGAATATCTCGGCTGAGCAGGTTCCATATGGAGTTGATGAATTTGAACAAGCCAATGTGACCAAGGAGCCTGCTACCCTCATGGATGTTCCAATGGTTGCAGAGTCACCCGTCCGTTTCGAGTGTGAATATTTCACTACTCTTCGATTGCCTGGAAATGGTCCCATGGGTACAGTGGACGTGGTGATAGGCAAAGTGGTAGCCGTCCATATCAAGGATGAGGTCATGACCGATGGTATACTGGATATCAAGAAGACCAAACCAATTGCCCGATGCGGATACTATCAGTATACTGTGGTGGAAAATACGTTCGACATGATTATTCCTGGAATGAACGAGGATCTGCTCAAGGGACTGGAGGGCAATGCAAAACATAACCAGGAGATGGCCACACGGGATAAATAGATTAGTGCTCCCAAGATATGATAAGTGAACACCATGAATGTGATTTAAATCTGAAAAGTTGACTGTGCTGTGTAACTTATTACGCGTGAGTTATTGCAGTGAATACCGGGGAAATGACGCTCCTCTTTCTGCCTTATTGTCTTCCCCTCCATTTTCCCTTCACAATTCCAACCCTCTTCATTTAATACTTCTTCCGTCATGGAATCCTCCAACACTATCGAGATGACTCAATCCAATGTCCAGATCACCGAGATCAATCCCCCTGACCATGAAATTCTTCAACGCGAGTATCCCAACGAAGAGGAGCTGCGATCTCTTCGACGCATAACTGGAAAGCTGCCCTTCGTCGTCTACACTATTGCATTTGTCGAGCTCTGCGAGCGCTTCAGCTACTATGGAACTGCTTCCGTCTGTTAGTAAACATTAATTATTATAGGGTGAATACCGTTGACAGTAATTTAGTTGTGAACTTTATCCAGCGACCCCTTCCCAAAGGCTCGATCACCGGTGCACTCGTCAGTGGATCATCTTCGAATGGTGTACCTGGTGCACTGGGTATGGGTCAGCGAGCATCAACGGGCCTGACTTTGTGTGAGTGCTACAAAGAAGTGGAAAGGTTTCTTGACGCAGTACTAATGAAGCAATAGTCAACCAATTCTGGTCGTACATTATGCCTTTGGGCGGTGCCTACATTGCTGATCAGTACCTGGGTCGATTTCAAACCATCATGGGAGCCATCGCAGTGGCCCTCGTCGGACACACTATCTTGGTCATCTCTGCAATTCCCAGGGTCATTGCTAGCGGCCATTCTATCGCCTGCTTCACTATTGGTCTGGTCATCATGGGAGTTGGCACTGGTGGCTTCAAGTAGGTAGCTATCCTCCCGTTCTCCATACAATCACTAAATATATTTCAGATCCAATATTTCACCCCTGATCGCCGAACAGTATCGCGATGATATCGCTTACATCCGAGTCCTGCCCAGTGGAGAGCGCGTTATTGTTGATCCTGCTGCCACAATTGCTCGCATCTACATCTACTTCTACCTGATGATCAACATTGGATCCTTGATCGGTCAGATTAGTATGGTGTACGCAGAGCGATATGTCGGTTTTTGGCTCTCGTTTATGCTTCCCACTTTGATGTTCTGTACCTGCCCGGCAGTCCTGTCCCTGTGCCGCAAACGTTACTACCGCGTCCCTCCTAACGGCTCTGTTTACTCGCAAACATTCCGTCTGTGGAAGTTGGCCATGACAGGCCGTTGGTCTCTGAATCCCATGCGACTGTGAGTGGAATGGAAGTCTCAGTTTGAATATTCACTGACCAGTAGCAGTATTAAGCGAAACTCACAGTCCCCCGAGTCTGACTTTTGGAACTCTGTCAAGCCTAGTCGACTGGGTGCGCAAAAGCCAAGCTGGATGGACTTCGATGATGCGTGGGTGGACGAGATTGCACGCGGGTTCAAAGCCTGCAAGGTATTTCTGTGGTATCCTCTCTTCTGTAAGTCGCCATACGTGAGTATCATCCCCGGAATTCATTGCTTATTATATTGTAGGGCTGTCTTACAACCAGATGACGAACAATCTCACTTCTCAAGCCGCTACTATGCGTCTGGGCGGAGTCCCTAACGACATTATCAACAATCTTAATCCCTTCGCGCTGATCATCTTCATCCCTATCATGGATCGTTTCATTTACCCGGGGTTGAGTCGTATGGGGTTCCACTTCACCCCTCTAAAGCGCATCACTGCCGGCTTCTTTGTGGCTGGAATCTCGATGGTCACTGCCGCAGTTCTCCAGTACTACATCTACGCCATGGGTCCCTGCGGAAATCAAGCCAATGAGTGTCTGGAGAAAGAAGGAAAGTACACTGATATATCGGTCTGGGTCCAAACCTTGATCTACGTGCTCGGAGGTATCTCGGAGATCTTCGCGTCGGTCACATCCCTGGAATATGCATTCACCAAGGCACCACACAACATGCGATCCCTTGTCCAGGCAGTTTCTCTCTTTATGAATGCTATTTCAGCGGCACTTGGACAGGCACTCGTCAGCCTCTCTGACGATCCACTTTTGGTCTGGAATTACTGCATCACGGCTATTCTTGCGTTTGCTGGTGGTGTAGGCTTTTGGTGGTGCAATTACAAGTTGGATCGTGAGGAGGATCACCTGAATATGCTCCCTCACAGCCACTATGCCGGACACAAGAAGAGCGATGAGGAGGCTAAGGTTGAGTCTTCTGATGCTCAGGTGGAGACTAAGGAGCAGGTGGTGGGATGAAGAATCTTCATCAGATCGTGACTTCCAATCATATCTCGTATGTGGCATGTGGCATATCCTTTCATGTCTAGTTTCTTAATGAATACTCTTTGAGTGGCTAATTTCAACCCATTACATAATGATATCTGCTAGTGAAGCCTCGATCTCTGTAGAATCCCCACAGTCAATAACACGCCCAACATAGCCCCCTCCGTCTTCTGCTACCTATTCTGCGCAGCCAACATCTGTCGAGATACAAACGATGAAGTGCCCTCCTGCATCTAGACCTGCGTGGCATGAATCATTTTTAGAAAAGTATTTATCGCTGGAATAATAACCTGAACACTATTCCACGTGATGATCCTTTTACAGGTAGCGTCTAAAGCACTCACCACCGATAGGATGGGCTGGCCGAAAGTAGCCTCATCATCAAGAAATGCCTGAATTATGGACGAACCAAATTGGAATCGAGGATGCTAGAATCGTTAGTAAAGGTGTCAGCTACTAATCTCAGTAACTCCCATCGAGATCTATCAGACCTTTTTCAGTATCAGTATTTGCGTCAGTGTTGATTATTCTCGAAAAGCAAAGGAACTGGGAACAAAGTCAGGAGACATGGATTGCGGGGAGACTTGACCAGGTCTTGCTACAAATCCCACTGAGGTTAAAGTCGATTGGGGTAATAAGAGAACTATTAAAATAGTTCTGCACTTCCAATGTTCCTATTTACGGACCATTTTAGGGTAAGTTCAATAAAATAATTTATATTATAACCTTGGGAGTATAGGCTGAGCATATTTAGTGACAAGAGATTGGAATATTTCAAATATGACTGTATGCCGATACGTCTCGACGCTAACTAGAGGTACAGTTCACTCCAATACTCCCCTGAATATTATCACAGGTGATCTCAGAGTACCCACTAGGACTAGTCAAGTTTATTCTTTCCAGGAGAATATTCGAACAAACCGCACTGGGTGAACAAGTCAGGCCCACCACGACCTTACCCCAGTCCCCTGAGGAAGTGCCGTAGATATTATCGAAAATAATATTGGTGACATTGACCTGGGACGGGTATTTGGCACACTCAGTCTCATTCACGTCGAAGTAACACTGATCAAGAACTATCGGTTTATCTGTGTTCTCAATATGGATGTTTCGATACGTGATGTTGTTGATACGGCCGTAGCCCACATCCTCACCAGCCCATGCCTTGAGTCGGGCACCAACCTGAAAAGTGTCAGTATTTTCTGGCTATTCAATTAAAAGGTAAATAACAAACTTACTTGGCCATTGAGCAGGGTCACGTTCTCAATATATGCGTTCTCGATAATATCAAACTCGCCAGAGTACTGTCCAATACTGCCCATACTCACCCCATGGGTATTGTTACACCAGAGATTTTGCACGAATATGTTGGAAGTATTGGGTTTCGGCGAGAAGCAGTCGTCTCCAATATCCACTCTAGTGTTGGTCACACGGAGTCCATTTACATTCAGAGAATCGAAACCATCCGTGTTTGCTGGACGGGCCTATGGCTGATGTGAGATAGGAAAATGAGATGAGAAAGGGTAACAATACCGAAGCATTTGTCGAGTATGCATGAATGTAGACATTGTCAAATGATACATCATTAGTCCTTATGAAGAAATTGGTCCAGCAGGGTGAGTTCAATTGCGTGATTCCTTCCACGCTTAGTCTAGTGGCGTTGTCGGTGAGGAATAGAATAGGACGATAGAATGTGTTGTCAGGATCCTTTTTTCGTCAGCTCTGCAAGCATTCGCCAGAATAAGATACATCTTACCAGAATTTCTTCTCCAGCAAATGAGTTATACCACTCCTGGCCATTTCCGTTCATTGTGCCTTTTCCGAAAATCTTTATATCCTGGCCACCCCACACCCAAAAAGTAATAGACTTTTGGAATGAGTAGTAGAAGTTGTTGGCCTGCCAGTAGGTAATGTTATCAGTGAACTAGAAAGGTCAGCTCAGTTCAGCCTTCAATTAGTCTTGAAGGGCTACCTTGATTTCACCATCCAGTTGCACTTCAATATCATCCAGAAAGGTGAGATCTAATATCTTTCCTATTACATAAAGCTTGCCCTTTTCCAGTAGCAGACGTCCACCATGATTAGCTTGGTGCACGCCCCAGAGGAAGTCAGAGGAGATATCGTCAGTGTCATCTCGGGATGGACGAATGGTTACGGTGCGACGGTTTGGATATTTCTGTCCGTGGGCACCAATATGCTGTAAGGCTGATTTGTCGTGTGCAGGAATTATCTGGGCACCAGAGAGGAGGTTGGCAAGGCCAATTGCAGCGTTTATGAGCAACAATATAAGGACTTGCATGATTGTTTGGTTCACGAACGAAGCTATTGCTATTAACCATTGAAGTTCTATTCATATATAGTCAATATATAGCCCCCTTGCTTCATCGATGACTACGAGCGATATTGATAGATCGGCAGGAATATTGAACATTGAATGGAACGGTATTTCTCCACCTGTCGAATTCTCTCACTACATTGGAATGGCCAAATCGAGTTAGATTGTATTGAAATGTGGAGATGCGGGGGATCAAATGCCGAACATGAACAAGGGTCTTTGGATTCCGTTTCCATCTACCCAGATGCATCGTGGATTTAAAGAAATGGAGAATTTCTCCACCAATCAAGGCACACAGAATTCCCACTTGAGCAATCTCCAGGGCTTCTAGCACCGATATCGAAAATATGGATATATACCAACTATTTATGACCTTAGTTTGTAAAAATCATTTCAGTCTCCTCGCCGCCATCACCAAACCAGTCATACAGCTTATATTTCCAGACCACCAGGCTGCAGACCGGAGGTAACTGAACCTTATCGTTTCAGTATTTGAGTAGAACAGACTAAAGGCAATTCGTGATAATGTATACCACACACCGATCCTGTTGATATATTCATTGGGAACACCAGCAAATGTTGCAGTCAGCACTGTACCTGGTCAGCTAAGTTCAAATTCCAAAGCTCAAAACTTACTTGCTGCCGCAAAGAATGGATATCCCTCGATCGCATTTGCGTTTGCTGCTTCTTCACGCTTGACCTTGTTGAGCGTCCGTCTACTAATCTTGCCGGCCTTTACTGCTGCCTCGCCGATTGTTGCCAGATCTTCTCGAGGAGCAACGTTATTGTCAATTCCAAGCCATATCTTGGTCCCTCGTGGACTCATGTAACAGTACGCTAGCACCCAGTTGGCCAGGATATATGTTGCGACATTATTTGGGACGTGGACTCCTGGATGAGCTCGCAAACCAAGAAAAGAGGTGAGAAAACTGCAATTCTAGTTAGTCCAGTCGAGGATGAAGACAATCGAGATTACCTATACGGCATGGAAACAAAATGATAGAAAGTTTAACCTGAAAGGATGGTATTTTGACAACTATTTCAAGGTTCAGGAAGACTATGTTCTTCTCATCGGCTTTCGGGTTTTATGTCTTGTAGTTTAGTCTCGTGCGGGCATGTTTGATTGCTGGATGATATCATGATGATCTTTACTCTATATGTGACATTTAGTGTTGTTCTAGTAGCTTTTAGCGTGTTTGGAGCATGGAATCCATGGTAGTTGCTAGATGCAGTCGATCGACGATAATTCACCGATCTGGAAAGACAGGGATTAAAGACCAATCAGAATAAGATATACCATCACAAAGCTGCGTATATTTTGTCGTATTCGATCCGTAGATCAATCCTCATTTAGTTGAATTCTGAAACATAAGCTAGAATCAAACTACTTCCAGTTGCCGGGACGAGCTGGGGTTTTTAGGTAGAGAAGCCGCCCGTAGTAATATACTAGTATCCCCCTCAATTTCACCGTGACAAGAGAACCGATTATTGACCAAAACTGAATTGCCATCCACGAGGCTGTTATTAGGAACTGGTTCATTCTGTGTAAGAAGGAGAAGTTCTGTTGGATGATCTCGAACGACAGGAACTCGAAGCCATCGATAGATGAGGTTCAATGCTGGTATAGAAAGTCCATGTACGACGATGGAGAAAAATACCAGAAAATACACAACTGTTACCGGTCAATATTAGTAGAGCGTCAGAATTTATTTTAAACAACTCACCGGGTATCATGGCTGCAGTCAAATGATTGATCTCGGCATCACTGTTTCCATCAGGAAGAAGACGACGGGCATATTCCACGTATGAAATAGCGCCGACTCCTAAAGCCAGAGTTATTAAAGTGACAAGGATTAAGACGAGTCAAACATACCGATCGGCCCAAAATACCCCATGAACAAAGCCTCTTTCCAGCCATTACAAACATTGGGCATAAATCGATACCCGAGCAGGATTGCAGGAATTCGTCGGAAGATTAGTAGCATAATTCCCAGTGCAATGAGGCGTGAAAGAGTAATTCCTGTAATATCAGGTAGGTGAAGCTCAGGCCATGGCATCACGGCACCGATGAAGATAAATGTTGCGAAATTGAGTATCGTCTCGATGGATGAATTGAAGGAATCATGTCGGCTTTCGGATTCGCGGTGGTATGCTCCATCCCAATTAAATGAGCATCCGGCGATAAAGCAGGCCAACGTTTCGTCGGAGCCAAAAAGGCCACACGTTCCGACCACAAATAGCTGTATAGTAAAGATGTAAGTATGGACATGGATAAAGCAGAACATCACTTACTCCAATGGCGACTGGGAAGTAGGAGAAACTCTCCTTGTCGATCCAGCGTCTAAAGTAAATATTAGAATTGTCCCTTCTGCATATATATTTATATATAGATACCTAGGTATCTGAATAAAAAGCCAGACTCACCTCTTCGAAGCTACGTTCAATGTCTTTCGACTGACAAATCCAACAAGTAATCCATACCCAGCACCCATGATAATCATGTAAAGAACGCCCTCAACAGCCCAGTGAGCCAAAGCGCGCCCAACATTTCCTCCAAATCTTCCAGTATCGGTCTCTCCGATCCAATCACGTTTCTTAGGTGCATCGTCGTATCTTAACAGAGAAATCGACAGGAGAAGGAAGGGAAATCCAAATCCGTCATTCCCACCTGCTTCTGCCGAGATGAACTCTCGTAGATGTCGTCGGACATACTTATCGGCAAAGGGACCTTTGGCGATGGCTTGTGATAAGACTGGATCAATACAGATGACACAAGAACCAATGATGAGAGCTGTAAGCTGCTATAAATTAGCGAAAACGCATTCTTATAAGGACAATAAGGCGACTCACAAATGACAAATGAGGAATCGTCAACAAAATACACACGGATGTTGCTAGCCACTGCAATGTCATCAACGGTAATAAGCAGATGGTTAAGTCAGCTAGTCGCTGCCGTATGTACTGCTTGGGTAGTTCGTATCCAACTTTGACCATCTGAATACCAATCATCAAGCGTGTCAAGGCCTATGTACAGTTAGCAGGGGCAGTACTACTATCAGCAGGCCTAGTCATACATAAGCAATCTCCCCCGTGTCATTATCAGCCCACCGATTGATATTGATCAAATTCGCACTATACGGACCCAGGATGGCTCCGACCACAAAGGACGGCACTAAGAAATCAGCCTAGAATCAAGTGATGGCAGGAAAGAAACTCACATGCTTCACCCAGATACCATCTTTGTTTTATCTTGAGAGATATGAATCCAAAAAAGAGCAGAAATATCCCTATTTTAAGGTTAGAGTAGATAAAGTATATAGTGATCCAGTTTATAGTTACCCGAAAATGTAAGAACAACGTTGAAATTACTGATATCCAGAATCGGATGAAGCATCCCGAGTAGACGGAGCAGAGCCGAAACTAACGAACCATTCCAGGGGTAGCTGGGATTAGTTGAACTGCTAGGGTAGGATGAGGCGCGTGGCGAAACGGTTCAGGGGCAGATAGAGATCGGGCGACAAGAGCTTCGCCCGGGTTCAGTCTGGCGGGTTAGGCGCAATTAAATGAGAGGAATACTATCACAAGATTACAGACGTCAGATCTAGAGGAATGCGCCCTTCATTAGGCACTCATGAACCTTGGAAGGTAGGTCTACAGGGGCGTATCCCTTTCTTCATAGTTCGATGTATCATATCGCATTAGCCAGTCCACTCTCAGCCTTTCACGTATATTATGTACGAAGTATGTATGAGTTGAATAGTTCAAACAGACTCATACCTTGTTAATTTAAATGCTAGCTGAGCAGTATAACGGTCGCCTTATGGGCTGCATAGCTGGGAATGAAGAGTGAGGCATAATTCAACATTCCCACCCAATCGGACATCACGGAATCAGTAGAATTCTAGGCAGCTTGAAATCAAATTCAGCTCGTGTACTTGACAGTCTGAACTCATAGTTCTAACCTCCTTTCATTATTAATAAATATTTATAGAATGGGATCGGGTGGTCGTCGGAATACCTTGCGCGACAAACCGGGACGGACCGACCTATCGGGACAAGATTGAACGCCCACGTATGCATAGATCGACAATGCCGATTTCCACCTATAATCAGTTGAATATGGAAAAAGCAAGAACAGCGTATCAGAGTGTGCACTAGCTCTAGTAGGAATTGCTGGAGGACTTGTAATTGGAATGTTCGAGATTGCGTGACGCTTTAGTCACGCCACAAGAGTTCTAAGGCTGTGGCAGTGCAATGTTTTCTAGAATGTTGTCAACAGTACATGATCTACAGTCTGCTAAAGGAGACATGGATAGTGTTTGATATAACGCAAAGGGATAACTATCTGGAAGTACAAATTACTATAACAAAGATTAGAAAAACGGCTAAAAAATACGAAAATAGACGAAAATAGACGTAGCCTCAGAGGGCACTGGGCACGGAGCAAAGACGGAAGAAGCCTTGTTTTCCAAGAAAGTTTAGGAAGCTTAGAGTAATTTCTGGTCTCCTGGTTCTAATCCCCTGTGTCTCCTGCTCCTAATACTAAATCCCTCATGCTGTTTCACTTCCCGGGCTAGTCTGCGTGGATTTTCGACTATATGTATCCTATAAAAGCATCGCGGTTGAAGTGGTTTTTTCTGATACCATCAATATCTTTTATATTTCACTTATCTACTAGAATTTTGACAGCTCTGTCTGTATATGTGAAAATGGCATCTATATCACCATTATCGCCATTCTCCAAGAGGTTCTCTTGGTCCATCAATAAGAACTGCTCCAATGTGTATGGCTCTAAATTTGCCTCTGAGCTTATGCCATCGGCAAAGCTTCCAGAGGGAGAAATGCCTAAGGATACTGCCTACAGAATGATCAAGGATGATCTAGTTCTCGATGGTATTCCTATGCTCAAGTAAGTTAGCCAGAGACTGTGGCTTTTCTGATATTAACCAAATTGCTTCTAGTTTGGCGAGTTTTGTAACAACATACATGGTCAGTATTTTCCTAGCTACATTTTACTCCTTTTCCAGATTCTAATCCCTCGTAGGAGGATGAGGCCCAGAAACTCATCGCCGAATCCGCCAACAAGAACATCATCGATCACGAAGAGTACCCCAAGTCTGTCGAAATCGAACAACGTTGTGTCAACATCCTTGCAGACCTCTTCCACGCTCCAGAAGTCAATGGATCTTCAACTGCAGTTGGTACAGCTTGTATCGGGTCATCAGAAGCGATCATGTTGGCAACTCTCGCCATGAAGAGGCGCTGGCAAAATAAGCGGGAAGAGCAAGGGAAGGATAAATCGAATCCCAACATCATCATGAGTACTGCGGTTCAAGTCTGCTGGGAGAAGGCTATGAGGTACTTCGAGATTGAAGAGAAGCTCGTTCCCTGTATCGAGACAAGATATGTTATAGACCCAGCACAGGCTGTCGATCTAGTTGATGAGAGAACCATCGGCATCGCTGCGATCCTGGGAACCACGTACACTGGTCAGTATGAGGATGTCAAGACCATTAATGAGCTCCTTGTTGAGCGTGGTCTGGATACTCCGATTCACGTCGATGCTGCCAGTGGTGGATTTGTTGCCCCCTTTGTGAATCCAGACTTAGTATGGGACTTTGCCCTTTCGAACGTCGTGTCCATCAACGTCTCCGGTCACAAATATGGTCTGGTAAGTGAAGTGAACAAAGTCATCCCCTTAGAGCATCACTAACTTCTTCCAGGTATACCCAGGAATTGGATGGGCTCTGTGGAAATCCATCCATTACCTTCCTAAGGAACTCGTTTTCAACATCAACTACCTCGGCGCCGACCAACTCAACTTCACCATGAACTTCTCCAAGCCAGCATCCCACATCATAGCCCAGTACTACCAGATGATCCGTCTGGGGAGACGTGGATACGAAGCCATCATGACAAACCTCACCCGTGTATCCGACTACCTTACAGACCGACTTCTAGAAATGGGATTCATTATCATGAGTGATGGGCACGGAAATGGCCTTCCAGTCGTTGCGTTTCGACTCAGCTCCTCTCAGCGCCTTCTATTCGATGAATTTGCACTTTCTCACAAGCTTCGTGAGCGTGGCTGGATCGTTCCTGCTTACACCATGGCTGCAGACTGTGAGACGATGAGCATGATGCGTGTTGTGGTCAGAATGGAATTTGGTAAAAGTCGCTGCGATAGTCTCGTTCGAGATATACAGTCTGCTCTTGAGGTTTTGGCTGATCAGGAGATTCATCATTTCGAACGCTATCAAGCGTGAGTCTTCCCAAATCACCCTCTTGGAATAATGCTAACTCACTGGAACAGCCTCATTCAAAGTCACATGATGCTTGCCAAGAAACCACATGTCGAGGAGCAGGCTCTTGTCATTGAGGCTTAGGTACCATAGCTCGGACTAGCTAGTTTCCTTTTTATTTTGTTTTTGCTTGTACAGAAGACGGAGTAGTGATAACTGGAACCATTGTGACTTGGAGCCGATATAATTTCCTTCTTTCTTTACCTTAGAACACTTGTGAAAGAAATTTGCTTTAGTTTTTGAATTTCAATTCGAAGTAAAGAGTTTCATATCAAGCTGATTGGTAAAACATCGAGCTCCAGTTCCCACAATTTCTTCTTCTAAGGGGTATTCTTATTGAATCGGCATATTGTTGAAGAAATCATTGTCCCAAGTCTCCGTTCCGCTCGTATTTAGACTATCGAACCAGCCTTCAAAATCGAGGGTCTATTGCCGTTAGCACATAATTAAATATGGATGAGAGTTTGCTTACCAAGTCAAAATCTGTCGACAGCATATAGCTAGTATCAAATTCACTCGACACGGGTTCCCCTGAAATGGGTGTAAGCTGCGTAATATTAGGAACCTTTCGAATGTTAGCATGTTGATGATAGAGGGGTCCATGGAAACACACTTGTACAGGCCCACGGTCTGCATATTTTACAGCATCATAATATGAAAGCCCAGACACTATTCCACGGCAAATCATGACCGCCCTTCTAGACGCAGCTTCAACCTTAGCCAGTGGATCCTCCCCCTTAATACGTGATTGGACTGAGCTGAGGATAATGCTTAGGAAGAAGTATGGCTTGCATCCAGAACCACCTGAATCAATTCGTCGTCCAAAATCATCCAGGATACGCTCAACTGCCTGTAGCATGACAGCCTGTTGCGACTGAACCATACTCACCAAAACACTGGAATTGATTCCCTCCAGTGAAAAATCTGTGGAGTTTCCCATTTCATGAGCCTGTAATGACAACTCCACACAGACTGTCATGGCAGCGTGGAAAGCCTCGTCTCGGAACATTCCGTTGCCAAGTTGGGTAATGTATGGACACAAAATTTGATCCGAGGGAGAAGGAAGCTCCATCTGAGAAAGCATCTCGAGAGATGTTTCCAAGCATATTTTTCGTGAATAGGAGCACTTTGGCAGTCGTACAACGCTAAGTGAGAATGGTCGATGAAGCGCAAGTAGCGTTTTGCGCATGATGTGTAAATAGAAAGATTGGGCGAAGAGGTCCTTTGCCATATGGGCGTTATTGAATCCAAATTCATTATCGTCGAACAAAGACTTCGCATGCTGAATATGTTGAAGTAGTTCCTCGCTGATTTGTAAAGCTTCATCATAGGATAGGTTAAATTTCAAAGAGTTTATCCTTTTCGCAATGTGATGCCGTAACGCTAACGTCCTTGTGAGGAGATTTTGGTAGAAATTTGATGTATAAGTCGCCGTACTAACTGGATCTGGGTTGCCTTCTAGATGTTCGAACAATTCAGAATCATCCCAGTTGGATGGAGCATCACAATCGCATTCATTCAGGTCGGTATATGGCAGAAAACCCCGATCAAGCGAAATATTAAGATCAAGTTCCACGATAGTCGCCCAAAGTCGACGGCGCATTTCAAACCAGAACGGCGTAGCTTTCTTGCGGAATCGTTTTGGGTCTCGGTGTAAGCCCATACCCATGGCGATCCGAATGAGTGAGCCCGATGAAGCCCAAGCCACATCGATGTCGTTACCCGTTGCTAGTCTCGCCACTAGAAGCAGACAATATGTTTGCAGCATTTTGAAATCGATCCGAGGAGTCACAAACGTACAAGAAAGCTCTACCTGGACCGCCATGATCCATCTCATCGCCGGCTTTCTGTATGTCTCTCGCTCCTCATCTTCGGGGACGGGTATGTAGAAGCAACTTCCTGCCGCCATAACTGCAAGTAATTGAGCTTCAAACGCTGAATCGGGTTGCTGGTTATTTGCCCAGTAGTCGTTGTACTCTTTCAAAAAAGTTGGAATATGCAAGATTCTATAAGTAGTCTCGAAGCTATCCAGATAGAGCTGGAGTAGTTGATCGGCCACTTTTCGGGGTGGAACTAACTCATGAAGTTTGAAAGCATGTTCTTGAAATGCGACCTGGTGCTCCCTGCTCTCCCGAATTTGATTTTCTCGTTTGAAACTTTTTATATCTAGAATATCTTTGTCCTTGTATTTCTCACGTCCAACACGACGGAGAAAGGATCCAATATCTTGGAACTGTGTTGAGTTAGAAAATACCCGGGTTAATGGTAGGGGAAATACATACAAACGAAACAGTTGTGGTATAATGGCTTCGACCAAAATAATGAGTTTTCCCCTTCTTTCCTCGAAAACTGACATCCGGCAAATGGCGCACTCGATCATCGACCCCCACGGCCTCTGTACTAGATGTGATCTCAGATGACCCTTCGTAGACAGAATTGTCAGGCGTAAATGATGAATTTGATTTTTGAAGTGTTTTTTCTAGAGCCCGCAAGCGATTTTGCAGCTCATGTAGTTCATCTGAAGGATTACTTTTTGAAACACGATTATATTTGTTTCTAGGGCCCAACTTGGAGTCAAAGACAAAGATTCCACTTGACTCTGACTTGTTGGAGGCGTGTAATCGCGATCGTGAAGGTGGTGGAGACATCTTTGTGGATTCGGATGCATCAGGCAAGCCAACAAAAACACACATATCGGCAGTTTTGGAGCGAACACATTGTGCACATGGAAATGAGCGATCGCATTTTACTTTTCTTTTTCGACATTCTGTGCAAGAAAGGGGAGGCCTTCGTCGGCGCTGAACCACTTTTGATGGATCTATCTCTTGCTGTTCAATGTCTGCCATTTCGTCAATCTAGTCAACCTAGGGACGTCGCCACTTAAAACCAGCACGGTCCAGTGAGCTGAAAGTCAATAGCTTTCGATGAAGAATGAAAGGGAATAGGTATTAAGTCAGCAGAAAGTGGTGTGGCGGATTTAAATAATTCTCCTTCTCGGAGTTACCTAATGTGGTGCCAAGCCCGAGAGATCATATCAATCGGCTATCAATCGGTTATCAATCAGCGACTAAAGATCGAAGTTAGGCAGAAGTTTTGATTTAGTGACTAGAAGACATCATGACTCATCGCCACTCTACATTGAAACTATTCCACAGTATATGAAGCTTAACCTTCGAGGATCCATTAATCTGTGTCTTTAACTATTTTTCACTATGACAGCTATAAAAATTCAGTAATGTTCGAATGATCATTTTCTGATTCCTATATCTCCCTATCAAATGAACATTTTCTTAAGCCCGTTCAACAGAGCTTACTACCATAATGTGGCGGGTATTTAAAGCAAATTATTTTAGACAGAACAAGACGATCTCGATCAGTACAGTAGCTAAAAAAATCCGACGCACTAATTTTAAGCCAGATCATCCAGGTATGAAGGAGGCTGAAAATAGTTTGAATATTCACCGCCACGTTCAAATTATTGTCTAGGTAGGATTTGCATCTGAGGAGGCTGATTCAAATCCCACCCTCGTCCAACCTCAACGCTTTTCGATTACCCATGTACATGAGAGATACTGAAAGACAGTAAGTATTCCCTTGATTTATCCATGCTGAGTTCTGTAATTTCTCTTCTAACGAGCACTAAAGTGGCTGTGATAATTGCATTTGATGGATTTCAGGTATCACTCATAAAAACTACAGTACTTACCCCATGGGGAATGACTGATTGATTACGTGAGCTGTCATAACCTCAACGCTGCTTTCCTGATCAATGACGAAACAATCTGCAATTTAATAAGTGGATCTGGCCTTGATTTTTCTTTCGACCTTTCCAAGTTGAAGTGTTTTATTCTTTCATCCACTTCGCAAAGTACATAAAGTACACCGGGGGCCTAGCCAGAGTAGGAGCACTCCAGGGCCACAGTGGTGAATGTACCAGGTGCTTATGAGAAATTGGGCTGCGCTGATTATCACCTACATTGGCAGATACTTACATACAAGGTACCTCAGTCAGAAATATCTTTCTTCCGTTCCAATAGACGACATCCGGAAGATTATGCAGCTCATTTCTAAATATCCTTACATGGTGCAGAAAGCACGAGGGGGGGGGGGGGGGGGTAAAACAGGGATCGGAATAAAACCACAAAATTCATGCAATCTGAAATTAAATCTTCGAGTATTCATGCTCTAGTAAGATGCTATACTCCACTGTCATCTCAATCCCCCCACAAGTCCGACTAGAAAGTATTAGCTCCTCACTAGGTGTGCGTCTAAGATGTGACGGTCCTGATGCATGAGATTGTGAATGAGACTTATTCTCCCTAGACCAATTTTCGATACCGTAGCTTCTCCCGCGACTGTCGTATTTGCGACTGGTGGATCGGAAATCACGCACATAGCCTTTGAATAGGGGTGCTAAGTATGGCACACAAGTTGTAATATTCTAGATCCGGTCAGTAGTGGGTTATACAGTCTAGCTCTGCATTACATACCCCAATATTAAATTCAATTGTACCCCATAGAACCAGCATAGTTGAGTTTCCATCACCAAATGCCACTCTCCAGATCTGACTCAGACGTAGAATCGAACATACGGTAGTGAAGAGGCCAAGGAGGAACAGACACACAACACCGGCTTTCTGAGCAGGTTTAATATTCAGTTGCAGAAGAAGTGGGATCGGTAAAAGAATAATGATCACATCAAACACAATTGTGAAAATGGCGAGTCCGTAGAATGATGCTGCAACTGGAAGACATCTACCTGGGATTAAGGTATTCCATGCCTTTTCCACCTGTTTTGCGGTTAGCAAAATTAAAAAGAGATTGATCTGACAGTATTCCGTACCGGCTGACAGTCCAGGATCAGAACCAAAGCTCCCATGGTATGCCCTAAGGTGGAAAATACAATCACAGCCCATGTTATAATCCGGTAGAATGATTTGGAAGTGCCAGATAGCAGACGAAGATAGCTAAGACAAAGGGAAGCTTTAAACCCAGCGATCCCAAGCTGATAAAAGGGACGACCGGCATAGTTCAGCTGTCGATTTTTCAGTTTTTATCTTTCACAACGATAATTCTATCCACCTACTTTTGTATATGTCTCCAAATTAGCCTTTGGTCGCATTTTGAGTGGTAGCCCAAGTCCATATCTACTTTCTGTGTGACAGTAAGCTCAAAGTTGCTCAACGAAGTGAGGGGAATCATCACTGACGAGCAATACATAAGCCACTGTAGAATATACTAAAAATCTAGATAATCGTTAGCCAAGAAAACCCAACTTATTTTTCATATGTACCTACCATACCCACAACCATCACATAGTCGGCCGCGCCCAATCGACTGGCACGAACACGTACAATTAGCCGTAAACAAACGACCGATACCATTAAAATTGTCAAGCTAAGACACACTGCGAGGATGAGCCGATACTGGGACAGCTCTTCTATTGCAGGCGTAGCATTATAGACCCATGCCATCGCGGTGGACAATTCTTGGAGTTGAGGAGCATCAGAAGCAGAACGAACGGAGAAGTCAAGACTCTACTAATTCCACGTGGTACAATAGTTTTTATAAATTCTGATCAGTATTTGTCAATATGTTTGGAAAAAGAAATCCCAAGTTTCATTGAAATTAGAAATTTCATCGTCTCGGTGCTGATAGGTTCTTTTACATTTTTCGTTACTGTTTCTCCCTTGCATTTAGAAATTATCATCCACTAGACTGGGATTAATATGCACGATAATCGGACTATAGAAATGACAAATCTCTACCAAGATATAATAGACACTCCCAGTGCCTATAATCTAAAGCCACTTAAGGTAAGATGTTCATAAAAGTCCGAAGGATCAAGGGGCAAGTCCTAACTCACATGTGTCTCGTACTCCTACATATCCGGATGTAGCAAGATCAAAACAAACTGTTTAAATTGCTTCCAAGGCTCATAATGATTGATCTACATTTTCAAACTGCATGCACTTACACCTGGATATAGTAGAATATTGCTTTGTGCCACCCTTGTATCCCCTTTTTATTGCTTTTTATTGCGACTCGTCTCTTTACACTCGCCCTCGTGTAACTAAGTCCTTCCTTTTTTATTCTCTTCTATCCCTATTTTTCAAAAGCATCTGAGCGGGTAAAAATATCCAGAATGGATGAAACGCAGTCAATTTCCATGTCTAGTACGCTGGGTAGGCGCCGCGATGATGCTGCGATGTACCTCGACGGCCATGAACATGAGATTTCAGATTTGAATCTGGCAGGTATTCGGCGCAAAATTGATCGGCAGTTGCTGCCTTGTATGTTCTGCATTTATGTTTTGCAGTTTCTTGACAAAGTGATGCTCAACGTGAGTTGAATTCCCCAGCCAGATCGACATGGGATTGATCAAGGTTGAACACAGTATGCCGCTGTTATGGGATTGAAAAAGGATCTCAATCTTGTGGGAAATGACTTTTCCAACATTGCTACCTGGTTTTTCATAGCCTATCTGATAGCAGAGGTCCCCAACGGTAAGTCCTTGGCCTCTTTTTTTACCCCTTGCCTTGTACTAACTCAACGCCAACTCTTCAATAGTATACTTTCTACAGAAGGTACCACCTGCCAGATGGCTTGGGGTTAATGTTTTCCTCTGGGGAACTGCTGCCGCTGCTTCAGCTGGCGCCACAAACTATCACACCCTCCTGACAGCCCGTGTGTTTCTCGGTATATTTGAAGCAACAGTCGGCCCATCTTTAATGCTCATAAGCAGTCAATACTATACTCGAAGCGAGCAAGCTCCTCGGTTCACGATTTGGTATATGGGCTTGGGCATTGCACAGATCCTTGGAGGAATCATCTCGTTCGCTTTTCAACACGTTGGCCATGCGGCCTTGGATGGATGGCGGATTATGTTCCTTGTTCTGGGTCTCATCACAGCATTTGTGGGAACGTTGGCATTCTTCTTTATCCCAGATACACCGATGAAAGCATCTTGGCTGTCTGATGATGAGAAGATCGCTCTCTTGCAGCACGTCAGTGAAAACCAGACAGGCATTTGGAGCTCATCTCTGAAGATCAAACAGATCTGGGAGGCTCTATTTGACATTCAACTCTGGCTACTTACCATTACAACTATTCTAGTATGTCTTATATCCGTTCAATGCCTTGAACCATTGAAAACCGACAACTGATTGATCGTGTTAGATCTCTATATCGAGTGGCGTGATAACCACTTATTCAGCCACACTAATCTCAGGATTCGGATTCTCAGGCCCGATCTCCGCCCTTTTGAACACACCATCTGGCATCGTCAGCATCTTTTTTACTCTGCTTGTGGGATTCGGTATCCGCAAGTTTTCACAACGTTGGGCCTGGCTCATCCTTTGCACAATTCCAGGAATCATCGGCGGAGGACTAATGTCCTTCTTACCCAAATCCAACACCGCTGGTGTGCTGATTGGAGTGTATCTGGTTAACTCCATTGTCGCCACTCTTCCCATTCTCTATCAATGGACAATGGCTAACTGTGCTGGTCACACGAAGCGTGCATTTGCCAGCGCTCTCGTTGCCGGGTCCTTCTCCGTGGGCAATATCATCGGGCCTCAGACTTTCCAAACACATGATGCACCAGCGTATCGACCAGCCAAAATAGCCGTTCTAGCAACACAGCTTGCTAGTGCAGTTTTATCAGCTGTCTTATTCTGTTACTACCGGTGGGAGAATCGTCGTCGAGATCAGAAATACGGATCTGTCATGTATATAGCAGATGGAGTGAAATGGGCAGGTCTTAGCGATCGAGAGAATTCTTCTTTTCGTTATGCATATTGAACTAAGTATTAAGAATACCCTTGACCATGACAGGTCACCCACAACCATCTCCTATCTAAGATATTCAAGCGGTCAAGTCTCCCATCTAATCATCTCTAATCCTACGTGACTATTCATACAGTCTCGTGACCTCTGCTTCTGCCTGGTGAGTCGCGCTAGCACCCTTTCCCTTTAATTTTATTCCCAATCCCATTTCAATCTTTCCTTTCCATTTATTTTTCAGTTTTGTTTATCTCTTCGTCCTGCCTCCAAGCTCTACCACTCTCTCACTCCAGTATGGATAACAATATCGATCCTGCGCTGCAGGGTCCGGTCACTGATGATAAACTACAGGACAGAATGGATGAGTCCCTATCCGCATCTTTTGAAGTCACTGGGCTAGACGCCCAGTACTTCACTGATCTGCACAGGAGACACCGTCACTGGTCTCTCGGACACCCCGTTTTCGGCCATTCATGCGGTTCTCAGACTAAGTCCATTTCTTATTATTATCTTTTATTTTCTTCTAACATTTTCTAGGCCCAATCATTGATCACAATCCCGGTTGGAAGCCGACTGGATGGCTTGAACTTACAGGTGGAAAACTAAAGTCCAGTGCTGAGGTCACAGCCAAACACATCCAACATGATGTCGACAATGGTTTGATACCCAATGGCTTGACCAAATTCAACAAGATGAACTTCGGTCTCTGCCCTGCTGCAGACGAAAACAATGTTATGTGCGGTATTAAGGTGAGTCAGCAGAATACCCTGCGACGACACTTTCGCCGACTCCACACAGGCTGCTTCCAACCATGCGACAGCAGGATGACGAGTGATGCTGAGAGACTTGCTGGAATTGAGAACATTCGAATGTTCGTGCTCCAGGGAGGATGGCGTGGTGTTGTGATCAAAATCGATAATGATCCTGGCGCAGGAAAGGGCGTTGCGATGTATGAAATCGCCGAGAAGTTGGAAGAGATCGCGTGAGTTTTATCAACAGATCAAAGATCTTGGAGGACTATACTAAAAGACTTATAAAGTAGGTCCAATCCGGAGTTTGCGCGCCTTTTTGGCACCGTTTTTCATCGCCAGGAGGTCGACAAGACGAAGATCAACCAGAAGAAGAACAAGCGCTCCGCCCGTAAGCCTCTCGATCCTGGAAAGAAAAAGCGTGCCACCCGTAAGTCTTGCGGAGGCTCTGACAACAAGCAGCTTGGTGGTTCCAAGAAGGAAGACTCTGATCAGGTTAAGGACTACGTGAACGATGCCAGGCGCCATCTCCAAGGCTGATCCAAGACTGACTGCATCACTCCAACTTTCTTGCCTAATCAGGCACGCACAAATCTCTTGAGGGTGTAGTTTTTTGACTTCTTGCCCATGTCAATTGGACATGCAGTTGACAGTTATCTCATATTGATACTGAATTTTATGAGCTCCTCCACTCATATGTTTTCTCAGTATTAACTTTCACTCTATTATGTTCTCAAGTATGAATATCGTTTTATTTGAGGCTATTTACCCTTATGTAGATCAGTATTACGTTGTCAATTTTCGGGCATATGCTCAGAGATTTGGATAGATGCTAAATTCGTTCCATTGAAAATATTATCTGATTATGAAATATTTCAACTTACATAGATAGCTTCCAGCCTGGATAAATGTCTACGATTCATAGGAAATTATAGAAGAGTCAAAAAGTCGACATCATGCGCATCATCAAAGACGTCCAGATTGAGTATTGTCAGCCCATCAGAATCAAACGCTGGTGGTTATTATGATGAACAGCACGTCTATTTCCACATATTCACATAAAGTGTATCATGTTCCACATTATTGTTGTTCAACCTCATCGCAGAATACGTTCTAAGGTTTTGCACATAGAAGAGCGTCGAAACCAGTGTTTTTCAGCAAGGTGTTCAGACTGTGTTGAGAAAGTTTAATTATGAATTGATGAAGAAGAAATATGGTTAGAAAGTGAGGGGATTAGATTATTGAAGTAGTTATCTATATAGTAGAGACAGATTCAGACCTCGGGAGCCGAGAAAACTGATTGAACTTGGCTGGATCGATGATCACTAGGCTTAAGAGAGAAGTCTCAACTTCTCCTGAACTTTTTGACCCTCATCCATCTTAATGTTCCAAAAACTTACCAGCCGCGCCTGTTAACCTTAATACCTTCCAAAAGGTGGTATATTGTAACTTGTAAGTGTAATAGTGACGATAGTGCCTGACAGTATTTCGCTCCCGAGTACTTGAGTTTCAACTTCATTTCCGCGTCATCGATATACTACTCTATTTCTACTTCACCAGGGAAGCTACCTCGGCTTAAAGGATGACGGTAATCAAGAAGGTTCCTAGAAAAAGCCCTTTTTGAAGGGCCCGGTCCGAAGTACTAGCGAGGTGCTGTATTGACGCTCTCATGTGCAGCGTTATTGACACCATGTATGTGATGAATGCGAATTCCCCAGGTATACCATGCAATTAGAAACTCACCTCAAATGGCCAATTACATACCAAGAGAAGAAGTGTGTATGCTCCGGCAACGTCGACTATAGTTTCTTCGTTGGAGACGTCAATCACCCGGCCTGTCAGGCCAAGGAACACCCCGATATCGGAGGCCAGAGCCAACTCCTTTCTTACATGCCCATGGTACAAGCAAATGGTCTCGTGGACAGTCAGACTGGACAGTATTGGGAATGCTGAGCAATGGTTCTTTTAGGAATTCTACATGTTGAACAGACGAAGAGAGTGAACTTCCGTCCGGTACAGAGTAAACGTGTCTACAGGTCGCGTCACCTAACATGGCAGTCGCATCACCTATCATGTGACTTAGCGCGAAAGCTCGCGTCACCTAACATTTAATTAGGCTTAGTGCGGTAAACCATTTTTCATTTCCTTTACAACTCCTCTAAAGATATTAGAATGGCTTAGAGTGGATTACAACGGGTGATCAAACTCTTAATGATCTTCTAGATTTGAGGTCTTATGATGGGAATGGAAATGACGAAAATCTTCCTTATGACTGCGGTCGATGATGAGCCTAATGAAGTGAGTTAACTAGTTATTTATACTAGATATCTGATATTTATTCTTTTATTCTGTTACTCCGTAGGCAGGTAGTACATATCAAAGCCACAAAATACTGTAATTATGTTTTTAATTACAAGACATTATTGACAAATGTTAGGTGACGCGAACTTTTACGCCAAGTCACATGATAGGTGATGCGACTGTCATGTTAGGCGACGCGACCTGGGAACTGGTCCAGATGTCAGTTACCGATAATGTATTTACCATACGGCTAATACACAATACCTGTATTGTTCACCTAATTTACATTTCTAGTTTACCAAGTAATACAGATCTTCATACGCCTAGCCGTATTAGGACTAGGTAGTTTCTGTAACCTTACGTATGCCTTTCTTGTCAAACGCTTCTATGCCAACGATGCCCACCTCGCCTATATCAGAATAATGTTTTATAATGCCCTGATCCGGACTCACCATATCACCTCGCGCAAGAAAGTGGCTGCCCTTAAACGTGCAGCCGATACCCACAAATGTTTTGTCCTCCTACGCTCCGGTGGCTGCCCCGGCATAATGTACGTGGAAAGCGATCAGATGTTACAGGTCGAGTCCTGGGTGGGCATCGTGCGAAAGCTCCGCTATAAGGACTTTCAGCTGGTCACTCGACCCGGACAATTGATGCCTGAGCTGGATCGAATTTCGGACTATCAAAGCGGTCTGTCCGAGGTGGAGAGTGTCAAGGAGTTTGGCGGTTGCATGGCTCAGCGGGGCGTTTGGAACTGGTGGCGGAAAGGTATGGGTTATACTTGAGAGCAGCCCAATCTAACTGGGCTGTCCTCCGACACGGTAGTGTCATGCAGAGGATGGAAAGTGTAATGCTGCTCAAAATACTTACAGAAATATAAATAGCACAAGGAACTGACATAAACAGGTATGAGTGATACCCCTGAAAGAATATACATCTCGTTATAAACACCCATCGCATCATCAATGCAGTTATTTTGATCTATAGTAGTAGACTTTCAACTACCGAGAACTTTTGAATGTCAATATTCAGAAATTACATATATGGTATCAATACCAGCTCACAACTCCAGAAAATGCCCAATCGCTCATGTTCCCACCCCAATACTGTACAACTAGTTCTCATGACTCTGGGACGTGGTGTGTAGGGACTAAATGGGTGCCGGGAAGCTCAGCAGCCGGCAAATATCCTGTAATCTGTGAGAAGTTGAAACAGGGGTAAAAAAGTTGCATTAGGAAATTACCTTTCTTCGCCTTCGGAAGTCATCATAAAGATCTTTCCAAACTTCCCGGTCACGACAACCTTTCTCGTCCATGCTACCCGGATTAATATCACACGCAGGTTGCATTTCTGCAAGCTGCCACGATGGCCACATCACCCAAGGCTTCGGCAGTGGCCAATCGGAGAAATGTACAAATTTGGCTTCGGCCAGAGCTTTGTCTGGATTCCACTCTCCATGATCTGCACCCAGGAATTTCCGATGGTCTTTAGTACGGAACTCCCCAGAGATTAGAGCATACTGCCGATGCGGAAGCACCATGGCAGTATCGCCATACCGGTCATTCAATATTTCCATATCAAATCGTGTAATAGTCAGGTTCAGTTGCACCTGGCCGTTAAGAGCGGGTAGGGAGGCTTCTTGAATAGAATTGAACTCTTGGAAAGATGGCTCGATGACAGCCATAAGGGATGATAGGGTCTTTGTCTCGGGTAATAGCCAGTATGCTCGAGGCATGGCGATCTTTGCTGGAGGGAGGAAAAACAGCTCGTCTAAGGACTGCAGGAGTGTAATATCGGAGTCGAGGTGGATGACTCGATTGTATTGGACCACGCCAAATGCGAATAACTTTGCCGTACTAGTGTCCCATGATGCTCGAGAGAATTCTGTAAAGAGATTAGCCTATTCAGATCTTCAACAGGTCTTAGTCCAAACTTACCATTCTCTGGATCTATCTTGATACCCTCAATGGCAACCGGCACCGGCAGGACATTATATAGATCCTTGGCCATCACCAATAGTTCACTGATTCGATCTTCTGCGTCGTCGATAACCAGGTCCCATTCTAGGGGATAAAATAGTAAACGATCTGCCTTGGATCCGAGACGGTGCAGGGCCTCGAATACCATGAGGCAATTGCAGAGGTATGTTTCTGAGGTCGCATATGTGGTGTAGGCGTACCGCGACCAGTCGACTTCATCGTAGTGTATAGGCGCAAGATGTGACGGTGGAGAATGTTCGCGGCGCATCCATTTAATCAACACGAAAAAGACCGCAAGTATAACCCAAGTACGCACATAACGAAGTTGGCGCTTTACGACAGATAAGATGGATTCTTCGGGGATATCGAAAAAGTCCTTTTCAGAAGAGTCGGATCCCCGACGGAATGGCAATGTTGTCTTCTTGATTGCCATCGTCGAGGAGGGATATCAGATAGTGCCGAGAACAGTTGGTTTATCAGTGTCAAATGGCCAGATCTATTTTAGTCTAGTGTTCTTTATTAGTCAGCTTCCGTACGCTCTTTACTGTAGTAAGATTTACTACTGCGAATACACACATATTTGAGATTGTGAAGTCTTCTGGTTGGTTCCTATAATCCCACTTCCTCGCCCAAGTTGACAATCAGTCTACGTCACGTGGCAAATAGCGTGGAATGCATTATTCATTATGCCTAATCATTGATCATAAAGTCAACTTCCGGTAAGTGATGATCATCATCAATTAATGAGATGCTTCCAGACCAGGTACTTGAGTTCCAAGTGTTCTCGTCCTCAACCAACTAATCTAACATAATTAACTATTTACTCAACATACATATCAAACATGACTAATCATACATGACCAGCACGGTAACTAGATTAAAGCAGCAACTTTCTGACGAAACACTACAAAATTAGTGGACTTTAAAAATTAAGTCCCCTGATTGGTAGCTAGGGTCGAACGGACCTCCCTTTTGCTCTTCGCTACCTCAAAATTCATTTTCGTCGTCATCAACCATCATTATCATCACCATCAATGATGAGGTTGTTTCTTCTACCCTCTATTGATTTATCTAACTAGGCAGCACTCATCAATTAAAATTCATGGCAACCTTAGGAATTGAAATTACATTATACAAAATATAAAAGACATTAGTTCTCCGAATAAGAAGGTTCACCCCCATCTGGTAATAGCCTTATAGCACCCGATGAGGCGCGGGAGTGCCTATCATCAACATCAACCTCCACAACGATATCAGTCTTGACTGTCACACATCCATCATCAATATGATCCGGCTGCATAGCTCTGGAAATCCGACTCGCAGATCGCTCATTCGTCCCATCCCAATGAGCCTGGGTTTCCTCGTCTTTCCAATCTGTTGTTGTTGCTAGCGTCGTATCCATCCACTGGTCTTTGACACGAGGCTTCATCTCGAATTCCTTACGTTGGTTTGTGTTGTCATTAGATCGTGATTTGCTCCAGTAGCCAAATGGTCGACCGTCGCGGCGAGCATCGACAACAGTCCGTAGAAACAATCTTGCGACTGGAGCACAAGATGCGAGAAGGATACTGTAGTTTTCGATTCTGGAGCATGTCAGTTGTGGCTATTAATCATAGGTAAGAGCTGCTTACTTGACCCAGAGTATGAAGGATACAATGTTATAAGTAAAGTCCAATCTATCACCCAAAGACTTGAGTTTCTATGGGATAATTAATAAGATGATACCGTAGAGTTCCGGGGAATACGAACGTATGTCTTGACAATGGAAGCTGCACCAGATAGCAAAAGTGGCCCACTCAATGTCAGCGTCTGCCAGATGCGACGAGACCGAACAGTACGGTTAATGCTCTGAAACTGAGACCAGAAAGAGGTTTTATGGTCTCTCTGTAGAGTTCTTAGAAAGAACTGCCACAATTCCACAGCGGCCAATACCGCCAGAAAGAAGTCAATGATGGAGTTGAAACCACCTTGGACAAAGCCAATAGTGGTTTGGACATTCGGTGACTGGCATTTCACCGATCCATCTTCAGGTAGTGCGGTCCACATATAATGAAAATACTGTGTTCGGTCAACCTATAGACAGTATTTAGATGGTATTCACTGTAAAAGACCGACGGGAAGACAAACAGAGCGGTATGGATTCGGTCCACACTGTAAAATGATCTGTACAGTAGTAATCATGTTGGCAACGATCTGCACAACCGCGCAGACTATGATCGACAATCGAATCTTGCGATCACTGGTCGCAAAGCACGTCAGAAGGAACCACATCATTCCTGTTCGAGAGACCATGGCAGCGGTCACTGCAAAGGGCTGAGAGATAAAGTCCCACTTTAGTGCATTCATTTTTTCCTCTGCTGTTAGGTAGAAAAAGTGTCGTCCTAAGCCCCATTGTGTACTAGTGATGTTTATTAGTGTGGATCATATTGTACTAGACGAATGATTGACTTACCTCATGTGAATCAATATCATATGAGTGAGGTCAAAGCAATAGCCCACGAAGAAGAACAAATCCTCGGTACCCCAGATTCTCTCTGGGGCACTGACCTGAGGTAATGACCATCGAAGCCAGATCTTGACTCCATATCGGAAAAGTAAAGCGAGACCAACGAGAGCCGTGAGAACCTATGTCCTGATCAGTTCATGCAGCTACAATCATGAAACACACTAAGTCCTTGGCTTACCCAGCAAACATCAAAAGTAACAGACCCTATAGAAGATCTATCAGTAAACCTACTTTCCCTAAAAAGTACTACGTAACAGAAGTACTCACCGATGTTGACATCCCCTTCAGTTGGTGGCGGAATATCCATTATGCGATGGAATGCACGCAGGGGGGCTATATAGGAACGAGAGTTCCAGGAGTGACAGAGATAGCGCGAGGGAGTTAGATCATATACAAATATCAACGCTTGTGTAAAATGAAATTGGATGTGTTTTCAACCGGTGAGTTGCTTCGTACTGATCAGTCAGATCAATATCCAGCCATTACCCAGAAGTAGCTCAGCCTGCTGCAAGCCGATGAACTTCTGCTCCGATCACTCGGTAGGTAGATTCCAGGGATACAGGACAAATAAGCATGGAATGAATCACTATAAGAGTCCACTTCTTCAAGAGTCGCTGGTCGCTGGAACCTACTAAGGTTTTGAAAATAGACTGCAGAGGCAAGGATGTCTGGCGGCCTTCACCGTGTGTCCTTGACCTCTGCTGTAAACCCATCAGCCATCCCTTCCAAGTGCCCACCGGGCTGCAGCATTCCAGGCCCCATGTGGATGGCCTAAGAGACATTCCAATGCGCTATATGCAATAACCATGTGATTATATGCAAGGGATGTGAGAGTCAGGCATTGTCATGTAGGAATTGCATGTACCGGAGAATCCCCGTAATGACAATAACATCAGTCGTAGGAATACGAAGAAAGGAGCGCAATATTGAAGTTTATCGATATGGTATAGGGAGTCAAGAAGGGTGCTTTTTGGTTTAATTCAAAGGGAAGAAGTATCCGAGTCTCTATCAAAGCTCATATGCAAGGGGATTCATAGTCGATCATTAGTTGGTTTGGTGGGAGTTTGGGAGTAAGAATTTGATGAATCAGATTACTTTAGGAAAAGTCCATGAGTTCGTCACCGCAACGCCGCAGTTTATGCACCAAGCATTGTCTAAGATAATTATCCTCGTATTCTCTGAGATGAACCCGATCTCCCGCCATAAGATCTAATGATCTACTGATCGCAATCTCGATCTCGATCCACTAGATCTGAAATTTCTGCATCTCTACTAAAGACTCCCCTCCCTGTTCGTATGCCTCAAATGTCACTTTCAAGTCACATACTTCAGCTATTTGTCTCCACTCGGCTGGACTGCGCTCCCTACCTCCGTACAGCGCAATCATATTGGCATGAAGCGATGTATAGGTCATATTCTTGGCGTACTCGATAATCAACAAGCGAGATGAGGACGACATGGCGCGCGATAGTTTCTGCAGTAGCGACACTGCATCTAGATCAGGCAAATTGTGTAGTATATGCTGTAGAGAATAGATCCGAGCGCCAGTGATGGGCTGCTCGGGAGTCACCTTGTAGTTCCATTCCATAAAGCGTACACCTGGTACGTCTTCGATAGCCGCATTAAACTCCTGCACCACCAAACCCTCTGGTTCGAGACGGGGAAAGGCAGCCTGAACCTCCAGTAGAAGCTCACCACGCCCACCACCGATGTCCACCATGGCAATTGATCCAGGTCCGCTCAAAGCTGCTTGAAGATCATACCCATTTGACCGAGCGCGTTCAGGGAATGTGCCAAATTTGAGGAACTTGCCCACCATGAACTGGTTGAAGCTGTCCATACGTCCTTGGGCCTCCATTATGGAATAAGTGTGTTCTTTGGCTAACTTCTCTTCACCCATCAGCCGATAGGCATACTGAATCGGACCATCCGCTTCGGCGAATGGATAGCTGAAGTTCGTATCTTGCAGTTTCTTCATCATAAAGGCGCCTGCCATCATGCCTTCGGTGGTGCTGCAAGTACGGTCAGCACATATTAATTCGTATATTTACGGGAACTGACAAGTGGATTGCTCCATGCTGCGAGGAGGGCATATCAACCATGTGTCGGGTGATGGCATTAGCATTGAAACGGTCTTCTTCCACGCGATCCACCAGGCCCAGACCAGCCATGATGTAAAGCGTGTCCGCTGCAGGCAGTCAGTTTCAATATCTAATTGCGGTTCCGGCAAGAACAGGGATATGCGTACATGCAAGTCTGGTACCTTTTGCCACGTTAGCATACATATGGATCTTCGCCTAAGAATAATATCGTACAAATCTCGGGTTCGTTACTCGATCGAACCTTGATTTTTGCATTGACGGCCTTGGCCACGTCTTCAGCCGTCGTGGGTTCTCCTAGACGGACCAAGGTTCCAAAGATGTCAAAATGAATGGCTACGGGTACGAAGCCAAGTGATGCTGGCTATTTCAGCATTATGATATCAGTTGTTGGAAATGTGATTTGTGAGTAGGCATCCACTTACCATAGTCACAGTTGCTGCCAACACAGCCCCCGGCGGCAAAGGGGCTTTAGAGAAGCCCAAAAGGCTAGATAGACATTCTAGGATAGACATTGGTTTTAAAAAAGTTCGGACTTCAAAAAACTGATCTAGATGTCTGGATGTGGTGGATTTGAAGATAATCAAGAAAATGTTTGGAGTTGGATTTGCGACAAGTCACAAATGTACATAGGCAAGGGGTTTCTATAGTTCTCATACTTGCCGATCACCTCTCATTCCTTTTTTTACATCCGGTGTTATTTGCTGTTTTCTTTTTTCCTTTTTTTGCTGAAAAGGGGACAAAGTGTAATCTAATGCGATCTATCTGTCAGTTGTTTCATATCCTCGTTTACGATCACGTATCATGGAAGTATAGTTTCTCGGCTTTTCTTTCCTATTCACATCTCTTTTCTTCATTTTGCCTTTTTCTTTACTGCAAGACAAAAGCCACGCGGTCTATCTAACCATGTGTTTCAAGTTATTAACTCTTTCCATGCATAAAACCTGCCATGTTACCCACCATCTATATCATCTAAGGAAACGATAGTCCCTTTATCTCCCCTTACTCCTACATTCCGGTCCGGCATTAGGACTACCAAATATGGAGAAGACTTTGCCGACCAACATGGCAGAGTTGAATAGCAGTAGTCTGTTTCCTTCTCGCGAGACTTTGGCCAAGGAAGAGAGTATAGATAATCTGGATCCTAAGAATTGGTCCCCAATGCGCAAGACAGGACTTCTGCTCGCATTAGTGTTCAGCTCTCTGCTTGCTGATGGGTACGTCATACCTTAACGAGATAGCATCACTATACTAACCTTGACAAGAGCAATGACTTGGGGCTCGACACTAATCACTCAGCAAGCAATCGACTGGAATATCACAATCAATCACTCAGCGACAAGTATGAACTATGGAATTTTACTGCAAGGATTCGGTGGTATATTTGCAGTTCCATTAATCGAGGCCTATGGACGGTAAGATCTTACCCTCATCTCAACTAAAGCTCATCGAACTCATCGAAATTGCCGGCTAGATATCCAATTTGGCTTTGGTCACAGGTCATCACAATGTTCATGGTACTAGGTGCCACGCTATCCAACGACTATTCGACCTTTACCACCTTTCGTTCTCTCCAGGGGTTCTTTGGAACAGTACCACAGGTGGTCGGATTGCCAATTATTCACGACATGTATAGTCCAGATGGTAAGCGCTGTTTAGGAACCCGACGTGGATGTAAGCTGACCTTGTATAGAATGGCCCCGCATGATCAATATATGGTAAGTTGCTATCTCGACTGACCAGATCTTATATACTAACAAAGTCAACTAGGGGAACCACGTTCCTAGTTGGTCCGTTCCTTGGTCCTGCCATTGCTGGTTATATCGGAGCCGCCACGAGCTGGCGTGTTTCTTTCGGTGTTCTTACTGCCCTATACGGGCTATCCACAGTCATAGTTGTCTTGTTCGGGCACGAGACCTACTATCTAACTGGAAAGCGTGCTGAGCCCAGCCTTGCTTCATATTTTGGCTTTAAAGATACGCAACTCTCAAAGAAGTCTACTCTTGCTTATTGGACTCGTAGTATTGTGGTCTACACGTTCAAGATTCCATTATTTCTGATAGGTAAGTTTATTTCTGAGCGCTACAAGGTATCCGGGGCTAAATTTCTATCTAGGAATCGCTGTTCTGGTAACATTCACCTGGCCTATTGGTATGTTAACTTATATCTAACATCTTGAATCATACCTGACTTTTATCTTGCAGGAATCACAACTACTATCGATACATTCCTACATAGCCCACCTTACATGTTCGACATCATCCAGGCTTCATCTATGAGATTTGCCGGTGTGATCGGGGCACTTGGAGGTATATATCTACCGTTGCCACTTTCATATGATCTTGACTAACTCGTTCAGGGTGGGTAATTGGTCATTTACTAAACGAATGGATCTACAACCGTCACCGCAACAACTGGTGCGTCGAGTACCGTCTTCACGGAGTATGGATTCCCATTGGCAGCTTAGTCGGTGGTCTTCTCACCTACGGACTTACTCTTAACTTCGCCAAACACTGGATGGGACTCGCCTTTGGTTGGATTATGGTGAATATAGGCATGGTGGCTACTATTGTGTAAGTTTGTCGGTCCAGATCTTGAACTTGAACTAACAGTAGCAGTACCATCACTGCCTACGCTTTGGAAAAATACCCCGACCAATCGACTTGCGTGTCTGCTATCTTAAACATGTGGCGGACCTGTGGCGGATTTGCTGTGGGGTATTTCCAACCAGCATGGATCGCTCGGAATGGAATCGGTCTCGTATTTGGGATTCAGGCCGCTGTTCTCTGTGTCGCCATTATCATGACCGTCACGCCTGTTCTACTGATGGATCGAACCAAGTTGCAGGTCATAGAGGAGACAGAGCTGGGTGACGTGTCTGAGTAATGAGGAATAGATTGGAAATGGCTAACGATATGGGACGGTACACTGTTGAACTTTGCATTTAATGACATTCCTAAGTAAAAAAATTTATTCTATAACTACCTAGTATCGATAATTCGGAAATAGGTTGGATGAAGTGTATCGCTGTAAAAAGACAATGAGCTGGACCTCCAAAGCGATCCAGAGAGAATGCCAAATAATCAAGGGTAATGTCTGACCAGCAGATATATTGAAGTGCCCCAGTATGTCCCAGTGTAACTCCATGCGAATGATCTCGTGGCTCGAGAAAAACAGAAAAAAAAATTCAAAGGAAAATCCAAAACGAGGGATATGGTATATGGTATACGCTGAGAAATGAGAGAGGTATGGCAGTCAAGATGTCGCAAAATCAGTTTAAAGAATGTATTCCACCTGATCACAGGAGGATTGGAAAGTTCTCAGAAGCCGCTGGACACGATGGGTGATCCAACCGGAGGATGTATTGTTGCTGGTTATACCAGCGAAGGTAGTAGAAGCATGCTTACAGCTTCCCTCATCATGATTATAGGCATACTGCAGGCATTCACTATTCTGTTCACAGGCATCGGCACAGGAGTCAACAGACGGTGTCGTGGGGGAATCGAAGATAATATCGGCTCCTGACAGGTTGTCCCAGTAGTCTCGATAGGCGAGACTGCCGTTGTGGATGAACTCCCGGTAGACATCCGCGTGGAGCATGAGAGCATTCTTGCCACTCTTGAACCACTGTCGGTCAAAGCGCCAGAACTCCTCGATATCCCGAGGACTCATGTGGTGGTAGGAGATGACTGGAAAACACCAGGGTTGATGACCGTAAGCTTCTGAGAAATGATCAACCTGCCATGGCCGAGAAGTCATCATCATGGGCCAAGCCCAGGTCAAGGGGATTTTGGTCTCCTCCAAAGCCCGCGCCAGAACGCAGTCCCCGGCCCATTCGCTCGCCGTTATCTTTTCCAGCTTCTCCTGAAACTTAGAGCGGTGCTGACTCAAACGAGAAACTGTCTCATGGGAGAGGATCACTCCTGCCCCACCATATCCAAAGAGAACTTCCCCAATTTGCATCGGGCTACCGAGGTAAAAAGGCTGGGTGTGGTCCAAATGCGCCAACCAGTTGACCAAGTTCTGCCACACAATATAGGTATCGGCCTCGATGAAGACGTACCATTTAGCGTCCGGCATGAGCTCTAACGCCTCGTCGACCATAGGTAAGAACTTCCACTTGTCCAACTTCCATCCGGGGTTTTTATCTTTGCCGAAGGGACCGTTGGTATCATCACCCCAATCCTGAGCGGTCAGCCCCTGGCGACCTTCTTTCTGCAATTGGCGGTAATATTCAAATTCCGGCTCTTTATCCATCACCGACTGGGTGATATTGTTCAAGACGTCATAGGTACGGACGCCGTTAATGATCTCCTCGTAATCGGAGAAGACGGCATAATGCGGAACACACTGGAGACCAGTACGTAATTGTGTGGGAACTTTTTGCAGAGCTTCCGTAGCACCGGTCTTGAGAATGACAAAAACGTCGTTCAGATCCTTGGTCAAGTGCCCACACTGAGTCTCCTCATCCATAATTTCAGGAGGGTGGTTATCGGATTGTGGCTGCTGTGTCCCTTCGATAACGATATAGCTACGATCAGATTGTAACCATGGTTGAGGGGTATGGGCATCCAAAATGACATCCGTTTTAGGGGTGAGTAGGAGACAGTATAGCAAGGTAAGGGTAAGAAATGGAGAGACGATAATAATCCATCGTCTTGGAGAACTAAACATGATAACCAAATATGAAATGAACGTAAAGTGAAATGAATGTGTAAATAGAAGGGAGAGAAGAGAGAGAGAAAGGAGGGGAAGAAGAAATAGGTTAGGCAGTTTAGTTAGAGAAAACCCACTTGAGGGGATGAAGAGAAATGGGACATCATAAGTGCCTTTTTTGTTCCCCACATGGGTAGATTGTCGGATAGACAGGAATGTACGTAAATTGGGGATCATCAAGTTCAACTCAAATAAGGAGTTGATAGGCCAAGCATTGCGGGATTTTGACGGGTTTTGGAATTAAAGGTGGATCATTCAACCACGCGGTTCAGGGCATAAACTGAAACACGGACGAACGAAAGAAGCGAACAAGTTCGTTCCTCTGCCCCACTAGCTGCGTCATAAGTGCGGCCTGATAGCCTGATAGGATAGAATAAGATCGACCGATCGTCAAGGAAAGTCAGATTTCTAATTGGATAGTGTCGGTTGTGGCTGAAGGGGCTGATGGGACAAGGAAGAAAGAAGGACAAGAAGAACGGGATGTGAAACAGTCACATGATGAGTAAGTATACACTATTCACATACTATCGGACCTGGGTAAAATGATAAATAATACCTTCCTTACCTTCAAATGCAATTGATGGAACCTTGAAATATTCTATTGAAATTTATTGAATTATTCACTTTGGTACATAGTAAAAGTACATAGTATAACTAGTACTATTGCACGGAGGGAAGCCCTACCGTGCGGGTATATCGACAATTAACATGATGCCTTTCCATCAATTCCCTTATGAATTCCTTATTTGAAACCACCATCTCACCCTTCTACTGTTCTAGAGTAGGTCCATTCCATCAAGGTGGCAAATCATTCGGGTTTTGGATGGATGGGGGAAAGAAAAAGGAGGACGAAGAGGAGGAAGTAAGGGGTCCAAGTCCAAGGCGAAGGTTTACCTCCTGATCACCTTTAACACAGCACAGACAAGATCTGCCTGACAATCACTACTTAGTACATGTATGGGATCTCCATAGTGGGTCATTTCGACTGGAGGTTAGGCTTTGACACACAATATCGATCATCACGTGGCCAGTAATCGCGAGATCGGCGAGATCGGCGAGATCAACTCACGCACCCATACTGGTCTCCGCTTCTTGGAATGTCTCCGGGAAAAATCCAGGGGGTGGCCATATGTCGGCGATCGATGGAGGATGCACGACAGGGTGAGATCCTACCAACCGATCGGGATCATGACAGAACGCTTGGAAGGTACTATCATCCAGGAATCCAAAGTCTTTCAGGCCAGCCTCGCGGTTGTGAGACCACTCGGTGGTGTCCAAATAGGCAAGATCTTTGAAAATGGCATCGAGGTCGTCCGTGCCTGCGGAGTTGAATCCCATGCCATCACCGCCTGGTACAGATCGATCGCTGGTAAGTTGCTTTTTATCCGAAATCCTAGCGTTGGAGGTGGAAGACTCCGTAGTGGGAGACTGCGAATGGCCATTGCCTAGGTACATGACATCTGATACACTTCGAGGAGTGACCTTGTCCGAGAGAATGGACTGTTGTATATCCATGAGAGATAGATCGGTATTGCCCATCACAGTATCCTTGGGTGTCACAGACTGTCCATCCACGGGAATACTGATCCCAAGAATGGAAGAGGTGTAGTTGACTTGCTCCACTGGCGTGAAGCCATGTGATCCACGAGGGGGTTGCATGGAGCTGGTCAGAGGAGAGGACCTGGGTAACGAAGGGGCAGTCGCATTGCCAGAATACTGTAAACGTTCCATCGCGGATACCAAGGAACCATACACGGGCCATGTCGCAGTCAGTGTGGTGGTCTTTTGACGGAATTCCTCGGCCCACTTGGCGAAAGGAAAGGTGTCAAATGGCTCCACAACCTGTCGCAGTGACAAAGCTTGTTCAAATATGGTTCGTAGGGAAATCTCAAAGATGGGCGGAAGTCCACATGTGTGAAAGTTCTCCAAGTGTTGTGAAAGCATGGGAAGTCCTCGGTATAGGAGTTTCTTGGCACCTTCAGTTGCTGGTCGCTGTGATCGATGCATCTCCTGTTCTTCGGGAATCAGGTACAAATATAGACATAGTAGTGTAGCCACGTAGGTCAGGCCAAGGTAGCTTTGATGAGGCAGCAGGGCAGAGTTTCGTTCCGGGTAGATACTCTCAGCTCCAATTAACCGGCATCCCAGTGGTAATCCATCATCCCATTGCTTCAAATCCAATACCAACTGCTGTGCAAAGGAGACTGGTTTATAGCCCATTGAAATGTTTCGTGAGATTTTGTTGAGCACACCTGCTAGTTCAACCAAGCGATTAAAGCAGCTGAGTGCCAGCAATGGTCCTCTGCGTGGGAAGTTTTTACTGTGGGAAGCGTTGGTGAGAGGGAGGACATCGGGCCATGAATTCCACTCTTCCAGTCCATCTTCCTCTAACAAGCTGATATTGGTCAAGTCATTTGACGATATAGCAGGACGTCTCGAAAGACGGAATGATAGTAAAGACTCGATGACAAAGCAACCCAAGAAGACCGCTTTGCCCTGTCTCAGCTCATCAGAACGTCGCGTATCTCTATAAGTACCCAACCCCATGGCTATGGCCATCCTCACTGCTTGGCCGCATAGAAGCCACGCGGCGGTCCAATCATCAAGGCCCATATTCACCAAGGCCAATAACAGCAGTGCTTGGATATGGCCAAGTTCATATCGTTCCTTTTCAGATGGGATGAGGTTTCGCGACACCGCATAGTACTCTCTAGCTAGAGAGACTGTCCCAATTGGGCTGGTTCGTGAATTAGACTGCGATTGGGAGATGGTGTAGCTCAGGATCGCCCACAGCGCGGCGTGATCTCCGGAACCAGGCGAAGTGGTCGCAACGGAAAAAGGGGCATTGGCGTAGAGGTACGAGGCCCGGAGAATATTATGTTTGGCGACAATAGGGAGCCATGAGTGCGTCGCAGCGAAATACACGTCGAGGAGTTGTGATGTATTGGGCGGCAGCTGCAGTGTATGGAGCCCATTTAATGAGGGTGAGCCATTGCGACCGTCCGAGGCCTGGGACAAGCGAACTCGTTTTGCACTCGGCGAAATACTTGCTGGCCCAACTATCCGTGGTGCATCAGGACCAAGAGGTATCGAATCTCGACTAGCTCTGAATCCCCACTGACTATCCAAGCCATCTTGTTGATCGTCATGAGCGTTCCACGATCGTTTTCCCGTAGTTACCGGAACAGACTCGGAGTTAGATAACATCTTCTCTAGAGCGCCAAACAAGCGACTAGACTTCCAAGTGTCATGGAGACTTTCCGAAGAGCTGTCATCCGCCCAGACCGACATCAATTTTTCGCGACGGCCGGCAGAGTTTGTGGTTGTTCCCAGCATGGCGAGCATTGTTTCTTCAAATCCATCTATGTTGCAGAGCGACAGGGCCCACAGTTTCTCTAAACCACGCACATATCCCTCAGGTAGACCTCGTTTTTTCGCATGGGGGTCGTAGGAGCATGTCTGACCGGATGCCTGGCAAGCGGAGCAGGTGGGACGAACGCCATCACATTTGTCCTGAAATTTTCAGCTGATTAACTTGCGAAGGAGGCTTAACGTTAGAAGCATGACTCACCTTTTTACTGCGACAGCGATCGCAAGCCCTAGATACCCTCTTACGCCGAGGGGCTTTATCGGAGCCCTCATCCATAAGGAAGATTAGTTCGAAGCAACAAACATGTCATGCAGGACTGAATGCAGAGGAATGCAACGACTCGGGTCTCAGCGTCTGCAGGGGAGTTGCCAAGATTCGCCAGACTATATATTAAGTGAGAGAAAGTGATTCATACAATAGCTCAGTGGATATTGATATCAGAGATGTGAAATCGACACGCGCATGTTCGTTCGGGTATCAAGAAAGATCGGGATGCAATCGGAAAGAGTCTCTTTCGGAATGCACAATGGAAGAGTGGAGAAGCAGGGAAGTGGTCTCTATCAAGCCGTAAGCCGTAGACTAAGACTTTTTGTATCGAACTATGATGTCAAAGGATAGAGAAGTTCCAGTTCAGCTCACTAGAGCAACAGAGAGGAGAGGCTCAGACGGATAATCGGGGTTCCCCACGTCCCCCACGAAGTACGGCATACGGAGTACTTCGGTCTAAACCGTTTGAAGTTTTGGACCGCTAATTATTGATTCGTACTACTGGAATTGTCAATAAAGATTCTGAGCTGGGATGAGTTGATTCGTTACATATAGTTAATATCTGATATCTATTAATATTCCCATCTACTCTCACTAGATATCCATCCGATTATCGCAGTTCGGCTGATTAAATAGATGAGGCTGAGTATGTAATCGCGGATAAGACTTTTGCCAGTTCTGAATCTATATCGAAACACTTCGCTATGGTATATACTCAATTGATATGGACATTAAAACAAACTACATGCTACGTTACAATCAATTTTTACCAATGATACATCCTGCACTCTGGGTTCCTTGCCCGCATGAGGTATTTGGCCAGATTCAGCCTTGGACAATACTACCCGTGGACCTACCACTACTTTTTATAGTCTTGGAAGTGATGGTTTGACTTACTAGATAGAAAATTGAAATCAATATCAAATTGGCCGCCTTACCTAGGTAGCAAACCAGTAGGCTGCAACAAATAGGCCAGACTAGAAAATGGGTTGAAACAAAGATTTCAATGATCTTAATGATCTTGATCTTACGCATTCCATAAGCCAAGTTGCCCAGGTGGTGCAGATCTCAAATTTGTATTTCACATTTACCTCTCTTCCTTGACTACTAGTATTAGTATAGCGTACTCCATAACTACTCCATTATGATACTCCATATTCAATTAACGTGGGGTTGAAGTTTATTATAGGCGGTGTGATACACGTGGGTCCAAGCTCTATTTCCATATCATCCAACTCAATTTAACCCTTCTTTTTCAAGGGGCTCAACTCCCCTATTATATATCGACAGGGCTTATTTTCATCCATGCTCAGCTTCTCTGAGCCCATTGGCTCTATTAATACCTGTCGGAAGAAACGCAAACATGATGAAGATTCTACTACCCTGGATAGACCGTATGTTGGTCCTCTAGCCTTACCTGTGATCCCTTGTACTAACTTCTATCTCCTTTTTAGCTCCTCATTTGTACCGCTTAGAGTAGATTGCCATGATCGTGATGGGAACTACTCATTGCCTCTGCCTCGGCTAGAGACCGATGAACGTCTATCCTTCCGCCCTCGCTGTCTTCCCCGCAAGCGCCGACTCGTCCAAACACCATATCTCTCCCTCCCAACCCATCAGCAATCATCACTCCTCTCACCCAATATATATGCCACACCGCAAGACCCTTATTCTCCACCAGTCTCTCCAAAGACTCTTGTCCCACTCGCTTATCCATCAACTACACCATCGGCTCTCCGGCCCTGTCACATCTGCCACCGACGGCCGACGACCAGACAAGTATTAGATGCATATGCAGATTGTGATCTTTGCGGGGGGAGAGCCTGCTTCATCTGCCTGCGTCAATGTGATTCCCTCACGTGCTCAAGCATCAAGTCACAAGGGGATCCTGATATATACAGCCCCGGGCGTTTTGAAAAAGACACTTCTCAACGAAAAATATGCTCGAGCTGTGCTGTGGAAGGCATAACGGAGACTGGTACAGAGACTGTTCGATGCCTTGACTGCGTGCGTGGAAACTGCACAGTATGGCCTCCCGAGTCTATCACCTCTCGGTGGTCATTAAACCACACGGATCACGACCAGATGTGCGGTTAACTCTATCTACATATTCCCTACTTGACGCAGATACATGACTATGGTCTTGACAACAAGTTTGGACACCGGATATGAAACGACAACGACTATATATTCATACAACCCTCTTCATTTTCCCACCCTTTCTACATTTGTTTTTTATGGTTTAGTACTGGCGTTGGATGGATTGGGCATGCATTCGGATTTGCATCTTTATAGGACTTTATTTTATCTTGACCCTTCACTTTAACCGCGAGCATGGCCAGTTTTTGTACTTCTTTATGACATGTCTGGCAAATACTGTTTAGCAATACCAATATAGCTAATGGAGACTCATCTATAACTAAATAATGCTCCGATAAATGACACTTCTGAATGTAGTATGTCACTACTTGAGCTTTCGGGTCTGGAAATTACAAGTTACTTTTTCGAATGGAGATGCATGGATCTCATCCTGCGCCAATACAGATGTATGCAATTTTTATGATGAGAATAAGGGTATAACAGAGAAGGAACAAAGGAAAGCCCTCTCGGGCTAATCTACCTCACCGTCCGAACCGCATTTGAGCCCCAGCGTAATGCCACAATCCCCGCATGAATCCTTGATATTCAACTGCTTCTCCATATCCAGTCATACCGTGGTTATGATCACCGGTACAATACATCTCCGTCAGACGAAGCTGCCACGGAGGATAGCCATCCAGTCTCAAGTATGACCCGAATACCAACAAAAGGTCCGGCTCAGGATTGAGGAGCTTAGACGTGTCCCGGCCAACCGAGTCTTGAAGAGGCTGGGAGGTGATGTCACTGATCTCTGCATCAATGAGCTCTTGTGTGATATCTTCTGGAGATAGCTTTCCATTCTGTGACATTTCGGCCAGAGTCTTGGTCAGATCCACAATCGTCTCGCGGCCATCGGTTGAAGATAGAAGAAGAATAGTCAGGGAAGGATTCTCGGGCTGGGAGCTTGGGGCGTTGCCATGGGCGGGGTGATGGGGTGCATACACCTGTAGAACAGGCTGCTGCGATGGAGAACCATAGTAAGATGCCATTTTTGTGGTTATGATCTGATGTAGAGCTGGAATGCCTGACTTGAGAGTACCTGTATAGTATTGTGGTCAGCCCCTACTCCTCCAGATCTGGACCATCCCAATCATACCGGTCTTTTCATAAATGCTGAGTTGCGGAATCCCGGCACATGCGCTCCAGGCAGCCAGCTCTGCCACCTCGTCCATTAAAACTGCCAAAGCATCGTCGTCCGCGCGCAGACTCAAGATCACACTCAAGTGTTGAGGTAAACGCTTTAAGCCTCTTACATCCTTGCGGATCAGCTCGGGAGTGCGGTGGTGGTGATATACGATAGCGAAGACGCGCTCCACGACAGCATGATACGCCTGCAGCAAGCGTACCACAATACCGAAGATGATGTGTGCCAAGGCATATGTGAGGTGGTGAACTTGCGATTTCACGAAAGCTCTAATAGGCTTTTTGCGACTCGCCTGGCGCTGGGAGCTCGAGGCTCGGGGATTGAGGTCGGAGGGATCTGGTAGGTATGGTTTCAAGAGTTGCTCTCGATCGCTAGGGGAGAGCTTGTTTCCCCTTAAGCGGACATCCGCGCGCAGGAGTTCGCGATCTTGCTGTGAGACCATGGTGTTGAAGAAGACGAGGAGACAAGAATAGCGGGAAGCCGTGTTTTTTTTTCTCTCTTATATCTCGGTCTTTCCACCAAATTCTCAAGGGATAAATTGGAGATATAGATATTAATACCCAAAGAGAACCTGGGCGTGAAATGGTGTTACGTCGTATAGAAATATATGCTGCTAAACGTTTCAAGGGCTTCCGTTGCTTGTGGCCAGGTGTTCGATGTCCAACGTTTAACCGTTAGTAGGTAGTGTTACCAAGTAAAATACAGTAGTAGCCGACAATAATATAAACCCTACAATTATTTCTTTAATAAAATTACTAATATTAGTAGGGGATAATATGTTCCATTTGATGACTGTAGTAAAGGAAGCTCGGTCTGAAGCTATATGGATAAGTGGCAGTACTAGATCTCGTGGCAATAGAATACCGACTCTCTCCGTCTCAACATCTCAGCTTCCCCGGATTTCCTAATTACCCCAAGTGCTACAACTTGAATTGGACTGATTAAACTACACACGTGTCGGTCCTCCGGCCCATGAATCAGACCCTGCCTTCATTATGATGTCCGACAATGCCTCCATAGTGTCCTCCAACCCCTCCCGATCCGTCTTCCCCAAAGGTCCTAGCTTCACACTTGAGGACTTCTCCAGTCGAGACTTCATCGTCAAGGAATTCATTGAGGCGCTCTCTGACACAGCCATATCATCACGCCGCTCAGCAGTGGGAACCACTGGAGCTGCGAACCAACCCTTCGATCCGAAACCCCTCATTCGTACCTTTGAACATGCACAACAGCGTCTGGGTGAGCTATCAGGAGATCTAGAAATTCGCGAAAATGAATTGTCCGCCGCTGTCCGACGGGCAGAAGCCCAGCATTCCCAGAACCTCACCACACTTGGTCGAAAACTACGACAAACCATCGAGTCTTTTCAGCAGCTCGACACATCTCTCAATGGCGGCAACCTGGAGAACTGCGGGGCTACTGGGATTACTGGAGGCACTGGAACTATGGCAGTGGAAACGGGAAGGAGATTAGAGGAACTGGATCGACAACGCCGTCGCGCTTTAGATGCCCACTTTCTGCTGGAATGCTGGGACGGGGTCAGTAATCGCGGGGAAATCTCATTGCTGGAGAACTTGCGGCGATCTGGAACAGCAGAGGCCAAGGTCCGGTCTGCGCATATTGCGCGGCAGTTGCTCCGGATCAGTCAACGACTTGATCCTCAGAGCTGGCAGAGTTCGTCCGGTAATGGCAATTACAGCAATGCATCATCATCTGAAGACTTGAACGTGCACCAGCTGCCACATAGAAATACGCGAGAGATCATTGAGAAATTCTCGGAGACGTTAGAGAAGGATCTCTTGAAACAATTTGATGAATTCTATCGCAAGGCCAACTTTGAGGGAATGAAAGACTGTGCGACTGTGTTACAAGACTTTAATGGAGGCGCCAGTGTAACTGCGCTGTTTGTCAATCAGCACCAGTTCTTCATCGACCGGAGTCAACTAATGACCGAGGAGGTTGGTGGGGATGCAGAGTCATGGGAGAAGATGGCCGACCCTGATGCTGAGCTACCCGGTGTAGAACCAAGCCTTCAATCATTACTCGATGAGGTCAAGGTAGTGGTACAGGAAGAGTCGGCGATTATCCGACGTGCATTCCCATACTACGAACAAGTCCTAGGGAAGTTTCTGCAGAGAGTTTTCCAGCAGTCCATCCAGCAGCGACTCGAGATGGTATTAGAAAAGGCCAGCGGTGTTTCATCCCTGGCCTTTCTTCGATGTCTACAGAGTTCCCGGGGCTATATCATTACATTGATCGACGATTTGAAAGCCCATGGGTTGACGGAGCACCCGGACGCTGTTTCATCACAGACGGCACTCATGTTGGACCAACAACTGGAGGAACTGTTTGTCCCCTACTTTGTCGGGTCATCCTACAGTGAACGAGAGAAGCGTACATTAGAAGAGCTCTTTAATGCGCTGCTATTTAAATTTACAAGCGCTCAAGCCCGTCGCAAGAAGGCTGGAACTACTTTCATGGCCTCCCTCTCGCGACCAGGGACAGAATCACTATCTACCACTCGCGATACATTTATAAGTCGCCTAGAGTCGCCTGATATGTCCCCCATTCAGAGGAGAACGCTTCTCCAGGTGGCTAAATTGGGGGATGTTCCAGAGACCGTACGACTCACCGAGATCAAACTCACTGACGAGGATGGCCAGCCCAACCTGAGCGATGCCAAGCGCATGCTCAGGTGGCTTGCAGAGGCTGTGGGTCGAGGGCTGGAACTCAGTGTGAACAACGACACCCATAAAGACGTTTCAGCTCTGCTGACCCTCCTCCTGGTTACGATGGATGATGGATACGTAGATGTTTGCCTTGACGCTGCCCTGGAGGCGGCCACCCAGCAAGAGTCGGGCAAGAACGAACCGGACTTTGGCTACCTGCTGTCAGTCCGGACCACGATCAGCATCACCACGTTGATGGTGATGTGCGTGGATGCGGTACTGCTACCCTTAGCTACCAGCAGCATCACTACCCGGCGTGACATGGAAAAACGCACCTCTCAAACTACATCCCGAATCGAAGAAAAGATCAACACCATCGAGCAAAAGACTATTGACGGAACTCTCGCTTGGATCAGTCGTTTACTGTCGGGGCAGAAGAAGAACGATTTCCGACCCCGTGAAACAGACAACGCCACCTGGTTGGAGATGCTGCAAACACCGGTAAGTTTGCCCCATTATCTTTAGTTGCTGACAGGATCCCAAAACTTACATGAACTGCTACTATTCTAGACGTGCGCCTCGATCTGTGTGTTCCTTACTCGACTGCATAACATGGCACGCACCTCTTTACCGTCAAGCGGCTCAAACACCCGTCAATTTCTCACCGAGATTGCAATGGGGACGCGTGGATTACTCCTAGAGCATTTCAAGCGATTTGCTATTAGCGGGCCTGGCGGTCTGATGGTGACCAAGGACATGACTCAATACGCCGATCTGTTAAAGTCATGGAACATAGATGACGAAACCAAGGGGCCTGGTGGCGCGCTGGACGTGTTGCTAGAGGTTGGTAGTCTCTTTGTCATTGGCGCCGAGGCTCTTCGTGAACGTATCCGAGGTGGCGCCGCCAGCGGAACAACGGGTGAACCTGGTGGTTCTAGTCGCGGGGCTGGACAGGAAGCCAAACTCAGTGTGCAGGAAGTACGGGCGTATGTCTCTAAACGAGAGGATTCCAACACGTTAGCCATGCAGCAGGTTCTCAACGCCCTGTAAGACGGAAGAAAAAAAAAAAAAAGAAAAGAAAAGAAAAGGAAAGGAAAGGAAAGGAAAGACAGGGCAGCTCCACCACCTTCGCCTAAATGACATGCAGTGAGACACATCATATACCCATATTGATCTTTTTTTATGTTTGAGAATTGGAGGGAAATCAACCATAGGTGCATCGGGAGTTATTCCCAGTTATAATTACTCGTATTAGAACGATCTGGATTTTGAATACTAGAAACGCCAGAAACACAAGCAACTGTGGAAATTATGAAACTCCGGTGGCTGAAAAGATTTCTTTGTTTGTACTCGGATTTAGGAGTATGGACCTATACGGAAGAGTATTCCTCCGACTATAACTTGGATTGCACAACTTATTACTTTTTTTTCCCTTACTTCTCCAGGGCTGAATCCTTAGTGTTATGTGGGATCTACTGTGTATCTTTCAAGGTTGTGGCTGATTTGGTCCTGGAGGAGCCCTAAGTCAGTAGTAGACCAACTATTCTCCGAGTCCATCTTACCTTGTATATCAAATAGTACCATACATTAATGGAATTATCTCCGAAGACCGTTTCAGATTTAATCCTAAGGTCAAATTGACGAGATTCTATATGATCAGTCACAACTCTAACAGGCGATGAAATGGTGTACTTCTCCTTACTCCGTATTGCAGCCATATTAAGTAAGACTGGAACAGTTACACAAAGATATGGGGTTAAACCACCTGCTCAACATTGAAATCAATTAAAAGTATGAGAGTAGACGTAGTTGATCTACCTCGGTAAATGTAGTGTATTCTGCAGAGCCTACTTTAACTCCGATAACCTGTTCTCTAGTGTAAGGATGGTTGAGATGGGTTCATGACTTATCATATTTATCTCCACTTGATAGACTGCGAGTTGACAGATCTAGAAATAGATCTGGTCTGTGCACCAGTTCCCACTAAACAGTGGGAGGTGAAGGTGATGAACAGTTGGTTCCAATCACTGCATATGTGATGGGCCATCCCTGGCGCTGGCGGGGTTCATGATGACTAGATTCTGATCAATTCTAGAACTCAGTTCCAATTCCTGATTCCTGTTCCTGTTTCATATCTTATATAGATCAATGATCCCTTTTTATGAAGTGCAACCTTCGAGAACTTCTTCCAGTTCCCACTGAGTTACGGAGTACATAATACTTCATACTTCATACTTCATATTTTATACTTCCTACTTAGTACTTTTGTACTTTGCACTAGTTCCTATTCCTTCTATTTCTATTCCTTATAAGTATACTATAGTACACTATATGGTACTATAGCATACTATTATTATTTATACCCTTTATCATGCGATATACCAGTGAGGATTTTGATTCTCTTCCTCCAGCAGTGAGACGAAAGGTAAGGCTCTCTTCCCCCCCCCCCCCCCCCCCCCCCTTTTCCCTCATATTTTCCATGTTTCCCCAATTTTCCCAATTTTCTGTAATTTTCTGTAATTTCTTTTTTATTTTTTTATTTTTTTTTCTTATTTTTTTTCTTTCTCCTTCCAAGTGGATCATGGACGGGAGATAGCGGATTCAATAGTCTCGGACTTGGACTTCCCATTGATACCAGGGTTCTCTTCCAACTCTTTGTTTATTTTCCCCCCTCATTTTGTGCCTCTCCCTTTCTCTTAGGAAAAAGCTTCTATTTCAGATTGACCGTTAGGATCCGCTTGAATCATGTTGAGTTTTTGACTTACACTTGTTTTGCCCCCCTGAATCCACAAAGTGGATAATGGCACTAAGATGGCGTGGCTGTTTACTACTTGAATTGGCGTTCGAGTCTCCACCACTATTTACCTCCACTTTCCTTTGCTGACATCCAACAGTTCTTCTCGAATGTCGAGCGGCTACGGATGAGACTAGCGCAGGTTGATCCCATCTCCCCTACTTTCCATCACGCCCGAGACCGGGTCAATGCTCGAAATGGGCCTGGCTCGCTTCATCCTAGTGCCCTACGTTCATCCACAAGGAGTGGATTGGATCAACGGTCTCTCCAAAACATAGCATCCCCGCAATTGCAATCTCCTGGTCTGGCTGATTCTCAATGCTTTTACTCTCTCCCCGCCAAAATTCAACTTCAACTTTTCTCTCCGGAAGAACGTCGTCGTCTTCGTCAAGCTTATCGCCATTCTCTCATTCTGGACGCCGCTGACGAGGCCTTTTATCGTCGAGATCAAACATATCATTCTAAGTCTCACTCCCAGTCTCAATTCAGTGATTCAAAAGACAGCGGCAGCCTGCCTTCAGATTCCACCATCGTGGCCCAACCCACTTCTGTATTTTATGATTCGGATTCCGAGGAGGACTGGGATCACGACTCCATTGCAGACCAAGACCTCAGTATGGATCAGTCCTTCTATGATAGCTTCCGCTGGCTGGATGAGGATGGGGATCTGGACTTGTCTCTAGATGAGTACCATGCTCATGTGGTAGACTCTTCCGCCAACACCAAAGGCTGGCATCGTCCCTCCTTTCGTCGATCCCTTTCATTTTCTTCTCACCCTCAGAAAAACCGTGTCTCAACATCTACACCAATTATGCAACGGAACCTCCCTACAAGTCAATCAGTACCACCTCTCACTTCTTCCCGTCCAGTATCTCGTCACCTCTCAGGTCATGTTCCACAGTTATCTACATCCAGTATGGATCCTGGCGCTCAATACTACCAAGACCCCGATGCCCGTCTCAAACTGAGGGTATATCTGGCGTCTCCACAGAAGTTTGACGAAGCCATTGAATTTGGCTTCCCGGCCATGTACTCTAAGAAAAATAAGGAAAATGTCGCGCCAATATCGACATTTTTCAAGTCTATTAACGTTGAGACGGATTTTGTCGGGACCTTCTTTGAAGACGATGATGGCACGGTGGTCGGTAGCCCCGGTGGTTCAGTGGAAGAAATTCCATGCACTTCCCAGTACCGCCATGAAACGCAACGCCAGCTTACCGACGCTCCAACACTTACTCGAAGACGTCAATCCTTCTTGCTAGGGTCAAAGGCGGTCCCTCAACTATTACCGGATAATCGTGAGGCGACTTTGAAAATGACTTTGACCCGACCTGACCTTCGCACTGAATCTCCCACCCCATCTCATCCTTCCCTTGACGATCCTTTAAAATTGGCTGAACTACCTCCAGCTGATCGTCAACAGCACATCTGGGACTCGAGTCCAGATGAACAAGGAACCGTGAGGAAGATGTGGCGTAAGCTACGTCGTTGTGTTTAGATTTATGACCTTTTTTCATTTCCCACTTCTCTTTTTTAGATTTCAGGCGGAATCAGCGGGTGTAGCTCTGTTCTTTTGTTTTTGTTTTTGTTTTTGTTTCCATTGGGGTATCCTTCTAGCGTAAATCAGAGGCAGGTCTTTCTACATTTGGGTCGGAGGTCCGGCATTACTTTTCTTCTAGAATTGGCAACATATTGTACATATTCAGATATTCCCCTTGAATGAGGCTTTCAATTGAATTGAGAGATTGAGATTATTTCATGTCAGATTTTAGGTACCAGCATTCTTCCTAGATACCATCTTCTACATTGTTTACCAGATAGCGATGATATCACGTGACTATGAGCTCTTGTTTGGCTGCTGACAGGTCCAAGGCCACGCAGTTCTTTCTTAACATTATTTCCCAAGCCAGACTTCCTTCCCTTTCCTTGTCTCAATCTTCTACAGTTAGGCTATTGCCTTACTTGTGCTTACTGTCAAATCTCAATACTTACACTCTCTTGACTTCGCCTCCCGGTTCGGCCCGCTCACAGCTTAAGCTGATCAGCACATACCTCGATTGAATTTACCTTCAGATGCCGAATTACCAAAGGCAATGATCCCTCGGTGGCTCTTGCTAGTGGTTGGCTTGCTGCTGGCTTGGTCAGTACAGCCGATCGCGGCGAAGGGAGACAACCCTACTACCCAGGCAACAGAGCTCAGCCATCCACCTTTCGAGCTGTTCTACTTCGAAGGCACCAATACAATCATATATCGAGATGGAAATGCCAATAATGCCCAGATCTCATTCGACGGCGGTAAAGAATGGGAGGTAGTCGCGGGTGATGATGGGAGCATGAAGGGCGCCGTGACGATGATCTGGCGGCACCCAAATGATGCCCATCGCGCCTACGTATTGGGCTCCAATGGGAAACACTGGATCACTACTGACCAGGGTAAATCATGGAACTCCTTCCAAATCGCTCCTCTTCCGATGATTTCGACGCGTAGCCCACCGTTGAGCTTCAACGGTTGGGATCCGAAGAAGGTGATCTTTATGACCATCGATTGCTCCTTCACCGGCTGTATGACGCAGGCCTTCTATACTATCGACGATTTCAAGACTGTGGAACCTCTGCGCGACATGATTCTACAGTGTTCATGGGCTGCGAGTACTCCACAGTTCGGGAAGGACCTAGACGCGTCAGAGAGGCTGGGCGATAGAGTTCTTTGCGTGGTTCCCGGGCTGCGTGGCTTTGAACGATCGGAGCGCTTGGTCTTCACGGAAGATTTCTTCAAGGGCGATTTGGATGGGACCGAGGTCAATTTGGACCGCGGACGGCCCGTCATCGGCGATGAGATCAAGTTCCGCACCGTGAAGAAGTATATTGTAGCTGGAGTCCAATCGCGAGGCACCACTGAACAGGCCCTGTACATAAGTGACGACTCGACCGAGTGGCATCGCGCAGAGTTCGGTGGACATCGCATTGAGCAGGACGCGTACACATTGCTAGAAAGCACCAACTACAGTATTCAGGTGGATGTGCAAACAACATGGCATGATAATCGGGTCGGCGTACTTTTCTCGTCCAACTCGAACGGTACATACTTTTCACCCAACATCGAACATACAAATCGAGACCTGGAGGGATTGGTGGACTTTGAGAAGATCGCCGATATTCAGGGCATCGTGATTGTCAATACTGTTAAGAATTGGGAGGAGGCTGAAAAGTCTGACAAGGAGGAGAAGAAACTTGTCAGCAGTATCAGTTTTGATGATGGGAGAACCTTCAAATCCCTCCACGCTGGTGATGAGGATGTACACCTGCACTCGATGACTACATACGATGCCTTGCACAAGCTCCAAACCCTGGGTAGAATGTTTTCTAGCCCGGCACCGGGACTTGTCATGGGCGTGGGCAACACCGGCGGCCACCTTAAGAAATACTCGGATGGAGATCTGTACGTTTCCAGTGACGCGGGTCTTAACTGGCAGCGTGCGCTGAAAGGCCCCCATCGCTTCGAGTTTGGTGACCAAGGCGGCGTGATTGTGGCTGTCAGCGATGATGGAATGACAAACGAGGTTCAATACTCCCTCGACCAGGGCAAGGAATGGGAGAAGCCCATTGAGCTGAAGCACAAGATCAAACCCCTCTACATTACCACTACACCCGACTCGACGAGTCTGAAATTCCTATTGGTTGGTTTGATCGCCGATGACAGCTATGTCATCTACCATATTGACTTCGATGGTCTCCACGAACGCCAGTGCACAGAAAAAGATCTCGAGCTCTGGACCGCCAGTGTGGGCAATGAGGGTGACCACTGTCTAATGGGCCATAAGCAAACTTTCCAGCGTCGCAAATCCAATGCTGATTGCTTTATCGAGAAAGAATTCAAGATGGAGTCTCCTGTCTATGAGAAGTGCAAATGTTCGGAGGCAGACTTCGAGTGCGATTACAATTTCCGGCGCTCCGATGATAGAAAAGATTGCTTGCCAGCTGTGTCTCTGGTAGCCCCAGAGGGTAAATGCAACGACCCAAGTGACAAATACATTGGGCCATCGGGTTGGCGACTGATTCCTGGCAATGCATGCATTCGCGAAGGGGGTGTCAACCTTGATAAGGAGATTGAGCGGTCCTGTGGAAACTCCACCAGCTCTCCCGTTACCGATGGCAAGGTCCATGCCGGTAAAGCACAGCACTTTGAGGCCACAAGGAGCATTTATTTCTACTTGGAACGACAGACAAGTAACTCTGGAGATGACGAGACCATCTTCATGCTCACCGATAAATCCGAGCTATGGGTGACCCACGATCACGGCAAGCAGTGGGACAGACCTGCCGAGCTGAAGGATGAGAAGGTGATGGAGATGATCCAGCACCCTTACTACAGCGACGGTGCATATTTCCTGACGAAATCTGGTCAAGTCTTTACGACCATTGACCGCGGTTACAAGTTCCGATCGTTCAAGCAGCCTACTCCGTGGATTCCCGCCGACATGTCCCCATTGGTCTTCCATGAGAAGTACATGGACTGGATGATCTGGCTTGGTAGTGCGAAATGCGAGGGAAACGATTGTGTCCCCGATGCGTACTACAGCAAGAACCGTGGTGAGGAGTGGCATCTGATGCTGCGCGGCGTCGGCCAGTGTGTATTTGGCTACCACGCCGATCGGAAGAACAGCGAGGAGCTTGTTCTCTGTGAACAATATGAGAAAGAGAACAAGAAGAACAATCGCCAACTGGTGGTCAGCAATACCATGGACAATTGGGAAGGTGCCTCTGTTATCAATAGCAACATCGCGCACTTCGTGACGATGAATGAATTCATCATCGTAGCAACTTATCCGACCGACAAACACAAGTTCTTGAATGTCAGCACCAGCATGGACGGTCAGATCTTCGCAGAGGCCCTCTTCCCATTCAATGTCGACGTGCCCCAGTACACGGCGCTACCTGGCTCGACATATGCGCTATTCCTGCATGTGGAGATCAGCTCCAAGGAAGGCCGTAGCTACGGTTCGCTTGTCAAGAGCAACAGCAATGGCACCTACTTTGTCCAGAGTCTGGATGCCCTGAATGTGAATGACCGCGGCTACGTCGACTTTGAAAAGATGAGCGGACTCGAGGGTGTCGCGATTGCCAACGTCGTTGGAAACTTGGACGATGTCGAAAAGAAGGGTGACCCCAAAAAGCTACGTAGTGTGATTACACACAACGACGGTGGTCAGTGGGCACTTCTGACGCCCCCTGCCGAGGACGTGAACAAGCAGAAGTTTGACTGCTCTGTTGAGGAAAAGGGCACCTGGAATTGTGCCTTGCATCTGCATGGATACACGGAGCGACGCGACTTCCGAGATACCTTCTACTCCAACTCTGCCATCGGCATGATGATCGGTGTTGGTAACGTTGGCCCGCATCTGACTGATGTTGATCAGGCCGACACTTTCCTCACTCGCAATGGAGGTTTGACCTGGAAGCAAGTCAAGAAGGGCCGGTACATGTTTGAATACGGCGACGCTGGATCTGTGATCGTACTGGTCAGTGAACTGCTGCCGACAAAGGTCATTCACTACAGTCTGGACGAGGGCGAAAACTGGACCGAGTTCCAGTTCTCGGACGTAGACATGATCATCAATGACATCTCGACTGTTCCCTCGGACACTTCCAAGAACTTCCTCTTGTGGGGAAAAGAGGCCACAGCCTCTCATGATAAAGTTTCGACTATCAATCTTGACTTCAGTGGCATTTGGGATCGCCGATGTATGTTAGATGACCAAAGCGAGGACTATTATCTGTGGACCCCCAGTCACCCGGCTCAAGAGGACAATTGCTTGTTCGGACATGTCGAGCAGTACTATCGCAAGAACACGGGGGCCCAGTGCTGGATTGACTGGCGTGAGCCACATATCAACCGAGTCGGCGGGAACTGTACTTGCACACGAGCAGACTTTGAATGGTAAAAATATCCTCGGCTCCACGATCACAGAAACTGAAATGCCAACTAACATTGTTATAGTGATTACAACTACGAGATGCAAAGCGATGGCAGCTGTGGGCTTGTAGCGGGACTTTCGAAGCCCGACCACAGCTTGAAATGTTTGGAGGACCCCGAATTAGTCGAGTACTGGGAGCCGACTGGCTACCGACGACTCACACAGACCACATGCCAAGGTGGAGATCTTTTCGACCAAATCAAAGCATTGCCCTGCCCGAGCAAGGAGAAGGAGTTTGAGAAGAAGCACGGTATCAGCGGTGTGGGCCTGTTCTTCGCCATCGTGACCCCGATTGCGGCCGCTGCTGCATTTGGATACTTCATATATACCAAATGGGACGTCCGGTTCGGACAAATCCGCCTAGGCGAGAATCGCACTTCCTCCGGAGGTTGGTTCTCTCGAGACTCCATTCTGATTGCGGTACCTGTGGCCATCATTGCAGCTATCGTGGCAGTGGCCCAGGCAATGCCGTTGGTGGGTACGAGTATTTGGCGTAGTGTTAGCGGCTTAATCGGCCGCGGTTCACGGCCATACGCGACTCGTGGCTCCTTTGCGGCGCGCCGGGGTGATTACACTCATGTGGTAGATGATGAAGACGAGCTGCTCGGGATTGATGAATTGGACGAAGAGGAAGAGGCGTGAGCTAGCAGATCACAGAATTTTCTGTACTTGAAAATAAGTTTCCAAAGTTAGCCACTCTACTGACTGGACTTTTGATGTGACATTTATCAGCGACGAATCTTTTGTTTTCTTTTTTTTTTTTTTGACTTTTTTGAGTTCACTCTACTCTATATTACAATGTATCGCCTATTTAGCTAGCCAGAGATTTGGCTTGGCTCTTCCGAATTCTAGAGTTCCTTCCAAGATTCACAGACTTGTTGCATATCAAATGGAAAATATTGAAGATGGGCTTGTATTCATCAGCTCTAATATCAGCCAAACTTGGAACAGTAACATTCCAACTAAACTAGTGGGATAGATCATCGGGACCGAATGAATCCGGCAGCAACTATAAAACAGATCAGCATCAGGTAGATTGAAAGAGATAACATAGACATTTACTTCACCCATAGTCTTGACGGTATGGTTCCCATCAGCATCATACATGTAGACAGGGAAATCCGCAGAAGTAAACTCCCGCATACTGATACCAAGTTAGATTTGCACATCTGCAGGAGAAGCGAAGATAAAACATACAACTGACGACACATTCCACAAGGAGAAGCTGCCGGTTTGATATTTGTCGCGACAGCAATAGCCTTGAACTGCTTATGTCCTGCTACCTATAAAAGATTAGCATTGTAACAGCGTTCATCCAGAAATGATAAATGAATACAATAGCAGTACCGAACGCTACTCGCTCTGCACATGTACCAACAGGATACGAGGCATTCTCCACATTGGCTCCGACGACGAATTCACCCGAGGAGGTGAGGATGCATGCTCCGACTTGGAACTTGGAATACGGGCCTTTGACTGTTTAGATTTAGGCTCAATTTAATCATATGTGAAGAACATACAGTATGCAGAGTCTTTTGCAGAAATGGCCTTTGTGGAAAGGATTTGAAGCTCTTGAGCTGTGACGGGGCTGTTGATGGGAGCCATGTTTAAGAGGTGTAAGTTGAAGCTAAGATAAAAGGTTGGTTTTAAGTTTGCTAAAGGCGGAGAAGGAAAAAAGCGGATATCATTTCTTTATCTTTTTATCTTTTAGGATTAGTCTACAATATCATCATCACTGAGAATTAATTTCTCTTCTTGTCGTCGTCGTTCCAATGTCCTAACTTTCTTTGTTGGTACCTCGTCGCTTTCTTCTCCATCTTCATTGACCTCGCCCATTCGACTACCACGAACCTTACTGATCTGGTTCAATTGCCAACTGTCTGGATCATCCCGATGGGTCTGGATCTGAGCCATGTATGGGAATTGGGTGAGAAGAGCATCGTGGCGTGACATCATCGTCACTATCGGATGATCATCACTCTTTGACACGGTCGCCTGGCGACTTTGTAGGCTTTTCCAGGACTTGACACCAGATTCAGCAGTCTGCGACGACCGCACGTGGGAATTGGTAGGGTCGAGCATATTTTTCATCCATGTATCTACCAGACCATCTATCTCCTCGGTCTTTTTCCACAGGCGCAACGAGGACGGATATAGCATTTTGTGTGCATCTGCACGACGGCCATCTACTGCCACAGCCCGCCTCTTCACTGGGTATGGCAGATGAAAGAGAAGTCCCCGGGTTGAAACCTGGAAGGCAAGCTCATCCTGTCGCAGGATGTCAACTCCGGCATTCAAGGACATCGATCCGATGCCAATTCCCGCCCGTGCACCCTGCATGGACCTGCGGTCAGCACCGAGGAGATCGCTGTCTGAAAGTGCCTCGATACATGCATTGATGTTGTCTGTGAATAAGGACCCGTCACAGGATGGTGGGTAGTTCTCATGAAGAGCGCAGATAAATGTGGAGGTGTCAGTGCCTGTTTCATCAATGAGTTCATTGACCGCTACCTGGGAGACCTTGCGATGGTAATCTGATAGATGGTCGGGTGGAGGTGGAAGCACTACAGTTTCTGCAGGCACAAGACTTGGATCAAGGCGCTTGTTGTAGACTATCTTGCCCACAGCATGAAACATGCCCAGACTCGCCTCTCTCTGTGAAATCAGCTTCAGAGACTCCTCCTCCATGGCTGTTAGTGAAGTTTCTCTGCGAGCCATCCTGGCCCTGGATTTAGTTTTGGCAATAGTACCACCCCATGTACCCGTTTTATCACCTTTTAGGCAAAGAAACTCTAGGGATGAAATGGCACTGCGAATATCTCCAATCTCTGATATGGTGTCCAGTACCGCTGGGCCTGGAATCCGAGCGCGATGAGAATCCTGTGCCTCTTTTTCGAGAATCAATCGCAGCGCCTTTTGCATAAAGGTTGCTGCAATGGCATTAAAGTCTATAATCGCCGTACTGGGGTGGTTATAAAGCGTCGGCCCCAGCAGTCGATGTACCGTCAAATTATCCGAGATAGACGACGCCGAGCTCAACAGCGTCTCAGAAACAATCATCACAATGGGTGGATGTACCAATCCACTCACTACCTGGTCGGTTGCAGCTGCAAGATATCGTTGCAATGAGGCTCGAAAAGCAGACAAGCTAGAAGAATTGCGATTTGGAGCTGTCGGGAACTCTTCCACCAAGAGAATGCGCCAATTCCGCGGCCTCTCATCTTGAGATATCTGTGACTCGACTGTATCCCTTAGGTCGAGCCCTCCAAATCGGTCACCCCGGCCTAAGAATTCCTCAAAGTGTGTAGTAACAGAGGTGTACTCTTGCGCTGTAAAGTCAGAGACAGCTGGGTTCCTCCACTCAATGACATCGAAGCCGACTGATTTGGACAGTAGGGATATTGTCGTTGTTTTTCCCGATCCTGCAGGCCCTCGTAAAACTAGTAATCTCTTGATTCAAGTTAGCATATATGCGTTGCAGCAGTAGTGGAAGCTATGAATGTGTTCAAAGTGCTAACCTCACTGCGTCTTCCGGAAAGTGCCTCCTCCAGCCAATTCTTTACATCAGAGACCTTCTTCTTGTGCACAGCCAGCTCATCTAGGTTAGTTGGCGCAAATCGTTGCGGCCAAGGGCGACGGTCCAATTTTGCAGGTGGTTGCGGAGAAGGGGATGGTAGATCGCTGCTACCACGATCAGGTGGCATAAGAAATCGTTTCGAGGAATGGGGCTGATGTCGCGTCGTCGTCTTTGGTTTTGAAGTTGGTCGAGCTGAATGGGAGGAGCCATGGGTGGATTTCGCGTCGGATGATGTTGTGGTCTTTTGGCTTATGATATGCTGGGTAAAGATCTCATCGTAAGAGTCATAATCGTCCTCGATCACGTCTGCATCGATTGTCTCTACGGATGCGACCGGTCGTCGGTTCTCGAATTTCCGTGATGACCATCGTTGCCCTTCTGTTGCAGGCTGGAAGAAGCTGTGTAAAGACTTGGGTTTGGTTGGCGATGAAGGGGATATTTGAGATGACTTTGATTGATTCTTCAAAGGAACGACTGATTCAGATTCATTCTTCCGGGCAGATCGACGTCGTTTAGAGGGAGGCTCGTCCATAATTCCATGATGTTTGAGAAAGAGAAGATTACAAGCGCGTCCGATAAGATAGTGATTATGACGATTTTCAGATATAACTAAACTCATGAATATATACTATATGTTGTAACACAGCTTGATCTGACCAGCTTGACTAGATTAATAATTTGTTTATTGCTGGATAACACTCCAGGTATCATACATAGCCACATTGGGTATCGACAGTTTCAAGGTAAAAGAAAATAAACAAAACAAACAACTATGCGCCACCAAAAACATCATAATAGTAATCTTCCTCCAATCCATCTCGCGTAGGAACTGGTGGTGCCTCACCAGCAAATGTAGCATCATCAAACCGTACATTGAGAAGCCGAATCTTCAGTCCATAGTTACCAACAAGGTCAATCAGTTTGTTCGTTTCTGCTGTGATAGGTTGCTGTTTAAGAAGCATGAGCAACCCATCCAGCCATTCAGATGCCACGCTGTGCGAGGAAGGCCGGAGTGTGAGGAGGACCACTTCCTTCAGGGTAGACTGGCTACCAGACCGTTTGTGACCATTCTTAGAGTTCGAATGGTCTGTCTGTGCGTGGCCATGGATGGTGATCTTGGTAGCAGGCTGACGTGGTGCTGTTTTGGCAGTAGACACGGAAGCATCTGATTTACTTGACACATTAGACACCACGGAAGAAACGATAGAGAGATTGACTAGATGAACAATTAGTATTATGAACTTGAAAGTCAAGTTGAGAGAATCAAATGTGGATCTCACTCTTTTCTGGCAATGCGTCCAACTCCGGAGCCCGGTCTCCCTTCGAATCAAATTCTCCAAAATGTAGATATCGTCGGTTGTGCGACAACTGAACGTACTGATACGAAGCAGAAGACCCGGATTTGGAAGAGTCCTGTAAGAACCAAGCACCGCGCAGCAAGCAACGGATACGCTGTTCTTTGACAAACTGCAGAGCTTCGTGATGCAGTTCCTCTCGAACCTGTCGCAAGTGCTTTCCCCATGCTTCCTCGTAGGTGAGCTCCAAAAGCTCCATCTGTAGCTCTCGCAACCGGTGGTACTCGAAGTTGAACAATTCTTCCTCGACATCCTGTACGTCTTTGGTCCGAGCAGCCCCGCCCACAACCGACTCAATCAGTATACGCACCAGTTCTACCAACTTATCAAAGTCCTCTGTCTCAGCCGATGTTGCTTTCCACATACGTATGAAGCCCTGTAGACCGGCTAGATGTAAACGAGTCCAGTGGAGTAGCAGCGGTCGGAATAATTTGTCAAGGCTGGAACGCGAGTCAAAAAGCATGTAGTTCTTTGAATCATCCATATCGGGCTTGTCCACGTCAAAATGTTCGTACAATATGGACGTCACCGCCAATGACGCGCGCGCAATTGGGCACCGCTGGCGTGGGGGTTTTGTCGATTGCTCTAGAAGCAACTTCTGAAACTCATTCTGGTGGCTGCGAGTATAGTCTGCCAGATCCATCATACCCAAGAAACCGACCTCGTGGAATTCGGTTGTAGGGCTCTCTGTCTCAAATCCCAGTCGCTGCCACTTTTCTGGACTGTGTCCCTTTGTGGTCTCGTCATTATTCTCCGTATGTTTAGGGCTCTTGGTTGGGTTGCTAGCAACGTATATACCCTTCAGCGCGCGTCGGTGTTCAGGCTTCTCTTGATCCATCGGGATCTCTCTCCACTTCCGAAGCAGAATTTTGGTCAGAGATTGGAATTCAAGTAGCGGCGGCGCCAGGTCGTGTAAGGCTGAGTCCTGCATCAGCACATATACCCCTCGAATAACACCCAGGTCCTGTAGTTTCTGGATAAATTTGGGCCACTCGGCCTCGGAATCATAGGTGATAGAATCGCGCATGAGGGAGTTGACCAACTGCAATGCATTGGCGCATAACGCATGATCTGCCGATGATAGGCGGGTGACAAGCATCTCCAAAAACTGAGGATAAATCGCAATGGCTGGTTTTAACGCACGGAAACCAAACATGTCGGGCTCGGAGCGATCCTCGGCGTGAGGGTGTGAAACAACGGAGACGAGTACTGACATGGCGCCTCGGAGGATGTTGACAAGTGGATGGGTCACGATGAGCTCAACAAGCTACCAAGCGTGCGATTAGCATGCGCGGTTCATGTCTAGAGGGGGGGGGGAAGAGGGAGGTCTACTCGTTCCACCAATTCCTGGTCAACACATTCCCAACCTTTGTCGACCTCAAGTAGTCTCGCAAAACTTGTCAGACTATAGGCAAGGGTATTTCCACTAGCATGTAGAGTCAAATAGCGCAGGCGAGTCAATCCTCCCTCATTGATAAAGAAGTCTGCGAAAGACGGGTCACCAATGCTGCCCTGCAGCTTGAAGACAGCCATTTTGCGCACGGCATCTTCATCACTCCCCAGGCGCTGCACCAGATCAGGGACATTACCAGTATCCATCCCAAAGTTGTGACCAAGTTGAAAGAAAAGTGAAGAGTAAAAGGCAGCGGCATAAGGGGGGGGGGACAAGTTGTGGGGCAATTGGATCTGAGTAATCTGTAGTTTAAGCACGGAGTTCTCCGTAGTACATTAACTAGAACTAGTACTAATTACTCCACAATAGAAATGGATCTAAAAAAGGGTTTTATCTTTATATTTTATGTATTTTATGGGATTTATTTTTCGCAATCCTGGAAATGGAATCAAAAATCAACCATATATCGAAACAAAAAAAAAGTGAAATGGGGGAATCTATAAAACCAGAAACAATTCCAACTCCGGGAAGATGCAGTCGCCACAGTAATACCAGGACCATAGAGGTATGAATCTGTGGATATTTATGTATGGACAGGCAAGTCCTGTCGTAGAGAAAAGGGGGAAATTCATCTTCGCCAACCCACGTTCCAGATGACATGGGCAATATCTCTGGCTGTGTTGACTGAGTTCACAACTCGGCCAAGGATGCTGTTCCCAGCAGGTTCCCCTTCACCTTCTCCGTAAGGCATGAACATCCCTGAAGCTGTGAGCCGTAATGGGCGGTTGGAATCAGCTTCGTCCTCGGGAACGAACCATTGATCTCGACGGTATTGACCTGTGAAGTCCAAACTGGGATCTTCATCATCATCGTCAAGAAGAAAATTTCCAGAGGATGGTGTTGGTCGAAGAGTTTCAACGGAAGGAGTAGGGGATAATTTGGAGGATGAGGAGAAAGCAGCCCAGCTATCAAGGACAGATTCCTCGCGGGGTTCAGGGGTATCCGGACGATATTTCAGAGTGGTAGATGGGAGAGGAGCGATGGTCTTGCTGTCGACACAGAAGCTATTTCGGGGAGTGGATCGATTACTGATCGAAGCTCTAGCAGAGATCTGTCGCATCATGATAACGCCATCATCTGATGATTCTTCCTCAAATGTTGCAGGCCAATCATCCATTTCTTTGGCTTCGACGGCGATACATTGTACAACCTCGTTGTTGAAGTGGATGTGGCGTCGTTCACTTGGAGAGGTCAAGCCGGATGAAGAAGATGCCGTGAGAATTGAATAGGTGGAACTCCCAGTTCTGAGGTGATCAAGATCGGTGTCGGTGGATGATCTCGGATAGGGGGGTCGAGTCCAACCATTCGCCTCCTGGGCCTTTAGAATGGCCCCGGCATGCTGGAGAAGGGTATGTTGAGAGAGCGACCGCTGCAAAATGGCCTCGGACGCAGTTTTCTTCTTGAGGATGGGTTTTGGCTCTACATAGGAGTTGGGGGTCTCTAATCGACTGGGTGGAGGCGAAACACCGCAATTCACCGCGTCCATGGAAGTCGAAGTCTTAAGAGGGCCGTACAGCCAAGTCACGTCACAATCTTTTAACCTGTAATATATTTCATCAGAATTTGGTTGATCCCGAGTTTAGGTCCATAATTGAGGTATACTTACCAGTTCAACGTCTCTGGCGAGATGGTACCCAGATTGTTTTTTGCCTTCGCCCACGTTCTCCATGACGCGTTTTCGAGTCGTACCCCATTGCTATAGTCGTTCTTGCGCGCCGAAACATATCGCCAGGAGGACCAAATATCTTCTTCGCGCCATTCATGGGAGAGGTAATCAACATGTCTTGAAGGTTCATCTTCTACGGCCGTGTCATCCGCAGCCGGGGTTCCGCAAGACCAAATAGCCAAGGGGGTGGTGGCTTCGGTTGATACATCACTAAACATATCTGACTCCTTAGGAGAAGAGATTGAGCTGAGTTCAGAATCAAAGGGGGGAAGAATTAGATCATCATCTAGAGAAAGGGATTCGATGGCGGAAGGGGTATATGGCGAGTGATCATGGTGAGGATGGTCATGATGGTCATGATGGTCAAGATCATGAGTTACGGGCTCAAAAGTAGTAACAGAAGAACACGCGGTTGAATAATCATCTGGCATGGATGATTTTGAAGGGATGCCTTGAAGGAAATATCTCTGCACGGTTGGTGAGCGCAGATCCGGGGAAAATTGCGAAGGCGAATACAACGAATGCCGTTCGCGGGGTGCCAGCACCGCCGTCATTTCCCAAAGCAAGTTATAGGAATAAAATGAGACGAATGTTTAAAATGGATGAACATTCAAATTCAGTTTGAGGAATTGAGAGTATAATTGGAGGGGAGAATGAAGAATGAGAGGGAGAAATTAGGCGAGAGATGAAGAAAATGGGAAATGCAGATAAGAAAAAAGGGCAAAAAGGGCAAAAAGGGCAAAAAGGGTAAGTGGTGACACAACCTCTACTAGTGCCAGGAAAGGGAATAACTATATACATATATATACGCAAAACTTGGAATTATATTATTCAAAAAAAGTTTCTAAAATATAGAAAATGTAATAGACCGGCTAGACCAGTATACTAACACATTTAATTGGTTCGTATTGATCTTATTAGCCTTCCAAGAGGCAAACCTTCGGAGTATCACGGAGGTTACAGATCTCTTAGTACTTGATACTTAGACTTAGTCTATCTTCTCTCTTCTCAGACTTGTTCTGATGGAATTGAAGTTGCTGGGGACAATCTTGATCCTTGTCAAATGGTCTGCTCGTTGGGGTAGGACATGGATTAACATGCACTAAAAAAGCATGACACAACGTGATACGCACTGTTTATTTCTATTTCTGATATTGACACCATATCTATACTACCTAGTATTCCATAGATGAGTATATATTTGACTTGGAACTTCCAAGGTTGGAACTTATAATCTCTAACCTTAGGGTTTCTAACCTCGATCTATATCTATATAGATATAGGAGTATAGACTAGTGACCTCGGGTGAGCCCATACCTTATCGTAGATCTCCTTCTCCACAGATACACTCAATTCTCCAAATCTCACATCAAACCTGTGGAACTGTGCGGTTGCGGATTGAGACAAAAGCACAAACCCGGCGGGAGGATCAGACTCGAGAGTGAACGCCACCTAGCACGGACTTAGTCGTTTCATGCCTGGAACATTGGATGATAGAGTATATGGGCTCTGGACTTTTGATCTGCATCAGAGCTTCCAAGCGAGTTCCATTCTGCTATGGCCTCAAGTCCGTGCGCTTGTATTACCAAGAGCCAAGATGCCAACACCGACTTTACTTTTGGCTAATTTAGAGATAGCTTGATGCATTGTACCGCTCATTTCCCATCTCTGGGCCCTTTTGTTTCTTCTCTTGTTATCAATGCACTGGTTCTGGCCCTCTGTTCCATCTGTCCCCTCAATTCCCTTTCCATGGTTCAGAGCTATCAGTGGCGTACTTCGGGAGATATCGTAAATATGCATGACGAGCATTCTAGTCTATCTCTAGTCTCCATTAAATCCCCGCATTTGTTCTCATTTGTACGCAAAAATAGGGGGGAAGCTTGTGAGAAGAAGCCAAGTATTGCGTCTTACCCAGGTAGTATACAGAATACATTCCTAGTTATTCTTCCACTATTGCCTTATTTCTATCCATTATCTTTTGATCTATTTATACGTAAGCTAAAGTTTCAATTTGGTGTGATGGCCCCGGAGTCGTCGTAATGCATGTCAATGTGTCAATGTGTCAATGTGTCAATGTGCTAATATTTGTTTGCTATGGAGCTAAATAGACCGTTGAAGGTGCATAACTAGTCTCATTTATAGATAGTGTTAAACAACTAATTGGAACCAATAGGTGCTCAATTAGTGCTCAACTGCCAATAGATCTACACCGTTGGGAGGCTTTGAAGCGCTGAAGTGGAGATAATGGCAATCCCTGTTTCTAGTATTATGAAGTATGAAGTACACTGTACTTTTACTCCAATTGACCTTCACTCTCATTCTCATTCTCATTCTCACTTTCATTCTCACTTTCACTTCACCACGCCTCACATAGCTAATCTCCTTAGCGACCATCCCAATTCTCCCGCTAGTAAAAGGTCTCGAACTAATGATAACGTAAAGCCCAGGACGAGAAAGACTGTCGGTAAAAAGGCTCTTTTCATCACCGACGACACGGTAGTCAGTCGAGACCAAGTTGTTGCTCGTAATAGGCAAAAATGTATTATCACACTAACTGCATAACCACAGATTTGCCATATTATTCCTTTCGCCTTGGGTGAGTCGCGCGAAAAGTACAGTCTCTTGAATGAAGAATTCCTTGTCAATGGTGCTCCTGATTGATACAATGAGCTCGAGATGTATTTGGCACCGAAGCTTCTTCAGATGAAAAGCTTATGGTTACGCTACAATTCCATTGTCTTCCACGAAGAACGTGAGATTCGATGACGAAATAGATCTTTCTCAGCAGAAGAACCGCGGCTCTGAAGACAGCCTTTACTACCAGCTTGAGAACTGCCCCCAGTATATCGCTGTGAGCGTCAGCTTGCCATCTGGCTGCCCTGTAGAGACTGGCCACACCCTTAGATTCTATATGAAGGCGAACGAGGTGTCTAATTTTATCGCAACAATTCAGCTACAGTGGGTACTTACACAGATTGCGTCAATATCGGCGTTCGCGGGGATTTTGGAATTGCAGAGCGATGAGGGCTCGGATCTTGATAAATGGCTCCAGTCTCAAATATAACTAAATACCCTGAGCCAGCATCTCCTCTAACCGAGAATCAATTCATGTTTAAAGAAAATTCTGTTCACTTTAGATTCAGCTCTATATAAACTTGTAACTATTCAATATTCACTATTCATAACAATGAAAGTGAGCTAAGACTCTAATCCATCATATATCCTATATCCTCTATTTAACTTATATTCCTTATCTTTATCTTCTACCTTCTATATCATATTCATCCTCAAGTTTGAATCTCTTCTGAACATCTCACTACTAAATGATGCCTTCAGCTTTCATGTTCTCGGGACTGTCTACCACATCTCGGGGCTCTGACTAAGAGCTTGTATATGCCTCACCATCAGTGGTACACGAGATGCAAGTATAAAAAGGACGATCACCGAGTAGGTGGCCAACCCAAATCATTACTGGGCCCCTGAGGACCAGTACATAAGTCAGTTCCATAGTGCTCTGAATATTGTGACTTGAAATGGCTTTTTTGGGGTCAAGGAGGGATGTCGTTTGTTCAAGCCTATTTCATGATTCTTAGCTTTAGTAGTTGATTGTTTCGAGACTTAGTTGGTAATGACAGTGTTTTTTTTGTATGGATTTGATGGCTTGGTCAATTTCGAAAAGATACAATCCTAGATCTCTATCAAAGCTCGCTATTATCATTCATTATCCAAAGGGTAATATATTGAACTATCTAGATAGAGCTATGATAAATAAGAGCATACTATCTATTGATGTTTCAAATTTCATTCCGAAGCTTATCAATTCAATCTCAGTTGCATAAGATTTTGGCTCAGATTACGATCTATTAAGAATAATGTACTATAACCTTAAAAGTGAAGTTGAAGTTGAAGCTAAAGCTGAGTGACGTGAAATGTAGTTCATGTCCTTATTTTTACTTCAGAGTAGATTAAACTTGATTTAAATCGAAAAATAGAGATGTCCCAACGATTCTCAGCTTTCGTAGTATATGGCTTCAGTAGAACTTGGCAACGAAAGTGTTGTTGTGTCGTTCTTACAATGTGATTTAATCTCAAAATGCAAATGCCATTAGGACTAAAGTTCGCTAATATGCTAAAGAAACGCTAATGGTAACAGATATCGAAATCCGGTTCGAGTTCCAATTCCTCGCGAATTTCGCCGCATAAACCGTCTTGTATTTATAGATCGAAATGGGCCCAGGAGTAATAAACCTGCATCAAGGAGGTCTGTGTGAATGGACAGCAATCGCAACACTCGAGGTTGTTTGTTCGAGACCCTCTTGGTGAACTTCTAGACTCGACGAATACCACGAGCGAGGTTCCCCAGACGCCCCCACACCTAACACCGGGCCCCATACATCTGGTGGGTGGGCAGAACTGGACAAAAGATTCAATACACTTGTAGGAGTAGGGATGGGGATAGAGATGGGAGCCTCATCGTTGGATAGACTGATTTCAGGAGACCGTGGAAGAACCAAGGCCAGTAAAAGTACCAAAACGCTACTGGCCACGAGAGCCCAGAATATGCGGAGACGGCGACTCGTTCGCGACTGCCACTCGGATTCTCGTCGCTCCCAGCGATCGATCTCTTGTTGGTCCTTCTCCAGTCGTTTGCCAAGCTCCTCCACCCGTTGTCGTCCTAGTATCATCCGCTTTTCCAGCGCATCCGCTTTTTGGATCTGCGGTTTGAACCCTTGGAGGTCTTGGATTTGCTTCTGAACTCCCTGGTCGAGCTCTGCGGTCTCCCGCTCAAAGTTGCTCAGTAGTTTCGCCGCAGAATCTGACAGGTCTTGGAACGATGCAATCGTTGTATTGAGTGCAGTCATCTTCTCGAGTAGGTTATAGTATGTGTAGTCGAGTCGTCGGGTTATATCAGTCGCCTGCGTTCCGATAGAGGAGAGAGTAGATCGAAGATACCTGTTCCAATAAGGTTCAGTCTTTAGAAATGGGTGCGCGCTTCAGTGATTCTCCTTACTCTTCACCCTGTTTCCTTCGTTTCTTAACCTGCTCCAGGTCCTCCGGTGACAATATTTCCCGTGCTCTAATGGGTCCATATAGCTCAAAATTATCCAGGAGGCTGCCTTTACGACTGTCTGTCCCTGCCCCTGCCTCAGTGGTTGAATCCGAGCCCCAACGGGATTGAGGGGTTCCCCGTATATTCGGTCGCAAAAGTCGGTCATCTCCCTCGCGGTCTTTTTCCCTGCCTGACCAGGTCGGTAGTAGCCCGCGTGCACTTGCTGAGGATGTCAGGTGGCTCATGTGCCGCGGCAAGCGTGGCTTGCTGTGCTTGTAACGATGATGCGGCTTCGTGCCATCGAGACTGAAAGGCTCGACCTGATGCTGATGAGAGGTTTGTCGTGATATGAATGCTGGACTTCCGTCCGGCGATGTTGATGTTTGCTCATCTGCATGAGGAATTGGATACCGGAAAGACCGTCGGTGGTTCACCTCGGCCTGACCTGCAAGTGGCTCGTCCGTCGAGGGATCATTGGACCGTTGTATGGGAGGATCCATAGGTTTGATGGAGAGCGATGGTTTGGTTTAGAAGAAGGCGAAGAGCTTATAGCCGTAGTCCATCTCAGCAGGTGGCTTGTTGATTGTCGGGGGAAGGAAATGCGGAGTTGGGAAGTTGGGGAAAATGGAGAAGCACGCAGAGAACGGCAGATCTGCATTTACATAGTACGAGTAACAATTGATATCACCCATTTATATATCGTTCTTTATTTCTTTGCTTGTTTTCTTGTTTAATTTTCTTCTACAAATGGAGAATAATAACAAATTATCATCTGGTTAAATCATGGCTGAAGATGTAAATTAATCCTGAATCCTGAAACCAAGAAACGCCGACCCAAACCAGGTCTCGATAGCTGAAATCGACCGGGTTATACATGCTATTTTTGATATAGAATAGTAAGATGCTTCTAAGAGTTGAGAAGCTTGTTGCGCTTTTCGCGACGCTTCAGTCGCTCGACGCGCTTGTGATGCATTTTCTCGGCCATCTTCTCGTATCGGGCTTTCTCTTCCTTCGCGGCTCGTCGGTCCTTGATGCGTTGAATCTTGGCCTGAAGTGAAAGCGTGAGTATGATTCAGAGAAAAATGGAGACAGAACGCAGTAATAAGAGGTAAGAGAGGGAGATGGTTACCTGACGTTCAGCCTCCGCCTCTTGCTTCATTTCTCGCTCGCGTTCCTTCACAGCATCCTGGTGCTTGCGAACCTCCTGACGCTTCGCATAAGACGTCAAGCCAGCACTGGGACGGAATGCTTTCTTTGTGCCATGCCAATTTTTGCCTGAAGAAACGAGTCAGTCGGGAGAGAAAGAGAAGGGAACTTCGTGTCGTACCATTCTTACGCATGCCCAGAGACACGCTAGGTGTAGCGGCTGGAGCGGCTGGAGCAACTGCAGAAGACATGATTTGGGAAATGTGGATAAAGAGCGTAGGAAGAATGATCAAATGAAATTTTCACCGGGCGATTATCTGATCGAGATAACACGGACTTGGCGGGAACTAGTGAAAACTTCCCTCGTCTTTGATCCACTAGTTTGACATCTTTCTCCTCAATTTACTCCATTCTTACTCAGTTTACTCCATCTTGTCTAGTCTCGCCTCGTTTTTCTACCTTCTAGAATTGAGGGATTTATCTGGTACTACTCCGTACACCGCCCCGTTACCAGTTAATTCTTTCCCTACATTTCTCCCCCCCACCTCCTACTCCCCCTCTCCCCACTTATATTTCCCTCGTTTCCTCGAAAAATGCTTCGGCGATAACCCCCTTTTCAAGTGTCCGTGTCCGTATATTGGTCCTGTGTGACTGTTTGACGCCTTGATGGCGGCAACCGAGCATGCGATCACAGTCGTCGATGAAGTGATGGAGCGACCATCTCTCCCACCCAACCAGGGACTACAAGCTATGAAGGATATCTTGTTTGGATCGGTATGTTCAGCTTGATTCTTTTTTCCCTGCTGAGTACTCGCACTAATATCATTTCGATGTTTCAGGTTGCAGGAATGGCCGGAAAACTTATCGAGTACCCATTTGACACCGTCAAGGTTCGCCTCCAATCTCAATCCGAACATCTTCCTCTCAGGTATTCTGGCCCCCTAGACTGCTTCCGCCAATCATTTCAGGTCGATGGTGTGAAGGGGTTATACCGGGGCATCAGTGCCCCCATGGTTGGAGCAGCGGTGGAAACCAGCTGTCTGTTCTTCAGCTACCGCATTTTTCAAGGCCTGATACGGACTACTGTCTACCCTGATTTAGAGCAGCTGCCCTTTACCGCTCTAGTAATGGCGGGTGCAGCTTCCGGCTCGGTGACGTCGCTAGCACTCACTCCAATCGAGCTTGTCAAATGCAAAATACAAGTCCCTAGTCAGTCAGCCGGATACAAGGCTCCCGGCCCACTTGCTGTCATTTCGACCGTGTTCCGCCAAGGGGGATTTTTTGCATTTTGGCATGGACAGATGGGAACGTTAATCCGAGAGACTGGAGGCAGTGCAGCTTGGTTTGGTGGCTACGAAGGGATCTCCTCGCTGTTCCGCAAATATAACACATCTCAATCTCAGACTGATAGCCTTCCCGTGCACCAGCAAATGATCGCAGGTGCTACGGCTGGTATCAGCTATAACTGCCTGTTCTTCCCGGCCGATACCATCAAATCCCGCATGCAGACAGAGGATATCTCGCGTCTGCCAGTCAACAGTCAACGCCAGACGTTTTGGAACGTTGGCCGAGCCTTGTGGCAGCAGCATGGTCTCAAGGGCATGTACCGTGGGTGTGGAATCACCTGTGTTCGCTCAGCACCCAGCTCCGCCTTCATTTTCACGGTATACGAAGGCCTAAAACAACATTTTGGATGAATGATATGTACACATAGAATTTTTGTTCTTTTTTCCTCCTAGGCATATACAAAAGTAATAACATACTTACACCAGACCAGGGTAAGCTGTCCAAGTATTATAAGGCTATTTTGTAGCTGTCACTGGATGCGCCCCCTTCGCGCAGGAAATCTTCTTTCTACCTTTGTTTGCGGAATTGGGCAGTTCATGCATCCACCAAAATTTTAATCTTATGGGACAAATCTGACAGATTATTCCTTCGACAAGAGTTGAAAGTGTAGTTGAGACCTTTTTCGACGCCGTTTCTCTTTGCGCCTCTTCAATGAACTTCCAATCATAGCAAGTGTCCTCCCCTCATGGCCCTATCTAGGGAGCTCAACCTCCTGCTCTTTGAGTATCATTCCTTAATTGTTTTATCCGCATAGATCCCTTGCCACTCGGTATCTCTACAAAAAGTATCATCAAGGTCAAATTGAAGGTATAAGCTTATAGTCTTTGCTTATACTAAAGAAGGCCCTATAACGATAGGTTCCAATTTTCAACGGCTCTATTGCTGTGTATGTCCTAAATACATATATTGGTGAAGCTGTATAATGACAGTCGCTTTCTTCTGTTTTGCCGACTACTTTATTAGACATGTTCATGGGTTGGGTTGGATTTGGGTCCCAAATGGGTTTTTTGGATGCCTTTATATGGGTAAACCCCGTTGCTGAGTTGGTACGTTGTAGATGCATACCGAACTTTGAAGGTTACTCATCTGTCCGAACCTGATCTTGCTGGTCCTTGGAGGTAGGGATTTCCAAAGTTTGGCCAATACCACATCTCTATCTGAAGCTGCATGACCCATTACTTGAAAGGTATGCTGGCCCTCTCAACATCAAAATAGAAAGGTTCCGAGTGGGCAGAAGGCTGTGCATCCGGCTGTCCGCGTTCCGTATACAAGGGATCTTGCACCTTTATATCTCTTCCATGGTAACCTAGATCAGAGAGTTGGACGAATTGCAGCTTGAGATAATCTGCCAACAATTGAAAAACTCGCCCCAGAGCCCCTGTATCTCATTTTTGACTTCAGTGGACAATGAGTACCAACTCCTTCTATCTTGACTCACGGCTCCTGGATCCGGTGCTGCAGTTACCGTACCAACTAAGCTGACCCATTTCATACTCAGTCATATCAGGGTCGGTGCTACTGTCCAAAGATAGTTATTCGAGAGTATCCGCCGTCACCTCGATCGAATAAAGATGAAGTTCCTCTAGCTGGGAGAACCGAATATTCTGGGACATATCCTTAAAGTATAGAGACAATTCTTCCATGAGACTCCATTGGGCAAATGTCAGAATCCTCAGTTTCGGTACAACTATGACTAGAACTTCGAGAAGATTTTTGAAGGTGTCTTCATTAAATGTGTCTTGCTCGTGATCTTTAATTCGAATGCTCATATGTAGAGTGAGATCTTTTAGGAGTGGAAGTAGTAATCGATACTGTGACTCTGGCAGTTGAAAAGACCTTGATTCCATGCCGTAATAGTGATTGCCGCAAGTGTAGAGGGCTTAGACCTTTCGGTTGGATTTGATTATGGCGTTGAGCAGTTGTGAGAATGCCAACCCGTAAGTAATAGAGAATTTCTCCTGCCAATTTCACAGCCTTGGCCAATGCCTATAGGTTTCAACGGTGCTAAATTGGCTCTTCAATTCAAGTAAGCCTAGGCAGCGGAAGTCGGTATCCTTTGATCCACCGAGGGTGAAATTTGTTTGGTAAGACTTTAACCCAACGGTGACAACGTTTTCGAGACGTGGTAGGCATTTTTCAAGGGTACCAAAGAGTCCCGAATAGTTGAGGATAGCCAGGTGTTCTGCTAGTATAGCTTCGTAAACGGGAAAGAGATCGAGCTTAGCCTTAATTTCATTCGATTCTTCCATTGTTGGACGTCCTCGTAAGTCTTGCCTTATCCATTTCTTCTCAGCTTTCGAACAGGTTCGAGTTTACCCAGATGTCTTCAACCGAGCCACAAACAGTTTGACTAGCTGCAATCTTCTCTAGACGGTCAAGGCTTTCACGTGTGAGAAGAATTGAGATTTTTTTTGAAATAGCGCGCTGTTATAGGCTTCCAGTGTTTTGCCGTATATTTGGTGGCAAGTGATTTTGAGCGCGCCCCAATCTTTTGCTAGTAACTCCGTATCTCCGCACGGAATGATCCGACCCGTCGATCTTATCAAACCTGATCTTGACCACCATCCCTCTCTTGTCTCCACAACATCCCATTGAACCCCACAGAATGATCAATGACAGTGATGGTTCCAATCGGAATTCTGAAAAACATGTCATTCGCCCTGTGAGCCCTGTCAGATCTGAAGATAGCCCCCAATTGAAGGACATTGGTATCGTGAAAGCCGTTGCCTATGCAGCGTTACCATCCTGGGTCAATGTGGTCTTGATGATCTCGCTCATATTTGGGGGTTGCTGTGCAAATGTGAGTTCGATTTTGGATTATTGGACTGAATTGTATGAAATAATGGACTGACACTGTTTACGCGCAGGTCTTTGCCCTAGAAGCCATCATCAAGTTAGTTGCCCACCTTTCGCACATTAACAGAAATTAAAGGTCAAGGAATTAAACTAATACTGCCATTGTAGAGAACAACCAACATTTGGTAAACATACCGACAATCAACTCTTCTTCCTAATATCCTAATTTTGTTGCCAACGCAGGTCCCTTGATCACCTTCGCTCAGTTCGTTCTATGCAGCATCTTTACCCTACCACACTTTTTCTCCCTCTCCGCCGGACCACGAGCTCTATTTCTAAGTGGTCGAGTGATACCATTACAGTCATGGATAATATATACAGCACTATTCCTAGCGATCAACATGTTGAACAATTGGGCCTTTGCATATAAGATTTCTGTACCACTTCATATCATTCTGCGATCTGGTGGTCCTGTGGCATCTATGGTGGTTGGATATGTCTTCAATAGCCAACGATATTCAAAGGGTCAAATTGTGGCTATTGTCATGTTGACTGTGGGCGTGGTGGCTGCTGCATTAGCTGACGCGCAAACCAAGGGCCAATCCATGGGAATGGAGTCGGGAAAAGATACTGATATAATGACCACTGTCACAGGATTTACTATTCTTGCGCTGGCTACGGTCTTATCATCATTTCAGGGAATATATGCGGACCGTCTGTACGCGACCTATGGACGAGGTCACTGGAAAGAGGCCCTCTTCTACTCGCACACACTATCATTGCCGATGTTCCTGGCCAGCTACTCTCAGCTATCATCCCAATGGCAAGCTGTATCATCGACACCCTCGTTGCTCTCCCAATTGCCCGACTTCAACGCTACTTCATCCTCTGGCATCTCCTCTAGTACATTGAGCAACACGGCACTATCTATACTGTCTATGGGGCAAAAGTACACGCCATTGGCTTTGCTCGCCTGTATTCCCACTCAGGTCGCCTATTTGATCATGAATGCACTCACCCAATACCTGTGCATCAGGGGCGTGCATCTTTTATCGGCCAAATCGTCTTCTTTGACGGTGACGGTTGTTCTGAATATTAGAAAACTGGTCTCGTTGTTGCTTTCCATCTATTTGTTTGGAAACCATCTTGCATCTGGAATTCTCATCGGGGCATTATTGGTATTTATCGGTGGTGGCCTTTATGGCTTTGAAGGAGCGCGACGAAGGAAAACTATCACAAAGAAAACTCAGTAATGATATCCCTATCACCATCGATCTATCTAATGATCGTATATGATCTTGAGAGAAATTGATCACAGTTGAAGAGAGGAAGGAGGACCATCATGTTGAAGTTAAGAGAGACATAAAAATAGACATAACACGAGCATGTGCATTCAGCTCTCGGTAATTGTACATCGACGTAATACAGAAGGTAAACCAACATCCCATATTCAAACAAGTTGCGCGTTCCCCAAACGCCCGATCTGAATCTATAACACCTCACCGACGATCTTGGCGGCCTCTTTGTATGTATCCAAAAGTCGTTCGCACTTCTCCCGCTCCGCCTTAATACCATCATCTTCGTATAGCAGCTCACCAAAAAGGTCTTCCTTGTAGAGTTCACTGACAAGGCGATTTTGTACAACATCCTTGCTGTGGTTGACGAGCAAGTGCATGATCGCCTTAGGAACCTGGTCGGCAATGGTCTCACGAACGATCTGAAAGTATGAAGAGATTAGGCGGCGGATCAGCTCAGTCTCCAGCACTTCCCGCTCGGTTAGAGTGGGCTCTGCGTTGTCATGGGGCTACCGAGGATGAATTAGTCCAAAAATAAGTGAAAAAAGGGAATAACGTAGATAGAACACTTACAAACGCAGCAGACTCCCCTCCATACTCAGAAGGAAGTGTAAAATCTTCCGGGGGCAAGACAGGCGACCGGACCTCAGCCCGGCGAATGCTCTGGCTGATGCTCCTCTCCTGATTATGGCCAGAAGATCGGCTCATTGCAGGCTGGGGCGGTGCAGCTGGATTCTGCATGCCTTCCTTTCCAAAGAAATAGTTCAGGAATGAATCCCGCGCGGTATGCGATCCACCGAATCCTGCAGGGTGAGTTGTGCCATTCAGCGTTGCAGTAATACCATTCTCCGAGTTGCGGCTCACATGAGGTGACATGCTGCGCGCACCCTTTGAAGACTGGCTTCTGGTTGGGAGATTCTGTGATTTGGATTCATTTTGTGTCTCCTCATCTTCAGCTGTGCCGTTCGCCGCTCCGAGCTCCTTCATTCGTCGCTTTTCTCGCTTTCTCTTTTCCTCGGCCAGAATGACCTTTCGTTCCTCCTCCTGTCTGTTCTGAATAATAGAGGACATGGCGGCCGCGGCCCCAGGAAAGTTGGGGTGGTTGGTGTTGATATACGCTCTCTGTATAGAAATCAGAGACTCGACGTAGCCAGAGCAAGGGCCGAGACGTTCACGGAGAAGGTCCGATACGACCTCAATCAGCTTGCCTTGAAGGCGAGGAAAGCGCAAAAGTTCCTGGGAGCCACAAGTATGGCAGATCTTGATAAGTTCCTCGTAAACCAACTCCACACACCTTTGGGCTGGAGACTCCAGCAGCTTGATCTGTGGTTTGACCAACAGATCAAACGCCAGCTCTGGAACGAAAAGACTAGGACGAGGACCGGTTGAGTTACGAATCGCCGTTCTGATGTCAGAAATGGTCAAGTTGTGTGTAGGATCAATGGTCTCCAGGGAATTGCCGAACACATCGTTGAAGATGTAGTAAATACGTGCTCCACCACATAGTTCCTTGGTTGAGATTTCTGAAGAGGTTCCGTCGATGGACGATATAAAGGACGAGGCAAACCGAGTCATCAGCTGTAGAATCAGAGATCCCCGATGCTCCTTGCCACTAAACTGCTTATTTCCGTAACTAGCCAGTTCCTGTTGAGTCTGGCCCATCAGGGTGTTCAGGCGTGCTTTGATATCAGGCAATCGGTCCCGAATATGAGACATCAGGGTCGTGTTCAAGGTTTTAGCAAGGTATTGTGTTCCACACCTATTGGCCATATTTCGATACGCAGGGTGATGACGGAAGAAATCAGCCTCAGCACTGAGGGCTTCGGAAAGCGCCTTTCCAGACTGGATGTCCTGTTGAGACCGGTTGACCACTCCAATAAATCCCAACTTCAATGGATAAACACGGCCGGACAAGATGTCCATGGCATTAGTGCCATGGTCCATGAGATCTAGTTTAGTGAGGACTCCGATCGTTCGTCGACCCATGGCGTCCACTTGTCGAGCCAACTTCAATGCCTCCGAGTTGACCAGGTCCACATTGGCTGGAGAGACGGCCAGAATGATACTGTTGGGTTTCGCGATGTATTCCAAAATCAGGGTGCGGGTTTGCTTCTCAATATCAGACGGTTGGTCTCCAATCGGCACTTTAGTCAAGCCAGGTAAGTCAACCAGGGTCAAATTCAGGACATGAGGAGAGAAAATCTTGAGGTTGATTGGTTGACGATTGATGCCCTTGTTGCTACCAGCGATTCGTGCTGTCTCTGCTTCAATTTCCTGCTTCACCATTGCAAAATCGTCAAACTTGCGGCCAGGCTGGTGGTGGAATTCAGCCCATTCATTTTGGCCTGCTACGCTGGCTGCCGTATGCGGCACATGAACCTCGTCATGTTCGGGCCTATCATGACGATCGCTCGGGATATTGATCAGTTGAAGGATCAGAGGGCGTCTGGTAACGATTCCGCTGCCTCGAGGAAGAAAGTCTCGCCCGACGATGTTCTCTAGGACTGATGATTTACCGGAAGATTGGGAGCCGACGACAACCTGGCAATGCGTTAGTTCATAGTGATATTAACTAGATTTTGGCATGTAAAGAGCTACTCTTCACAATCACTCACAATCTGAGGTAGGTCGAGAGAATCATTGCCAATGGTATTAAAAACCAAATCCTGGAGCTTGTTCACAGTCACGAGCAGATCCTCGCCTAGGGATGCCATGATGAGAGGGGATCACTGGAGTTTGAAGTAGTAACAAAGGATGATCCAAATTTATGGGTCAGATAGGACTGCCCTTCAAGGTGAATGGGGAGAGTAGCGTGATAGAGATCCCTCGTTCTTCGGACTGCATGGAATGGCAGCTCGGGGCTTTGATGTTTATCAGTCCGGCTTTTTGGAGGCACGTGATTCACTGTATTATCTAATATACCATATGACGTCTTTCAAATCCATTTCCATTTAACTACTGAGAAGATAAGGACACAATTATATTTTCAGGGATTCGCATTCTTCTATCTGCATAACGTTCAATAGTTTGGGATTGGAAATTGGAGATGAAGGAGAAGGGGAGGGAATTACTAGTAGTATTTACACACGCAACTCGAATTGATTCAGTCCTCACTGATTCAGCTCCACGTAGTTCGCAGGGAACAGTCCTCGGGCTCCGTTGTACTCCCCAAGCCACCAATCATCGTCAGGGAATTCCTATAGGTGAATCATTAGTATGAGAAGTAACAATAGTTGGACAGGAATGAAAGGTCAGAGGGTTGAGACATACCACGTTCTCAATTATGGCGTCCTCGGGGAAGCTAAGCTCATTGTCCTCTGCAGCTTCATAATCGTAGATTGCTTTGGCTGTCGGTCCCTGAGAACCTGCTGAAGAATGGACTGGAGCCACCTCAGGCTCAGGCTCGGGCTCGGGGATGTGTTCAGGCTCGGGCTCCGCAATAGGCTCTTGAGCATGAGCAGCACCAGCCGCTTCATCTTCGACAATCTCGACATAGTTAGCAGGGAAGAGACCTCGTTCTCCCTGAACATTGACTCCCAGCCACCAATCTTCATCGACCATCTCAATTTCGGTCACATATTCAGTCTCACGGAGATCAATCTCATTATCCTCAGCCTTCTCGTAGTCAAACTGTACTACGGCACGCAGGCCACCTAGAGATTGATCGGCAACGGTGGCTTCCGCTGTAGCACGGCCTAGATCGTGGGTATCATCCTCCAATTCCTTCTCATCCGGAACAACTTCCTGCAAGCTTTGGACAGGCAACGCGGGGGGTGGTGAGTGCTGCTCTTCATGTGCGTCGGCAACTCCACGGCCCACAGGTATGGCAACGCGGATGGGTGAGCTCTCGCGAACCGGAGGAGTAGGGGGAGTTGGGGAGCGTGGTGGTTGCGGCGGCGGTGGAATTGGCAGAGCCTGTTGGGCATCATTACCCACCTCAGGCTCGATAGGTCCAGTTGCGAGTCCCGGAACAGGAACAGGACGGCTGATCTGTGGAAGAGGTGGTGGTGGTGGTGCTTCTGCAGCCACAGGTGAAGGAGGTTCCTGAGAAAATTGGTCACGGACGTCAGCCACGTGCACAGGCTCCGGGGCTTCGACCGCACGGGGGTCGGAAGCCCTGGCATCTGGAACCAGCGGAGTCACCGGTTTGTCCTTGACGGTCTGCACCGTTGCCCATGACTTTCCAGCGTATCCGCTCTTCCACTCTGTCTGGCCACTAGGCTGGCTCTGAAGTGGGCTAGCGGGCACATTGGCTGAAGAAGGGGCTCCGTGTTCTTTGGCCTTGCGTTCCGCCCACAGTTGTGCAGGAGTCTTACCCCCTTGATCAGCGAAGGTTCGGCTGGCACTGCCAACTTGCACGTTTGGAGCGACTGGGCCCGTGCCTGCAGGCAGAGGAGGCTTTGTGCCGGGGAATGATGGACTGGACCCAAATTTGTTCGCAATCTTGGGCTTGGGTAAGTTGGTCAAACGCTCGGCGCTCTGGTTTACTGAGGGTCGCTCTGGCAATGTAGTGCGTTCATTGTGAGGAACCGGGCTCGGGACATCTTCACTAGCCCCTGGTTTCTGTGCGCGAGCGCGAATAGCAGAGATATCCACCTTGCCCACCGGTTCATAGGCTCCCTTCACGATCACCGGGCGATCATCTTTGAGTTGACCAGATTCTGCGGCTTGTTTCCGAATTGCTGCGATGTCCACTTTTCCTATTGGCTGATACGCACCTCGGACGACATCGGCACGGTCTTCAGTGGTGGCAGGAGCCGCCTGCCGGGAAGCTGGGGATTGGTTTTCTGACTTGAGTTGTTGCAAGTTCACTCGGGTTGGTTGATATGCTGGTTTGACCTTTTCGAGCTGAGTTCGGGTGATGGGAGGCGCATCCGGACCCCAGCCATCATCGTCCACATTGGCAGAAGATGGCTTAGAGAGAGGTACGATCGGTTTCGGGCCAATACCACCGGACCGAGTGGGTGTGAACACGGGTTTGCTGGCGACTGGTGGACGAGCAGCGGGCGCCGGTACAGATGTCTGCGATTCGACTGAGTACTTGGCTCCTGACGAGTCCGCGACTTTCTTCACGATGCCCTCGGGAGTCAAGTCACCGTCAGCGCGGGCTGTGATCTGAACATGATATCCCTACAAGAATGTCCAGAGTCAGATGATTGACACTTTGTAGGAAGGATTGATTGAGATAGGGAGGCATCTTACGTGTAGGAACTTAGAAACGGTAGCCAAGTGGCTTGTAAAGTACCCTTTCGTACGTTCTGGTACACCCTCACCACACCAAGCGATGAGAACATTTTTAGGCAAGCCAGTGTTTGGATCGGTGACCTTGACATAGGCGAACTGTACACGTCCTTCGGAAAACTCCTCAATGAGATCAGTTAATTCACCCTCTACTCAGGGAAGTCAGTGATTCTTTCTGATATATGGGGGGTTTGTAGTGATGACGAACCTCCAGAACTTTGAACCTTTAGAACGCTCTCTTTGTTGCCGGCATCTTGCTGGAAAGCATTGACTAGAGGGGTTGAGACGGAAAAGACAGCCCATTGGCCATATGTGGCTGAGCCAGAACTAGGGGCTGCATTTACGACAGCCTGGTAGCTCTTGGATATCGAGGGGCCGTTGGTGGAGAGATTGAGGGAAGCCATTGCTTCGGAATAGTGGGGGAGGATATGAGTAACTGTAAATACATAGAATGAGTTTTCAAATAGGTCTAGACTTTGAGAGTATAGTGAGTATATGTATGTATATACCTTTAAAGGAGAATCACCCTGAATCTGTAGGGGGATATATTGGGGGGGGTTGAAAGTGGGAAAGAGAGGGCGAATCGGGAAGAGCAGAGTTGACGTAAGTTTTGGGGTGCAACCACAACAAACCCCCACATATAAAAAGAGAGCAGATAAAATAACAGATGAAATGGAGAAGGGAAGGGAAGAGAAGGGGGTCAAGATGTAACTACAAAGAACTAATACAGTTAGAGCTAATTAAGTAAATAGGGAGCTAATTGTTGCTATTAGTCAGTTAAGTGGATATTTAACTAGCTAAATATTTATATATTTATGTATATTAATGGTATATAGGAGAATATGAATAACGTCATAGAGCGCAACTATCCTAACTTCAAATATAGAGTACCTATTAAGTACTATATAAGGATTAAATAGTTTATTAGGAATGGGGTTTAACTTACTTTACCCTTAAAGGGATAAGCTCCCCTTTCCTAGTAACTAGGTATTTAACTATAGTACAGTAAAATGTAAAAGTAAAAAGAGGCAGTATTTCCTATGCACGGAGTACTCAGGGTCTGAGTGTATAAATATTTACTAAAGTTGGTGTTAGTATGGTAGAATGTTATCTACTATCTGTTATCTTATCTGTGGTTTTCTCACACCGTTACTGAATGAGGGAATCCTTGCATCTTGAAAATTCTATAGATCAAAAACCTCCCTTGACTTGGATTTCTAGTGCATTTCACCGCCCTTTTCTCTTCCTCTTTCTATTATTGTTTCATCTTTCGTTCCTTCCTGTGGTGCAAGCACTACACTCAGGGAAGTCATGGGATCTTCCGAGTCCGACACGCTCAGTCGCATTCCGAATGCACCTCCTCATAATGAGCCGGACAATGAACTGTTCACCTTGGATTCTGCAGATACTTCTGCAAGTACTCCCTCTGAAGAGATCACAGAGTCAGATGCAAATATCCTGCCTCGAGACCAACAGCAAAAGACAGCGACCTACGATTATGCATACGAGAAGCAATTGAGTCACGCCGAGGCCAAACTCTTCTATCAACACCATCAGTTATCATCGAAGGGTGGTGATAATACGCTGCCTGTTAATCTAGTGCCAACAGGACGTTCAGCGGCGAGTTCATACGAAGAAGGCTCGCCGATGGCCCCCGCACATGCTAGCCCGCGAGACATCAGCCAACCTATGCCCAATGGGTCCATGGTACTCGAGCCAGAATCACAGCTGCCTTCCTCGCCACAATCTGCTCTGAGTGGGTCGTACCATGCGAACATTCAGCCGATTGCGGATAATCCGTCACACACTGGAGGACACTATCTTTCCGGCGCCGAGGGCCCTTATAGTGCCGGTCTAGGAATTGGCCTATCGCATGGTCCCAGTGGGTTTGTACCTGGTGGTGACGCCGTATCTTCGGAATTACAGGCTATCTATCGCAAAATTAAAGACTTGTTGGATAGACGGTCCAAGTACATGGCGCTGTCCCTCCAGAGACCCGGAGATGACCCCAGGGATCAAGCTGGTTGGGAAATTTATCCTCCGCCTCCTGAGCCCGCTTGGGATGATGACAAGGAATTTCAACCTGACAATTCTGGAGGTCCAGCTGATACTACTGGAAAGAGGAGGAAGATGGGCCAAGATATTGGCGAAGACTTCAACTTGGATGAATTGACACCTCTACCAGGAAAGTCTTCCTGGACGTATAGTTTGGATGAAAGCAGTGTCTATCAAGTTTTCGAATCCGATGCCGCCGCTGATCGGAATGAGCCTGCGGTGAAAATTCCCTCCCTGCGAGACTTCTACATGGATCTAGATGCTGTGATTGATGTTTCGACTGAGGGTCCTGCCAAAAGCTTTGCCTTCAAACGTCTTTCCTACTTGGAGGGCAAGTTCCAGCTGTACAGTTTGCTCAATGAATACCAGGAGATTGCCGACAGCAAAAAGGTGCCTCATCGAGACTTCTACAACGTGCGCAAGGTCGACACCCACGTACACCATTCAGCGTGTATGAACCAGAAACATCTGCTGCGCTTCATCAAGAGCAAAATGCGAAAGTCGCCAGATGAAGTGGTCCTATTTCGAGATGGGAAATATCTGACCCTCAAAGAGGTCTTTGAGAGTATCAACTTGACGGCATACGATCTCAGCATTGACACCCTTGATATGCACGCACACACTGATTCTTTCCATCGATTTGATAAATTCAACCTCAAATATAATCCGGTAGGAGAGTCTCGTCTCCGTGAAATCTTTCTGAAGACAGACAACTATATCAAAGGCCTCTACCTCGCGGAAATTACCAAGGAGGTTATTTCCGACCTGGAATCTAGCAAGTATCAAATGGTCGAGTGGCGGATCTCCATCTACGGCCGATCAATCCACGAATGGGACAAGCTGGCCGCTTGGGTCGTGGACAACAAACTGTTCTCTCCTAATGTCCGCTGGCTGATCCAAGTCCCTCGTTTGTACGATGTGTACAAGGCCAGTGGAATGATGGAGAATTTCGAGCAGGTCATTACCAACGTCTGGCAGCCTTTGTTCGAGGTGACCAAAGATCCTTCAAGCCACCCCAAGCTTCACATTTTCCTACAGCGTGTAGTAGGGTTTGATAGTGTTGATGACGAGAGCAAGGCCGAGCGTCGTCTGTACCGGAAATACCCCATTCCACGAGAATGGAACACCAAGCAGAATCCTCCATACAGTTATTGGCTCTACTTCATGTTCGCCAACATCGCCTCTCTGAATACTTGGAGACAGAGTCGTGGATTCAATACTTTCGTCCTACGACCTCACTGCGGCGAAGCGGGTGACCCAGATCATCTTGCCGTGGGTTTCCTCTGCTGCCATAGCATCAACCATGGAATCTTGCTTCGAAAGGTTCCCCTGTTACAATATCTTTACTACCTGGACCAGATTGGTATTGCTATGTCGCCACTCAGCAATAACGCCTTGTTTCTCACTTACGACAAGAATCCTTGCGCCAGCTTTTTCAAGCGTGGACTCAACGTCTCCTTATCCACCGACGACCCTCTTCAATTCGCTTTCACCAAAGAGCCACTTATCGAGGAGTACTCAGTGGCTGCCCAGATCTACAAGTTTAGCGCCGTGGATATGTGCGAACTTGCCAAAAACTCAGTCACTCAAAGTGGCTTCGAAAGTTCGTTGAAGAGACGATGGCTGGGATCAAACAGTAATCTTCCAGGGGTTGCTGGTAACAACGTTGCAAAAAGCAACGTTCCTGATATTCGCGAGGCGTTTCGGCATCAGACTTTGCAGATGGAACTTTCGCTGTTAGTTGATGACTTTCTTGACTCCCTTCATCCCTAGACTGCCGTTCTAATATTTTGAATTGTTTTTCAGTTTCTCGCGTGCTACAGAGACCTCTAGTATCGACGATCGAAACGTTTTAGCCCCGGGATTATTGCACACGGCGACACAAGCGTCTTTGAAATCCGAGAATCACGGTAAGTAGTCAGCAAGTATCGAATATTCATACGTCAAAGCCTGCACAACTGGATTCATTCAGCGTCTAAATGCTCCTCACCCGACATGGAGCTTTCCCAGCCAATTTGGCTCAATTCGTTAGGCCCGGGGATAGTACACATTTTTTTCAAATAGGAAGCCGTGCTCAGTCGTCTTACGACGACCTAAGCCAGAAACCCCAATCAATCAGATGAGACTCCTCTCCATATTATTTCCAAATATTTAGACAGTACTTCAGTAGCCAATCTATATTGAGATGTAACAATTATATATAATCTATCACGCTGCGTATAAAGTTCTAAATACAGAATTTGAAATGGCAAATGGCAAATCGCAAACCATTGAGCCTTTAGATTGCCCAGCTCCCCTTTCGTTCCGGTAAGCCCCAAGATTCCAGGCAAGATTCATCATCTACCATGTTCGGTTGCTGCCGAGCCCATTCCCGAATATAAAGGCGGAGGGCCTCCCACCTCGTGCATGCCACCCCAGTATCACTATCCGGGGCAACAACGTACCCCCGGGCATCGGTATGGAAATCATCCTGTTGAAGTTTTTCAACCGAAAATCCCGAGATCTTGCTGAGTTCATAGTCGTAGTCACGGGCAATGCAGGGATAACCCAGAGAAAGATAGTTATAAATCTGTGTGACAAATTCATCATGGAATTCTTCGGGAACTTTGGAAAGCTTCGGACTAGGAACACACAATGGGCTCAGTAGACCCATCACCTCTCCCTGGACTGGGGTATGGGATTGGGTGGTGTAGTTAGTGATTGATGTTCGATGGTCAGGATCCAATTCCATATCTTCATCTCGTATCATTGGAGTCACGATTCCCGCAAAATTATGTGGCTCTCGTCCCGCGCCCGTTTTGCTGCAAGTGCCCATCCACAGACCAACTCCTTGGTCATTGCCATGAAGATTCGTTGCACACCAAAGACCACAGCAGTCAACACACAGGCTGGCTGATCGGGAACCTATCTCAGCCTTATTTTCGCAGAATGTACCTTCTGGAGACGCGCAACGGGGTAACACGATATCTGCTCCAAGCATTGGCGGACTTGGGCCTAGTGCCTTGGATGCTGCCTTTAAGACTGGGGAGGTCAGATCTGGTTTGCGCGAAATGCCCATCGCTCTGAGTCTCTGCTCTGCCTCTTCCTTGTGCTGGCGCATATATTCAAGCTCCCATGAGAGGTCTGCTGAGGACTCTCTCCGCGATTTCAGATCACGTGGTTGAGTAGAGGCCCAGTCCTCGTCGTCTCGATCTTCCTCAATGGCAAAATGATCCACTGGCTCATATATCTGTTCATTTGGAAAAGCGGCCAGCGTCTGATCCTTGAGTTGCTCCTGCTCTGATCGAACGGCAAGAGAGAGCATGTAGTCTGAAAACTCCCCATCAAAGCTTCCTCCAAAAGATTGCTCAGTCGTGGGGAGAGCGTGGGAGGACTTCGGGGGAGATGAAGAGGATGATGGAGATCTCGAGGGGCTCCTGGAGCCACTGCTGTTTGATGATGGGATTGAAGGGAGCTCTGGAATACGGAAAGAATGTCGCCGCGTCTCTTGTCGGCGAATGAGGTTCGCGTAAGAAAACTTTGATTCAGACGAACCAAATGAACTCTCCCGATGAATGTGAAGATTTAAACGCGCCACGATCGAATGATTAGACTGTAAAGTAGCATGCTTCGCGGGGGGTGTTTGCATTTCCTGTCGCTGTTGCGGCTTCAGTGACCCTGTGACGGTGCGATGATCTGTTTCGATCAACTCGGGTTTAAATCTCCTTAGTCCCCGATGGCTGGTAGTAGTTGTTTCAATCGGCTGGGGCAAAAAACGCCGCGGTTGATTACTCTCTGGGAGAGTTTCGTTCTGCGAAACATCAAATGCCTGATCCTGATGGTCTCGGATATTGTTATCGTCGGAAGGAAGATGTCGCTTGTGAGAGCTCCGAGTAGAATTCTCGACTGGCTGAATGAGGAAACGCCGAGGGCGCTGAGGGGATGAATCAGGTCTTTGTTGATCATGCTCTTGCTCTTGCTCTTGCTCTTGCTCTTCTCCTTTGTCTGTTAATTCCTTCCATGGTGCCTCTTCAGAAGAGCCCATTTTCAAATAAACACAGTGTAGAACTGAATGTGCAACATTCATAAATATATACCATGCTCTCTAGAATAATATGGTAATGAATCAAATAAGGAAGGGCATCGACTCAGGGCCGGTTCTGCCCGATTAACGCACACTGATTCCTCATGAAGATCGGGAGGAATAGGATAGGGCTGAGAAACAAGAGCTGTTCAGATCGTACGATAGGGGGAACGCAAGAAAGCAAGAAAGACGCAAGAAGACTCGGTCAAAAAAGGTCAGTAGTGCAGTTAGTAGCTTAATAGGGGTGGTGTTGTCCAGTGGGGCAAAGCCGAGAAAGGAGGGAACTTATCTTTCATGACATCAGCAGATTAACTTCAGATAAGATTTTCAACCTTCAACCCTTAACCTCCATCAATCCTCCAATACTCAATATGCCTGACATTCATGAAAAGCGCAAACTTGATTCAGATGATGAACAACCTGTCAAGCGGCGGGTGATAGGGCCTTCACTCCCTCCAGAAGCATCAGCAGCTGGATCTGATAGTGACAGTGACGAAGATGATTTTGGGCCTAGTTTACCTCCTCCACCTGGACAAGCTTCGTCTATTTCACAAGAGCAATCTCAGGCTTTAGAATCAGCGGCGGTGCCCCAGCAGATTGAAAATTCGCGTGATGATTGGATGCTTCATCCACCAGAGCAAAGTGACTGGGCCTCCAAGATTGACCCAACTCAGTTACGAAATCGGAAATTTCAAACTGGCAAGTCTGCGCGCTCATCCACTTCCAAACAAATCGATTCATCTTGGGTAGAATCTCCAGAAGAGAGAATACGACGGCTTGAGGACCAGGTAATGGGTGTTGGTAATGCCAAAGACCACATCAATAAAGTTGATTCTTCCAGCACCAAGGCAGCCCACATCAAAGCTATGGAGGGAATGATCAAAAAATTCAATGTAAGTCAGGCTAAAATTTTGTGGGTTCATTCACAGTTGGGAGGTCACTTGCTAATATATCCAATCCTCGCTAATAGAATCAAAAGGAGAAGAAGAATGGCCAACTAGAAAAGCCCGAAAAGGCTACTAAGGAAGAGGATGATCCAAGTGCACGCGCCTTTGATCGTGAAAAAGATATGGCAATATCATCCAAGATCTCTAATGCACAGCGCCGCGATATGGTGAATCGAGCCAGTGGATATAGTTCGCGGTTTACCAAGGGTGATTTTTTGTAGTGGTCGCCTCATCGCTTAGTGTGAACATAACCATTGAATATTTCAGGCAAAGGAATAGTGCACCTGTTACGTTTTATCCGGCAGGATTGAAAACACAGGGTTGTCGCTCTTGTTATGCCCAATGGAGCCGAGTGGAACACATCACGAGACATTTCTCATATGAGATTTCACCTTCACAGATTTACCAAACCTGAGGAAGTGCTTCCGCTTTGCATCATTGATGATAGAACAGACTTATTTGGAATTCTGAAAGCTTCCAATATGAGTGTTCTTACGATTTCTCTGCCACCACATAGCCAGCCACTATTTTCTCGGCTAGTAGAGGATGAAGCCACGAACCTACGCATGTATCAATATGGATTTAAGGTCATTCTCTATACAACCCTGGCTGGCAGCGCAGACACGGAAGGCCTTGAATATAAAATCTACAAGCCGTTGTGACGTGAAGACGTTTCATGCGCAAACAGCAGCATCCGTCTGGGCTTAAGTAGAGACTATTGCGGGATGATCAGAATGATACGTTTCATGCAGCCTTGGTTAAGTGGGATATACGAGTCCACCATGCATCGTAAAGCAAATATGACGGCCGAATTACAGATAACCGCGGGAGTAAGGTTTGTTAGTATTATTATATCACGTACGATCTCCATTGTTACGTGCCGTATACTTGGGGTCCTGTTCCAGTGAAGTCAAAAGACAGCAGAGAAAAAACCTCTTTTATAGCGACTTCCACGTGAATTGGCATTCCATCGTCCATATAGTCGACAGCAGATATTTTGTTCGCGGAAAGCTTCGAATCTTGGATTTATATTTAGAAAACATGTTGTTCTGTCTACAGCCAACAAAAGAGGTACATAGGTAAGACATACCTGCACGGGGGCCATTGAATATTCTCTGATTAGCTGTCGGACCAGCCGGATACCACAAGTGTTGGCGTCAATTTGGGCTTTAATGTCGTTGACATTATCCTGGAAACACCTCGAGCCACTCAAGCCCGAGTTTATGCGGGCTCATCACAGAGGATTCACTTAATATCTTTTTATCAAACTTGCCATCCCTCTCATAAAGAGGAATGAATCAAATACACGTCCTTCTTCAGATGAGCGCTTAGAGGATGGGGGTATAGAGCTCGGAAGAACTTCGCCAACCTAAAGAGATAAGTCTGGGTTATATGATATAAATCGGAAGGCGAAACTCACGTCGGCATGATGACCACGCGATGCTGTCCAAAAGATGATCTGTTTGACTTCTGAATCAAAGACAGGTGCGATGAGGGTTAAGTCTGGGAGATGGACACCGCCATATTCTGAATAAAAGCAGTACGAGCATTTGGATCTTTAAACTAGAGCAATACAATATCACGTACCTGGAGAATTTGAAAGCAGCACATCGCCATCCTGCAATCTGCCCTCCCATTGCTCAATCTAAAACTCCACGGCAAATCCCTATATAAACTGTGAACTTCAGCTAGACTGGGTATTAGGGTGAATATCAGTTACCTACCATGGATCCAATCATATCTGTAACATAGAGTGCATTATTGACGAGATCCCCTCCAGAGGAGAATATAGCACAGCTGAAATTCAAACGCTCTTTAATATTTGCACTCACGCTAACCTTCTGCAAAACACGTCTCATCTCTGCCACACCGTAAAATCGATGGCGGAAGACAGAGAGCTGGACAGGATCAATGACAGTGGCACTGATCAGCTTATTATCTCTGACAAAATCCAATCAATAACAAGAGATCATTGGCAGTGGTCGCAGAGCAACAAGGGCTTAGGATTACAGTTTGCGTCTTGTCGACCATTAACGCCAGGCCCTTAACAGTGTTATTCTGGGACAGAAAGCCTAGTAGATAGACATGAATGTCAACCCAGCCAAGAGACTTGAAGTAAACAGACTTCTTAGTAGTGCCAAGAGACTTGAAGTAAACAGACTTCTTAGTAGTGGGAGTCGGCGCAGCAACCTCTTCATGAAGCTTATTCGAACCCTGCAATTGAGATGGTGCTTCGTTGTCGAAGCTGCTTTGTCCAATAGCCCGTACACGGATATCATCCACAAATATCCTGCGATCTGGGTTGAAGAATTGTTAATGGTGGGCATCGATAAATCTTTGCCTCACACCTTCGTTTTCGGTTACGGATATCATCATGGCAGTAAAGTGGCCTCGTCCTCCAGTAAGCTAGCGAATGGGGGTCACACATGGCCGAGTTGGCGACTTGCAGGAATCTGTGACATTTTGTATTTGTGAAAGGCAGACAAATATACTCGATTCTGGGAACTTACCCATCCGCCACTTCAGCCCATGTCATTAATTGACCAGTATCACAGTTGGTCATATCAGTTAGTTCTTGGAACTTGGTCAACACAATCTTCCAATCCAAAGGCTCATTTTCGTTTAGTCTTTGGACTAAACGAAAGTTTTCTAGAATCAATCATCCCAGAGCCAAGTTTGTATCAGTTACTATCAAAGGACCGCCTTTCCTATAACAATCTGGACCTAGGTCTGACGAGGCATTTTTCGGACCAACGACCATCAACGCATCTTTCCATGCAAGAATACTTCACCGCCAGCGGTGATCGTATTCACATTGAGCTTGAGAGCCTGAATTGTAATGCCTTCTGTTGTCTCAAAAATGTGATGGAATTGGCTATCATATCTTGACACATTAACACTCGTCCCTCTCGTATCATATCTAACAAGGGACCCTTGGACTTCTTGTCATATGTAAAACCGCCAGCTGGACCAGGCTATTAAAAACTGACGAGCACAAGTCTATTAATATATAGACTACGGAATATAATTTACCATTATGTCATGCAATCCGGAAAGTTTGAAGGCAGGTATCAACGCACCATCGGATTGCATGAATTCCAGCTAAGTATGACTATTTTCAAAGCTAGGGAAGTCGGCATCAAACTGCGAGATATATTTTTAATCGTCGGGGCCAGGTAACAGTCAATAATGATATAGCTACCCCGTGGGACAGTCTTTGGTCGCTGTGACACTTGAATATATGGGTAAATCCAATTTCCTTCGCTAATTCCTGAATCTGGAGCTCATGACCCGAGAAAGCGATGTTCATAGATTTTCTGCAGGTATTGAAAGTATTTTCAGCATCCAATGCTTTGATGATGTGCACATTCTCTCCTGATGTACCCACTACAGCATTGAGTGGTAGAGAATCTGTGCACCTCTCCAGTACCACATGCTCATCGACTTCAAACACATCGGAGTACAAGGATTGTAGCCGTCGAATAGCTAGATTAAACATGAAAGGTCCGGATTGATTAGCGACCTTGAGGAAATCTTTGAATCCAGCCTTGACGAGGAATGCGGTAATTTTGTCCTTGCATTTGCAAGGCATTCTTTGTGACTGTCATTCCCATTCAAATCTATTTTGATAAATGTCAATGTCGCACTTAGCATGGACAGACGAAAAGTCCCATATCAACATCTTTAAGGTCTAGTTGAGCACCCCAAGGATTCTTTTCGTCATAGAACTTTTCATAACTGTCTAATTGCTTCTGCAGGGACATCTGAATAGTTTTTGTGTCTACGAAGAGGATTTCGACCACATTATCCTCTTGACCAGTGACTTTGCAGACACAGTCCGCCACCCCTATGTATCGAACAGTCAGCATGAGCTCCCCAAGGTCCACAAGGATCTATTACTGACCGATTGTGGTAATCCATATTAGGCATAGTGAAGAAACTGGGGCTTAATGATATCATCTTCGTTGCTTTAAATTTCAAAAGCATGTCTACTTCGTACAACCCATCGGTCCAATATTTAATGATCATACCATATAGGCATGTCTATTACCTACACAGAGGATCCGAGCGATAAAGCTCTCGATTGAGATTATCAGTGGAGGGGGTGGACAGTGGAGTAGTGAGGGGAGACAGAGGACCGTGTGCATCAAACTCCAATTGACTGGATCGCTTGAAGCCACAGAATCTTGCATTAATTAGTTCCGATGAAATAATTGAAAAGGGAAGACAGGTTGCACATTTATCTCTTCATTCTATTTTCACCTCATACAATCAATCTTCCCACTATTTGAAACATTGAGAACATGGGATCGATAGGTCGAAACGAGCTTCACTCCAACGTAGTGAACAGTCACTCGCAAGATGGTACCTACCAGATCATTGAGGAGCCAAGTAGACGCAACAGAAAGATCCGCGTTCTTGTGATCGGCTGTGGTGCAAGTGCCATCAACCTTGCGCACGAAATAGATACCAGTGATTTGAATCTGGAATTGGTGTGCTACGATAAGAATCCATCCGTTGGAGGTACTTGGTATGAAAATAAGTACCCAGGCTGTGGCTGCGATATCCCATCGGTGAACTATCAGTACTCATGGGCCCCTTCGTCAGAATGGTCATCCTTGTAAGTGGACAGCACTGCTCCAGGATAATCGTGGTAGCCAAATGTAGCTGACTGAATCCGATCGCATAGCTATTCGAGTGCCAGCGAGATCCTTCACTATTTCAAAACCGTTGTGAAGGAGTATGGCCTGATGAAGTATATGCGTCTGAATACCAAGGTCGTGGATGCGCAATGGGACGAGGAGAGTCAGCAGTGGCGTGTCAAGATTCAGAAGACGGATGGTTCCAGTGTCGTTTTTGAGGATACGGCAGATATTTTGATCAATGCCAGTGGTGTTCTCAAGTAAGCGATAAAAACATATTTTGCAAGAACCTGTGCTAACCCTAGTTTCTTAGTAAGTGGAAGTGGCCTACCATTCCAGGCCGAGAGACGTTCCAGGGCCCAATGATGCACAGCGCCAACTGGGATGATAGTATTCATCTGGAAGGCAAACGTGTTGGTGTTATTGGATCTGGATCCTCTGCTGTTCAAATTGTGCCAAATATCCAGGCCTGTTAGTCTCAGTCCTGGAAAAAGCAAAACACTTTACTAAGTTATTTCGCAGTAGCCAATTCTGTGAAATGCTTTATTCGCAGTCAGTCCTGGGTCACCGCTAGCGTTGGCCAGCGCTTTGCTGGAAAAGGAGGCACCAATTTTCAATGTAAGTATTATCCCCGTAGATATCAGTCAGCATGGTCTGATAGGACTTTCGAACTGGACGCTGAACTATTATTCCCTAGACAACGAGGCTCAAAGGGAAATTTTGCGCAATGATCCTCAGAAGTATTTGGCCTACCGAAAGAAGATTGAGTCTGAATTGAACTCTCGGTTCCGTTTCATTCTGAACGGGTCAAAAGAGCAAGCCGAAGCCCGGAAGGTACATACTTCGTTTCTTCCCATTCTTCCCATATTCATGATTGATAACTGAATGATTGAACTCAGGCTGCTGAGTTGGACATGCGTACTAGACTAGCTAAGAAGCCCGAGCTTGCAGACCTGATAATTCCAACTAACTTTGCTGTTGGTTGCCGTCGGCCGACTCCAGGCGCTGGCTATCTTGAGGCTCTTTGTGAAGACAATGTGTCGGTCGTGTCCGAAACTATTCAGGAGATTACTCCTAAGGGAATCAGGACAGCTGACGGTTTTGAGCACGAGTTTGATGTGATTGTGTGTGCTACCGGCTTTGACGTGAGCTGGAAACCCTCCTATCCCACTATCGGACGTGAATCTCGCAATTTGATTAACGAATGGGCCACTGCGCCTAGCACCTATCTTTCTATTACTGTTCCGCATTTTCCTAACTATCTAAGTGAGTTTCATATGTCTTCTGTTTAACAAACAGTTCACTCATTTTGGTAGTTTTCAATGGCCCATTCGGACCCTACGGCCATGGCAGTTTCTTGCCCATTACCGAAATTATCTCCAAACATTTCATGATGATGTTCCATAAGATGTCTGAAGAAGGAGTTACCTCATTCGATGTGAAGGAAGATGCAGTTGCCGACTTTGTTCAGCATCGTCGCGCATTCTTGCAACGAACGGCATGGGCATCACCTTGCCGGTCTTGGTTCAAGGCAGGAACCACAGATGGTGAAATCATGATGTGGCCTGGATCTCGCATTCACTTCTTTGAGACCATGAAGTCCCCTCGTTGGGAAGACTACAATCTCAAATACACCACCGCCAACCGTTTTGGATATCTAGGCAATGGCTTTGCGGAGCGGGAGTCAGATGGTAGTGATTTGACATGGTACCTTGGACTCTTGAATGGACAGGAGACACAGCCTGACTTACCGGATGAAGACTTCCAAGAGTTTATGACTCAATAATTCCACATATTTACGAAATTGACCCTCGTAATCTTTTATCATTTTACAAGTATAATGTATTAGGTTTTGTCTAGGGTAATTATATACGTTAAAGTGGTGTTGGATATATTAATATATCAATATGGATTTATTGAATTTAATATTCATGGTTATTTAATAATTTAATTAGCATATGGAACAGAAAAATGTAAATATATTGGTATGTTGATATATTTGGAAATAGCCTCAGAAAGATATGATTTTTAGATATTAGGGTTTTATACTATAACTAAAACAAGATAAATTAATTTTTATTACAATTTAGACTAGCTAAAAAGTATTTAGTAATAGGAGACGACGCCCTGTTTATCTTGATATGTTTTTATTTATTTGGAAAGCTATATAATGATTTAAAAGTAGGCTTGATATTAGCTTAGAAGCTAGACTATTTGATCACCGTTTCATAGACTATTCAATTGAATTCAATTAACCCGATCGAGCTATACTAGTCGCATATATGCTATGCAGTCGCTTCATCCGTCTGAAGCAAGAACTTATGTCCAACGCCATCCCGAAATCAAATACAAAAGAAAATCTGGGCAGTTGCCCAACAGGTAAATTTCCACCTTGCCTCTTCCGACTCCCCACTTCCCTCTATGCCACTCCTGTAGAATGTCTGAATTCTCTCCCTAGTTGGCGTCTTCCTCTGTTCCCTTCGTCGATTACGTTCTTGTTGTGTTTTCGATGTCGATTCCTAGGTGCTCGATGCCCAGGTTTTCACGGTATCGTTACCTATTGTCATCCCCTCCTGCTCCTATGGCTGCTAGGCCTATCTGTTCTTGGTCATCCTCGTCCGGATCTGGCTCAATTTCAACATGCCGGAACTGGCCGAGGAGGCCTGTTTGGTGCATCAAGTTCGCAATGTAGCGTATTGCTTGTGGGTGGTTCATCAGTGCGTCCCAATCTGAGCGCTTTTCCGCGTCAAGGTCAGTCGCATTGATCTTTCTCCGGAGCCAGACTCTGTCCTCTGTGTATAACGGACACTGGAGAAGGATGTGCATCAGAGTCTGCAATCTTTCGTCGCAGCTACACCGATCAGAATCGATCTCGTTGATGTTGTAAAGCCAATGGCAGAGGCCAATGCGCAACGATTGCATCGGGATGATAATCGACGCATATGGCCTCGATATTCCCTCATAGAGTCGTAGCACCTTCTTCGTCGGCGCCTCTACTAGCCGCCGTGTTGGCCTTAGTTTCATTGTCTATGTAGCAAAAAAAGACAGGTAAATTGAACGATATTGAGTCTATTCTAAAAAACAATAAAAGTACAATTAGATCTTTTATTTTAAGCTTTTAATTTTCCATCTAATAAGGAAACAGATATATTTATCTATGATAAACAAGGCAAACTCTTTGAATAGAAAATTTATATTGAGTATCTATATTAATAATACGGATAAATATAAAGTCTTCATTTGAACTAAAGTATAACAAATACGACCCCTGATTACATACGACCCGCGAATTATACCCACTTTATTTCATTCTTTACATCATTTGCCCCATAACTCTATTCAATTCAGTAGAACTATGTAAATACTATTGAATCGGGCGCTATGGACACTACAACACCATTAATTGACGCGGCGATAAGCCGTTGTGCTTCCTGGAGCGCAAGACCACCTTCAACAACAATTCGGCGGTGAGGGCATGTCTTTTTTCGGCTCTTTTGCATTAGCTCTGCGAAGAGCGGCTATTTCCTGATCTTGTATTGCCATATGTTGGTCTATAGCTGGAGCTATAGATGACTTGCTGCGAGTATTACTTTAAGTCCCTCTCGATCTACTATACGGAAACGCTTCGAGGGTATTATACATAGCCTTCCAGAACGACGTCGGAAGAAAAAGAACCCCTTTAGCGCTCGTTTTGCGAAATACTGGCTTATATTCGCTTAAGAATGGTGCCAGGATATGGATTAGAAGAAATAGATCTTTTAAAAATATTCTATCTAGTAGTCAAATATGCTAAAATTGGAGACATATCTAATTTAATTTTGTTACGACAGCCGAGAAACAAGGCCATCAACAGAAGGAAAGCATATCGGCCGAAAAGCTTCTGCCAAGACAGTGACTCTGGAACTAGATTAGTATATCACGGCATCCTTGAACGATATGCATTCATCGCAAACGACACCCTTGAGCGATGTGCATTCGCGACAGTAATGTCCCGTCTTCACCATCTCTTCTGTCTTGGACGAATGTTGACATTCGTCCAGAGCAGAGGGGCACCTACATACTATAAGTAGCTAGTTCTTTCATCAATGAAAAAGCAGACTTCACAACAGCCGCAATATTCAGTATCGTAGGATCAGTGCACTACACTTGGTGGATTTTCTACGGTGTTGAGTAGTGTTGAGTAGTGTTTCGTTGAAGCTCACCAACTCCTTTCTACTGTAGTAAACTCGAATTCCCTTTTACTGCAGTAAGAACTCGAACGCTTTTCTCGGTTAGATATTCGAATATCGCCCTTTCGAGCGACAGAGAACCTCTTTTTTTAGAGCTGATATAATGTATATAGTAGTCAATCCAAGTCTTAATCGAGTAGTTGAAACTTGGAACATTTTCTACATTTTAGAATGAAATGTAGCTTAGAAGCCTCCACCAGTTGAAATGATTTCAAATCTTGAATTCGGATTATTTGTAGTTAATTAAATAAATATATAGAAAGATGAATTAGAAAAAGATCGAGTAGAGTGTACTTAAAGCTAAAATAGATAGATTACGCCGTAATCTATAATACCACCATCATATATTTATTTAATCTAGTTAAAATGAACTGATTCTTTGAGAATACTCTTATTGTTATTCCTCACTGAATATTTAAATTGTATCAGGGTTGTGGTTATTGAGATGTGATATTCAATTTTTTCGAGTTTACTATGGTGTTCTGAGGTGGCGGCTCGTTTGGAGTTTACTTTATACTAATTCCAAGCTAGATTCTAGCGTCCATAATAAATAGATTGAATATAGAGAGAGCTCTGTATAGCAAAATCTTTTTTTTGGAAAGTTAAAGAAATTCTATTACAAGATAAACCGTAAAATATTATATAATAATGATCTGTAGATCTTTTTGGTGGGCGACCGTATCAAATTGAGGATTTATCATTCAGATGTCTAGAATTCGTGTAGCGCGCGCAGGTCTAAAATTAACGGTGATTTATGAAAGGGGCCGATTAGGTATAAAATTGTTTACACAATCCTTAGATGTAGAACAATCGGCAGTGATCTCGAGATAAATTGAAGTGCCAAAGACTACAGCAGAATTATTTTAGCGGAATAAATGCGGTGAGAGATTTCTTTGAGCATCAATACTTAATTTTGTGCTTCATATTTATGCACAATGTTGCGATAAGCATCTTGCAATTTAATCTTAGGCATTGTTATTAATATAATCTAACCAGAGTAATCCATTAGTTTCAATATTCCTTACATACTTTAAAAAAACTTGGCTATATATAGAATATCTTTAAATTGGTATATCTACTACTACTAGTTGAGTTCAGTCGTTGAGCAGTTAATATTGACGATAGCTTCAATTTAATCGTACTTATGACTAGAAACATATGGTGTTTTATATTTGTTTAATTGAGAATATTTAGTTAGGGTGATTCACTATATATACTCTTTTAGAATAAACTAACACATAATAATGATCGCGAAGGCTTCTTACACTTTCTGCGGCTTGGCGCATTTTACATATTCACATGGTGTAATTCTTGAATGTATACAAGATGCATAAGTATGATAATATCGAATACTTTATGCTTTCCCCCTCCTTTTCATCTGACGGTATATCCAAGCCAGTTGGATTCCCATCGAATCCAACAAGCAAGCTATTCTCTCTTTATATCTGCCTTCTCTCTGAATATTACTTCCCTTATTAGTGTTTACCTCTGGTCCCTGATATTGTATTCACCTGAAGCATCCATACTTCTTAGATACTTCTCTATCTCTTAGGATATCTCTTATCTAGTGCCAACCGTGATTCGTATTCTATTATAATTCAAAAGGTATATATATATATATATATATATAAATAGCGTAAGTTTAGAGACCTTGAAATACTAGTCTTTATATATAGAGTAGAGTATTAATATTGTAAATACTCCATGAATTGCCCTACGACAAACGAGGGCTTTTATATATATATATATATATAGTTATCATTGAGAAACATTATTAAAGAAAATACTTTCATTAATAATAGCATCTTCATCGTTTTTTTCTAGTGAAAACTACTCCGAAATAAGAACTGTTCTATCTAGTTTTCCTGTATTCAATTGAACTAAAATAGTTAGTTAAAGAGCCAATTGCTAGAAGAGATTATTTTATAAGGAGCCAGCCATCTAGATTAAATATAGAGAGACCTAAGCATATTCTAGCAGAAAGATGCCAGGAAGTTGTGATAGTTGTATATAACATTATAGCCAGCCTTTAGGATTTTAAAGATATAAGATAAAGTAAATCACATACGAGCGGCGCACACAACCAAGTGGCGCACCTAGAACACCATAGTAAAATCGAATAAATTAAACATCATATCTCAACAACCATAACTCTCATAAGAATCAATACTGGGTGAGATAAAATCAAAAGAATCTTTATAAAGATCTCATTCATTTTAAGTAAATTAATTAGATGGACTATAGTGATACCATAAATTACGATGTAATTTATTTATCGTAGCTTTAACTACACTTTTATTGACGATTTTATATACCTTCTTCTATATTTTTATTTTATCAACTATAGTTGATCCAAGTTCAAGAGTTCAAGTCAATTCAACGGGTGGTTGTTGACATATGATATTCAACTTGTTCGAGTTTATTATGGTGTCCTGGGCGCCACTCGCATGTGTGCGCCGCTCGTATGTGATTTACTTTAGGTGGTAGTAGTAGTAGTAGTATTAACGTCGGGCGGGATCGTGCTAGCCTCGATCCCTCCCCGGAACCTCCCTAAGGGTATTCCGACGCTCAGCGTCGGCGGACCGAGCTGATGTGTCTGGCCTAAACTAAGACCTTATGGGCCCGTCTTCCTATAGGTTACCCCCTCCGTTCGGAGCTTCCCCGTTTGGTAGTTCTAGTGAAAAGTAAAAATAAAGGAAACGGCAAACGAGTTGGCGCCGTAGTGTAGACCAAGTGGTATCTCAAGGAGTCTGACTCCGCTGTAGTCCCATCTCGTAGGTATCCATCCCTTTACTTACATCCAGGAGGCCCCCTTTCGGGGTCACTCTTGCTGAGAAGGGCAGATTTCCGCGTCGGCGGAGGGAGAGGGTTAGTAGGGGAAGGAGGGGGGATGCGTGGTTTAGTGTAGGGTGGTGGTGTCTGGTGGGGCACCGTGCTGTCGTGCCTTATCGGCCTAGTTGGGGCTACCTGGTGCAGATCGTTAAGTAGAAGCCAGTTACCTCGAGGAAGTCTTTAAAGTCCCCTGGATTTAGGGATTGTAGGTATCTGACTGCCTCTTCCTCAGTGGTTGGAGGGGTGCTCGGCCGTAGGGGCCACTGGTTGAACGTGCTGTGTGTCTTACGGTAAAGTGCTATGTGCTTTGGTGTTTTTCCGTCCGCAGGAGCACTCGAGCTTAGCATCGTCATGGTGAAATTTGCGGTAGTACCAGTCGAAGTCCCTATGGCCTGACCGAAGTGCGAGCCACCTATGAAGGGTGGGCCTACTTAGGTCAAAGGCCGCTGTGGGCTTGATATGATATTCCGCGTGGTCTGCCCACTTACGGTAGTTGTTGGACATTTTGGCAAAGGCCCTGTCCCACCAGGCAAGCCTGGAGTCATTTCGAAGGTCTCGGTACACTGACCTGATGTCGCTGATGGTGGGCTGGGCTGCCTGTCCCGCGGGGTTGCTATAGGCCGCCCCCTTGTTAGTAAGTGCATCTGTAGCGTCATTGCTTTTAATGCCCTTATGCCCAGGGGCTCATTTAACCTGGATTTGGTGTGCTTTCATAGCCTCCTGGCATGCGAGGAAGGCCTATTATGACGAGGTGGAGGCATTCCCCGAACGCACCAGATTACTGAAGTGCTGTCGATGCATAGCCATATGGTGCCAGATTGCTGTTAGTATGCCATATCGTTTCGTGAGGGGGCCACCGTTTCCTGGCAGTGGGCTCTGTTTGGGTACCCTTCAGGGGGGTTTTCCCCACATATGGTAGCAGGGTCCTGAGGCACTACACTTGCGCTTGTAGACTATTTCCTTGAGCCAAAAAGGCTTATAGTAATCTTCCGTTTGGAAGATTATGCGCAAGTTCAATATATGCCAGCCTTGTAGAACACTGAACTGAGCATGATGCCGGTCGCATCTCCGCACGCCATTACAACCTCGCTGAGAGGAAGCCGGGGTTTGGTGCTGGTTTACATCATTACTATCTCCAACACCATTAATTGACGCGTCCATAAGCCGTTGTGCCTCCTGGAGCGCAAGACCACCTTCAATAGCCATTGCCATTTTTGAGCGAATTAGAGTCGGTCTTTCGTAATACAATGATTGAGAGGGTGTGAAGGGCTACGACTAAGCTTATATATCCAGCAAGGTGGTGCCAACAAACTGTCTTTATTAAGCTTAAGAGAGAGAAGGAGAGAGACTAGCTAAGGGATGCTCGGTAATGAGAGGTGCGGGTAGCACGAGCCTGTCATAATTTTTTTAAAATTAGTTTATTGTCTCTAATAGAAAGCAATTGTTATAACAGATTACTCAATATATTTACTATAGAATAATATTTTATCAATAGTACTATTAGCTTTAAATATGTGTCTCTGTTTCTATAGCGCAGGGATTGAATATTAAATTGATTAATTATTAATAACAACAAATAATAAGAATAAAAAACAAATCCTATCTTTATAATTGTTAGGGTAGTGAGAAAACTTATTTAAATCCTTTGCGTATTACACTGTCAGAAATCATGAATTAAGAAAACGCCGGTGACTAATACTTAGATTACTAACGTAGATACCGCTTGTTCGGAATACCATATCAATATTTCAAAAAAGACATAATTTCAAAACTATATTTGAGAAATACAGCCCATAAAATTGACTAAATAACACGATTCTGATACTAACTGATCTTATGTCCTATTTTACCAAATCCGGAGCTTTGTTGGCGCCGAGTTCTAAGCTTTATACGCAAATTGGTTTTAGTAAACACATTCCAAGCAGCTTCAGTATTATATCACTTCACTATTATCCCCACCACTAATATCATTCTAAAAGCTCTTCTGAGCCGAGCTCTTAAACTATCCTTCATTATAAATAGTCTGTTTCTTATTAGCGTCCCCTTTTCACCTGCCTTTTGTCAATTTATCTCTTCTAAATAAGTATAGCATTATAAGATATTATGAGCTATACGACTTAGACAATCCTAATATTTTGAATCGCAATTTTTGTAGGTTATTTAGCATTAATTAAATTAGGTGATAATTCTAGACATTGAGTAATATTCCTAGAGAGTATAGTCAGTTAAATCGGGTCAATTGAATTCATCATCATCATCATCATCATCAAGATATAAAATATAGTGATATATAAAGAGCGAGTGATGATATTATTTTATTCATAGACTTAATCCACTAAGATGATTAAACTATTGATTTAAAAGAGCCTTTCCTTTAAAGATGATATATAGAAGATCCTACATTAATCAAAACGTGTGGAATTTAACTTTCCAAGATTTTCACTTCATTTGCTATTTTTCTTGTTTAAGAGTAAGTAACTCAAGATATTGCATAACGATCTAATATGAACCTTGGGTGCTGTTTAATAGAGGAATTGAAGGTTTTAATTATTTCATATCGTAATGTCATAGTGAGTATCTATTTTGAACAACTAGAACACGGTTGAGATATGATTTCCGGGAATGAAAAGCTTTTTTCAGGGCTGTTTATGATCTAGACTGATAAATCTTTATCTCTCATTAACATATTTCTCGAGAATCTTGAATAAGAATAGATGTAAACTGTCACAATTTCTATTCTTAAGTGCTGATTTATTTGACAGATCTATTCTAAACTTCTAAAACATGCAAGCTGGCACCTACCCTACTCTATTTGATATTTAGTAAATCGATAAGAATTTCTTAATATGGTGGAAATGCTAGTCGCATACGACGAGCTAATAATGCTTACGGATTTTGAGCTCTATTATTTGAATGTTTTCAAAATGCCGCTCTGCCGGCCCTTCAGCGACTATTGCCGTGGAAGCAGTCAATTCTAGGCTTAATACATACACTATTTAGAGATATAGCTAATCTTTTACTATGGTCGCTTTTTTAACCAGCTCTGATGTCCCTCCTTGTATTAGTAAAACTTGGTAATTGGTTTTATTAAGCGTTGCGAACCCCTGGTTTTGTGTCTCTCTCGGAGATATTATTGATTATAAGAGAGCTCAAGCTAAAGACCCTAGAATCATTATACTATAATTTAAATTTACTAAAATGATCTAAGACTATGGAATATCTGTTATTTTGATAAGTCTAACTTTATAATAGTGGTGAGTACGACTTATATAATTATTACCAGTATATAAATATAGAGATAAAATCACAAAAATTTCTTCAAGGACGTAATAATAATGCAGTATAATTTTAAGCTTTACATTGAGTATAGTGAGTTAAATCGGGTCAGTTGAATTCATTATCATCATCATCATCATTCAAGCTTTACATTAATTCTCAAATTGCTTTAGTAATGGAAAATGCTATGATAAATTTTTTTAAAATATATCTCAACCCAATATCTGATAAATCTACTCTGATTTTTAGTAGAAGAAATAATTTAATGAAGAATGTTAACAGAACAATTCTCTTAAATATAAAGGGATAATAGTCTCTTAAGTTGGCTTCAAAAGCTGGATATATTCAGAGACTTACTTTAAGCTTCTGGTATTTTTAGGAAAAGGAGAGTCTTCCTTTTGCAATTTTCCTATTTAGATAATTCAATAGTAAATGAAAATAAGTAGTAGTTCACTGTTTCTAAAAAGAAGTTTTTGTCGCTCGAAAGGGCGATATTCGAATAATATGACTGAGAATATCGTTCAAGTTTACTGCAGTAGAATCAAAGAGTTGGTGAGCTCTAACTAACTGCTACTCAACACTGTAGACAAACCACCAAGTGTAGTGGCCTCTACAGTACTGAATACTACAGTTGTTGTGAAGTCTGCTTTTTCATTGATGAAAGAACTAACTACTTATAGTATAAGGGTGCCCCTCTGTCCTGGATGAATGTCAACATTCGTCCGAGACAGAAGAGATGGTGAAGACGGGATATTACTGTCGCGAATGCACATCGCTCAAGGGTATCGCTTGCGATGAGTGCATATCGTTCAAGGATGCCGTGATATACTAATCTAGTTCCAGAGTCACTGTTTTGGCAGAAGCTTTTCGGCCGAAATACTTTCCGTCTGTTGATGGCCTTGTTTCTCGGCTGTCGCAACAGTTTCAAATGTATATATACTCTTTCTCTCTTATTCCCAATTCGTCAGATATCATAAATACCCCGAAGTTTCCCAAAAGATGATTTATCTTGACAAACACCCAATGATAGCTAATACTTGGATCTATATCAATTACAAAACAGATGAAACTAATAGTTATATTATAGATCACAAGATATCCATTATTCTGATACTAACTCACATAGGATTATAAATTGACTGAATCTGAAAAGAACTCTTCTAAAATGGATTTTCTCTTTAGATAACCGTGGATCTGCCCCTAATCCTCATTATGTTGCTCAATTCACCAATATTCTACTCGTCGACAGCGGAATCGACCCTCTTCAAGTCGGACGAAGCTGTGCTTTTCAACTTCATTTGAACGTTTACCTGAAATCGACACTCGCTATTCAAAACGTTATAATTTTGAACGCGCAAAACAAGAAGACCCTCATATTATTCGCGATTAGTTTATCTTTGTTTTAAAAACTATTCGCGAGAATAGGATTCATGGTGACGACATTTATAACTTCAATGGCCACCTTACACCTGATTTCGATCAGACATGCCGCCATATTTATCCTATCTTCCATAGCCTCTAGATATACGCTATCTCGCTATTTTAATGAGGTCACATAGCCGGCTAGTCAGCTCTAAAATAGAGCTCGCATTCAACTCTGTCGATAAGAAGTGTTTCCTAGCTATATATACCTTATTACACACTTTAAAAGCCACCAGCATGGTTTGATCGGGCTCATATCAGGTGATTGTGCAGGCCATTTATTACGACGAATCCGCCAACATCGAAACCACCTTTCTGCCTTCTTCGATGTATCAATCCTAGCATTATCCTGTTAAATTACATCACCATCTTCATAGTGTGGTATAAGGCCTAGAGCCAGATCCGGACGAGGATGACCAAGAATAGATATGCCTAGCAGCCATAGGAGCAGGAGGGGAAGACAATGGGTAACGACACCGTGAAAACCTGGGCATCGAACACCTAGGAATCGACATCGAAAACACAACAAGAACGCAATCGACGAAGGGAACAGAGGAAGATGCCAACTGGGGGGAGAATACAGAGATTATACAGGAGTGGCACAGAGGGAAATGGGGAGTAGGAAGAGGCAAGGTGAAAATTTACCTGTTGGGCAACTGCCCAGATTTTCTTTTGTATTTGATTTCGGGATGGCGTTGGACATAAGTTCTTGCTTCAGACGGATAAAGCGACTGCATAGCATATATGCGACTAGTATAGCTCGATCGGGTTAATAGAATTTCGAATTGAATTGGTATAAGGCCTTC